AAAATGATTATTCTGCGTTGCTGCATGGCCAACGCTGGATCTTTGTTGGCCACGAATACGGGTGGTGCGGCAAAAAGGCAAGGCTATCCCAGCTTTATTCTTTATGCCCTGCAATATCATCTTCTGTGCTTCGACATCTGCATGATACAGCTAATTAATTGCTGGTTACTTCACATGTTGCCCTGCATTGACGTAACTGTGCTTGATGAATTTCTGAGGCAGCAGGCAGAGCGTGACACAACCACATACAGGTGACGTTGCGGATGGTGCATTTGCGCTATTGATAGTGAGCGACCCCGGCCTTGAGCCAGACGCCATTTTCCGAAGAGACCATTCCTGACCCCGTTGGCTATCATACTTGTGCAGATTTTCCTGCTTTCAATGAACTCTGCGACTCTCTCTTCTACTCCAGGTTGTCGTGCTCAGCCGGTGCAGTGGGGGTTCACCTGATAGGCGCGTTTGCCACCACTACTTTGGAGATCTATTTTCGATGATAGTGACCCAGCAGAGTTATTGCTGGCCTCGGCGCCGAATATCCTTTTCCTTTCGCTGCAGCTACCCAATGATAAGTTCGTTGGCACGAGCTTAAAATTTTAAAGACCTTCTGCCTCTTGGATGCCGGGCGAATGAGAGTTGGTAACTGCTCCAGGCTCATTAGTTTAACGTCTTCTACCAACTGGAGGTGCATTGCAGTTGCGGGCTTGTTCTCAATTACTTTTGCTTCTCGTTTGGCATCAGCTGTTGGATTTCCTGTCTCCCTACTAGCGCCTTATTCCTCTTGGGCCAATCGGTGAATGGCACCACTCCTCCCTCCCCCTGCAGTTTCCCTTGCTTGAACTCAGACGACTCGTTCTGAAATTGGCTAACTAGTAGCGGTTTCCACTTTGTGGATACATCTGGGAAACCACAAAGCTGTTAGTTATCCTGGAGCCTCGTAGTATGGAAGCAGCACCAGCGAACAAAGCTATGCCATTGTCAGAAATTTTGAAAGCGCGTGGTGGTGTCCAACATGAAGTCCGCGACAGGACTCGCCGCGAGAGAAAGGGTGTTGGTTTCTGGAACAAACTCTGAACCTTTTGCCTGTATGCTCTAACTTGCAGAACCCACGCTTCGCCCTCGCCACTCAACATAGGTGGCAGCTAGGAAGAGTATTCCCTTGTTGATAGTGCACCGCATTCCCACTGTACTTGGGGTCCACGGTTTTCCTGTGTATGCACCATGGGGTGTGCAGTGCCAAAGCCACCTTTGTTATTGCCATGGTTTGTAGCTCTAACTGATCGGAGTGTCTGGTTTTCCCAAAAGCCGCTTTGCTGTACATGAGCTTCTTGCACTTTATTTGCTCTGAACTATCCTGTTCATGTACCCGTGGCCTTAAAACATCGGTCGGCTTCCCCTACTCCTGTAGCAACTCATTTAGGCTCCGTCCTCCTCCTGGTATCGCCAGTAATCTTTCCGATTCATGGAATATATTGTGCCTTGTGCTTTGCTTGGCATCTTTTTACTGCTTGTTTGTGTGCTCTTCACGGCCTAACAAGCAATCCAGTCCTTAAGTGGTTAGGATCCTTTCCTTGTTCAAGACCATTTAAGCCAGACAATATCTTCTATGTGACAGAAGATATTTGATAGCATTGTGCTGGTATGTGCCGTATGTCCGCAAACTGGTACAACAGGATTGAAGGCCTCGACGTCTCGCCTGAAGCAGCGTGTTCGGCGATGGCACACAGTAGCTTACAGTGAGGGCAGGTCTTACCTCGCTCACGTAGAAGCATAAGCCTCTAGGAGTCCGGCACGTTCAAGCGTTGGGGCTCAACAATGCTCGTCGCTGAACTCCAACCCAGGCCACCGGCTTGTTCAACTGTTGTAGAACGGCCAGCTAACTTGCTTGTCCTGGCGTTGACCTGTTCGCTTGTTTAGTCGCCCAGTACCTTGGCCTATGGCTTTTCTGCGGCACGCTCTAGAGCCATTTCAATTGCGTTCGTGCCTGTGCTTTTAGGCTCCGACGAGCCTGTCGAAGCTGGAGATGCGTTGTCCTTTCGACTGCCGTTCTGCTTGCGGAAAGCTTGCTCGGCGCGTAGGAAACCCTCCAGATGCCTTTGCGGTTGAGCATCTACTTCTCAGGGCTTGGAATGCTTTGGCTGGCTCATTCTAGAGGTGTATAGGCTTTGCCACTTCCCTGGGGGGACCTTGTCTGCACGAGCTTCGCACCTAGACCAGCGTTGTCCTTCGCTTGCCGTTGCATTGGTCACAATATTTTCTAATGCATCAATGCCTCCAAGTATGGCATCAAGAACCTCCCTTGTTTGTTGGAACATATAATCGTGGCAATCTTAGTAATATTCTTTGATGCCACTGCACGGGATGCACCCTGCCTAGCTTGTAGTAACCGGCTTAGCTCTAGTGAACAAACACTGCAGTTGTGACTTAAGCCGCTTTTCTATGTGCTCGCCCATTGAGTTGAAAGGTCTTTAATGTCTAGAAAAAATGGTGCAAATGCATACCTTAAGAAAGGCAGTGTTTTTTTGTTGACTCAAAAGAATCGTGGGGATGGATGCTATTTCAGTTGTTAAAATTGTCAACTTTTCCCTTAGACTTTAGTCTCAGAAAGAAATTGGGCCTCGCTACGGGCAGGGCTCAGGAATTAACACAGACATGAACTCTATTGTTTTGTTAGTTGCTTGTGGCCGAAGCGGCACTGCGGCTCTGTGGTTCAATGCGGAAGCTGTTACTCCGGAGGCCTAAGTTAGTATGCACACACCACTGCACACGAAGACTAGCTTCGGTGAAGGAATAGTCTTTGGGTATTGATATTACATGCATATGACTGCTTTGTTGAACCGTTGAAATGGTTCTAGTAACGAAGATTCTTGTTATCGGTGCTGGCGTCTGACCCACAGCCACGCCAGTGAGGTTGAAAGCATGGAAACTGAGATCGCTCCCAAGAAAACCTTTATTGATCGCTCTCCTGATTTTTAAAACACGGAAGAGTTAAGTCTTGGTTGAAGCACACCTTGCAAGGGGTTCAGAACGACGGAGCAAAGTGAAAATCGACTCTCTGCAGTGCATTAAGCATTGCATCCATGGCTTTTCCTGCAATTTATGCAGTTCGCCGTGCTGCAATGTCGTTTCCTGCAGTTTACTACTGCAGCGGCGTGCCCTTCGAGGCTCTGAGATACTAGGTTTCAGCACCAAGGTACATGAAACGAATAAGCGAGAGGATAATCATTAATACAGCGCATGACATAATCTGCTGTTTGAAGTCGATTGTTTTGTGGCTTGTTAAAATTAATGTTGAGATGTTAAAAATTGCATGCATTTGTGAAATAAGGCCACAATATTCCTCTCCCATAGGTGATCCACGACATTTGGCTATGCTAGAGCCTGCATGCTTTTGGTTTTACTGTAAGTGGCATCCTGCAAGCGTCACGGGGTTGTATAGGTTCAAGATTGATCTCAGGATTGCCCTAATTGTTCACTTTTCTAAAAAAGGGGTGAAAATCATTCTGTTGTTGAAGCATACCTCGCAAACAACTTGAAATAGCTTGAGCCGAGTGAAGATTGAAAGGTATCGGAGACCCTAGAAACTCTTCGGCTGTAGCTTTACAGTGTATAACTGGCATGCTGTGGGGCAGTATTTGACTGCCTCTTCTACATACTATGAGGACATTGAAGTAGCGGTTCGGAGGCCAGGGGTACTAGCCAGATTCCAGAATGGTTTGACATGGGTTCCAGAAAGGGTGCCCTGCAAGCCTAGGGCTAGGGACACGGCACCGAGCGACCAGTATTACTGTGTATCATTCGTTTCAAGCACTAAAGCCAAAGATCGGTGAAGAAACACGCAAAGAATGAGGGACTGAGACTATGGGAACGAGCATTGTTGGTCTCAATTCCTTCGGTAGTTGTATCCATGACTCCCTGGGCCCGCTTCCCCCCCTGCGCAATTTTGTGATGGAGTTTTGAGCTTAGCACAGGCCTCCGGCTACAGCTACTTCGAAGAAGAATTGCCACCGAAGGTTAGCGTCTGTCAGGAATCTCTGTTTCGTGCTACCACCAGTGGAGCAAAGATAATTATCTGAGCCTTCACAATCCATTGGATAGTTCCTCAAAGCAGATGAGCTAGCAGGAGCCGAGCTCTGAAGCCTACTGAGGGTGCATTCCACGCTTTGATAAGAGCATTTAATGATCGTTAGGGTCCTAAACTCTGTCTGATGGCGATTATTTCGTTGGATGCTCACACTATGGTCTAACTTGCAGGCGTGCTGTAGCAGGACCCCTGAGTGTGGAAGCACGGAAACAGAAGATAGTTTCAAGGACGCCGTTATTACGCATTTGCGCTGATATCAAAAATAGGGAAAAGGATCGGACTTTCGTAGAAATAGTTTGGATGGGTTTTAGGATGCTTGAATAAAGTGTTTGTTGGGCTTGGGATCTTTACACGCGCGCTTCGATTTCCCTCACCACCCCATGCGTTGAAGAGGCTCGATCCACCACTGACTTACATCAGTTTGTGATACGCTCGCGCCTCCTTTTACTTTAGGGTCCCAGGTTTGTGGATGAAAGCAGCAAGAGAGCAAGAGAGCCACCCGATGTAGAACCGCGGCACCTCTTTGAGGGTTGAGTAAAGGCTTGTAGGGCGTTTTCGCTGATCCACATGTTCCATTTTCCTGCCTACCTGTAACTCGTAGCCAAAGTTTGTGCAGTCAATTTTCGATCGTGTAAATCGACACGAAATCGGAGTCTATCTCATCAAGCTGAGGAAGAGGGGTTTTAAGGCTGTGGGCAGCCCTTTCGAGCTTTTCCCGGTGTAGAATTAAATGCTTTCGTCTTGCCGTAGTTGCCAGCTGTACACTCCACAGTATTACAGAGTTGCACCGGTCATGAACACGAGTCCCCTAGTTAACTTCTCAGGTAGGGCTATATGCTGTACGGCCAAGTTCAAGTGGTGGGTGGCCTTCGGCGAAGTAGCAGCACCCTAGCTTCTGGGTGCAGGTATTGAGAAGTCATCAGTTGGAATCATTGCCTCTTACAGTTGCCCACGAATAGAGAAGATTAACCACTGGAGATTCAAGATGTCCATCTTCACTTCCAGTCTGAGAGTCCAGTAGTTTAGTAATGAACTGCAAACTGCTCTCGCTCTCTGTGTAGTGTCTTGGAGCTGCGATAGCAGGTGAGAACATCACTAAAATAGCAACTGAATTATTTTCCAGATTAACGAGAGGAATATCTCAAGGTACAGTCGCGTAAGCGACCGTAGACTACGGACACGTACCCTTCGGATCAAAGGCTAACATTGCATTGGCAAAGTCGGAGGTAAAAAGTCGGCGTAAGCAATCCCAGCTCCAGCGGCTGTCTCCTTCAGATAAAGCATCTTTCAAAGTTTTAGCATCGTGCCCGAGCAGCAGAGCGCATGCAGCAGCTGCTGAGACCAAGCTGGAGGATTCTGCAATGTAATGCCGTCCTGAGAGAGCAGGTACATCATGCTACAATTCCTGTGCCTTATGGGCGGCCAAGCATCGAAGATATGAATTAAGATAATCGATGTGCCTTTTGTTGCTGTGTGCAGTAATAGTTTGGCGAGGCCTAGCACTAGAAAAGTCTGGCCCACTAAGCAATAACCTCAATTTCAACGGAGCAAGAACCTCCTGTTTGAAACAATCAAGAGCAGCGAGTGCTGATGCGGCCTCCAATACATATTCCTTAGAGATAGGATGAATATCAGGAGATTCGTCATCATGTTTCTCTTCTCCTTCAGACTCCTCCAGTCCCATTGGCAGGAAATTGTTTTGGTCCATCGCACTCGCATCTTTGTCCATGTCGTTCTGCTGCAGCTCCATGCTACACGCCCCTGCCTTGTTGTCCTTAGCCACTTCAAGCACTTCTTTTAGTCTGTTGAGACCTCTTGTTTCGTTGGCATTTTCTTCCTCCAGCTTTTGGAGCTCCTCAGCTTGGCGTTCTTCCTGCAACGCCTGTAGCTTTTCTGAATAGTTCTGGTGTAATTTAGTCAGTTCTAGATTAAAATCCTGATAATCAATGCTGTCGATTTTTTCAGTTGCCTGCGAAACGAAAGATTTGGCAATAGCAGTACACCTGCGTGGTACCGGCATCGGTATCTGACCAGCGACTTTCGTGCAGGACTCGAATCTACTATCAATGCGGCTGCATCATCCAGAGCAAGCCTTTATCGTTCCCAACACGGAAAAACTAGAAATAAGGTATGTATGAGCCTCTGGCTCGTAGCTGATTGATTGAGAGAATAGCAGCAGGATTTTCTCTGTCTAGTGTTCAGTCATACTTGTCGCTCTAATGCCTCTCTTTGAGTCCGTATAATGGCCTTTGCTAGCTCTTCAGCGTATGTTTCAACGCAACAGACAGATCGGTGCCCAAATACTCCCTGATCTCCTAGGGAATCAGCACACAAGATATATTTAGCGGTGGTGGTGTGCAGTTCCACCGGCGGCAAAGGTTCAGGCGCCTCTGTCATGGCACCCGCTTCTTCCTCAGCGTCAGTAGGTGCTCTTTCTTCTAATAGATCAGAATAATCGCTGTCGGATCCTCCTGTATAACAGATGCATTGGTCTTTCCTGAGATGCACAGGTGATGGTTCCTGATTGAACGGTCTCCGGCAAATGTACGGAGAGGGTAAAGTTATTTGTGGCCAAATTATAGCAGTACTGTACTCATAAGGCAGCTTCGTAGGTGGCCAGGCTTGGTTGAGCGTGTTGTACCAAAGGTCCTAAAAGCAAGAGAATGGTTGATGAAGTACCATTTAGGCTCTGGCTCACTGCACTTTACCGTGGTTCCTTCTGTTTGCATCCGAAGGGCTCTAACGATCATCTGCTCTCGCGCTCTCCTCTGTTTCATCCATTCGCAAAGTGCCATGAGCGATTCAGCATTTGCTACCTCGCTCAATTCCACCAAGACGGCTATGTATGCTCCCGGCCGTGTCAGTCCAAAGTATCGAATCCGAGGGTTGTCCAGCACCTCCTCGACGAACAGGACCTTTTTCCGGATGTCCGGAGATCCTTGGTTATCGGCAATACAATCGCCCTTAGCTAGTCCATCAGGCAAAAAACGTTTTACGTCCCGCTCTTCCAAATCATCCTCGCTGTCTTCTTTGGGGGACTTGGCTCCCTCTTCTATGCCCTTTTCGAGCTCGCCTTGTGAAAGAAGCTCCCAGGTGGCTCCCTCTTCCTGAGTGACATATTAAGATAATTTGCAAAGCCAAGGACAGGCTTTTGCACACGCTTTGCAAATCGCATGTCATAATATTCCTAACGAAAGGCCAGGTTGATGATGGCTAGTCTAGTTTGACGTTATACTCACACCTAACGTCCTGTACACTGTGGGGGGGCCCCACGAGGACGACTACCTCAAATGGTAGAGCGCGAATGCGCGAACAAGGAAACGCGAACACCAGTTCCTTAATATGGCATGTGCCAGCAAGAACACTCAGATCAGGATGATTATTATGAGAATATACCTCAGGGAGACAGTGATTGAGCATAAAAGTATGCGTCCTGTCTGCGGCGACGTATCGTAATGCTGGCACAGTGACTCCTTCCTTAAAGGCCACCTGTTCCTCGTACTTCGCTAAGTAAACCCCGGTGGCACCAATCGTTTCTCTTAAATGGTCTAGAATGTCAGTAACGGTCTTTTCATCCACCCATTCCGTAGCTCGGATGGCCTCAAAGGCTACGTTGTCTGAGGCTGTGAGGCCGCGTGTGTCGACATTCGTGCAAGCACTTGTTGCCACTGGCGTCACCACTGTCAGTGCGCCATCCAAGGGAGCTTTATATGACGCCTGAAGAAAGGAGTATTTTTCTAAAGGGCTACACTGGTGCTCTACAGAATATTTTATGCTGATGCGCCACTCAGGGTCACCCCTCTTTCGACGCCAACTGGGGTGACGCGAAGGGCGTTTTCTTTGTGGTTTCACAGTGCGTTGCCCTGACCTGAACAATCCGAGAGGGGTGTGGTTTTACATGCTCTTCAACATAGCGCAGCAGCCATCGGGAAAGAAACAGAGGTGGATCTGAGACAAATGAAAACTGCGACCCAAAGTGCATGTGCGTTCCGGTACATAGTTGTTTGGGGTTGAGAGAGTGGTCCAATTCATTACGATAACATGTCACACAAGGTTTTTGCAGTAAGACTGTACTTCTTGCTCCCGCATACACCCAGCGTAGCAAGTTTCTCCGTTGTATGAAGTGCTTCTATGTGCATGATAGTGGCGTAGTCGCTAGTTAATCCATCAATGCTGGGCTGCCGTGTGCAGCTAGTCCTTACCATCAGGCTGGGATTTGATTGTAGCAGCTAGGCCCTCAATCAGCGCCTTGGCCACAGATTCCTGCAGGTATTCTGCTAATGCTTCAGGCGTGGCCTCTAGCCCTTCGTTACTCGAATTTGCTGCAAGTCCAATTGTGCTCATTATGGTGTGGATAATGCAGATATCATTCAAACTTTAGGGTAACAAGGGACGCTCTATATGATCCACTAGCTATAGCAATGGGTAGCAGAGGCCTGATTTTTCCGAATTGATGAGGAGCAAATGCAGCGAATGCCCTATCGATGGCCCTGGGGCTTGCTGAACTGAGGAGGATCCCTACATATCACAGCTTGTAGCCGTTCCGCTAAGTTTTAGACCTCGCATAATATAGCTGACCACTCTGCTTCGAGATGCTAGCAGTTGGTGTGGCTTCAGTATTGTCCTGATGAAATGAATCCTTTTAACCGGAAATCTCTCAGTAGGGGCCTGCCTAGGATATGTAAAACGGCTATGTTTTTGTCCGAAGTAGAATCCATAGCCCTATTTGAGTCGGTATGTCATTCAGAAGTACGGTTTGAAGATGACAATTCATCACACGGCGAAGTGGCACACAACGACAGGGGCTGCATACTCCTTGATCAAAACACTAGGTCCCAAAGTTTTCGCAAAGAGGTCTGCCCTTAAGGGACCACGCATCTTTGAAATTTTTTGTTTGTTTTGTGCAATGCAAGAGAAAAGGACGTTCAATTTAGTTGGGACTGTGTGCATGCCAGCTTGGCGGCGTGCTGTGGGAGCGGTCGTTTCCTACTTACCTACGTCGCAAATTTGATATGCTCATTGATACTGCACATCTACTAGCTTCGTTTAAAGCATTTATTCCTAAATTCAGATGCCTAAAAGCTTTTTTGGTTCAAAGGGGCTAGAGAATCATACAAATCATGACGTGGTATGTGGCACAAGCCTAACCCCCCGTTGAACCCCGTACGGCATGTACTACAAGACGGCACCTCCATTAGGGATGGCATCCGGCTCCTTTGAAAGTTTGAGCCACAAATAGCGTGAGTGCGATGCAGAGCTCACCAAAGAAAAAATAGCGACAGACGATGCATTGCTTCTGGACAGGTTCTGTATGCTAGAAGTACCTTGACTGCTGTGACAGCTGGATGCCCTCAGAGTTAACGCCGTATTTTATGGGCAGGATGGGTGGAAAGCAGAAAAATACAGTCGGTTTTAGGCATTGAAGACTTGAAAGCCGGCGATACTAAGCGGTTCAAGCTGATATTTTGTTCTGCGTGTGGTATCAAGGTGGATCCATGGGTGACAAACTTTCGGCAGCTCACGACTCCAGAGTATGGAACGAAGCGCTTGGTAGTACTTCACCCCCTGTGTGGACGGCTTTGGCGTTATGTGCGGCCATTGAAGTGTGACTATGGTTTACTACAATGCCCTAGTCTACCCTTGGCCTCAAGTGGATTTTATTCGTGTACATGTTTACCCTTACCCTGCGATGGCAACTGAAGAACGACGTTTCACAAGTCATTTCAGCATAAGAGTCTCTTTGGCTGCTGTGTTCACATAAAGAATCAGTTCAGCTACCATCCTACATTAAGGGAGGATTGAGCAGAGGCGGAAGATTTCTATTTAGTAAAGGGTGGTGTGTCAATGCCATTCTCCGTAGTAAACTGCAATCCAAGCAAAAAGGTTCCTAATGAGGCATCTGAGCCTCCCTTGGGACGCTGACATTGTCTCAACACTGAGATTAAAATGTGCTTGTGCTGGAAGTTCCAAGCTGCGGGCTACTGGCGTTAAGGCAAGACTAGGCATCACTGTCCCTTGATACGGGAATGAAAGATCTTCAAACAAGAGTGGATACTGAAAGTACGCATTCAAATTTGTTGTGCAGGAGGGAATGGAACCAGCAAGGTACACGCAAGATCACCCACATCAGCAAGCATCCCTAGAAGCAAGTCTCAGGGCCACAAGGACTTTGCAAAAGATTATTAAAGCAAGAAGCCAAATCGAAAAAAACGCTTATCTAAGGGCCACTGCTGGTTTATAATGCTTAATTTGTGTAAGAATTACCTGGTTTTCCCAGTTCGCCTATTTCACTGGCACATGCCCTCTGGACGATTCTTTTCCAAAAGCTTGGTAAAGCATCCCGCTTGGCTGTAATGTTTCGATTCCCACAAAATGGTCAGTCTTGTTCTGTCGTTCTGATTCGCCGACAAGCGCCAAGCAACTGTTTTGAGTCCTAGCGGAAATAGTCTAGGATACTCTGCTCGCTGAAAGCGCGAAGTGTACCCAATGCCTACTTGAACTATTCTGATACGTACACGAATGACTGAAGAACTCTACATTCAAGCATTGTAGTGTATCTGAAGACCTGGCTTTCTCTTTCCGCAGATGAGTTAGCTGTGCGGACACTGCATCTTTTTGAGACGTTGCGGCGAATGGTGTTCTGCGTCATAACGCACAGTACGTAAAATATTTGGCATCTCTCCAAGAACAAATTAATATTTTCTAATGGAAGAAGCTCAAGTGAGATTGAAAGTTCATCTGCAAGCTGTAAGAAGGGAACACGTACACCAAATCTAGGCAGGTTCTGGACCGGCCAGTTTACCTTTCCACCCCTACTAAAGTCTAAGCTGAACAGAATAGCAAGCTCGGTTACGACATTTACACAACCCTCTACATGCCATAGCCTTCGTCATCACTTGCTGGATTTTCATAGTTTCTTGCCTGCGCTACGCAGTACAGGAGTGAATAGTCAAGCTAAGTTGGGAAGGAGAGATGTGCATCACGTCTTCGCCAAACTTTTACCCAGCACAAATCGACCCTTTGTGTCTAACTATGAAGACGCGTAGTGGTTGGTGATTAGTGGAATGTTTACGGCAATACACCCTGAAACTGGGTACATTAGCTCCATCGCCTCTAATCACCTTGTTGCATGTTCCAAATGAGTATGAAAGCTTATTTATAAGGTGGTGTCACAGTGGCAGACTGCCTGAGTCTTGATAATGGTTCGCATTATCAAGACCCCACTCTAGGAGCATCTCAGGTTGAAAGTACTGCAATGAATATCAAAACCAGACATAGCGGCTAAGATCCAGCATATTTAGTTAGAGAGCTGGGCGCTTATGTGGAGAATGTCAATTATCAATGACTGCCATGCATATATGCTCCTTGTAGTAGCCTTACTGGCATCGGTGATGCTCTAGGGCAGCGCGTGGAGCCCTGAACGAACACTTTCACCACCAAATGGAGCGAATTATTGCGTTGCTGTAGTATCAGATCAAACATATAGGCTCCTAATAATTCAAATTTGGCTAAGTTGCTCACTTCATCTTTAATATAACAATAGAATAATTTGCTTACTGGAATGCGACTCTCAGCCCCGATTAGCAACGGCGGCTTTGTGCGCATGGTCTCAACTTTTCCAGCTTATTCTGTAGTGTTGTACCTCCCGTAGCCTTCACAGCTTTCTTCATTTTGTAACAGTAGTGCGGGATTCCATGGTCTTAAGCCTATGTTAACTATCTCATTACTTAGCCCGGGAGGACTGGTTTTTAGCAGACTTCAGGAGTGCTTTGCATGTGCAGTTCTAGCTCCTTCTTCATCGTAATCTGGGGTTTTGAAGCGTATCGCCGCTGGTGGGCTCGCTTTGAGCCTTGTTCCTCGATGTTCAGTACTCTGCCCCCAGTAGTGCCCTGAAGGCAGTGACGTGCACGTTTCTTTCGCCGCCGTCATTGCAAGCACAACTCGTCCGCCAGAGCCAGAGGGATTGGTGCATGTTATTCTGCAAGCCATTCATGTGTTCTGCTACCCAGAGCAGGCAGGGAAGAAGGCTTCACCGTTTTGGAAGATGGTGCCCCATGGATGTGTCTTGCATATAATCAGCAGACCAAGGAGTTATTTCAAAACATTGTGTGTAGTTAGATGGCCTGGAGTGCAAGTGGACGGGGGCGTAGGGGCTTCGGGTGGCGTTTGCCCGCACTGCCCCCCACAGACCGCAGCAATGGCTGTCCCAGAGGATGCGGCTTTTATGCTCTGCGCTCCACCGCAGATGAAACACGCTAGAACGAGGGCCTTCAAGCTGGCTCTTGTTGCTCTCACTGCTGTCTGGGCCAGCAAGTGCACAGAGAAGAAGCGGTACCAACAGGCAGAGCATACTACGAGAAGCCAATATATCAGTGGAGAGTATTCCAGTGCCCATGGTGCACTACTATGCACTAACGCCTCCAGAATCAGTCAAAATGTGCATCCCGACCGTATTGCTACTCTTTCAGCAATATTAGACAAGGCGGCCGACGCGCTAGTATGTTATACTTCCGCCGTAACTGTGCCAGCGTTCTGCAGGGAAGTGTCAAGGCAAGGCCTCCAGCAGGTGCTGCGTCACGAGCAGCTTGAGCTACAGAGGGCCTTCGAGGCAATACAGCCAGCCGTTGTAAGGGTGTATGCGATGACTTCACCCGAAGTTGATACTCCGGGAAGCGGGAGAGGTGATGCAACACAAGAGAATCAGGGCGCAGATGAGTGCGAGCATTTCCATTTTCTTGGTTCTGGCTTTTTCTTCGATGACCATGGTACGACATAAAGTTGTAAAAACCATATCCATTGGCGTAGAACGCCTTTGTAAGGCAGAGTTTAAGTAGACTTGCTTGTTTTATTGGTTATGGGCGCTTTCGTAGGCTATATCGTGACGGCTGCTCACGTACTCTTGGTAAGCTACATAACTTTTTCAAAAGTGCGCTAAACTGAGAATCTTCTGTTGCCCCCTCTGGCTGTTCATGTGCTAGAGGGGTTAAGGGCGCCTCTTCTTCATTGGCTGCTACCTTATGCCGTACGTTTTGCACCCAGAGACCCAAGAATGCAGAATCAGATGAGTCTGCCTGCATAGGCAACGGCATGGAGCATCATCGGATGTTCGGCGTAGACTCGGTGCCCTTCTCGCTTGCTGTCAAAGACTCTGAAGGCATGATGTACGAGGCGTGTCTCTGCGGCGTGGATGCGGGTGCGAAGCCACAGATCCACCCTGCCCTCCGTTGAAATTCTGGGTGATCGTCGAGTATAGGGATGCCAAGGGCATCATGATGCAACGATGCATATTGAAATTTCTTTTTGAATTTCGACTGTATGTATGTGTCTCAGCGACGGATGTTGCGGTGCTTCATTTGCCGGGATCGAAACCGAAAAAGATATTCTCTTTGCAAGGAAGTAGGTTTTTCTGATTGGGATAGCTTTCACCGTCGCTGGGCTTTTCTCCTACATGTGTTGAGCCATGCGTAGGTATATAGTTACTCGCAAAGCCACTGTTCTCTGCGTAGCTTCTTAAGGGCCGTTTTCGTTTATCGTGAGATGTATGACCTTTCAAGCAAGAATCCTTGCGTCAACAGGATTATATATCCACTGTTCGGCGGTACCTTCTGGTACTCCCTCAGGAAAAGTGCCCGTTTCCATTTTTGACCATGCTGGACCACTCGTGTCCTTCGTAATTGTGGCATCACTAGCTGAATAGTATGCGCCTTCCTGATTAGTCGTTTTGCTTTTCATCTGCATAGAGTTTAAGGAAAGTCGTCCGGTCATGGGGGAGGCAGTTGTGACCTATGCCGCATTAGAGGTACGAGAGTCACGCCGGTCGTATCCTCTGGCTACGCTTCCCTTGTTTTTGTCTGTGGACGACGCGTATTCACCCATTTACCCGCGGGGGCAAGATGAAACGTAGAAAGAAGCTGATGCGCTTGATATTTTCAATTTCAGCATGCAGAAGAGCCGATAGGGGTGGCAGGCCGGATGCTACAGCCTCGCCAAACTTTTGACCCTGTAGGCGACACTGGAGGTTTGAGCTTTCTACAGTTGCAGCTATTGACACTACCCGGTAGGGCCTAAGCACATGGTTGGCAGAGCGTAAAGTGGTGTGCTCTCGTTTTTGCGGTCAACCGAAGTGCGGTTTGCTCCCCACTATATTCAGGCATGTCGGGAGCCCCTGTCTGCAACATGGAGGGGTTTGTAGTAGGTATGCTTGTTAAGAAGTTCGACTTGTGCGGGTAAGCTGAATGCGTGTGTCATGCATTTCGTGCGCGTAAGTTGCTGGCTGTATCACGCCAACACTTGTTCAACCTCTGAACACCCAATCTGTTGTGCTTTTTTTAAATGCGTTAGGGTGGCAGTGCCGGCATCCATTGTCTTGCGGGTCGCAGAGGTCCTGCGAGACTCAGGCAAATTTGTACCTTCTTCTATAGGTGAGGCATGAGTGGGGAGCTGTGAGTCAACATCATTCTTAGATGCTGCTTTCGCATGTTCTATTGTTTCCCGTACCACTATCTTTGTGGGCAATGGGTGGCATCCAGGCTTGTTGGTAGAGGGAGAAGGACTACGCTTGGAATCCAAAAGCGGACAAATACCCACAAGTAAGACGTTAGTATATACTGTTGTGAAGCTCTTTGAGATCGCGATTTTACCGCTGCCAAGTTCTCTAGATAGGAGTTTATGTAAATAAGTGCCCCGAGCGGTTCACAGTGTACGTGCTTTCGCGCTTGCGGGCATCATCATATATACAAGCCTTTGTAATGGCTGAAGCCTTGCGTACCTCATATTGTGCAGATCCAGTCGATAATTTGCGTATGCTCACGACATAAAGGCTTCCCCTTTAAGCATCCTACGGGATATGCACGCAGGGCCCTGGCCGAGGGTGTGCGGGATTTTGCCAGGAGGCGCTGCTGCTAAGGCTGGTATTTTAGAAGGAGATCGCATCATCAGCGTAAAGGGGGAGACTACTGATTCAGTCGGACGAGTGAGTACCTTTTTGAGCTTTTGCAGACACTTTGGCTGGATGGCCTTGGCATCTGGAACAACCCCACAGAAGGCTGGACTTCAGGAAGAGGGGTGCATGTTCTGGTGATGTGCTTGCAGCTGCGGGAGATCCTCTTACTTCACAGAGGTGGCCCCCTGGATATCTCCGTACGGCGAGGCAAGGATATATTGAATTTTAGTCTTGATTTGAAGGAATAGGGACTGGACACTGCATTCAAAGGCATGTAAGTCGTGCCATTTGTGGCACAAACTACTGGGATCCAATTGTCGGTTTGACCTTACACGGCTCCCCGTAGTTTTTAAGGTATCCGCCGTCGGACACTGAATTCACGGCTTCATAACTAGCATGATGGGGAAATGTGGAGGCAGATTCAAACGAAGTGTTTCCAGTGTACACCGTATACAATACGGAAAGTCAACCTGCAAGACAGTGCCACCGCAGTACATTTGCACTGCGCGTCGTGCTGTCTAGCAAGGACATCTGGCTGGAAAGAGTGAGTAGGTCTCACATAGCTGCTTCAAAGAAGGTGTCCTGCCTTCATTGAAGAATACGCAGTGGTTATTGGTCTGATTCGACAAAGTAAAAATTGTTTGGGCTTTGCTTTCGGCCGCGAGGTCCCCATGAACCTGTAGATGCCCAGGGATTTGGATGACCCGAGGAGAAACAGCTACCAAGGTGCACAGCCGTGCCAATCATAATTGCACACGCAAAATATTATGTGAACTAGTTTCTAATGTCGTATTTGTCTGCCTTTTCGGCAAACTGTAATCAATAACTGCGCGAGTCACCCCCTGTGACCGGCCAAGCGGCCACGCAACACACAAATGCTTTATATTGCAGTCGCCACTATTGGTGAACAGCGAGTGACCTGCTATCGTTATCAAACCTTACTAAGTCAGTATCCTGCTCGTAAAAGTGGCACAATAGAACATTGAACAACAAAGCTGGAAAAGACTACTCCTTAATGGTACTGGTTCTAGACGTCTATCTCGTGAAAGATACGTGCTTAGTTACAGTGAACACTGAAGCAATTCCCCGATCACATTGGTCACACGAGCGGGGCACTGGTTTAGAAAATGACTTGGCTGCCTGCTTAGCAAGGCTACAACAATGCCAGACAGTAGAAGGTGTCCCAGCATGCGAGGTCAGCGGCGAGGCGTTGCCTATTCCACACACCCTACATGTCTTGCAGCTCTCGCCGCCCAGTTGTTTGGAGCAAGCGGAACAGAAGAGACTCCGCCTGGGTGTATTCAGGGGTTTTAGCCCACAGTGGCACGAACAAAACAGTCTTCCCCAGTTTCGCTTCATGATGAGCAGGCCAGGACAAACTTGTGTTGCCCTCGCATATGGCCATGATACAGCACAGCGAAACGGCACGTGCTGGGATCCATGCTGGCCGATGAGGTTGAGAAAAGGTGCGCAGATGCTCTCGCTGCAACAGAGGTTGCTTTTGCCCCAGGAAACACGCTTTTACTCATATCAGAAATGTGTTTTTGGCCAGCTCCAACGAGAGGCGACATATGGAAGCGAGTGTCAAAGATAAGGGGGACAAAAAGATTCGCAGGTGCTACAGGTATTGGAAGTGGACCGCCTTTCGAACTAAGTTCACAGAACCTGGAGTATCGAGCAGGAACAACGGATCACAGAAATGGAGAGCTGGTTGGCTCTTTACATGACATTTCCTGGTTCACCTATTTAGCATGTGGCGCGAATTCTCTGGATGAGCCGTTGCAGATTGAAAGCCTGCAACTACTTGAGTTTGCGAAGGTATATATACACCAGTTGAAAAGGAAAAGATCGTACAGCTAGTGGACGCCAAACTCTAGGGTCCTTTAGCCTATACACAACCAGATGCACTCACCACAGCACCGCATCATTATTCATCACTTGCACCACATCAGCTCCCCTTCACTGTCGCTAGAAAGGGTGTTCGAGTTTGTGGGGAGAGAGGCAAGTTTGCCCGAATATACATTTCCAATGTTGTGGTGCAGAGCACAGCCGGTGCACCAGCTCGTTTTAGTGTCCACAAGATGCCGTAAACAGAGTCGTCATCAAAAGTTCCTTGTAAAGGTTTTCCTTTGTAAGGGTGCATCAGGCAATTTGTATGCAAAACTACGCGCTTGTCTGATGCCTGTTCTAAGGTAGTCTTCGTTGCAGAATATGTTGCTGGAACTGCCTGGCATCGCGGGTTCTAATGTATCGGATATTATTTTTCTGGGCACAGGGCTACGGCCTTTCCAATAGTCCTATTTCTTGCTTTGGACGGCCGAGCCAGAGAGCATTGAGCACAGTTAGTAGCATAGCAGAGCGGCAGGAAGTTTGGCGTCGCACGCAGGTGTACAAGAAGGAACGTGCCACTCGCTAGCTCATTCACCATTGGCGTCGTTGAAAAGGCGTCTGGCCTAATTCAACATGCAAGCAGTCTGTTTTGGCGTTAAGCAAATGCGGTCTGTACCACGTAGAATCCTACGCTATACCCATTGAGCCAAACTGCCAGCTTAGCCTCTGAAAGCGGTCAGAGAGGGCACAGTAGTGCCTTCGACGGAAAAGGAGCCTCCGCATGGATTTGTCGCTTTACGCACACACAGTTCTGCAGCCCCATCGTATACAGTTCGGGAAAATGAGGCGTTGTTGGGGTGTTTACATTCGCTTGCACTTGCAGCTGCAGACAACATTTGCAGTGTATCCTAGTATAAATTGGTTCCCCTAATATGTGGGGGCTCCGATATTATGTGATATTTAAGAGCTTGCCACCTCGCATTCTTTATATGATGCTGGTTGGGTGTAAATGGCCGCGCGTCTTCGATCCGTTTGGCGTCAACGAATTGGGAGGGCTGGAAGAGGCGCCGAGGTTTTCCGTGCACATTTTACGGTGGGAACACGTAGCAGCAAAGTAAGTTACACACGCGCACACACACACACCACACCACGCCACACATACACAAACCGGCACTTTCTTCATTATGGCCTGCACTCGAAGCCCACGGCACACACAAACAAAAATTTCGAATACACCTCTGGCGAACATTGCTTGTAAGACAGAAGCGGGTGCGATCAATGACGCTGCAAGGATCGCCCTAACATTCGAGAAGCGTGAAATGCTCCTATATTATAAGCACAGAGTACAGCACATACCAGCCTTAGCGTGATATCGCTGGAGATCATATACAGTTGGGTACTGCACTGAGAAGTATTTCGGTAGAATACAAAGAAGCAATGAAGCTGCGGAACAAGCCTTGAGAAAGCGTGTACATTTCTTGAGGGCTGTTTATCTACGATTCGACAAACGTATTGGATTCATCATCATGAAAGAGACCATCCATCACATAATAATAGACTCGAATCTTGGACACGAGAAGGTAGCTCTACGGTATACTTCTCGTCGGGCAAAAAAGCCTGACTACATGCTTAACGCATAGGAACCTTGATCAGTGCTTTGATTTATTTGGAATACAGGACCAGTGGGCCTGAATGGACAGAGCTTTTATCGACTTGCTTTGTTTGCCCTAAGGGGGCTTTCGACATTGGGGGAAAAGCGCATCACCCCTCACCGCCCAGTCAAGCTCCTGAGTATGCGTTCAATACTCTTACTCGAGTCCCTGCAAGCGGTGGAGCATCAATGTACAATTTGGCGAGCCAGTAAGATATCTACTAAGCCCTTAGTGCCACCCCACACAGACGCTCCTAGCAAGCAGTTCACGTAACATAGCACAGGAGCTACTCCCTTGATGCTCGACGAAGCGTTAAATATCTGCAATGGTGATAGCGTTACCGCAGCGGAAAACAACTTGGTGCATCCTTTACAGTGTGGCCCTCGCAATCAGTTTGGCAAAGGACGCTGAGGGTAGAAGCCCCCAAACAAACCCGCAAATCATGTGCAGCCTCAGTTCCCGGAAGTGATTGGATGCACATGCTTACTAGTAACTCTAATCGAACCAGAATCTGTTCCCGGCTAGGCTTTTTCGCCTCAGAGCATAAAGCTGTCCGCAACTTTTGTTTAATAGAGCCATCATGTGATCATTGAACCCTTTTCTCCCTAACTGACAGAGCAACGCTGCACTCAGAAATTAACAGTACATATACGGATAAGAAAAACGTCACACAGCCCTGCTAGTTCAATTGTCGTTAGACTCGTCGTCTTCTAGAACCTCATAAACTTGGCTGCGCTTAATGCCCATCTTCAAAAGGATTTGACAAAGCTCTCTTTGAACATTAGGAGGAATCCTTCCCTGCGGATTAGTGGATATTGGGTGGCTTTGCCGGTTTTCCCTTCCAATCGCCTGGTCAGTCATTTGATCCCACATTATTTCCAGTTTGTCCGTCGGGTTGAACAGCAGTCTCCTACTTACCCCTTCGAACCTCTCTGGGTCCCGCTTTTCTTGAATCCGTCTGTTGATTGTGGCGCGTGCTAGCTCTTTCAAGTGTCCAGCAACCTCTTCATCAGTTGGAAGCTCATTCAGTACAAACCATCCCAATGCGTGCATTATACACCCTATCATTTGGATCACAAGCAGCCAAGCAAAGAAGGCAAACGCCTTTGCAGCATATTGTGTTTTTAGTGCTCGGACTGCAAGGATCCTAGCTGAGTCGTCCACAAAGGCATGGGTACTTCTGCTTGCTTGCAGTACTCCTATCAGGTGGCCTACGTTAGCCATGTCCACCATATCCACTCCGGCCATAGTGGCCGCACCAAAAAGTGCAACCCATCTAAACATTTGGTGCTCTGTTGCAAAAAATGCGAATCCAGCGACAAGGGTACCGCCAGATGCCTTTAGCACATTCGCGGCTTGGCGACTCGCGATAATGTTAGAAAACGTAGCCGATGCATGGCCTGATGCAGTAGGCGCAACAGAGAGGACTACAACCGCCGCTACTGTGAGGAAAGTCTGCACCACTAGCAACACCCGCAGGCAGCTCTGCAGTCTATGCAGCATCGTTAGCTCACAGTAACACTTTAGGTACAGAACAAGCACAAGAATACAAAACAACATCACAGAAAGACTCATGCATGCTCCCATAGTCATCGGCACTGCCGCTGAAAGGGGGTAGCGAACCACGCTGAAAGACATTTGGTTCAGATAAATGCAGGGCTACGGACGGTAGTGACGAAGAGCAAAAACCTAGGCACATCTTGTGACGCTGAGGCGCCTTCCCACCACAATAATCATCTCGATTTTGTCTAGACTAGCGATTAGAAGAATTTTTGTCGCACTATACGCCGTAAGAAGGGATCTGGAACCCAAGATTTGTGGGGTCACCTTGGACCCCTTTCATGCCATTGGTGCAGCTACGCCTCTAGGCGTGCGTAGGTTGAACTGTTTCATCGGTAATATTTCAGCACATACCAGGAAGGATATATCTCCAGGGAAATTCAAACCAAGGCTTGTGGGTATGGGCCGAAAAATAAGATATTCGCTATTCGGCGTCAGGTCGTGGATCTCTGTAAGCCATGCGACGATCATCCAGCTGGATCCTACGGCAGTTTCCCTAATTTGAACAGATATGATAACCGGCCACTTATATCTACTTGTGCTCAGCTCAGCAGTGGCTGCTGTCGGTAGCTTCAAATTCCACCCGTGTTCACTAGTTCTTTCCCGCTGATTCTTGGAAGCCAAACTCTCCCTTTTTGTCTGGGGCTTAAAGCCGTACACCAACACCCTTACGGAAGCAGTTGCTAATATATGACATGGCGGATTTGTTTGTTGTATTTAACTGAGGGAATCAGGCCATACAGCCGACCTAAATTTCAGCGAGAATGGTCAATGTGCAGAGAGCAGGCTGCCGTAAAATGAGGCTGTGCCCACTATGATCTTTTGTAGTCTACTATTTAACAAGATATCAAGCAGCGACAGAGGGTAGAAATGCAACTGTAGTGTGAATGATAGCTATATTAGCCCGTAACACTGGTATCATGGCTCTTAGTGTTTGGCGGTCAGAAATAGGACTCTACATAACTCATCAGTGTAGATTATTTTGACCATGCATTGCCAATAGCTGGCAGTGCTTACGCAGCCTCATATTTTGTGCTGCCAAGAGGTGCTTGGCATAAAAATGTAGCTATTGGTGAGTGCCCACTGAGCTGTCGCAGGCGCTGTCCATCAGGGCCAAAACAGACCCCCCAAGACATATAAATGCTGCACATGGCGGGAACTCGTGGTTGGAGGGTTTGAAAGAGACGAAGCTGACAGGGTCATTTGCATGTGATTTGGGCCGGCCCTGCTTCTATGCTTTCTGAGAAGCGTGGCCCTACTGCACGGCTTTGCATTTAAGAGCTAATACAGGAAGAATTGCTGCAATCGGATTGATCTTCGTTAGGCTATATGTGCTCTGTGTACTTCCCGGTATTACAAAATTTCTGCTACTAGTTATTGCTGCGTGTCTCACCTGGTTAGTTGCAGCTCGAAGTACTTGAGTACTAAGCTCTGATCTTTAGCGCTGTGCAAGTTAGAATAGCGGTCCGCCTGCTCCAATTAAAATTTTCTATTCATGGACTTATCAGAATGCCAAGTTTGATGAGTAAATGTGAATAGATTTTGCATTAGGACAACCAATGATTAGTAGGCTCATGCCTGCAAAGTTTAATGCTTTCTCAAAGGCCTGGGACGAGCGTGCCTTGCTCATTATTGGATTTGTAGTAGCTGGCTCAGTAGACCTAGGGAGTTGCTTTCGCTTTTCACCGAGTATGCCACTAGCCCTCGATTCGCAATTAGCGTTGCTGTAGGCGAGCTTGGCAAAGATGACCTTGTACTGAGTGTATGTTTCAGAAAGTTTTACGCTTGAAGCATGCAGAACACCGGCTATGAACTCAGGCTATCAAATGCTATTGTTGTTGTTTTTCGTGAAAGATGGCTAGCTAAATGTTAGTGCCTTTGCGTCACCATGACAATAAGCCAAAGCTTTCCAAGTACATCTTGGGTCACCCCTGCGTGTTAAGCAGCTGCAGTAGCCCCTTAAAAGAAGCTACGACTTCACTGCCCGAAGCAAGCTATTCTACGGGCATTATGTGCAGAAAATAAGGAGAACCACTGGTTTCTCTCATTGACTTGCGATAAACGCAGAGGGGCATTTATGCAGTAGGATTGGCATGGCTGCATCTGACTGTTGTGAGGAACGTAAAACCTGAAGCTGTACTTCAGCCTTTGCAAGCACCTGGCCATTGGGGGCCTTTGCCCTCTTGCAGGACTACCCTTTGGCAGCTTATCGACTAAGCCCTCGGAGGCCTTCGATAGGCATCTATTCTTGCCTTAGAGATACTTTTTACAATGTTAGTAATCACAGTAAGGAACGTTCCGGCACTGTGTAGGGAGGGCGTTTGTTAACAAAAAATAGTTCAGTCTAATAGTTCAACGAAAGATAGAGTCGGTATCCTAAGGCAACCAAGAGCGTACGTTGCTATGCCGCCTTTTTGTTGTGTACCTGACCGAATATGCCTCGTAACATGCAGATCAAGCTGTTTTCTACAATCGCACATCAGGACAGGTGTTGTGGCCCCAGGCGTGTTAAATCCTTGACATCTATAAGGGTTCAAATACAGTAGAAAGCTATATACGAGGAGACTGAAGTCTCATTCCTGCTACGTTTACAGAATTCGTCTAATGTGGATTCGCTTGTTATTTCTGCAGTAAGCGTATAGGTTTTTGACGTGAGTGCCCCTAACATTCAGCTGCCTTCGGTACAAGAGTCGCCTCATACTAGTTCGTGGATAAAGCCTCAAATAAATTACAGAGAACCGAGGGGGCATCGCTGCAATCCAGCACCTATCGTAAACTCCTTTTAGTATGGTTCCAAGTCTGAATCTGTTCGTTTATCTCAGGCCTTCCCCAGGCTTACGGCTTGCCGCCTGCAGGTAGTTGAATGCTTCAGTTCTGTTGGCTTGTTCTGTCCCCATTGGCATTTGTTGACATACTGCCCTCTGCCAGCAGCTCTCGCTCCGTGTAGATTTGTGAAGTCAAATGTTTATGCGTGGAACCCTAAGGTACTGATAAGTCGAAGGTGAATGGCAAGTACAGCCTTGACCTACCGAGATGAGCACTGCACTGTAGTCTAGCTGCTATTGCTGAAGCTGCCGCTGCAGCGTCCAAATATCCTATATATGGTTTGCCCAAACCCGACAGTACAGCTAATAAACTAGCTTATCAAGTTATATGGAGATCCTGAAGATGCGTGCTATTCAACGTTAAGCCGGAAAATATATGTCAAGACCACATAACAACTTGAGAATCATACTCATCTTCGTTCAGTTCCTCTTGCATCAAACTTTTGAAGAAATTCAAAAAGAATTTCTTCAAAAGTTATTCATGATAGCCGTTTGATCTTTATTTTGCAAGGTGGGTCGATTAATCCGTAGACAATGTGGCCAGCCTCGAAAAATATTGTTCCTGTGTCCTTTCTTCAAAGAAAATTCAAGCCTTCCCCACACCAAAAGGATTTATGGATCAGCGCACAACCAGGCAGCTTGCTGAGACTTCTTGAGCCAGAAAGTTTCTCGGGGTATTAAGACGTGCATCCTGCTGCGTTGGGAGCAAGGCAATGCTCCCAAGAACATCAGAAACTGCCACTCCCACCACCAATCACTAGGAGATACAGCTTCGAAAGGGGCACATGGCAGCACAAGAGCAATCAAGTACATAAAATACCTTTTGAAAGATTACAAACATGCACGAAACTGTGATACGTATCCAGCTAAGCTCCTTTTGGTTGGCCGCTGCTCTACAGTGTAAGAAGATGCAGCGGTTTGAATAAAAGCAAAACCTATTGACGAAGGAGTTCTTCCTAGTACAGTAGTCACACAAAGAGCAGAAGAGTACAGCTTAATACCCAAACCTTAGTTACTTTGCAACAAAAGCTATCCCCACTTCAACCTTCCGTGCACATTCAGGCTTGATGTCGGGTGAAGTGACATGACTTTTGTGAGCGAACATATTCCCTTTTCCTTTGCATAGAAACGTCCTGTAAAATCAAGGTCAAAATAATACATTTGCTTAAGCTCGTTGCACATTCTTGCCGCATTACGTTTACGTCGATAAACTAAGTCACGGTTTGGGACTCAGGTATTTGTAATGTTTTTCTAGACGCTTTGGTGTAGCTTCGTCTTTTCAATCTTAATGACCCTTACATTCGACCCCTGAGTCTTGCCCTCAGTCTAGTAAATAATGGAGTTATACGCATTAAGAAATGCCGCGGCTGCTTTGATGCAGTGAAAGGCGTGGCTTTAGTGCTACAGTACGTTGTTGTTAATGGAAGAAAACGGGTACAGGTGAACAGAGGACACACGAGTGCTTTTCACTACATCACCCATCTCTTGTCGGCATTCAATTCGGGTAAACCACGAGCCCACAACGAGCGCTTAAAAACTACTTTAGTTACGGAGCAGTGCAGGTAAAAATGCCCGTTACCTAGGGTCTCCACTACAGTCCGCAATAACATGCGAGCCCTGCAGTGATACAGCCTCTCTTTGTAACCCCGAGCCCAGCTGGCACATTGTGCGTTACCAAAAGAACCTACTTTACTCAAGAAATTACATGGAACGACATGATACAAAACTGCATACAGTCCGATGGAGCGCCAACTAGAGACGGTAGAACTCCCTCGAGGTTCGAGATAAAGACGTCTAGGCTATCCATTGTTTTGGTGCTCAGCCACATGGCGATTGCATAGAAACCCGTTCGCCAATTCCGGTTTGATTATTGAGTCTTAATATTTTCCGAGAGAGTAAGCAGGTGTGAGCGCTCCCCCACAATTCCCTACCCCACTATTATCGCGAGCTCGCTAGAAGGTGCTGTCGTTCCACACCTACCTTACGAGGGGAAGAGAGCTACTGGCTGATTCTGAATCGAGTTAGCGGGTAAGGCCACACTTGACCACTTTTTGCTAGTTAAATATCACTGCGAACAGTACAGAATCGATTAATTCGTTCGCCTGTTCGCAAATCTTGTTCGCAGAGTACTTTTAGTTCGATGCAGGACAACACAGTGCTATGTACGTGTTTCGGTATGTGCACTAGGTATAATGTGCAACCAGACGTGAATGCTCCCAGTGCACAGGTTGAACGCTTCTTCTGAGGCTTTCCAAAAGAGAAAGTTAACTGCAGACCAAATACAAACTTGATAGAATAAAATCGAATGTTTTCTCAAAAAGTGCTTTCTCCTGCCCGCGGCTGAGACTCCTGGAGATGAGAGTATAGGCACAGCTAGGGTGCACGTAGCCACACATTGTACGCATTCTGAGCATTCACAGCTAGTCATACATGGCAAACTAGCGCATGCATTGACAGCAATATGCCTCCTTACATCGAGCCAACAGTGCTTTGCATTATGTAAGAATTACTGAAAAAGTTCAATTAATGAGTTTTGCGCCAATTCTTCTTTGTATGTAACTTGTACAGAAGAAATTGTTTTACGTAGCCTAGCCCTCTGCAGGAGGATATGCAGCTACGCGTTCTCTAGCTTTCCCTCGCCTCACATGAAGGAAACTCTGATAAACGAGACCGTGGGGAGAAAGCAGCTCTGTGGGTGCACTTAGCTACTCTATAAACGACGTATTATATCTGGAGTCCAGTTTTTCCATGCTGAGACTCTATATATATTATCACAGTCGGAGATAGCAAGACATGAAAACCGATATTAAATCACTTAGGTAGGCAGTTATAGAAGCTCTGGATGCTTTTTGTGCAACCCGGACGCTCGTGTCGTTTAGATTTGATCGCTCGGATGCAGGGGGCTAGCTCGGTGTTCTGCAACGCAGTAAACCCCTGTTCAATTTTCAATTCGAAGCACATCATAAAGAACTTGCTCCCGTTGCTGCTCTGAGTGCTTTGGCACTTCACTGTTAAAGGTGATGTCTCATCAGCTTTCCACGCTGCACTGCCTCTGGCTCTGGGTGGCTCGTCCTGCTCAATGTATGCAGCCCTGAAATGAGTTGTTCCTGTTGTGCTCAGCAAAGTGACCCACTTATTTCTATACCTGCAGAAAGAACTTATCGACCTTGTCCATTTACTAAGCAATCTACCAGCTGATTTCTAGGAACTTATCAATATTGCTGTGTTGGTAGGGGCTATAGCGACTGGCAAGATAGTTTTTCTTAAAAAGGCGCTGTGGGTGAGCAGGGCCAGCGCAGCTGCTCCGCGTGCAATTCGCGGCTCTGAGCTATTACTCTCGCATTCTAGCTGTATTGCTGTAAATAATGGCTACTTAAGCAACAAAACGCGATGAAGCAGCACTCATATCCACCATGTATCGCGCCTTTAGCCATGGTGGAGAACGTAAGCCCCAAGTAGTGTATGAATAATGCGCACCTGCACCCAGAAATGACCGTTCTTTTTACATCGTTCACTGGATTTCTACAAAATTTGGGCTTTACCTATAGAATCCCGAATTTAACACAGCTTCAATGCTTGCACAATTGCTAGTATGCCTACTGCAATCGCTCTCTGGATTGTGTGTAGCTGGGGCGTTCAATGCATGGAAAACAGATTTCGGTAGAGCTTCTAACGCCGAAGAGCATTCCAATTAGCTTAAAACTGTTCCATTCCTTTCGTTCACCCACTCCATAGAGAAACTTGCCTCGAGGCGTAAGCGAATTTTCACGAAGTCAGGATATTATCGACTGCTTCCGATTCCGAGTTGTGTCAGCTTGCAGCATCCGCTTACCCGAAGTGTTCACTTGCCTCTCGGCAGACGCTGCAGTTCTGTACTATGCCTAGTGACGACTGAAGAGAATGCGGGAGCTCGAAGCATTATTTGCTTATTCTTCGCACCGCTATACTGTGTAGTCAGTAAAACTGAAGCTACAACTGTACCTACTCCTGATCTGACCCTCACTCGCTAAGAATACAAGCTCCGCCACATTCAAAAATGCCCAAACGGACCGGCTCTCCCCTAACCTGGGCGGGTTCCCGACTTGTCAACGTGAAAGACAAAGCAAGCTAAACTACACTGACACGTGGCAGAACTACTAAAACTATGGAATGGTCCTTCTCTCAGACCTTTGAAGCTCATTATATGAATCGAAAATTTAGTAAAATTTTGCGATTATTTAAAATCGGGGAGGCTTGGTCACGTCCCTTTGCATCGTGGAGAAACTTGAAGGGGCAAAATTGCAACTCTTGGAAGCAAAATGTAGTCATTACTTGAATGCACCAATGGCATCTTCTTATCGCTTGGTTCCCATTAGTATACTTTGTACTTCCCTAGTAACGCTGGCATTATTTCGTTGCGTGCTATCTCAGTGCACCAGGTTTGTTGCTTTCGGTCCTTCGGCGCCAGTGGAAGGGACAGACTCTAGTTTGACAAACGCGACTTCATTACAAGAGGCAGATGGTTGCAAGGGAGCAAAGGCGCCTATGAAGAAGGATGCAGCAAGTTTGCAGCAGCTCGATTCTTTCACACGAGCTGTGAATCAAAGCATCCAGGGCCTTTATGTGCGTATGGCCTCATGCAAGCTGGTCGCTGCCCATAAGAACAGTGTAGGACCACCGGGATAAGCTGGTTTGCTAAAGTCCAGAGCCCTACTGCTCTGCACAACTTCAGAGTACATAGAGGCCCTAAGGACTGACTTTCTGCTTTGGGAGGATGTATTGTTAGCAGGCTACGCAGTCCGACCCGATGACAAAGGTAGAACAGCTTCTATCAAGTCTGCGTAAGCGATTTGACGATGTCCACGCCGAAGTAAAGAGAAGAGGCGAGGAATTCGCCAGATATAAAGTAAAAACGCTACTATCAGGTGGAAATAAGCTTCGCTAAACATTCGCAAGTCGAACTTGCACAACACCTGCACTAGGACGCGGATCAGCATTCCCACAATCCCTGGCATCTGATGGTAATGCCGCTTTGCAGGAGGGAATCCGTCAGGCAGATTCTGCTGAGCACCAAATCACAAGCGATAGGGATCGCGTACGACAGGTCAGATGACAAGGTTTATGACTCCGACCCCAAAAATATGCAGCACAAAGAGTAGCACCTACACCAAAGAGGCGACTCTAATGTACAGCAGCCTAGAGTAGACTGCTTTGTGTTTGCAGCGTACCGAGGAATTGACGCAATCGCTTACGGCTCTCAGTAAAAGAGTTGCAGACGCTGCTCACACCAAGAAAACCTACCTACATGTGCTCCAAAGGACCAAGGTGATTCCGCAGTGACACTTCAGCACCCTGATACTAAGCCGGGAGTAGTTATATATCTATTTTCTGGTGCACACTGCTTCAGACTCCCTGAATTTCTTGTATTTTGCCGCTTTCAGCAAGAAAAGGACATGGTTCGTCAGAAGAACTTGCTGCTACAAAGCAAACTGAGAGCATTGGGTCTTGAATTGAAGGATGGGCATCGTGCACTGGAGTGCGTCTACAGAAACCATCCGATTTGTACTCTGAGAGTAGCATTGCCAGCATACAGTGCTGGGGTGATGTCAGGAGTCGGTGATTATGGATGCTCCGAAGCTCCTCTCTGCGATCCTCCACAGAAAACAGCGAACAAAAAAATGTAGAGCTACATGTGAACTCAACGAACTTGAGCAGGTTAGGCTTTAAGCATGTTTATCATTATTGGACCACGTGGCTATGGCTGCTACTGCTTTTCCCAAATTCCGGGACCCGAAAGTCTTGCACATTCTTCTCACCATTAGGGGCTAGCAAGAGAACGGCTTGTTCGCGAACAAGGCTTTAAAGGCATAAAAGAGGCAACTGTACTCAAAAAGGCTGCAGTCGAGAAGAGGTACGTAGTGGACTCGGATAGAGCTTGCCCTGTGTACTATTTGTTCACCCAGTTGCTTGCCTCGGGGAAAACGGAGAACGCTATATCAATCTATCCTTGTGCTCATTTTAAAGTAGCCGTATGCGGAAAGTTCCGCACTCAGACCCTTCTGCATTTCATTTTTTTCAGCCAAAGGCTTGCAGAATGGCAAAAGTCAGTAGTGGCCAACGCAGCTGCCGTGGCGCTCTCCGCGTCGTCAGGAAAGTGGCGAAGGATGCTGTGCATCGAGAAGCTTATTGCAAACTTCTTGCAGAAGTCAAACGTTAATAACGTAGAGAAGTGGCAATACACAGAAGACACGTTCCAGAAAATTCGTGAAGCAACCGTATGCTTTAGACCCTACAGGCGCCAGTGTTGCCCTAACCCAACAATCCCACTGCGCAGAATTCGAATATACTATTCATGAACTGGTCCTCTCTTCCAGATTCCGAAAACTGCCGTTAGTTACACTTGTGTTCCTACGGCAGCAGCATCGATTATTGGCTCAGGGTCTGGTTGATGTAATGGAAATCGTCAGCAAGTTTCTAAATCGCGACTCGGAAAATCAGAAGCTTAAGCAACTGGCAGTGGAGGCTGAAAGGAATCTTGAGGTGAGTGCAATCATGTTATTCGCGCCGAACAGCGCAAAGGCCACTACATTGTGTAGCCGTTTGCAAGCCGGACCATATATCACTTGGTTGTGCACCTTGAATTTTTGGTTTTGAATCAAAGCCTATGAGACCTGCTTTACGAAAGAGGCCTCATAGTATTGTACTCGATCAAAGAGTGGCTGGCTACGTTTTCAGGGATCAAGAAAGGAATACCACGAGATAGTCCGGCGGGCTGTGGAGGAGCTGGCACTGGGAAGCTGTTCCCACATAAGAAGTCTGTATGCAGTAAGCTGCTTACCAGCTAGACCTTTTCCTCGCATGTTCCAAGTCAAGATGGATACAAAACAAGCGCTGGGCAATGTCTGGAATGCATTAGGCCATATGCACCTAGCCCTTGTGTTCTAGGTTTCAAACCGTCTCAGGGGCCTCAGGGTGGACTGAATGTGCTCTGTTGGGGACGATATAGGCGCTGGATGCCCATGCTCAGTCGTGGAATAGAGGCCTGCATAGTTATGATGCACGGTGAGTTTGCGTAGAAGGATCTAGGCAGGAAATATCGGGGCCCACAGTGTCTTGCAGTTTTCAGTCAATGCAGTCACTATGCTGTACACCATGTATTTAAATTCGCTTTAGCGCGCATATACAGGTGCAGCTTGCCGGAACATTCCCTTGAGGGCGCGGAGGAGGCGAAGCGTTGCGCAGCCAGCATCAATGCAAAGCTCATGCAGCTTGGCCTCGAGGTAAGAGCCGGAGGTAGTTTGTCTTTTCTACCCGATGACCATTATTTTTATGCTAATGCAGCATCCTTTATACATGGGACATGTGATATGAAATTTAGGGCGCATATGACTTCAACGCTGACGCATCGCTTGAGTGCTACTGCCAACACCTCCAGGAGCAGAGCATTCCAGCCCTCTTCGCACTCCTTCCAGACACAAAAAAACAAAGTCAAAGCTAAGGACTTAGTATAAATAGTAAGCGATTCCCTTCGCCAACTGCAGGAAATGCGCCTGTCGCGAATTTCCTGGGGATTTCTGGGGATCTCAACACGTGAGTCCCCCTGGCGTTCCCCCCTCGCAAACCCCTCCAACCCCAGTGGCACGAGGGAAGCAGTTAGCATCAGAGCTGCCGCATTTCGGGCTTGGGTCAAAATGAAGGATCTAGACCATTTTGTGCTAGAGGAAATTGAACGCTGTGGCTGCTTGAGGCCAGACTCCAATGCCGCCTGCAGCCCGCGTTTCACCACACTAGCATTGGGATGCGGGTAAGACGGAAAGTGGAGCTAAAAAACACTGAGATCTCCCTGAGTGATCCGATTCTAGGTTGCACGACGTTCTCGCGGTGAGATGTGTAACCGTTTGAATACAAGTATAACGCCTTTTGGGGTAAAACCCCTGGCAAGGGTGCAATTCACTCTGCAATCAACATTTAAGACAAACAATACAAGAACCTAAATGAGCATAAGCCTAGGAAAATGACCAAGTATATTGATGCCACGTTTTCGCTCCAACATTTCAAGCCTTTACGCGGTGAGTCGGTATTTTGTTGTCGCAGCATCGCCATGAGCTAATAATAGGCATTCTCCGCTAAACCCAAGAGCAAACGAAAGTGCATATGGATATGGATTTAGTTGATAGCGTCTATATGAAAGAATTGTCAATGTAAAAGCCTCGATGTACGGCTGGTTTTCAGTTTCCCTGCATTTTGCGTGCCTGTAAGAATAGCGAAAAACACCCGCGCAAATCCTGGGGAAGATTTAATGCTGGCCTGATTGAAAGCTTCTACGCGCTCTAGCTTAGCATGCAAACGACGCTTGCCTTAGATTGACGGGGTGATCTAATATTAAAAAAATTCAATATGCCGAAGAATGCAGAGTGTGGCAAGGCAGCCGATCTCACGGAGCCTTGCACCAAAATTTAGGTGGATCCCGGTTATACCAACCAATGAAAGGTTCAACCTTGCATTTATTTGCTTTTGCTGAGAGGAAGGTCTAATAAGCCTTTAAAATCCAAGGATAGTCTATCGACAAGCTAGCAGAAGTCTAGGCTACATCGGAACCAGTAACCCTTTTGTGCTGCACAAATTGTAACCAGACACTAATGGACATATTAAAACTCGTATAGTCATCTGGGTTAGGCTGCATTTCATAGATTTACTATTTGCACTGGAGCAAAACTTCACCGCTGCTCCTCCCACTTGAACAATGTGTTACGTTACATGCTTTCAATCGGGAGAATAATGCTCCATAGACCAGCATCAAGCTTTGAGGCTTCCATCAGAAGTGTTATCTACCTGGATTGATTCGTCAAAAAATGCCGCCTTATTGATATCTCGGAATATTGGAAACGCGGTTTTATCGAGTTAGGAAGGAGTTTCATTTCATAGAGAAATATGTCATGGGTACTCAGTAGGTCCAAACAGATCGACATAAATTATTTGTTTAAGCAGATGCCAGAAGCGACGAAGCACTTGAATACATCACTGTATCCGCAGGATGCGGAAGAGGATCAGCTACCACGTGTAAGTGGGATACATTTGGGGCAGGGCAGGCAGAAGGAATTTACACGAAGGCACACAAACTACCATTTACTGCGACGCAGGAGCGCATGAGTACATTGCGAACTGACACAAGCAGAATTCAGTCTTACCCGATTAGCAATTTTTCGACATGTGAAACTTAGCTTCACTAAAGTTCAAGTGGGCGCCGACTGCAAGCGCACCGCAGAAGTCCCTTCGCACAAGACGCTTTCGTGCAAGGGATTCCAGTATGTCTTCTTTAGTATTATCTGTGGCCTCCCAGAAGTTGTATGACCGTTACAGGCCAAGGAAAGCAAACGATAGCGATGTGCTGGTGTGTTTAAACATAAAGGTTTCACCACACGTAAGCGATCTATCGGTTAGCCGCTGTCAATGCCTTGCATTTTAGATACTGTAATGCTCGCTTGATACTACAAGCGAATGGCATCACTGCGGCCGTCCTCAGCGGAAACAAACTTTAAATTCAATCGCTGATTCGGTCCTTCCACGACTTCATCTCAGAGCGTTGTCCTCACGATGCGCATTGTGAATGACTTTGCGCCATAAATGAGAACGCCTGCGCATTGCTCAAACTTGTAAAACCTATGGTATCCGTTGGGATTTGCCAATTTAAGCGATCACACCTCACTTTAATTGTTTTGTACGGAACGAAGAATTAGTTGTGAACCGAAGCAACAGGATGCTAAGGGGGTCATGCAATACGTTCCAATCGTAGGAAATCTTACAGCGTATGCACTTGTAATTACCTAATTTCGAATATCGAACCGATCCACCCCTTGATATGCTCAGCATAACTTATTTCCTGTGCATGGGGGTCTACTTTTGCCTCCGCAACAAAGCCCGTAACTTCCGAGGGTGTCAAGCGGCAGCTTAGCACTATATCTGCATATCGGCGCTCTGCTGCCAAAGCAGCACCTCCACCGGCTGATGTCGCGGATGTAGGCAGCGATATTCCGCCTGTCTCAGGTGCATGGACACCACCGCGACTCGTCCAGTAATGCATAACTCCAACGAACACATGAGCAGGCACTGATCCTGAAGCAAAGACCCACGAAGCGAACCGACACCATTGTGGTTAAGCACGCACTCCACGCATGCCCAATGACTGCGTGCACAGGGGAATGATGCGCACCTTTCCGGCGGTCATCAAGCACAGTGAAAAGATGTGCAAGGGTCTTTTCAACGCTTTCGCGATCTGGCGCATCACCCTAATTTATCCGCAATGGCAGAAAACACGTCTTTGATGCCGTCGTTGCCTGAAAGGGAGTCCAGGTAGCCGTCACATGGGTAATGCGTCGTGGCTCACAGGCTCACCTGCTCGCTATCGTCAACCTGCTCGGGCATCTGGATTTGGGGGATGGCACGCGATTTGCTGCGACGACGCGCTGCAAGGCTTGCTCTCTGCTTTTGCTTTGCAGCTGTGGCTGAGAGCCCGCGCAATTCTTCGAACTCTGCTTGCGCTTCGGCATCAGCGACTAGCTTGCTTATTTGGTTTGCTACATATCGCATCGCAGCCTAACACACTTCAGTGCACCAACTAAAGACGAGAAAGGGCAAAACAACCTGTAAAGCAGCTGAAGAGAAGATGGCTTATACTCATTCCTTTATTTCAAGCCTTGCTAATCAAATCGACCACAGTTGATCAGCAGCCAGAATTAACGCCCACCTGTTTCCATAAACAAATCGCTGTCAAAGAGGAGAGGCAAAACCCTTTGTACAACCTGTGAAAATACGAATTTTTTAAGTCCCGTGTGGCTCTACCAAAGGAAAACGACGCACTCTCTTGCTGATGCGTGTTTTGCCCTAGATGGTAAGTTAGTATACTGACGAAGGCATTCCGTTAATCTGGACAGTTTTAACCTTTTTTCCCCATAGCATTTAAATTTTTTACAGCAGCAGCAAAGGATATGGTATTGCAAGTGAGGCCCAGACCTCCACGAAATCGCTCCATTCCACTTGGCCTTGACGGTTCATTGAAGTCAACGAGAGAAGCACCTGCGGCAGTACCTAGCAGCCTCAGCCGTGCCATTTTCAGCACACGCTAATGTAAGGTTTTGCAGGGCGCATGTCGTGCTTTCAATAATACTGGTGGGTTCTAATGACCGTAGAGGCGGGGTAGGGGGGAAGGGTGCGAACGCGGTGTCGCTACTTCCTGGCTAACGATGACTGGATAGACGCGAACATGTATGTGCATCCTAGATAGGCATAAATCGCTTTTGTCGAGAAGATCTCGTAGCGTCCACACTGGTATGAGACCACCAGGCTCAGTGCCCATCTGCGACAAAACTCGATTATAGCATACACGCCTACGACTAAATGTGGCAGTGCACGCCAGCGCATGCTTATACACCTTACTCATTGCATTGTGAAATGCAAAGCCACATGCCCTTCGCAGTAGCACGGACTGAAGGAGAAAGATTTTTAAGCTTCTGAAGGCATCACAAAAGGCTTGCCTCGCGCTGGGCTGCCATTCCGATCGAAGCCTACAGAAGGCCGTCACCGTGCATAAAATGAAGAATCGAATGCCAGGAGCAAATGGCGGCTGGCTAGTAACCTATGAGAGACCAAAGTAGCTAAGTGTAGCCTTGGCCTTTAGAAAAAAGCCCATCGCGCAGGGGGGATACGGGACGCGGGAAATGTGTACTCTTTTGGGACACTGTAACTCACACGACTACGCAAACTCTCGTTAGCTCCTCCTTGATTGCCTCCTTGTCGACTTCGAGAACCGAGTTATTAACACTTTCTCGCCTAAATTTAATCAAACTGCAAGCTCCCTTCCTCTCTCAGCTTACTTTCGCCTCGAATAGCACTCAATTTTCCAGTGTGCATCAACGCACCTGAGAATGTGAAGCAGTGTGGGTAGAGCTGCGTATTCGACATCTCCTCGATCGTTTCCTGGAACCGTTTGCATGATAAATGCTTTATCTTGTCTAGAATACCTGAGTAAGACATTGATCGCAGGATTACGACATTGCTGCACTGTGACTGAACAGTTCAGGACTCGCAGTATACGTGTGGATACGTCGAAGTTCTTTTTCGTAAGAGACTTACCGGTCGCTACGTTCCATAGCTGCACATAGCACTTGGCGCTTCACCAAGCCTGTCCACACCACAGTCCATTAGAGTAGCCCTGGTCCTGTATCCCAAAGAGCCCGTTTGTATACATACTGAAAGCAGTTACAGTCTGGCCAGGAACAGAGGCAAGTGTTTTCAGCACCTGTTGAGGCCGCATGACTCCCCAAAGCTTCCAGCATCTCGCGTGTGACCCTGTTGTCGAAGCGAGCCACTCCACACATGATAGAAAACGCGATAATTCTGCGCCTGACTGTGAAATGACTGCTATCTATAATTGTAGATGCGATGCCCACCTGAATGTCTCCTCTATCTCTTCCTTATAAAGAAGCAGTACTGCATCTGTTGTCACTCTTTGAACTGTCTGCCTGCATAGGTTCGATAATTCTTTGTCCCCAGATATCGATAACAAGTAAGCATTTTTCATCGTGTGCAGCCTTTTCAGTCAAAAGTTTAATGCCCTCCTTGCTACCCAGCGAGTGTCTTCGGCCTTACCGTAGCTGGGCCTTCTCCCGCCTGTCCCTCAACAGGTCGAGCAGCTTTGGAATGTTCTGTGAAGCAAAGCAATTATGCAACCACTTCAGGCAATAGCTGTCCAGTTGCATGCCGACATCTATGTAGTTTTGGTTGACTTTCGTTCGTAGCGCAACTAAATTAAGCAGCTGTTCACCGTCAGATTGACTGCCAGGAATGCCGTGCAAGCCTAATTCCCTGCTGACCCTCATGAAGTGTGCGTAGTCAATCCATCCTTCTGGATCCTCATGCGCAGCGGCCAAGAGTTGCACGCCCTCCCACTTGGAGAGACCCAATGGGCACGCAAAGAGTAAGGCTGCCACCTCCCGATGTTGCAAGTGACCTGCAGAGTCCGGTAAGTCAGCTTAATAAATTAAACAGAATATTGAAATACTCGATTATTCCATCGAGGAAAAGTACAGCAAGGGCGTAGCATTATATCTCATGTGCATTTTGCCTCCTCCTTGCGTGCCTGTTTTGTCTTCGTCTGCGGCTTCAAACATTTTCTCAAGGAGCTCCTTGAGTAATACATCGGTTAGCTGGCGTTCGAAGCTCATTCGCGGTGTTAATGTCGCACGTGGATCAGAGGTGTCTTCATGCTGCATGCTACTTTCTTGACATTTCCACTTGGTTTCCTTCTGATTTTGCTCCCGCTCCTGCCTCAACAGAGCATCCTTCTGCTGGAGCAGCAGTTCGTCAACCTTCTGGAGCTGTGCCATCATGCGCGTCTGCTCGAAGCTGAAAGCACTTGCAAATTTTCCAGTTCGATATACCTCACACAGTATGGAGCTAAAACCGATAACTTTTGTGATCAGAAAGATGTCTGATATTGTCTCACGGTGTCTGCAGCTGCAGTGAACGCCTGAACTCTCTTTTGTTCTTGAGAATCCTACTCACAACCACTAGACACATTCCGTCACGACACTGTTCAGCGGTTTGCTGCGCTTGCAGATTCCATCCCAAACTGTATACGTCCTGATCAATGCTGGATCTTTACCTGTCTAGCCAGCATTCGAACTTGGAAGCCGGAAGTGTCCTGCTAGGAGTGTGAGTTAAATGCTGGCCCTCAAAGCGGAGGGTTAAATGATCTGTTTCGCCAGTCAGTTGCATTTCAAGCTGGCTACCTAGCGTCATCGAGCAAGGATTGTCTGGAAAGCCATGCGTAAGCACAGTATGTTTTGAATTTCTGTACGTTTGGTTTGTGGTTTTTGGTACAATAGATTTCCCTGCTTGTTGTACAAGCTCATTACGAGGAGTATCTCGTTGGCTCGTGCAATTACCCTGATGCTGCCATTTCATCTGCAATTTATTCATCCAACCGGATGATAAAATGAAGTGAACGGTAGCTTCGACATCTGCGATGGGTTTATCAGGCGTAAGTTTGCAGAAGGTCACGTCAAAGCTGTGTCACACAAACGAATTTACAACCAAACCACTTCGTAGCGAGTGTGTAGATTACATGCTATCAAATAAAGCAAAGTTGTATCTGATTCTCCTAAGGTGTGAAAACGATAATGGCAGCCCGCAGCCATTTATGGTGTCCAGATGGCCAGCGTGTAGTGCAATGCGACTGACGCTGCCTAGCATCAGCATTTGGCTTTTCAGTATAAAAATATTAGCGACGCGCTGATACTTGAGATGTATACTATTGATACCAGGAATCAAATCTACGCTTAATACATGAGCCATGCGTAGCTCATCTGGTTTCGAGCTGAAATAAGCGCTTTCGCTGTTCCAGGACAGCACAAAGGTCAAAGTCCCTGGGTCCTTACAGGTGTTCGCCTGTTTGCGGACTCAGGCCTAAATATTGGATTCGGTGGAAATAACTGAAACACATCAGACACCCAGAATAGTTTATATACTGTGCAGTACAGGTGCAGAAATCAAGCTAATTGACTAGTTGGGGGAACAGTAGCAGCAAGCAACAGCTTCCGATACTGTAATCTGGAAACACCGACTTCCTCGAAAAAAAAGCTGAAGGAGAGAGAATCACCCTTTAATTTAGTCAAGGGCTAGAGAGAGTGGGTTGTCCACTATTTAACATGACATTGTATTGGGCTGGCGATGTAGTATAGAAAAGTGACAATTCCGTGTTGGTTGCATTGACAACGTATAATCAGCCATGCTTGGCAGCAGTGTGATCTTGGAAGCTATTTTCCAGGATGATGAATACCGTAACATTTTCATGTAGGCTTTAATGGAAAGCATGTGACCACGCTCTCATCGGCCTGAAAGTAGATAAGAGGCTAGCAAATCCCGAAACTCACTTATGAGTCCACGTGGTCAGAAACGACCGGATATAATGAATGCCGCAGTTAGCGGGGCTGCAACGCAGACTGTCCATGGTCTTGAATTGAATAAACCTGCACAACAAAGCTTCCAAACCTAGCCGGGATCAGGGTTTCCCAACTTTGAAGATCATCTGGAGCGACAGCAGTTGGGTGCTGATAGGGGGCGTTAGCGAAGTGAACTGTGGTGCGGAGCAACACTGCCACGCCTCATCAACTGATCTAGATAAGACTACGAATCCGCCTTTCAACATTTAATGCTAAGGTGGCACATTTTTGTACGCAAAGGATACTAAAAAGTCCCACTCTTTCAAGGTGGTTCGCTTAAGTTTGATACTCACCTTGGTGTGTTTGTTGGCCTGCAGCCCACCTCAAACGGATGCAGTCGGTCCACCTGGCCATATCCTTTCCACAGTGACTGGCGCTGAGGAAAATCCGCATTGAACACGCCATTGAGTCGTTGGACTGCATCGTGATGCATTGCAATCGACCCACATATAAAAGCTAGTTGTAGCTTTATACGGAAATGTGGGAAGAGCTGAGGAGCACTTCCAGTACAATTGAACTACAGCTTGATAAGACGCTTCGAGTCCTGACAAACATCGGTGTAATCCGTGCGGTGTGCTTGCGCTAGAGAATCAAACCAGAAATTTAGACAGGAGCCTTAAAACGCCACCCAAATCTTCAAGTGAACGCCCTCCCACCACAGATACCCACCTATTTATCTAAAAACATGTGAAGAAGCTATTCCTTAAGAATTGTAATATTACACACTAGGGTGGCTATTGTGTGATGTCTAGGCTACGATCACATACGCAAACTATTTTGAGGCATGTACTAAATGTGCGTGGTATGTCGTTAAATGTGTACTCGCAGCAACCAAAGCTGCGCGCCGATTACTAAAATGCAGTACACTGCTTATCAGAATGTACAATCTAAATAGTTCTGCTTGACATGCAGGACCCGAAGAGCACGCCATGGAACCGGCACAACGAATGTACTGAGTGCAAAACTGCGTTCCTGAGTACGGTAGTATGTTCTAGGGATGGCGCTGCTCGGCACCTTGAGGACGTCCATACAGTCACACGACCACAAATGCGAGTTCTAATTACACGGTTAATACCGCTTCACCGAACTGGAGTGGGAAGGCTTTAAGATTGCAAGTACCATGAGACTCGTCCTGGCGATCACTCGCCACTCCATGAGAGTCTGGTACCCTTACCTGAGCATTCCATCTAAAATATATCGGCACCTACAGCGCACCTAGTCCTACCGGATTCTTCTAAATCTACAAGTAAGGGAGGAACAGCTGCAGGGACCAACTATAAATGTAGAACTTTCTCGATGCAAGAATGCCAGGAGACGACGTAAATCAGCATGCAGACCTACCCCATGTGTTCAAATGAATAAAAATACTTTAGTTCTTATATTAGATATGGAATCTGCATACTTAGTAATGGTTAAAATGCATTCTGGCAGGGTAATGCTAGCAGCAGAGGGCTGCCTGTTCCAGGCGGTGCACGATCGTGCCCTCAGCCCAGTTCGCTGCATGGAGGGACCCGATGCTGCTTTTAGGGCTAAGGCAATAGGATATGCGATATGTAACAAATTGTTTTGCTTAATAATTGCATTATAACAATGATATTTCTCACTGAAATGCATAAGAGCCAGTACTGTTAGTTTACTGCATCGCAGACAGCCGCGGGGCTTACCGGCAAAGGGAAAACCAAAGGCCAACAGACACGTCATGTATTAGAATAAGAAACACGATTTCAATAATCTGAATATAAGCTCCTTGCGCATTAGAGGGTGGCTCTCGAGGTTTTGCCGGGAACCTCAAATTCGGATGCGTACAGCTCCCCCTCCCAAACTTTTGACAGTAATTGATGTCTTCGGCCTTTCAGTAAAATCTCAATGTGAGGAGGAAGCTATATTTGCTCGAAGCTACACGCGAGCTGACGTCGGAATCCTTTTTTTCAATTCAGAGCCCTTTGCGTAGGCGCATCTTCGTCCCCCGTTCGCATACAGTTTTGGCATGGTCTGTACTCGATATGTCATGCACTTTGTTACTTTTCTGCGGCCATGACATGGAGCTTTGATTCGTGCAAACAAAACAGAGAGCGCTCATTTGCGCAAGCCGTGAATTTCTACGTGGTTTCGGAGACGGTTCTTCTACCAACGTGCAACCAAAGGCACTGTCTGAAACAACGAATTTCAAGACTGCTATAGAGCGCAGTTATGAACAGAGGTAAAGCAAGGAATTTTGACGCATTGGATATTCACTGCAGGGATAAATATAGCTGGCTTGTTCCTTCCATATATCCAAAGCACGCTAAGCGGTCACCCCAATTGTCCTTTTGGCACTACGCAGGAGCAATACTGTAAGACTCGTTTGAGTGACCCGTGGTTCACTGGCAGATATATAGGGTTAGAATCAAAGCCTAGTAAAGCGTAACCAGGCCAATGAATAGGAAATATGCTTTGTCTACAAGAGCATGTGCCAGGCCAAATGAGTTCACCCATGCTTATGTGAACTCGCTTCTGCATGCAGGGCTGAACATTGGAGAGGTGTCGGTGCTTCCGGGATACAGCATCCATGCAAGCGGGTAAAGCTTACACATACTCTACAGCAGTTGCCTAGGGCCTCGAAAGAACAGGCGTGCAGTAAATAAGTTGCATCAGCCCAACAACCAAAAATAGCATACACATAGCAGGCCTATTGTAGCACGAACCTGCCGCTGTATCTACGAGACAAAAAATATGTTTGCATGCCACGATATATAAAGGCAGGTAATTATAAGAAGAATCCTTTCAAACACAAGTACATCTGCAATTTCTTTACTATATCAAGGTTTCCTCATAATGAGCCTTATGTCCGCACACGAAGGAAGATGATTTGTAGTTTAGTGCATGAGCACCTTACTGAGGACCAAGATGACATGTCTTAGGTGTTTCCTTGACGGAATGCGGGGACCCCGTTGCATCGCCAAAAGAGTCCAAGCCTACTCGCAATAAAAGATGGGAGTAAGGCAGGGTCCCAGAGTTGTGGTGCAACAAAATTCTGAACTAGGGAAATGAACAATGTACATAGGTGCTCGTTGGCGACAATGAACTCTTCTGTTTAGTTGCCATCGCGGGTATAAGCGAGGTTGGGTTGTCTTGAAAGGCTGAGCAAATCATAGCCTGGTGCCTTGCGAGGCCTACTCACCCTAATAGCAGTGAACTAAGTAGTAAGAAGCCATCCAAGATGGTATCCGCAATGGTGTCTTGGTCGTTCCAACTGGAAGCCCGACAACTTTTGGTCGCTTTACCTCCTCTTAGATCCTGAAGGATTGCCTGCTTAGTTTGCTTTTCACTAAAATTCGCCTTTCCTGAATGCAAGTTCTCTGCCTCTTTCTTGAGAAGCCTTTCTGGATGCGTCTTCTCTGATGCACTCGTGCTTTTCCTAGTGCCAGTATCTGAAGAGCTATAGGATGCAGTCCTAGATATAGAGGCGACTACGTTGAGCGCTTCCGCTTCTTGCTGCCTTCTTCGGATCTCTTTACGGACAGCACTCCGCGTTTTGAGGGCTACTGACGCCATTTGATGCTCTATTTCTGTTCTCTTCTGAATCCCCACAACAGCGAAACACCAGTTTTAACAAGGGTGTCAGAGTGCATACACCTGGGTGAGCCCCTTTAACTATATTAGTAATATTTTTGTAAACATGCACATCATTAGGCAGCCTAGTGTTCAGACTGGTGATGTGGCACTTCACTCTAGTTCAGAAGCCCGCGTGAGATATAACGATTCCTCTTTGCCCACCCAGAAGGTTTCCCTCGCAAATCTCTGAGCTGCTGAGATATTGTCGCTTAGTATAATGTTATCAAATAATGTGCCCGTATCAATCGCCATAAATGTCAAGCCAACAGCATTAAAGCTAAGAACATCAATTGGCAGCACCTGAAGGCAACCGTAAAACTTTGTATGATCCAAGGTGATGTGAGCGTTTATAGCAAGCGTACGCATGCAAATGGTTGCTATAAACTCGTGCGCTTAGTTATCGCTCGTAATCTGTTAAATCATGATCGGTTGGGTGGCTGGAGGATATCGAGGTTTAGCTGAGATTGTGTGTACTTCAAGCATCTGGCTTGATCTTGGCCACGGCGGCTTGAGACCATCAAATAAAGTCCCCTGAGTGCAGGTGGTCATGAGCAAAAATATAGCAGCAATAATTTTGGTAGCTAGGTTCTATCGACAGTTACATTATTTGCGGTGGAAAGGTCACCTTGCGAGCCGTCCTTCCGTCTAAAAGGATCCTGAATGTTCCCTGTGGTTTTAAGATAAAAGTGATTAAGCGTGTGCGGTCGCTATAGGGAAGTGCCAGAGGTGGGTGCAACGAATGCACGATGCTGAAAAGCATGCAGAGATACACACTAGGAATTCTTAGCTCCATTGACCTCTTTTTAAAGACAGATTTAGCAGATCTGAGCAACAGCAGAAAGGATGCTTACCGCCTTTCAGTAGCTGGGCACACCCGAGTGATCTTAAGGAGTATTTCACGTCGGATGCCACATTGGTCGGCACCAAATCTCAGTGTGTATTGAGTGTCACCATTGAAGCGGTAAAGTGACAGTTTTCCATCCGACTGAAAGAAAGTCAGATAGCCTCCTCCGCATTCAAAATCCGGATAATACTGTTGCAGCTCATACTGAATTACTAAGGGCCTAGCGGGAGAAGGCAAGGAGCGCGAAGGTAGCAAAGTACTAATTGCATGACGAAACCCCTGAAATTAATATTCACCGATGCGCTCAGAATCAGGTTGATCGTGAGCGGAGAGGCTTAACTTGGTGACTAACAGCCAGCAGTTTAAGTGTAGCGGTGCAACTCTGTGCTAAACTGCGTGAATAACATAGAATACGCAGATGCGGCTACGCACAAAGAGTATAACACGAGGCATCTTACTTGCGAAGCCGCCATGATGCCGTGGTCCTCCTCAATTGCTTGTGGGGGACGCAGCATGTGACGCCACTGACCTGCGGAGTGTTGAACAGTCGGTCGCATCATCGTGTGCAGGAATCCGTAAGTGACTGCGGTACTGCCAGCCGCAGGAGTGCAGGTTTAGATATGGCATTAGGCTTTTGCGCAAAGAAATATGAACCACGCAGAGAATGGTACGACGTCAGCAGGATTAGTTGAGGCTGCACTCTCTGAAGGTGACGCGAAGCGTTCTTTGCGCCACAAAGCCAATCATTCTACCATCTCGTACACTACCCTTTCAACAAGTCCACGGTAATTCATCACATCAGCCTACCAAGACTGGCATTACGACCACAAGGTCACGCCTACCGGTATGTGTAGGACTTTTGGAAGTAATCCAAGAGCTAAACACATCTGACCCTTCAAAGGTCTCAACGAATAGCAAGCCTTCCACACTTGGGAATATACGATGTACCCTGGGAATCTTAGCAAGTTCGCTATTCACTCGGTGTATCAGCTCTTTCTTTTCGTCCGGTGTAAGAACCAGATTGTGGCCGAAATCAACTGAAGCTTGAAGAGATGCCTTCTTCTCCGACTCAGGGCTAAGAAGGAGCTCCTTTGTAGGGTCTGGCGGAGGATCTTCGTCTTCATCTCGATTACGCATACTCTGGTTCATGGAAAGCCGAGCACGCTGCTGCATTCTCCATTTAAGCAGCTCATACATCTCATGTCGGCCGACACTCTCTTCGAAATGGGGCCTTGCCGATTCAATGCCTACGCCAGCGTAGATCTCAGCCTCACCAGCTTTGATATTGCTTTTAAGGCTGTTCCTTACAGATGCAGCACTACCGGAAGCACTTTGCTGTACTCGAGTTCTGGACGCTCGGCCATACAGATGCCCATCTGATAAATTTTGCTCCGTTGTCTTTGAAGAACAAAGTCCAGACATATGGCTTTTGCAGTGAAACAATAGGCTTTTCTGAGAACAAACCTCGTTTTTTTGAAAAGCCCCATCGTTCTGGATAGAAATCAGTGAGTGGTTGTGTTTTGAGACTGCCTAATTCCGGCAAACTATGGTTCCTCAAGTGCTGCCTTCTGCCCCCCGTTTGATCGAGCCATACCTGATGCTTTGCATAAAATGGTCGCTCATTGCCCTTGTTAAGGTTACTAAGATCCTTTGGCAGTCCCCTTGGTACCTCCAATTCGAGTATGCGCCAGGAAGGTATGAGCGATACAACATTTTCATTTGGGTGAGTAAGTACCCTATGCTGCAATGGGACAGACTGCTGAGGGCTGTGCTGCAGAGAGTAAGTGTGAAGTTTCCAATTTTTGTGATTAGCTCTCTGAACAGTAAATGCCGGATGCACATCTTGTGTCCTCTCGCTTGCATGCACTGGGGGGTCGGCTGTGGCTGGTGCTCCTCCAAAGGAAGCGTCCGTATCACGGTCGGCCGTCACTCGTCTCTTTTCTTTATTTTCCTGCCGGTGTCTAAGTGGTATGTGAGACTGAGATGAATGGTTTTCTAAATATAATGGAAAGGAATCTACTGGTAACAATATTCGCAGACAAACCAGAAAACACACACAAACGCAGAGTGCCAAAAGTCGATGGGTACAGGGCTCCATCATTGCTTCCACGCAAATTGATACAGTATTGACATGCGGTACTCCACGAATACCTTCTCTGATTCCATGTTAATGTATCTATTTAGCCTCTTTCGTATAGCATGCAAGTTTTGTAGTTCGTCCTCAACATATTGACTACTGTGGGCTTAAGCACGAACGCGCACTTGCCAAACTGTGTATGTGTAGCCGTGCTCAAAAGCTATATCCATGGCATGGAATGTCATCAAGAAATATTGTTCCATGATGTGGTAAAAGCGGTCAATGACAGTGTTGAGAGGACTGTGGAAAGCGGCACTATTTTCATTGAACTGAATGGCCACGAAAGCCGCAATGGTTTAAGGAAAGACACGAAGTTATGAAGAATTTACAATCTTCAGTGATGCTATCGGGAAGTGGGTATCTTCAGAGCACTGCTCCGTTTTTTACTGCTTACTGCATGCGGGTTAACAAAAACCTTATTCAAAGTGGCGCCTGTGCGCATAGACACCACTTAATGCATGCAAACAGCCCCAAATGGATTATTCATCGCCGACTCCTTGCGAGACGAATATTGACTCTTTTGATTTGATATTGCTGTCAATGGTCACGGGGAGGGGTGTGCACAACGTACATGCATATCTTTCGAGGCCCAGAATGAGCCTACTGACTTTGTATTGTGCAGATGTACCCATTGGAAGGCAGGCTTGTCCCTCCCGAATTAGTCGCTGTTAATCCAAATTCCCATGAAATATTGATATAGCTAGACTCATGGCCCAAAGAAGTTACTTGCTCCCTGTTGTGGAGATCTGAATCTGTTTCGAGAGTCAAATTTGGCCGGCGGCTTCAGACCCACATGCTAACAGTTTACCTAAGCGGAAGGAAAGGAGCTCCCGCGAAGTCTTAAGCCCGAAGTTTCCGTGAAAACTCACGAAATACAAACTGCTGATGACACATTGAAGATGGCCTTGGCAAACGTAGCGGTAGCTTGCCTTCCTTACCTACTGAACCGTAGGTGAAAGTGTCAGACTTGCCCTCAAATGACCCTAATGCTTTTGGATTTTCCTTGCAGGAGTGTCATGCATTGCCTATAAACCTGTACTGTTTGTCTCATACTTAAGAACGCCGCGTCATATAGAATTTCAGCGGCTTTAGAAAACAAGCTGGTATAACGTGGGCCATATTTTCCTGCTGCACCTTCCCCAGGTCATTTAGATCCTGTATAAAATTGCTAGATCCATTGTTTCAACCAATTATTGCCATGCATATTTCATTGTATCTGGTGAGCAAGAGAATTATGGATTCCCCTTTGAAAGCGCATTTGCATGCCTCGTCAGTGAGATAAGCATTCTTTAATGCAAGTATCACCCAAGTGTAGAAGTCTTTATGCACTAGTGTGGGCTGAGTAGTCTATAAGAGGGGGATGACTTTAACAAGTTTACAGGAGTCCCTATTGCATGCGGGAGAGTCGATTGCACTGAGTGGCGTTACGCCAGCTAACGTAGCTGTTATACAAACTGCCTTCCCTGGCAAATCTAGATTCTCTAGGCTCGAATAACAATGACTGTGAGCAAGGGTTAGTATGTTATGCCTGCATGGAGAAGGGTAGGATAATGTGCATTTCGCATGTGTGGTAAGTTAAGAATCTTTCTCTGTGGGATGCTTCATCATTAGACACTCCTTCACTCACTGGTGCACGAGGGTATGCATGACTCGGCCACCACTATCTTGGATGTCATGCGGTTCCATAGAGATGGAACATGGTGTTTGCCCGGCCTTGTGGCCATATTGAAATACGGCCACCATAACGTAGCTGTATCAGGTAACGATTTGTTCTGTAGTCCAGGATTCAACAGTCTACAACACGTTTCCTACACGGTCGAATACTCCTCCGCTGGCATGTACGAGTTGTTCACGATATAGCGGAAATACTGCACCGAGATTCTTATTGTGATGCGATTCGGACTTGGACTATGGTAGGCCCAGCATTGTAATGCTCGTACAAATTGGGGGAGTTTCGGTACGGATAACTGAAAAGTACATAAATGGGCCGTGATTACCTTAATATCTCAGCGTTTAGAAACGAAGTTGTGGTTTATAAATTTGGGAAAATGTAGGACACAAAGTTTCAGTGATTGAAGCTGTTTGCTTTTCCGAGTATATCTGACTTCAATATGCATAATATCCATAAATGATATACTGCACGTTGGTAGCTCATAGAGTGCAAGAATGTGCGTCGTACAACAATAGGTCGCTAGCACTGTCGTGGCTTTCAGCGTTCCCAGCTTAGGAGGGTGTAACTAAATGTTCAACAAGTCCATGTTCTAGAAAAACGCAGCAATCAACACCGCGGGTTTGAAACAAAGCCAACCTATGTTGGGACTAGAGCATTCACCGCCACACTGTTAGTTGGCGGTTGAACGATTCCGCAGCAAATATCACAACAAAATGCATAGGCTAGGTCCCCCGTAAGTGCAAACGCACACCACCTGAAGGCCACAATAAGTAAACCTACTGGTCTGTAAGGCGTTTATCCTGATGAAATCTAAATCGGAGCTGAAGCCCGCAGGAGAATACACTTACAAAATTTTTGTCTCACCATCGAGCACCACAGCAGAAAAGCAGCTTGATGGAGTAAGTACCGAAGTAACAGGCATTATCTGTGAGTTGGGAAAGCGCAACAATCTTTTTCAGGGGCTATCCAATAAGGAAGACAACGAGCACCAGAAAATTTGTCTTCGGATTTTGCCGCCACGCTACGGAGGTGACTGCAAGTTATTTCGACAGAAACGGTGTGAAAAGCCTCCGCATAGAGAAAGAAAGACCCGCTTGCTAGTGAAGCAATTAAAGCGCCTCACGGGACGTAGAGGTACAAGTTTCTGCAGCGCATAGCAGCTATAGGATAGCTACATCCAGGACGCAGAAAATCCGGTAAAGTGCTTGAGTAGAGCAGCATGAGCGTCTACCTACCGGTCACTTTCGTCTCTAGCAATGTACTCTTTGGATATAAGGCCCTCGAGACATAGCTTGACAGCTTCTGGAGGCCAAATTTGACGTTGTTCCTTGGGTTCCAAAGTGTTGGGCTGAGACGAAGGTGCCATTGGTAATTGCAATGACTCCAGCAACTGCTGATGTGTTAGTTGGCGATGCTGTTTGAAAAGCCTGACAACTTTAGCATCAAGCCTGCCTCGTGCTTCTGGATCCAGTGGGTCCTTGACCTTTCCACGAATTGTTGGTGGACATTTAATAGTGGTTGCCAGTTCCACCTGCAAAAAAGGCTCTCTAATACAAGGCTAAAAGCATTGCAAAATGTGTCCTGTGTAATTGCTATTGTCTGCTTGTTTCCAAAGGAAACATGTAAATTTGTGACATTGGGTCTCAGTTAGAAACAAGAGGACACACTTTTGGGGGGAGCCGCGTGAGATCCACCTCAAGATTACTGCAGAACATTCGAGAAGTGTCTCTTGAGGGCCTGCACTGAAGAGGAACAAGATACGTGCTGCATCAGTCTAGCATAAGAATTTTACCATTCATTCAAATTATATTAACTTTATGCCTTCATACTGTGCTACACCCGCCGGAACGCCCCTTCATGTGCTTTGCACAATGTTAAACGTGCTATTTAACTTTTGCACACCAGAAGGTCTTGAGGCTTGACCTGGAGTCCTTCTAGGATGGATAGAGCTTCTGAATAAGAGAGGCCAGTCAGATAGGCTGCTGTCTGGGCTGAGACAGATGACATTCTGCAAAAACAAGCGTCGCAACATAGAATCTTAATGTACAACGGGAAAGTTCGAGTCTTATTATACCTTCTATTGCGATTCTTGGTCACAAGTTCTGTATGCCTTCCACGATTTACTGGTAGCACCAGAAGCATTTTCAAGCTGTGAAGAAAATTCTTACTCGTTGAAGAGAAGCAGCACGAGTGCTGCCTTCAGGCAGATGCGGAAGCATTTAGTCTTTGTGCTACAACAATCAGCGCTACCACATTTGCTGTCGTAGTAGTGTGGATGTTCTTCGACCCGAATAGTCATATCTGCATGACCGGCCTTCCACAGCCAAACAAGCTTCCGTTCAGGGAAGTGTGCTTTGTACATACTACCGAATGCCTATAGAAGCACAAACGCTAGCAGGAATGAGACTATCTGATATTTAAATGGCTGCGCACGTTTGCCACCAGCAATGCTAGCAGTCGCGGTGTGAGCAAAAGAAGAAGCATTTATACAACTGCATAAGGAAGGCTCTCTAAACGAAACTATACAGGAGACAAAGCTAGCAACCAACTAAGGTAGGTCTAGTAGCGTTAGTTTATAACACACGGATACGGCCCTATATTTGGTAACCTAGCAGTAGATGGGGAAAGAAATGGGAGGCCTGTTTTTGGACTCGCTCACTGGCGGAGCTACTCACCTCCAAGTGCATCTGCAGCTGCTGGGGAATCTTCAAACCATCAATATCCTTCCACTGCCGGCTGTGCTGGCAGAGCGGCACACTGGCGTCTGGGGGTGGGACACGGGGTCCAGTAGTAGCGGTGGCCCCGACAGGAAAGTGCGATTCCCAGGCGGTTTTTGTGAGAACCAATGCTTCAAATGCGCATGTACATTTACATTCAGGTTTCGCTACTGTGTTTCTTTGAGCAACAGTTCCCTGGTTGTCAAATGAATTATCTTTGTCAGCAACTGGTGGTGTTTCATCTTGCATGCACTGTTGCTGTCCTTTAAATGTCTGTCCCTGTACTGCTGAAGTTGATACTGACGCCGAAGCAGTAAAGCTATCCTGCTGCATATGTCTGGTATATAGGGCTAGCGTTTCATGCGCTGAAGCAACGTCTGATATCATTTGCCTGATGCGCCACTGCTCCTCTGGTGGAATGCAGCAACGTGCTTCAAACGCATGCTGCATTGCTTCCCACACCTTCAGCTCCAAGGCACAAACTTTTTCTGCTGCCTCAGAAAAGATGTCTAAAGTACACATGGCCTCCTCGTTATCCTTGATCCTAGCAGGTTCGAAGAAAGGCAGGTAAGCAGCATTCGCTGTCCCGACTGCGCTTCGCGCACGCGCTAGTCGAATGTGAAGCGGGGTCCCCTCCACATCATTGACATGGGAACCTTGCTGCGGTGTCCCAGGCGTCGCACCATCAAGGCCCCACGTGACGTACTGCGGCAGCAATCTGGAGGCTAGTAGTCTTGAGTAGCAAGCCAGGAGACGCTCGGAGAAGGGGAGTCGAGAGCAGAGACGAGCCACGTTTTCCTGAGGAAAGCACTTGCAGAAGTAATTGCATTTATAAAAGTAGATGTAGCTATTAAAGTGTGTCAAGATTGTGCAAGATAGAATTAGCGGAGAGGAGTAATGGCATACTTCCCAGCTGTCGATCTCCACGGTTTCCCCGTCGCACTTTGGAGAATGTGTGAAAGCGGCCCGCCTAAGCTGTAAGTCCATGTAAACGGCTACTGCCTCTTCTACTGTCAAGATGAGCTTGGAGTAGCCAAGAGGACACCCCAGACATTTTGCAATCAGAGGGTCGGAAATTGCTCTATCGAAAACCTGCAGTCAATACAGAATGCATAGGAGTACTGTATACGGGCTCCCATAGCTTGAGATTGCCTGGTTGACCCTACAATGAGCAAGCGAGAGACAGCTGGCGATCAAATAGCTAGATGAAGGGGAAGAATGGGAAGATCAGCAGTTCAGCATGGCAGCAGTGCTAACCGCTAACTTGCAGAATAAGCAACTATACCTGATTTCGGGCTTCAACGATGGCAGGCATATCTTTGCAAAATACTGATAGTTGCAGGTCCGACCGTTTCAAGTATTGAAGGAGCAAAAATACAAACATTTCCCCACGCAGTGGACAGAATTCGCACTGTTTTCTTGTAGTTGTTGCAAATTTTCTTGAGCTCGCATCTTCTTGAAGTAGCGTTTCTTCTAGTTCTGACAACTGACAGACGTCAGTGTCAATTTTACCAGCTGATGCAAAAGTAGCACTCTTGTGTTGCTGCTCATTTGCATCAGCGCTTTCCGGACTAGACAAGTCTGAGTTGTGCCCATCTGTGTATTGCTGCAAAAGAAGCTGCTGTCCTTCTCGACAAGCTGCACATACAAGGTCCCACTGTTTGGTTGCACGTCTGTAGAGGCCAGAAAAAGCATCAAACCCCACCAGAGAACTGGTGATTTAGAGTTTGAAGGCCAGCTCCACACCGCAACTTAGAAATCTCATGCCAGCTAATCCTATGTAGAGGGCAACTGTGCTCCATGCCAACACTCTCGGTGAGTTTGAAATTGTCTAAAGCCGAATCGGTTTTTCGTACTGAATTAAATCTCTAAGAGATGAGTCCCAGTACACGCGGAGCTGATGTGCAATGCTCTCAAGACACTCGGGCCACTCTTTAACCCAATGCAGGAGTATCACCAGTACTGCAGCAGCATTCATAATAACCCTAGCAGAGCAAACAAACACCTCAAAAGCTTGCAAACCAACCGTCTGCTATAAACTGCGTATTGTTGCACACGTTGAAAAACTTGCAGTATGTAGTACACAAAACATCACCAGAGCTCTGTCAACTTTTTGTGTGAAAACTTGCCACTCCAGTCGTTATCTTGCAGCAAGCAAAGCAGGGAAGGCTGTAAAAGCAATATTTTGCCAAAACTTTTCCTCAGTAAAACCTGGTGTGCCACCTGGACTGCAGTTTCAGCTGCACGTGCAGACAAGCGTGGCAACACGAAATTGGCCCAAATGTTGCAGGTGATTCGGCCTAAGAAAGCCCAGTTAACTAGACGCTCGATACATGTACTGGTAAGCAAAGAGCCTTATGAACGTGTGACCACAATGGAATATGACGACATGCCTAAGGTGGGCCCAAAGCAGGCCTCAGTAAGAGCTCGCTCTGCAGCAGTTAGCGCGTCAACTGCATCAAGAAATGCTCGCAGCTCAACGCCACCAGCTATCATCTGATCAGTTGCATCAGTGTGTGCGGCAGTAACCGTCTCCAATAACATCCTGAGGAACAGATCCGCATTCCGTTGCCCTGTACGTAGGCCATTCACAGTCCGGACTTAGCCGACCTTTAAATGTGCTTTGCGTATTATAGTGAACATGCGTACCTCTTCTGCTTAAACCACGTGTTTGAACATCCGCCCCAAGGTCCCCCTCCTGCCCCTATCCACATCACATACAACAAGCGGTTGCTTCGTTGGTGAATCGGTGAATGGCCTCTCTGAGAGCCTGATCCGTTTCCTGCGATGGTTATTCCACATGGCTTTTCCTCCGAAAAGCCCGAATTCGCCACCAGTTTCCCAGTTTGCACTCCAGGAGCAAATGGCATTGCAGTTATGGCTGATTTTCGTCGGCGCTGCAGCTGCGCATTTAAGGGATCGTCAACTCTTCTCAACAATATCAAGGCCTCGCGAATCCATTGCAGGTGCAATGAGGGTACTGCGAGCTGGGCTCTTGTTTTTGACGGCCTTGATGAATGCATGACTTGTATTGCTCCTGTTGGTTTGGCCTTGCCCTGGTGCAGCGATGGGCCTGCGAATTTTGATGAAACTGGTGGTTCGAAGGTCCCCGCTACTACTTCAGGCGAAGGGAAAGCTGAAACCACAGTATGATGAGGCTCTCGCCACATCTCCTTTACGTTGAAAGGAAGCTGAGACTGCACGAAAGGAGGGCCTTCAGCAGAAAACTGGTGCATCGTGTCCTGGGCTCCAGCCGTACGAACCTCTGTTGCAAGTAATCTTACTAGCAGGGCATCATGCTGTTCAAACTGATGAAGCTGATGCTCTGCGTATTTGTGCTGCTCCATTACGCATTGTTGCCCCTGAGGAAGCTGCGTTATATCCTCTAGTGCTGTTTTGGGAGCCTCGTTCCAGTCCAGTAGTTCGGGTGGTGGCTTAACATGCTGGGCGCCTTGGTGCCCGGGATGCTGCTGAGGCACTTGAAGCTCTTGATGCAGAGAAGGCTTCAAATAATGACGGATTATTGCGCATCTTTGTCTATGAGCATGCGGCTTCTGAGTAGCTGCTGCTGCACTCTGCTGGCGGCCTGCTGCTTGGGACACAGAAGTACTTAGTGCTGTTGCAGTGACAGCCATGGCACAGCCACGTCTTAAGTGGTCCAATTGTTGCCACGCTTCTAGCCGCAGTCTCTCCACTAGTCCATTGAGTGCCTAACATCAAGACCAACGCAGTCAAGCTAGCGTCGACTTCAAAACTTTAATGACCACGCAAACTACAAAATAGATCCGATTTAGATGAACGACGGGTATGTGTGGAACAGTAAGGTCACGGAAGCTTCCCCATGCCGCCGCAAAGTGTTAAATCACAGCGTTATATCTACAACCCAAAGTTTTTGATAGAGGTTTTTGCTGACGAAGCGTCCGAAGATTATGACAGCCGCTTCATCGATAGATGTAGCCTGACATAAAATCTTGGCTGTTTCATTTGCTGTACTTCTACAAGCCGTTGTATTTTGTATCCCTGCTGCTTCAGCCGCCAATAGCGATTCAGCAGCTACACCTCCAAGACGCGTTTGAAGGCTCACGGAAGCTCCGAGGAAGGCTGGCTGTTGGTGAGAGAGTGCATCTGCACCCCTGGCATACAAGTATTTGAGAAGCAGCAGTGACAGCGTGTAAGATTTCCAGGCCCTCACACACTGAGTTAGAAAGTCCCCAGCTTGAGTAGCCGCTTTACCAGCTGAAGCAGTTGCCCTGACATCGAGCCCATAACGGACACGCTCCGTGACAGCGCAGCGAACCAGGACACAACAAAAAAATAGAAAGTGGCATCGTGCTGCCGCGGGTGACTGTACTAATGAGTGCAAACCTGGAGCATACAAAACCAAATTGGAGCATCAGCCACAGCAAATAACGGTATGGCTTTATCCTGAGGGCAGTGTGCGACGGTGGTATGGGGTGTAGCACTCATAGAGATATCAACTTGGCTGTTAAGCATACTGCAGTAGGGCGTAATCAAGAATGTCATACCTGCTGCCGTCTGAGAGAGGGCAGCCACGTGCTTGTGCGAGAGATAGGTAGCACCGCTGAATACTCTCAGGTATGAGGCTCCTCCATGTGGATCACGATGCCATACGGTTGGCTCCTCGGATGAGTCTAGGAAAGCTGCTCCTCCTGTCGCACAAGCTCCACTAGGCGGCAGGTGAGCAGCGATATCCAGAAGGGGCTCAAGCAGAACTGAGCGGGCTCGATGCAGCAGCCGTAGCAGCTGTTTCCCTCTCTCCTCCTCTGACAGCAGTAGTTTCTCGTAAGCAGAGTATCCTGGGCCCCTTACGGTGGGACTGCGAAGGCTGTCAAAGGATTGGTCGTCAGGGCGAAGGCAGCGTGAGGGCCCGCTGGCTTCAGGTGGCAATGGCTCTTGCTCTAATGAGGCAGGTGGCTCTTCCGGGCACCTATGCAGTCGCCGAGTGCCTCCACGACGCCGTCGGTGGCGTCTAGCAGGTGTTTTCGTCGGCGCTTCGGCTTTCAAAGTAGGCCCAGATAAATCAGGGACCCATTCTCTGTTGGTTGGAGGCTTTACGCTAGGCCTCGATACATGAGCTATTCTTTGCTGAAGGGAGTATTCAGCTTCTGAAGGAGCGTTGGCCGCATGATGCTGGGGAGACTGCCGAACGACACACGCGGAATGCGCCGGTGTCTCCAGCTGCTGCTGCTCTAGGTGCTCCAGCGTATGAGACTGTTTTGGGAGCTGTGGAGAAGGGAGCTCTGTCGCGGCAGAGCGCCTCGTGCGTACACCTGACGACAGAGCCAACCGCGCTGGCTCGGGATCTGGGACTTGCTGCCGTGCGCTTGGCAGTCCCTCCCTTGGTGAGCCACCCACGGAACGCTGCCTCTGCCGTTTAGTTGCTCGTCGGGTTGTTCCTGGCCCCTGAGTCGAAGAAGCGCCCCGTTGTGTCATGGGCTTCCTTTGGGTTGGTTGGCTATCCGATTTACCTGCCTCTTCACAAGTATGCTGTGCACCACGCTGCATACCGGAGTGCTACGCACTAGCTCTTCCTTAAATTGACAGCGGTACGCCATCTATGCACTCCCCTATGGTGTAAGCCACTAGTTGCCCTTCCTTCGATGGCACGTTCATCATGCAGTAAGTATCCACTTCAGACACACTTGAGTCACAAAAGACCAATTAATACAGGAGTTTGGATGCCACAGAGTGTCAAGATTTGAAACTTTATGCCAGTAGTGTTGAGTCCGAGAGTGCAAACATTTCGTTCGATTACATATTGGAGCCGCGCTCCTTCCCTGGTTGTAGGGAGTTGTTACCAGACTTGCTGACTAGAGTCCAAGCGGCCAGTAATGAACTCGCATGCATGCACCCCAGTAAGTTGCTGATACGAAGGAAGCAGCAGAAGAAGAGTGGTAGGAGTCTACCAGTGTAGTGTATTCTGCGCGACCGCCAACCCAACATCTACACTATGGAACATAGCTGTATATGCATCATACTACAAGAATGCAGTGATTTTGTTTTGTTAATCTGCCAAGGTTCTACAACAGCTTTGTAAAACCAGGAAAGAACAGATAGGTGGTTGCACCGCAACGGCCGGCATACCCTAAGGGCTTTACCTAGGTTTCCTGGGGCTAGGTGCGTCTGCGGATGCTAGGGCTAAGTAAAGTAACCCTTTTCAGCCATACAGGCATCAAATGTAGCCCCGATATCCCTTTAGCAGCAGACTTGGAGCCCAAGGATGAATGCATGTGAAATAAATGCAAGGGTTTTCGCAATCGACCAGCCTGTGCATGCGCGGACAGCCCCAATGGTGGAGTGAACCGTCAAGGCCAAAGCTACCTTCCCTATGGAGACGGATATTACCTTTTATAGGTGTTTACTCTTTATCATTCATGAATATGAAATGAAAGTACTCTGTGCCCCTCATATTGATCGTTTAAGGTTCTTCCCAAAACGTTGGGTAGCATGCTTCGCAAATCCCCTACTGGGCCACGCTGGACTTCTTACTACAAAGATTATGTTTATTTAAAAATTACTATCGATTCGTGTATTTGCAGTGTGTATTGGCTCCTGATATTGGTTACACAGTAGGGTTGACCGAACGCGCAAAGAGTGAAACTTGTCTGCCTGTGAGCTTGTTGCTATGTCTATCTGAGAACGAATGCTGGCACTGGCTTGAGGGTGCAGCAATGAGCACCCGAGTTGCCCCATATGCTATCATACTGGAAGCATGTAGGATGGGGGCAAGAAAAGGGGGTTGCGTTTTTCTAATATTGGGTTTGCGGCAAAGGTCATTGTAAGAAGACCCTATGATGAGCTGTACAAATTCCATTTGGAGTACGCAAGCTAGATATACACTATGTTCAGAGTAACACGGGAGCCCACAGTTACGGAGGTAAAATCCACTACGGTGGATGTCGACAATTCTTTAATACTTGCCTCTCCACTACCTGTGTGCTGGATTGTTAGCTGGTCTGCGAAAGCTGTTGGAGTTAGAAGCTACACATTAAAAAGCTTGCAATAGGATGTTGTTCCAACATTTTCTTAGCAGAATCACCTTCGTAGATTTGCTAGGGTGGTACTTCAACTGCAACACATGCAAATCCACGAAGACATATTTTGGCATGTATGATTGCCTTTCTGACAGTCTCCATATTGTACAATCTTCCTCAATAAAAATTAAAGAAGCTTCTAAATTTAGGGTTAGAGGAATTCCTTCGCACATTTTGCGAGGTTATATAGCATTGCTGGCTTCGGGGGCTTACTGAAATTGGCATTTCAAGAGATGCTGAGACTGACATCCAGGTAGAGTGAATGTGATGAGGAAAGGTTTTTACTCAAGTCTGGCTAGGTAATAAGAAAAAATCTCGTTGTACGACAAAGGTAGACCTCTGGACCCCAAAAGCTTTTGGCCACGTGAGGGCTGATAGATGCACCCACTTTTACATAGCTAGATGAGCAGCTACATGGGAACCAGTAAACTGTTTGAGTGCAGTACATAGAGAATGCAACAATCGGAAAGCATATGTGAATTTTAACCTTGAATGCATTCAACGTAGTCTTGCGAGATGGAGGCATCCACCAAACCTTTTAAGTGCTAGGGTCGTTGACCATACAGGGCTCCCGTGTCGGTATCTAACAAGGCAAATGCCTATGGGGGACCATGCGTTGACCCTTACGTATCAGTACCTTTCGTGGCAAACAGCCTACGTGTCTAATTCATATTAACTGTAGTTCCCCAGTAGTGCTGCACATGCCTTTAACAAGCCTTTAATGCTACTCATTTTGAAAGTCTCCAATAGTGTGCGTTTTGGAGCTGTATCGTCTGCCGAGACGGTATCTGAAAGCCGTTTGACTAGACCCAAGCTATACCATGTGGCTGCCTGAGACTGTTCTGTCTTAAGCATTATTACCCTGTACACTTGTTTGTTACTGTGATCATTCTAGTGTGGCACTTAGCAACACATCGTATTTTGTTGCCAACAACCTTCCAGGCAAATCCACTAAACTATTGCCAGTGGTAAAACAAACCGGGAGTACAAGTGCGCGATTTCGCGAAACCGTCCCGATCTTTTATTGCATCTATTACAGACACACAGAAGCGAAGCGTAGAAGGACATGTCTGTAGTTTATCCTATTGCAGATATGCCAATACGGAAACCAAGTTCTAGGGTAGACAATGGTCGCTACATGCTGATTCTGATGCGTATGCCGCTGAGCTCATGAATCCAAAGGAATACTTGGCCTTATTTAAATATTTTGGATTTGGTAGGAACTTGGGCCCAGGAACACTACCGACATACCCATGCTCCTAATCTTGAAGTGAAAGCAATGCCGCTACGCCCGCTTTTACTGGCACATCAGGTGAGCCCACACATGGAAGCTCAATGCTAGTGATATAGTTTGTTGAGTGACCTGTTGTCGAGAGTGTTCCTTTACGACTAGGCACCTTATATAAAGGGCACATGTAGACTGAAGCAGACTCCGGCACGCGGTCCTTTTGAGGAAGAAACCATAGCACTGGAAGTTCCTCGAAGAGCACTTTCGGGCGGGAAGGAGCCTGCAGAGAGGAATGCAACAGCAAAAGACGACTATTTAGTGTTCCTACACTAGGTATGTGCCAACATGCGGTGATATCCTTTTTCTTTATATTGCCAGGTGCCGCCGGATCTTGAGCTAATTTATATTTGAGCGTGGATCATTACAACTAATCCAGCTACAAGAAATACATGGCGTACTAGCGTCCCCAGTTCTGCATCCCATCGGCATCCTTCCAGGAATATGCCGTGGACGAGGCATCCATCACGTGCTTCCAACGACAATTCGTCTGTGTTTTTGAGCACGATGAATGCAAACGACAGCCTATCGACGGCAACACGATACTTTCGTGCATAGTTTTGGAGCACTCCAGTGAGGAAAGCCTGAGACCAGGAAACTTGCACATCGACTTTGACAGACGCTAAAACTTCCTGTGACTCCGCTATCAGGAATCTGCGATTGGATTTGGTGCATTAGATTAACTGAGGTCAATATCCCACCTGGGGAAAAAAGAATCCGGACATCCAATAAGACCTGGGTGGGCCTTGATTGATCCAGGTATGGATAAAAGTGAGCCTTGCGGTTAGGTCTTTCAGCCAGGAGGCAAGCGGCTTCATGGATACAAATCCTTTGTCTGACCACGCTTTAGGGACCTGAACCGTACATCAATCCAGTTTCACCATTTCCGCATTCCCCTTGCTGCGCTTATGCTGGCATTTTTCTCGGTACACCTACAACGTTGCAGATACTATCTCACCTGATTATTAAAAAGAGCCTCCGAGACCATTTCAAGTTCTTCCGTCATTACAATGCGCCCTTTAAGTGCCAGGCGAAGATCGTTCATCGTCTTATTTATGACTGCTAGCAATCCATTGTATCTGGACACCAAGCAAAATAGGGGAGCTTCAAGCATTATTCATGCTCTATTTAGTCCTTTTCCTGTTACTCGTTTCTTAGAAGCTGGCTGCCCTTCTCTGACGCTCTGTTGATAAAAGCTGTCGTATTCCGATACAAAACGTGTCAAACCGTGCTAACCTGATAGATTCTTGCACAACCAGTGTGTTCATTGACTCCTCGTAACGAGTAGGGTATCGTTCTTCGACACTTTCCACATCAAATGGCTCAGGCAGCAAAGACTGCACGTATGCGGCAAGATCGGAAACAGTGGACTCGGGGCAAGAAGAACCGGCCGAACGGCTTTGTGGGACCATCGAGAGAATCCCGTCAAGTAGCTCCTGTGCACATGCGCATCAAAACAAGCCCAAGATGTGCTTATCAGCTGTGTTGAAAGCGCCTTGAAATCCAATGAGCAAGAGCTTCCTGGCTGACCTATACCCCGACGGCGAGGATACACTAGCATCACCGTGAGATGTCTAGCATACCTTTCCCTCCATTTTAGCGCAGTTAATGTTCGCATTTTCATGTAAGCCGAACACTTCCGGTTGAGCGTTCGGCGGCAGTGATTGAATATACTTGTTGAAACCTTCTATGTCCTCTTCATCGGGGCAATAGTAAATTCCGGAACGTGAAAATTTGAATGCTTCACCCTAAGAGGTCGAAAAACTAGCAGCGCGGGCAGTATTGCATCGGTCTCTTTGTGTGACAGCCCTTGGTATGGCAGTTCAAAAACTAATTATTAATAGAGCTAACAAACCTCGGAAATAAGCCTCTCGTTGACATAGGTGCTAAGGATGGCATCGATGAGCCGTTTGTCATTTGCGTCAGTAACACGCCCGCCGTAGTTTATATGAGCCCCCAAAAATCTCAGTACCTGTTGACGCACAGACCCTGGATGGCTGCGTATTTCAGCCCGTAGAATTTCAGACAGCTGTTCGGTCTGTGCTCAACCGCTTGTTCTTTAATTGCTCAGGGTTTTCGCGACTTTCGGTATTTTACCTTGTATGGAATCTTTTCATTTACATCCAGGAATATCTTTAGCTGTCTTTGACAGACAACCAGGTCATCCTGGGTGAACTCGTAGGGAATGTTCCATCCTATGGGACCAAAACGTCGGCGCTCCTAGGGGGAAGAAAAAACATATAAAACAGGCTCTCAGTGTTGCACAACGTGACAAGGGAAAATATTCAAGAAGAAAGTTGCCTGGATGGATGTATAAACGCTGTTATGCAAGAATAGGAGAGGATCATCAAACGAGGGAGCAGAGGCCTGTTGCTAACAAGCCCTGACCTGAACTATTGCATGGAAGAAGCAAAATGCGAAAAGCAGCTTTCTGAACTGTGAAGGCTTCTGTGTTGCTTTGAGCTGGCGGTTGTCTATGCTAGAGTATAGCCTCTGCAAGTTGGCCTTCAGACCCTTTGGAGGCTCGTTAGTCATCTTCACGCCGTTTTGTAGAACAGATACTGGGAACGAAGACGATGGCATAGATGTTAACCAGAGCCTACAACAAAAAACAACTGTCGGTATCGGTTTTTTAGCCTTTGGGTACAAACTTAGCTTTCGTATATTTTGCAAAGGACACAAAAAACAACAGTGAATTAATGCATCAAACCTAAAATCTCGATGTATTTCTTCGGGATTCCACTGCGCGCAAATCCGTTCTAGTTCATTCATCCACGAAGCAGCAAGATGACAATTCTGCAGGAGAACCCATCCTCCTCTACTACAGCCATCCTCTATAAGTTTTGCTGCTTTCGGTCCCTGGCCCTGACCTGCAGATAATAGAGCACGTCTACCGAAGTATGCGCAAACAAATTTATTAATAGAGAAGGGCATCGATCATAACAGAGACGAATTCTAGATAGTGTTCAAAAAGCTCACACCAGAATTAGCGCGAACTATTGTGCTGGGTGGGGTTCTTACCGAGGGATATGGACTCAAAGCGCCTGCTCATTTTCATTTCCTTTGCAAAGCTAAGGAGCTCAGATACTGGGTCAGAACCTTGCGACAAAATGAATATCAACGGAGTCTGTGGAGTGGAGTCCTTATAGCATTGCGATAAATTAAATGGAGGTGGCTCCAGAAAGCGAGCACCCAGCTCCATGGCCACATAGCTGCTTGCAGCAGCTGTCAGGGAGTCCATGCGAAGTATCCGCAGGATACACATTTTCTGAAAATAAGGTAGTAAACAGCCAGGGAATAGGAACATTTAAATGCCACATGTTTCAAAATTGATGCTCATGCAAATTTGCGTATACGGTTTTGTAATGACTGCGCGAAGGGTCAGGTTTTAGAAACATACCTGAATGGGGTTAAGAGATTGCCAACGACCGGGTAATGGCTCTTGATCTGCTTGAGGTGAGTCGAAAACCCTCTGGAATCCTTCTTCGTTAGCATGAAAAGAAGCCGCGAGTCCATTGAAAGCAGGCAGATGCGAGAGCTCGCAAATGGCCTGCCACTGCTTATCCGTTAGCCACGAAATAGGGTTTTCCTCTGAGCCTGCTCCAGTTATTGTTCCCGTCAGTAAGAATCGTAGCTCTGCGGGATCCACTGGAGTTTTTGCTTGAACCTGTCAAGGGAAAGACTGCCTACGGGCTATAGTATCTATACATGGGTTCCTTTGGATATTTTCTGAGCAGCCGAGATTGGATTCCTGCTTACCAAATATAGTGACTGGGTGCTTCACTTGCACATTCACACCAGTATATTTAACATTAAAGGGAAAGAGAAAGATATAAGTAACATACTCGCAGGCTGAGGGCGAATGCGAACAAGAGTTTGTGCCGCACAAAGAGAGACCTAGATACGTTTTGGTACACTAAGTATGAGATATGCTCCACCAGCGACAGGGTACGCTGCTCTACATTCGAAGTTGGGGAAGCCTGGACACAGCGCGACAAAAAACAACCATAGAGCTATCTGCCTGACAGGTTGCGGTGCCAACTGGAGAATATAATACAGGGCTATGCAGCACGCAAAGAGCTTTTGAACCAGTTGGACACTGCCGAGTACTATATCCCCAAACCCCTCCTGACCTCGCTTAGGCCTACAGAAACCAAATTTTGGAACCACTGCTGAGAGTATTGATACATAGGCTCGATGCACGCCAGCTCGACGAGACTGAAGAAGAGTTGACTGCATCGCGATGCCACTTTCCTGTAGCATTGCCTGACGAAAGAAATTAGCCATTCACAACATTGCATATGCTGGAAGGCGGAAGGTACCAAGAAGCACGAGTTGTACCAAGTTTTGTAAATCATACCGTGCTTCGTCAATCTCGTGCTCAGTTAACTCGGCTTCCCGAACCTTTTCTTGAATCTCTTCCGAAGTCTGCTTCGATGCGGCTAGAGTTGTCAATAATACTTCATCATCTAAAATGTTCCCTTGCGACTGTGATATGACTTGAAGGATTTTGTCCTGGATTCCCTTGAGCTCACGACGCATATCTGCGCTACTTTGTGCTAGCGCAGCCTTTCGCTCTTCTAGCTGTGGGGCTTCTTTGGTCACAACGAGGCCCAGCATTTGGTCTTCTAAGCCTGAAGTAGCGAAGGATGCCGAAGGAACACTTGTTGGAGAAATTCCTACCCCGAGGATTCGATGGCCAAAGCTTGCGAAATACCCTTAGCAGCCTGTTATGCAATTTTCGGAAACGTGTGCCACAGTGTAATGCCACCTTCCTGGGTAATTGCAAAGTTAACAACCGTGGTCTTGACAAACGTGTCCACGGGAAACTTGGGGTTGGGAAGCTTCGTGGTTAGAAAAAGTTTAAAAGTAGGGCCCCATGGAATAGGCTTGTCTCCTAGCATAATAGTGTAGCCTATAGCAAATAATGCGCCATAACTGAAACTCGATATCACCATTTATTGAGGGCCAATTGTGCTGGCTCGAAGACTGCTCACATAAGTGCCTCCTGCCATTCCCACCTGATCCACTTTTGGCCCTTTGCTGCAGAAGAATGGGGTCAAGAGAAGGGTCAAGCGTCTCTGATACGTGCTCAATTAAAACCCATTTTCCCAACTGAACAGAAAGCTCGAGTTCCCGCATGAAAGTTGCATCCGATAACTTCAGAACTTCAAATCCAACATCTGTGTTTTTTCCAGTTTTCTTAATGAAGCGGTTCGCTTGTCCCTGGGAATAACGCGCCCGTTCGAAACGTTGTGTGTAAGCGCGATGCAAGACGAAATTGGGTGCAGCAGCATTCACTAGTGATTTAAACATGCGCCGCTCAGCCATCCTGACACTCCTTGCAGCTTTCTGGCGCACCTGGGGATCTATCATTAGTGGCCATCGCCTTGATTTATCTATAATGATTCCGTTTTGGATAGAAAATTCGTCATTTGGTAGCCCCCAGACTGTCCACTGCCTAATAACTACAGGGTCGCCTGTACCCGCAAAGTGAAGCCTGTACACAAATTAATTCTATGACTGCCGCCATTACAGCGCATACTACACCAGCGTAGTAAATGCTGTCTACTGTTTACCTAAGAACTGCTGTAGCCCGCATGTAGGTTTGAATGGCAGATGGTTCAAAAGCAGCCGCTGAGACCACTGAGTATTAAGCTCTCCCCTATATGCCGCTGTAAAGGGCCCAGCATATGTGAGCATTCCAGCACTGATAAGAGAGTGTCCTGAGCACAAAAAATGAAAATAAGACAGATATAAGTAGAATACTCTTCCTCTCATGTCATCGCTTTGTGAAACGCTCCAAAAAATGACAATTAACCGACCTGAGATGTAGCGAAAATTATCCTTTGATAGGCGTGCCTGTTCCCCCCAACGGTGCTTTTCATCTGCCAGTCCCACCAGAAGTGGTTCGGCCCTTTCCAGTTTTTTCTTGCAGCTTTGAATATCTATGGTAAGTTGTTCCTGTGTCCCCACATAATCTGTATTGGCTTGTTTATCTGTAGGGTCTCGTTCGCATGTTCATGCACGGGAGGCGCTCAAGCCGACGTGTTGCGCGTTCACTATCCTATCAGTAAGGCCATTTAAAAGGCGTCACTACAGTGTATCACTATAGTATATTTGTTGGAAGCGGGTATTCTCAGTGGCTTCAGTTAATGCCTGCATTAGCTTTATAATTGTTTTTCCTACACGGGCCTCGCATTATTTAAACAGGCAGCCGTCGGTGGCTAGCTAGATTATCACAGAAGGCTCGGTGTGCAGAGTATAGCTGTATCAATTAGTGATGCTTGTGTGATCACCTTTCTATCAACGGCTAGGGCAAAATCCGCTGCGAGCCGCTCAATTTTATCCTCTACCTCCTTGAGTCTGGCCTTTGTTTTCTCGAGATTCTCGATTGTTGCGCGCAGCTCTTCTTCAGCTTGCCGTAATTTGACTCGCTTTGGTGCTACGGTTTTTGCGACGTTGTAGTACTTGAACATCGCCCGCACCCACATGCAGATCGCCTCGCAAGCTACCGATGCCTTCCGAATAGCTGCTGGATCGAAATCACTTCTATCAATATAAGGACTGATTGTTGCAATGATTGAATCTGGAATATTGTCCTGTTGAAACCACAGTGAGGGCTTTGGGGAAGCTATAGACTTGCTGTTACTCTGACACGAATTGCAGAGGCGGGTGCCAAAAGCCAAAAAATTGTCGTTCACCTAAGCTAAACTTGACACTTGACCAGTCTGACTGGTTCTTCCATCCTAGTGATACTGACCTTATCGTACTTCAAAAGATCTTCCAAAAGCTTCTTGGGATCTTTTAAAAGCCTGTGTTGAGCTGATTCCCAGTAGTCCTCAATCTTTACACCAGGTTTGAAAGGGTCTGGCTTCTTTACTGGAAGAACCTAGAATGGTGAAAACGCTCGAGACCACGAAGGCTTGTGTAGTCCAATGTTGAGCCCTTTGGCGCACATATCGTTTTGAAATCAGTAGGCTCGCGACTTACCCCAAACATGATACAGACTGCTTCCATCGTAAGAATGACGCCCGAGGGTGGCTTTGTTAGGGCTTTAACCTCTCGTATATGATCAGACTTCAGCTTTTTAACGCATTCAACAGCTTCTTCAAGTGCCGGAAGTGCTTCGTCTAGATCACGCTGCGCATCATCCTTGAGAGCCTGTGTCTCTTTTGCTTTTTTCAAAGCGACCGCTTCATCATGCGCTACTACTTGCTTGGTCTCGTCTGCAAGAGCGTGGTCTTTCTGAATCTGTATCATAGTCTTCTCAACCTGCAAAAGCGCAACACCTTGTTTTTGAGAAACAGCTGTTGCGCCGTAGCAATATCGCCGTCCACCTAAGTTTTGGGACAGCACTTCAACTATCGTTTGGAGAGCCACTTATTTGCATCTGTAGGGCATAGGTACAGTACATCCATCTAATTGGGGAAGACTTTTACTCCCGATAGAAAAATTCGTGTGTCCAGGTACTTGGTTTCTTCCTGTGCTGCTCAAGAAATTTACCTCCTCAGACGTAGCGTGTAGAACAGGCTGTAATTGTTGAAGCTGGGCCCGCATTTCAGCTACTTGATCCGCTGTTTCTTCCAGCTTTCCTATTCCCTTTTCAAAGCGTTCGTGTACAGTAACTAGCTCCACTTGTTTGGAACGAACGAGGTGAATAAAGGCTTTCAGCATTTCTAAAAACGTTGTTGGAGTCGCATACATGGCCCGATTAAGCTGTTCCCTATAGCTTGCAGCAGTTTCTTGAACGCCGCGATGCATGGCCTGGAGGACATCTACAACCTGCTCTTGAGAATCAACTGACACTTCGCATTTTTCCATTTCTATCTGAGCAACAGAGACTAGCGCCTCTGATGGCCACTGAAAGACAGCAGCAGCAACAAAAAGATAGTGACGCAAATTTTCTTCTTTGGTTGTGTGAAGTTTCACTCAGATAACAGTCTTTTTGAGCATATCTCTGTCCGGAGCGTCCAATAAAAAGATCTTTGTTTAATAAACTCCCTCAAATTATCGTAAGCCAACATAATTACCTCGGAAAACCAATTAATCGTGCAGCAGTTTGTTAATGAAGGGAACATTCTGAGCCAAGTACGGAAATATTCCCCCAACGGGCTCATTGCCATAATGATGTGAAGATTGGCCTTCACTTTTTTCACGTAAGCGTTAAAGATGTTTCCTCTTGATGGGTTTATACCCTGCTGCTTGCAGTACAACCTGAAGGCGCATAAGCGAACTAGGAATAGCGCACTACGGGCCAAGAAAACACTGCACGAAACTGTTTTACACTGATCTTCAGCTAAGTAGACACTAAGAATAAAGCCCACCTAAAAACTTTCATAATCTCTTCCATGTCCTCCTTTTTATACAAATTGGGGACGTCTCCATAGCTAAGGGCGCTGTTAATGTCCTCGAGCATAGGTTCCCCAAGTACTTCGGAATCGCACAAAACGAGTGTTTGCACCTTTCCTTCCAAACCCGAATTCATAAAGCACTTCTTTAGTTCCTCGCGCCATTCAGCCATTCCATAACCTGCAAATACCGAATCGATTCATTTGAGAAGAATGAAAGTGGATATTGGCATAAGGAGACACGCCAGTGCACGCACTGCACGGAGCACAAAACCAGGATCCCGAAGCGTTACTTTAAGAAGTCCGCCGCTGCGCTTGAATTACCTTTGCCAGATTCAACTTTGAAGTATTCTGTGTCCATAATGAACGCTGCAAGGCGACTGAGAGACTGTCTCCCTGATCCTCTCACTCCAAGAAGCAGTGCATGACCAGAGGGATGCCGAAGTATGCGGCATATCCTCGTGATATGAGCACATGCATCGGCGAACATCACGAGCTGCATTGGAACTGATGAGGCATTATTATACTCCTGCATATAATCTTCGATTACTCGTTTTAATTCTGCAGGCGAGGTGACTTCCTAACTCACAGGAAAAAGGACGATGGATACAGAACATCTCATTGTTAGCAATTAGTAGATTGACCAAGAGGAACACCCCAAGAAGCGCTGGTCCTAGTAACACAATATTTGGCCTCTCGTCTATGTTGCATACTTGAAGTGATGGGTGCAGCTAGACATACCAAGTAATGCCGCTCGGACGTCTGTTCTGTGAAGTCAGCAAAAATCAGAGATGAAATTTCCTTAGCACTGGCAAACTCAATGCCAAAAGCTTGTTTAATGTGTCGGTGCAGGGCTTCGTGGAACCATTCGCGGTCTATGTCGTCAACTAAACGATCGCAGAATACGCGGCAGGTCTCATGGACCCAGCATCGGATAACCTGCATTACCCAGGCATTGCGGATGCAAGCATCGGTTGACATACCTTCCTCCATTGCATTCACCTTAGTAGGATTGTTCAAGCGGATGTAATGTAATTAAATGTGAAGTTAAGTACTCCCTTCAGGTTTGGTCATGCCGCCAGCTCTGCGCTGAGGTTTATCTTACAGGACGTGCCTCCGCTGTGGAGAAATGGGCACTGTTCAGGAAGCTGCTATTTTCCGTGAACTTAGAGTAAAGAAGTTGAGGTTTTGAGGAATTGAGGAAGACTATATGCTATATTTCATATTGCGGCATCGCATATACTACATTTGTTTGGTCACTATTTGAGTTTTTTCGGAAGTAGTTCTATTGTATTCCACTTTCCTTCATGTAGTTTGTAAAAGTCCTCGATAATTCGGGAGTGTTCACTCATTTAAACAACAACAAGCATCTAGCTTATTCAGTACACGTCGTTTTAGTAAGATTCGATAAATGATTATGAGTGACCGAGCTCCAATAGACCTCTAGAATTCGCTCACCGCTTTCGGTTCCTTTACTGCCTTTGGGGACAAAGGCGCAAGACCCTGGAACACCTTCCAAACTTCTCGCAGGTTAAATGTATAATGAGATTTCGTTGGTGTGGGAAGCAAGGTCATAGTGACTTCTGAGTAGAGGTCAGTTGTCGCGCACACCAAAGAGTCTGTGAGGGCCTGAGTTCCAACCCAAATAACCAAATAGGAGAATCGATAGCACCTGTTCTAGGTATTAAGTGCTCAGACGTGGTCTTAGCGATGGCTGTCCATGAATTATGCAAAATGCCGTGATCCCATGCGTTATGGTTTCACGCTCCTGCTTCAAAGATTCGGATCGACGAATTCTGCAAATGTCAGTGATCTTTTAGCTAGTGAACTGTCTCGTCTAACCTGAATGTCCTGCGAAAAGTGCTGAAAGCAGTGCCTATTCAATGTCTGAAAAATTGTCGTTATTGAAGCTCGCTGAAGCTCATCAAATGCCAAGATGCAGTAATGCCTCATTAATCGAGCAGATATTTCGTTACGTCCGCCCCCAGGGGGGCCCATGGCAGCGACGAGGCCCACTTCCACTACTTGTTGAAAGGCTAGCATTTTGCGATCATACCATCCTTTGTGATCAAACCTAGGCAATAATTTTTGAAATGTCGCAAGGCCACGTCAAGTTGTTAGCAGCTAGAGTGTATCCAGTAGGGGCGGGAGCGTAAAGGAAATCCCCAGTTCACATGCTAGGTTGTACACAAGACTCCACTTACCATTGCCGCAAGAGTTCCAGCGGTGGCTGGGCTCCAAATTCTTCTTTTCGTGGCATGTTGAGATCGTCGATGAAGAAAATACAAGTTTTACCTGCAGGTGGACCATAGATTCCTCTGCGTCTCTTCTCGAGTTTTGCTTCTAGCAAGTCCTATCAGTACATGATTCCCGAAAAGGCAGAACATCCGCTCGTATTGGGTAGTCAGATAAGAAATGAAGGTGGATTAGGAGACCGCAAACGGCTTATGGTTCAAAGCTTGTTCGCCAATTCTTCACTTTGATAAAAGGAATTGAGAGTGCACTAGAGCTTACTTGAACCTGATTTACGCGAGTGTGTGCAGAAAACGTCATTATATGTGTTTCGTAGTTCTCCGGTAACGTCAATAACAGCAGATCCGTCAAAATAACTGACTTTCCAGTACCACTCGGGCCAGCGCATAAAACAGGGTGACCATTGAGGAGCAACAAAGAAAATGTATGGGCTAAACGGATGGAGTCCAAGGTAGGAACGACAATATTCTCATATGCCGCGCCTTTTGGAACAACAAACGACGGTACGGTATCCACCCAAGGAGTCCATCGATGGTTGTTGATTTCGTAGCAGACATCGTAAAGGCTAACATCAGGTAGTATGGTCCCAATATCTAGCCCATGTTCCTTCACACGGCTTCGTAACCATTGATCGATGACTTGCCTACCACTCCCTTGCAGCGCAACAGCGCGCAAACACTCATCTTAGCTCCGGCTAAATCTCCTACGCACTGCTTACCCTGAGGAGCCCCAGTGGTGTACTTTTATGAAAACGGGTGTCTACTTACCATTTGCTGTGATGCCAAAAGACCAAATGAAACTAAAAATGAAAGCTGCCGGTATTCTGGCAAAGAGGGTGTCGACCGTTTCCTCGTTGACTGTGCTGTTTACTTGACGGTAGCGCGAGCATACAGAGCCCAACATTCGGAGAAAAGTCATACAGAGATTGGAATTTACTGTCGCAATGATTTCCTTGCATTGCTTTCTAAGAAGGCAAAGCCCATTGTGGAGAAAGGTGCAGCAGAGGTCATCAATAAGTGTCTTGTGCTCATCCTTGAACACTGGAGGGAGGCCCTTCAACCATGAATTAATGAGTGGAGGGAAACCAAGGACGTCAGGTTCCATATACACCATGCCACATCGGCTTACAGTAGCCGGCGAGGCTACAGATAGGTCCTCCACCTGAGAGCGTACCATCGTACGGGTGCGTTGGAAGTTGCACAGATTTCACCAGGCATACTACTAGTGAGCTGTAAAATAGGCATGTTGTATGTGCGTATTCTGCTTGCCTCGAACATCACCACCAGTCTATTAGTGAGGGCAATAATTTCTCCTGAGTTGAGGCAGAGCTTTTTGTTATCGTCCAGAACAGAGTTCATGCTTTCAATCCACAGAGCGTCTACGGGACCGTCAAACATAATCCAGTGCTGATCCTGCGTTGTATCACGGATTGCTTGACGAATGAGGGCGGCGGCCAAACCATCAGTCCACTCATGCGTTGTTTCATTGAAGCATCCATAGAGCTGGCCTATGGTCACGGATTTAGGGTTCAGCACATCTAAGTGCACCTTCGCGCAACAATAAGGGCAAGGAAAACTGCGGCTACCTACACAGAATCGAAAAGTAAACCTATAGAGAGAGAAGTCTGGATTACTGAAACATCGATAGCTGAGAAGGGAATCAACCGCACCTGTGCGAATCCCGGGATTTTATGAAGTTCAGTCATGGCAGCCGCTAACAAGCGATAACTGCTTGTCTTTCCTCCACCCGTAGGCCCTACAAGCATAATGCCGTGGCGGACCTGAACAGTATCATAGAGCTGCATCACCTTTGCCATAAAAGGCTCAATTGGCTGCAGCCGAAGCGCCTCAGATTGGAGTCTAAGGGCTTCTTGAAGGAGCTGGTTGTCGGATCGCGGCACCTCAACTCCAGGGAACAAATCTGCAACAATGTTTTCAAACAACGGCAGGTCATGAGACAAGAATTTTGGAACGTTGACATCGCGGAGGGCTTGCAGCAGGAGTTGCTGCTCATCCATGCTCTTGCACTTGCGCTTTAAAACTCCTGCAGCGTTGATAACCGATCGCACAGCTCTCATCCCGTAATCATAATGGTCTTGAGAGGATAATTGTTCTGAAGACAATTTGAAGGTTGCAACCATCTTTGTTGCGAGCTCCCGTGCTTGGTCAAATCCAAAGCTGTATAGCATGATCTCCGCGATCATAGAGTAATCTGGCACCTGCGTATGGACGTGCTCGTGGAGGAGTGGAACAATTATAGATGAAGCCAGCGCTAGAGTCACACGTCAGGCAGCTGTGCGCCTATACAAGTAAGGAGTATTTGAATGCGATGCGGAGACAGTGAAAAGCAAATGCCTCACCATCATAGCCATCGGTCTAAATAGGCACTTCAAGTTATCAGGGAGTTCTGTTCTGCCTGCGTATCCAGGATTCATAGTAATAAATACATTAAATGTTGGCTGCACCAAAATTTGTGAGTCTTCAAAATCAACCTCCAACGTTGATTGGTAGCTCAAGAGCTGAGCTTTCGCACCAAAGAGGACTATAAGCTGCTGAGCTATAACAGATAAAACCTGAAAAAAGCATCGTAGAAGGCTACCTGATTGTCAGGAGCAGTCAAAACAGTTTCGTAAAGGCGAAAGTGCTGGCGCTTTGCCACGGACCAGTATTTAACCAGGCCCAGAAAAAATTTGCTGGGATAATATTGGGGTGAACTTCACAAACCTCGATGTTGATACGATTGAATTCATCAAAGCAGCACCAAGCCCCTGATGATGCCAAGCCCTTGAAAAATTTTGCGATCATAATAAAGTCCATCATCTCCGAGCAGTTGAATACAACACACTGAGTTGCCAAAGCCTTTGCCAAGTCCTTTGTGGTCTCGGTTTTGCCTGTTCCTGCAGGGCCTGCGAGGGATCCTCCTACGAGATCATTCTCACATAGGCCGGAGGTGCTGGCAGAGTTATACTTGTAGCTCGAAGGCCAGGTTAGGACGGTAGCGAATGGGATTTTGGGGAAGGAAGAAGTGCTTCACACTCCTGCTCACCAAGATTTAACTGTTGGGCCCCCATCAACGTCATGTATGCCATGTCCGTTAGTGGAGTAATAACGAGCCGGAACGTATTTCCTAGATATTCATATCCATAGGGAAAGTCTGTCTGCACGCATTGAGTCCAGCAATTATCATCTCTCCAATAGTACCGCAGTTGCGCAATCCATTCAAACGCCTCCACGCTGGAGACCTCTTCCTTCCAAAGGCGTTGTACAATATCTTTGGCGTGGACGTCAATGACAATCAATGCTCCAATGGTAATGCTCTGCATGGTGCTAAGGCCCTTTCTCAGCAGCGAAACCTGGGAAACGGAAATGGCAAGTAGACATTCTCGGGCCCGTATATACTTTGCCTAACCATGATAATGCTGTTTGTGTGCAGTATACTAGGTTTCCTAGGGCCGTGATATATTCTTACCAAGTCCAGAAGCTGGCTTGTCTGCGCTTTTAGAAGATTTTTCAGCTGCCCATTTTGAATGGCATCTTCTACCATTGCAGTCCAGTGAACCTGGCTACCGTTTAACACGCACTGCCCAGCATGCTGTGTCACCCATGAAGTCCGCTCCGTCGTCGGATACTCACGTATAGAAGCATGGAGCGACTCTCTGACGGAAAGCTTCATTGTTTGCTCGAGACCCTTCATCCAAATTTCGACGCTTTTCCCACAGGTTACAAGACCCTTTACAAATGCCATCCTCTCGCCTGCATGCGCAATGTAATAGCGTCTTTTGGGTCATGCTGGCCTTCGCGCCACGGATGTGGGCACACAACATTACAAAGTTAAATTAGCGCACCTTCAGCAGAAAGCATTGCAGTAGCCACAAGATCCTCAGAGAACTCGAGATTATTCATGTTCTCAAAGACTTTGCACAGGAAGGGCTGGACCTTAAGGGGGTCAGTAGTTTCCGATAAAATCTCAAGTAGTTCATCGTTTGATAAGAAGTAGAAACGAGCAAATTGGCTACGCTTGAGCTCAAGGTATGACTCCAGTTCTTTCTGTACGCGTTCCATGAGGCGGTTGTTTTCACGAAGCTTTTCCACCAAGCCAGGTGTTGAGCAAGCAGGTAGCACTTGAGGTTCTTCGTATGTATGACGCATTAGCACTCTCCAAGCAGTGTCAACAGTGAAAAACCTGAACGCGTTTCGAGCTGCCGCATTGCAGTGCATCAGCTAATATTTTGCGCCCTACGAGGTGCAAGGTGTTTGATATCACGAGTATGGAATGGTCCTGGATACCTCGACTAACCTCTTTGTCTCCGCTGGCAGCTGTTTTGCTATATCAGGCGAATTGAAAATTGGTTGCAGATACAGCCAACCTCTCTGACACTTGAGCCATTCGTCTAGAGTTTCGGAAGCCTGAGAACATGAGTGTGCCTGCACAAGTGTAGTCCTGTGGCTCAATTTGTACTAAAGTGGTAGTGCGGGAATGCCTCTTAATTAAGGATGTGCTCACATTCATTATCAAATTAGCCCATTCATCGATTTCTCTCTCCAGGGGCTTTTTATATATCGAAAACTGTAGGCCTTGCGTGGTCAAGATGTGCTCGTCAAGCAGAGCAACAATTTCATCCGTCCCTTTCAGAATATACGTATCTGTGTCTTTATATTTCTCTTTAAACTCGAAAACGACTTGTCCCCATTCAGCTTTCATTGCTTGTAGGGCCTGATTGGAGCACACACATTACTCCATAGTTACTTGGGCTTTTTATTGTGAGCGTACTGCCAAAGCCGCTCTGCGGCAGTTCCTCTGACTAACCATTAACACTGGCCATAATAAGTGTGAGCAGTCTTCTCGGCCTCTCGTTGATTACCTTCTCTAGGTAGCTTTCCTTTTCAGCGAGTTCTCCAAGCTCTACAACAAATTCTGTGCAGTCGGCCACGCCTTTAGCCAGCAGAGAATTTAATGTTAAGGTGGACCCGTCGTGAAGCTGCGGCTTGCCAATGCGCTCGAAAAGCTGCAGGGCAGGGATACAGAGGCAAAAAACGTTCAGCAAAATTTGTACCTCAGGAAACGGCATTTGCGCTTTGTTTAGGTATTATCCTATGTCTTTCGTTGGAAGCAGTCAATAGAGAAAACGTAGCTTACTCTGTTCCAGTGTCGCTCGCGCATTCCATCGTTTCGCAATGACACAATGATGGGAACAAGGGGCTTGAAGCCGTTCAGTTCGGTTGTAATTTCTGAAGCCTTCTCAAATACAGCAGGTAGGCTGCGCTCCTGGAAAATTTTTTCCACCCGACGGAGCGCCTTGATACCTCCACACACCTGCAGGAATGTCGGCATTCAGAAACAGACATTGCACGAATGCTTCTTAAAGCACTTTTCTCCGTTGAAGCAGCAGCAAACAAAGAATAAAATGTGTGGAATATAGGGAAAATACGTCTGCCACTGGCTAGGAAGCTAGGGATGCACTTAGCTTCAAAAGTGGAGGATTACACACCTGCCTCTCAATGTCAAAAGCATCCAAATCAGCGAGTGTAGCAGTATAGATAGAATCTCGTGTAATGCTCCATTGATACGCAGTACGCCAGAGGATGGAGTAGGGCTCAAATTCCTGAGTATTATTCGCACTCCTCCGTTAAACCACAATACATAGTTATCTTTGCAGGTAGCTCTGTGATGTGTACTGTCGCAACGTACTGCTGACCTTCTGCAGCTTCGCGAGAGAAGAGTAGTCTGTAACTTCTCGTCCAAAAAGCCGCTCTCTGTGATTGAACAATTTGGCTTGCTGAATACTTGTTTCAAGTCGCTCGCTGACAGCCAGGACGCTGTCGTTGGCTTCCGCTAGCTTTGATGTGTCAGTAAAGGTGGCAAAACTCGCTACCACGTCAGCGACGTCGGTGATGGTAGCTGAAAACTCGCACTGGAAACCAGACAAGAACCAAAAGCCAGATAACACTAGGTATACTTGTCCTTGTGCAGCTGAGGGTGAACGCTGTGCTGTAATCTATATGTTGAGCTGATGGCGTCATAAACAGGGGCATCAACAAGTAGGGAACAAGTGAGGATTGCGTTAAGGGTGCGATCTAAACTACCTGCTGCACAAGCATCTCATCAAGGAACCTTGCTCTGTCTTTGATAAATGCAGCAGATGCTTCATTCATCAATTCAAGAATATGAGCAGGGGACCCGTAGAGGCGCCAGCGCAGATTGTAGTCCTCGACAAGTAACTGTACTAGTAACAAAATACATAGGCAGGCGCTTAGCTATAAGCAACTTTAGCAGGTAAACTGATTATTGCTGCACCAGCCTTCCCACACACGCCACACATAAATTATGAGTTACAGCGCTCTAAGCAGCCTGCAAAAACTAGAGCTCCGACGACTTGCCACATGCCCCTCCGAAAATACCCGATATTACCCTCACTCTATATTTAAAAGCCTCCAGCACTTCGAATATGTGCAAGGCCGATTTGATCTTGATTGCAAGATCCTCAAGCTTCGTTGGAATATCATCCATATACTCCCGTAATTCGGTGAGTTCCTCGATTCCACCTGGCCGCCTCAACAGCGTAGTGGAGATCCGCATAAACTCCTCAAGGGTCTGATTGCACTGCTCGCGGAAACTGATTCACAAAGCAGGACCCGTTGAACCGAACTTGCATGAGATAGCTGGAACTCCAGCAATCTACACCCAATACACGCCAAAAGCACATGGGAAGAGAAGTACACAGAACTAGGCATACGCCAGAAAATGTCATATAATACCTTACTGTGAAGAATCCCAAACGTCGAATACAGTACGCAGCAATGGTGCTCTCTTAGCATGAAGAGGGAATGGACATGCAACTTACCGTTTTGCGAGTGCATCGAGAAGGAGCTGAGAAGCTCCTCGTAGTATTGACTTTAAGTTGCCCCTGATTTCTTCACAAGAGACCCGAAACACGCCGACGGAGACTGAATTCGGGATTTCGTCGTCTATTTGTCTACTCCTCTGTGATCAATGCAGAGTCAGTGGGCAATGCGATATACATTGGAAGGCAGCTACCATCCTCAGGGCTGAACGCTTTTAGTGGCACTGTTGGTTAACTTCGAAACCTTTTATGGATGCGGATTCTTGGCTCCTGATTACCTCGTGAAAACTATGAATTGCATGCCTGAATGCCTCGGCAACGTCTTCAGTTGTGGCTCGCTGTTCAGTCTCCTCAACGACGTCTGTTAAGGAGAGGCAGAGGACGTCAACAAACGGGTGGAATTGATCGAGAAACAGCTGTAGGTAAGGGGTATGTGATTCAATGAGGCGCAAAATAGTTTTTTTACTATCCTGAACTCACAAAACTCATGAAAGCGCATGGAGATAAGGCCTGTAATACTAGTTTAATAAAGATTCGATGTATGGGATGCTGCTGTAGGCGTGGGCAGTTGTTATCTCCGGAGAGAGAGGGCACTACTCCAGCAATGGCTGAAAGCTCGTGGACCCTTATGGCTACGGCAAGAACGAGTAAGTAAATAGAAACCCGTGCACTCTTAAATGTCATGGAACATTGGCCAGCGTTGATTTGGCTCTACCTGCACAAGGCTTTCGTCCAGAGTTATCGGCATGGCAATATGTTTTTGCTGACTCTTGAAAAGGTGTGGAAGAACAATGGTTTCTGGATGAGGAATATCTCCCATCCGCGTAATCCTGAAAGCGCATCACATGGTAGAATTCTACGCCTAGTGAAATGCAGTACATTATACACGTGAGCCTAATGCTTTCGTGGTGCTCTTAGACTTGCCCTTTCTCTAACAGCTCGTCGGTCGCTTCCGAAAACCCCTCTGGTTGCGGTGTCAACATAAATTGCGAGCCGTCTGGGGAAGGAACAATTTCTAGGAGGAAAAGGCCGTTCCATGAGAGTTCTCGGTCTAATGACTGGACTTTGGTTTCCTCATAGATGTTTTGAACCTTTGAGAGGGACATAATATTCACGGTCTTAGGCGTTGAGGTGCGGAACAGCTCGACAAAATCATTTATTGATCGTGTTGTCATCTCGCTGAGCAATTCGCAGAGAATATAACCGATGCTTCATACGTTAAGATACCTTCATACTGGTAGTGGATAGTACACCTTGAACTGGACAAAAAATAATCGAGAGACAGAACATGTCGTAAAGCTTACCGAAGAGCGTCCCTCATGAGCAGGCGGGTCAGGATGAGCATCCGTTTGACTTTACCGTATTCATATGTCTCTTTGTTGAAGTGGTGTATGTTGAACCAACCCTTTCCAACATGGCGCAGATTTGTTTCAATTATTTCATGCAGTTTGGTGGCCCATGCCTCCTGTAGGAAGTAGGTTACCTGGCTCCAGCACAAACCAAATGCTCTTGAACAGCAATGAGTTACTGCAGTGAGAGTCCTGCAAGCATCAGTTCCTGTGCTCTCAGTTCAGTCTCCATGCAAAAGGAATACGAATGAGTCTTGTTACCGACCTGACTTATCGAGACCCGTTGCGTTTGCCGGTACTCATCAAGCTTCAGCGCCTGAAAAATGTGGCCGCAAGCAGGTCCGTCATTGAACCATCAAAACTTATAAGAGCCACACAGGACAAGCATTGAGCCTTTCAGAGCTAATGATAGACTAATAGTCGTTTTGTACTTTGACAGAATATATTAGGCACTACATCTTACTTTTGAAAACGATGTGTTGAAGATGCGCTTGTTCAGCATGTCGACGCATTCCCCACGAATGCTGACCAAGGCTTGTATAACTTCCTTCTTTACGTAAAGAGAAGACGAACAAAAGGAAGCAAAAGCTCTGCAGAAGTCATATCTAGGAACGTGGACCAAGGCGCACCTGAGTGGAGTCAAAGACGGCATATCGCGCTCCGTGCACACTTGGGTGTTGTATTCAGCTTACAGGTTATTGCTAAAGCAGCTGTCCTAAGGCTCGGCATCTGGTTTTCAATGGTGTTCAAACGCTTCAAGGCGGGGCCTTCTCACCATGCAACTGCGCGAGGCTTGGTTGGTGAAGGTAACTGTAGGTCCATATGCAGTCTCTTGTCCGTATTGCGCCCCATAAACATGTCAAACGCAATCTTGTTCATCGTTCGAGCAAAGCAGGTGTTTACTTCCTTCAGTAGAAAATCTACTGTGGGTTGCTTGTAGAGGCGCATACGGGGGGAGCTCAACGCCTTCTCCATCACGCGTTTGCGTTGCACTTCGTCTGCATTCACTCATCAGTGAAATCCTTTGCAGTTCACAAAATGGCGGCAAAGAGCAATGTAGTGCGAACTCTTACCGTGGTGTTACCAAGCAGGGGATTTTGAACATGAATGGAAACATGTAGCTGCACTTGCCCAGTCCCGGGATGTCACTCGTAGGCATGCTGTCTATGTAGTAGTTATACTGAATAAGGCATTCTGCAGCCGTCCTATAGAACAGAAAGTAGCATCTTTGGAACACAAACAAACCTTGCCCTGCGGCTGTGCGCAGAGCTCCGTTGGCAATTATTCTACATGCAGCAAATCAGTTCAATGATTGTGTCTTGAGGTAGCTCGAGATAAGGGCAGAGCAGATTGCCTATCGCTGATTCCCTACCTTGACAGGTGTGCTGCCTGAAGACGGTCAGCAAATTTTATAGGGTCTTCGCACTGCAGAGCATACAGCAGCGCACCTGACCTTGTCCGTTATGAGGTAACAAGGCCGATATACTGAAGCCTCCCGATCTGAAGATTTTCTTTACATCAAACACGGAGCAATACCTTAAAAAGTAGTTCAGTACGCAGCAGCTTGGATTTTTCGCCATGGTCGCACCACTGGACCTCAAACATATTAGACTTCTCGTCATACGCTAAGACCCGACACGGTTCCCATTTGTAGCCCCCATATGGGGGCTGAAAAAGACCCTGACGACCACAAGCGCCAGCACAGACAGTGTTGCCGTTGCAAAATGACAAAATGAGATGCTGGTGGCGGCCGACCCTTTCATGTCGTGCACCCAAACATCAGACGCCTCTGTTGAGTTTGACCAGTGGTTATCACAGTGGCAGTATTGATCCTCATTTTGAAATAAGAACGGCAAAGCTTTCATTTTTCTCATGCCTGCTTCCAACAGCCAAAGAGTATACCTTTCCAGCCAAAGGCAAAAATGAGCCATCCGGGCCTTTGCTGAGAGCCATCCATTCTTTTGGAGAGCGATCATCGAAAGTAGTGTCATCGAATGGTTCTAAGGGTAGCCTGTGGAAAGAGCTAATGACAGCGGCCATTCAATAGGCATGATTTCAGCAAACTACTGTGTCACGTGGACCCAAGAATGTTCTACCCATAAACTGCCAAAACAATTTTGTAGCAGACTTCTCCCGGTTTACAACTGCCCCGTTATCTTCGTAACTACGGATGAGGCGGCTTTCAGCATTTTTGCTAGACATTGGTTGAAGCTGACCAACTCTTGGCTCCAAAACATGGATCTGCGTAGTTGATCCCCCTTTCGGCGAGCAGTTGTTCTATATCCAGGGCCTCAAAGACCCTACGTTTGCGCTCGACCAATACCTGACGAGGCGCCTTGGCAGGGCGGTGGTCTTTCGACGCAATTACTTTGGGCTCCACTGGGGCGGTGTCAGAATCAAGTGGATTTGAAAGTCCTATAATAGATCACATCGCTTCCCAAATGAAGATTCGAGCTAATGAACTACCAACGAACTACCTACATGCGCAAGTCGTTATCCTACCCATAAGACAATTTAACTGCGAAAATGGAGGTTGGTTGATTAGGTACATTAGATTCTATGAGTGCATTTATGCTGTGCGGTATATGCAGGGGCTCCAAGGGCGGCTTTAATCGAGCTTCGCGTAATTAATTGTATTTAGCACATGCTGTTTGACCCCAGAGTAAAGCTCCTACTGCATTGTACAAACCTTTCAATGCTGTGGCAGCACACTGAAATGAAGTGGCAGGAATGGTGGATATCATAGTGGATTCTTGGTCTCTTGCCTCTTCTGGAGGACCCCTCCATGCCTGCTGCAAAAATAGCACGTACTAGACGCTATGAAACACTCAAAAGAATATAAAATGCCTTCAAGCCGCTAGCTGAGGTGTAATTCCTGGTATAATAGCATGCTTAGATACATGTGCTACACTTACAACTAACCTGAAAAGCAAGCATAACACCAGTCCAATGATTTCAAAAGAAACTTGCAATCAAAAGTCAAATTGGGAAGGCTTTACTGCCATCCCTTGTCAGTGAAGTGCCCCTTCATTCGGCCTACCACTAATCCATCACGAAACAGGCTGCAGAGACTGAGTGTCTCACCCTGGAAGCCTGTGAGTGGTGAATCCTGAGGGCCTCTGAGTAAACACCCCGTTCCATGTAGTCCTGTCCCGCTAGTCCCACGCTAGGCATAGGGCATGTGGGGTCACGGTCTCCTGGACAGTTGGAAGACCCGTGGCAGCAGCTCATTTTCACTCCATGCAGACGTCCTTCCCCAGACAGTTCGGCGCAAAGCAGCTTCAGCCCCTCCCCCGGGGTCTTTCGTATCGGAGACTTAGACCGTCGTATGAGCTTCAGATTCGGCCACAGCACATGACGTACATCTGTTTTTCTCACGGCTTGTGCAAGGCAGCCTACCTCCAGGTGTACTAGTCCTAACGAAAGCCTCGTAGCCTAGTATTATAGTTGGTTGTTGTGGCTGCTGCTCCTAACAGTGGTGCGTGGATGGCATTTAGCCTCTTCAAAAAGGACAGTGGTATCTTTAGCTTCCAAGGGTCAAAGGCATTGGCCGTTGGAGTCTCTGTATTTGAGACTACGCCTTTTGAGATACAGAGTTTGCCCATCCGGCTTAAGTGTCCAAGAAATACGCAGGAAACACTCCTGGTATGCTAAGTAAGTGGGTTTTGGCGCTGCAGCACAAAACGTCGCTATTTAGCTCATGTAAGGACTGCGTTAAAGTATTAAGATGGCTTTTACACGAGTTAATCTCTGACTGTCTCGTGCATGCGTGTTTTCAGCCCGGGAGTACCCGTATGACGTAGACTACGTTATTGCAAGTGACCTAGGACGCCACAAAGACCTGCCTGTTTCGTCCTGCATCGAGACAGGAATGTGAAGTGAGCATGGGTGCTTAGGAACAACAACCAAATGAAGCAACGGTTGAGCCGTATTCCGGTTTTTGCCGGGTCTGCGGACTCAATGCTTTGCGGACTGGTCGAAAAGTGAGCAAAGCAGCAAGGAATTCGTTGTCATCAAACGGGGCTGCCCAGGGTTACTTTGGACAGTAGTCTTATTGGAGCTCAGATTCGAGGCTTTAAGTGTATAATGAGTGAAATCATACATATCTTCTGTTAGTTGAGCGCAGTCTTCCCATAGATCACACTGCAGAACAAGCAGCCGCGCCCTATCTACTGTTTTAGCGCACGTCAGTCAGTGCTCCAGTAATAGAGAGCACACATGATTCACGAAGAGGTAGTTGTACTTTTTAATAACTCTCAGTGTAAGTGTTGCGATTTGTTCTATCAAAAGGTGAAAGCAAGGAGTAAATGCATTCAAAACGCTAGCTATCCTCGACAGGAGTGGGGCCACAGGCACTGCAGGGCACGTGTGGCATTTGACTATAGCCGAAAGTACATCTTTCTCTAACCACGCTTCTCTAGACGATTTTATGTGTTTAAATTGTACACTTGTAGCTGTTGCCAGAAATACATGTTGAATTATGCTACTCTGGGGAGTGGTACAAGCGTACACATCCAGACCAAGTGTTGGCAGGGCAGGGTAATCATTCAGGAGCCTGTAGGAACCAGAACGGCAATAGGCCTGAGCCCGACGTTAAAAAAGAGGGCATATGGGTGCTGTACGTGGCAACTGACAGCTTCTAGCAGTGGTGTAGCAGCAGCTGCCAATGCTTGAATGGGGATATTATTTCGAAATCGCATCCACATTTTCCTTAAACTATAATCTATCTCATACACCTTTGCGATCTAAACCTCTGAGCCTGAGGTGCCTCACTACCACAGGCACTACAATGGTCGAGCACAACGTCAGGTAGGGTTGGAGCAAGCTGTACCAACCCACGATTAGAACCTGTCACTATGCGACAAAATAATTAGTATTCGCAGACTCTTATCGCATTCAAACCTATGTGCACATTACTTAACACTCTATTAGGCGATTCTTTCTAAGAAAATCTTCCGGAACTTATCACGCCGGGGCCTCGACAGTTGCGATTCGAATAGTGGGGTCAGCGGGATGCGAGAGGTATACTGTGCAACGTAATATAAACAACTGAGTTTATATGTACAAAGAGCTAATATAAGCGAGGCCACCTAAAAGGAATTGTTTGAAGAGTATCAGTAATAGATGAGCTAAGTTTTCCCCATGCACTTCAACTTAGTGTGTGGAATTGTGTTCGCAGTGCCGCAATGATATCAAAGGTTGTTATTTTACCTACTGTTGTTTGAAATATCTACACGTGTCTTGTACCCTACCTTTTTGTGGCCTTAATATGTGGACATCAGCCTAATTCAGTCATCTGCAAGTTACCGGTTTGTTTTGAACTGTCAGCTGTCTACTGTTTTAGAATTGATTGCAGTCTGTCGCATCCGTGATGCTCGCTTAAAATCCTTTATGATGTAAAAAACCATTTAAATTGGGCAGAAGCTCTTCTCAAAGCATAATAAGCAAGTACTGAAAGTGGGTGGAATCCACCAAGGCTTTCTGCACTCCGAAGCAAGAATAGGGCGTTAAAAATGTGCTTCGAAGAGCCTTCAATGGCCCGGAGGAATTGAAATGAGCTGGTTGCCAAGACTCGGGGAGTATTCCAAGACAGTTTGCAAAGGCGTATCCACAGGAGTATCGAAGTCTTCAGGCGCAGTCTCTGGAATCTGAATGCCTCCCGTACCCGACACCCCATCCACTAACAGCTTGAATGCGCCTGCATCTTCCCACTGGGTAGTTACAGTGGCCATTAGAGTTTTAAAAGCTTTATCTGCAACGACACCAGGCATATTGCATGAATATGCGGAGTGAGGCTTACTTCCCCCCAAAATAGCATCAAATGCACTCCAGACATTTGTATACACTCCGCAATGTGGAAATAGGCATCGTTGCAATTTATTTAGGGGTCAATATTATAAGTTACTGGAAAGCAACATAAGGCACGCTGAGCAGTGTCTATTTTACCGAATGCTTGGCTGGAGGCATGTTCAGCAAACTTGTAAGTACGTGATGCAAACTGTGCGTCGAATTCGCGACTATTCAGGCGGCCAATAATTGCGTCACCCTCTAGATGCATGAGGTACCAGGACCGGAAGGTGATGTCCTTGGCCTCATCAAAGCAGTCTTTGAATCTCTGGGTAATACGAAGAGCTGCAAGAAGGCCTAAAAGAGGATGGGTTCGATGCGAGGACCGAGCTGCATTGCTTCCAAGTGCTGTCAACGTCTGCATGAAATGGTCTACTTGAACTGCGCTGACGCCGACAGTGTTGACTATGCCACCGTAGAGAGATCGTGCAGCCATTTTTGCTCCACTTCCCCCAGCCGGTGTGTGGGCGACACTTCCACCAACATTCACTGAGGCAACACAGCAGCCAGCCACACCTGCAGGCTCCTTTAAAGTAGTTGTTACCACCAGGCCAATTCTAAAACTTTGGCTTCGTAGCTCAGTACCTACCGAGCTTGAGACATTTTCGCATTGCTCCACCTAAACGCACCAACACAGAAACAGAGAGATATGGCTTATTGAAGGCAATTTTGCAACAAATGTTCATTCAAAGCGAGAGTTTCTGTGACACTTTGTCGGAACGACTGAATAACGAACTTGAGAAACGATTGTTGAGCATCTTTTTCCGCTTAGTGTATTCAGCAGTATTCTCAAGACCGTGTTCATTTATTTCCGTTAGACTGTAGTCTCCCGCTTTCTTCAGTCTTTCCACGAGCATCGAGTGGGCAAGGCGGCTGTTGGCATGCGCGAATCCGGCCTCGACCTGCTGTTGTTGCCAAGCGCTAGCGAAGACACCAGTTGCCGCGCAGAGGGCAGCTGCGTCTGTACTCAGTTCTTTAGTGTCCTTGGTGACATATTTAGCAAGCGCTGCTGGCAACAGAAGCGACAACCTAAAGATAAGGTCTTCAATTGATTTTAGAGCATCAATATAGCAGCGATTGCGGCCAGCCGACCGAACACATTGGCATTTGCCTGAAAGTAGCGACACAGCATCTATTTACACCAAATTTCTGCGCGCTATGCATTTGGCTAGGCTTTCTCAGCAGAGTAATGGAGGTTTTAAAACATATTTGGCTTCAAACCTATAGGTGGCGCAACGGCCGATTCGCATTTCACTTTGTTTATTTCTTTTCCTAGGCAGAGCAGCTACTGCTGCAAGGATAATGACAAAGTTACTTACCGGATGATGGCAAGAAAAAAGGAACCTTGGTATGTGGGCCTGACACATGCAGCTCAGCTTTCAGCACAACGCAGTTGGTGAGCTGCCGGCCTTATGCAAGGCGAAAGCACTTGCTTCCGTCCACGCCTGAGGCAGTGGTTCAGTCTAAAAGGGTTCACAACTTTGCATATTACCCACCATGTGCCGGGTCGATAATTGTCCTGATCTCACCCCAGGTCATGGAGTCAGGCACCTGGTTTTGGAGGGCCAATATCCACTTCTTTACAGGTCCTTGGAGTGCTCTCACCTCTGATACAAAATGGAACCCGCAGAAAGGTCGTTCATAGTTTCGATTGCCACTCCGCTGCAAAGCTATTGTACATATAACGGTCTCTTCATACATCACACCTACCACGCAAGGCTTCGGCAAAAGCTTGTGCTTCCTCCGCGTTCTGTGGCAAGCGTATACTGGTCCAACCGAGCCGCTTACAGACCTGCTGATAGGTGTTTGGAGTGGTGGAGATAATTCTTCTCATGAATGGTCCAGCTTCTTCAGCTACATGCCTCACAGGCACTAAGCGCGTACACACTCAAGAGACCGCTGGACACATGTTTTTCCGCCGCTGCAAATAGTTCTGTCTTCCCATCCCACGCGCTTCTACAGTGGCTACGACTTGACTTGGTATACTTGTGCAGAAGAACTTACTGGTTCGATTTATGTCCGATGACACAGTGTCCGAGCGGGGATAAAATAAATTATTGATTTCTCCAGGCACCAATACAAAGCCTGCACAAAGGCAAGCGGTAACCTCGAGTTCACACGAAGTAGCTTTGTACAATTGAAGTGTCGAGCCCCTAAGCGAGAGCACCACTACAGTTGATTAGATGTGGTGAACGACTGTTAAAGCACCAGCAAAGAACCATCCTGAGAACAACACGGTACCACCACCCAATCGCTTGAAGTCTCACGGTGAGCAGCTTGGACAAACATCCGACACTCTTCTATTGTGTCTGGCTCCTTTTCAGCTGGCCATGAGAGTGCAGCTTGAATATCCGCATATTTCTGTGCTTGCTGTTCGCGAAGTCTTCGTGCATACGCCTTCGTTTTCATTTTGATCTTGGCGTCCCTATCTGAACTCGAAAGACAAAAAATTAGCGGCTTAAAGCTAAACATTTTGTTTAGCACCGGGAAAGCACAAGCGGAATGGTAGTGCATGACGCAGTCAGAGTGCAAGGACTCAAGCTTGCCTGTTGCCTCGGGACTGGTCGAGTCCGAATGAGCATCTTCGGGAGGTACTGCTGCCTTGCCGCTTAGAATATTCTCAAGTATCAGCAATCCACGTAGGGGACTTGACCAAAGACCAACGTAGAATGCAGATCCTTTCGACGGTTTGATACCCTTTGCTGCTACCGCGGAATCAATTCCCGAAAGAATGGTCAAAGCCTTTTCCTTGCCTTCCTCTCGAAATAGGTGATCCACGATAGGGCAAGAATTATGTGGGCTGGATTCTACCGCAACTGAGACAGTAAGAGAAGACAGAGTCAGGGCCTAAGCTTAAAAATTGCTTCTCACGCGCCTTCCGAGGCTCACAAAACTATGCTTGCATGTACATAGGACTTTTTCGAAGGCTCGGTAAAAATGTCTCTTAAACAGTTGTTATTCCTGCCATACGGTCAGTAATAAACGTCTTCAGGCTGGGAACAGCCGAGAGAAGAGCTTCTTTATCTTCAAAGGATGCCCTCTGGAGTTCTTCTCCAATACTTCCCAAGAGGGCTGAGATAACAGCAACACGGACGCACACAGCAATGGTGAATCTCCAAATTCTAGAAAGAGTCGTGGGGCTAGCCGCACAGCTCTCATATGATGCATTTCAAATATAAGGTGCAGCACTTTTTGGCACAAGATTTGAGGTACCAGGAAATAAGAGAGACCGGAGGTACTCATACATCGCGCTTCGACCATTTACTCTGAATTCTGGAAGACGCTGAAGACCAAGAAGTTCTCCATCGCCCTCCATACAAGAGGTTACAGCGTCTTCAACTTGAACTGAAGAGAAAGGGAAAAGAAAGTACGCATACATTTGGTAGCACAGGCGCCGAAGGGCACGAGCTGGCACTATGCTACTACTCAAGTGGGTGCAGTCGAGAGGCCATGGAGTATTACGACTCTGTATGATCCTCGGCTAAGAAACTCACTTTTACAGCCCTCGATAATAGCATCTCTGAATTCGGCACTGTTCATCAGAGACACGAAATCTTTTCGGGAGAGGCCCTTGAGGAGAGATTTAAGCTGGTTAGCTAGTCTGGGACAAAACGACTCCTCGTTTCTTTTTTTTAGTGCCATGCTGCTGATATGTGCATTCAGGCAGACGGTAGCGTAGTCCTTGAGCTGGGGAAGATGCTTTCTGGAAGGATGGCTGGTCACTGCAAAGGCGCATCTTACAGCAGTGTATGAAATACGGCTACTTCCGGTGAGTGTCTCTACACTGGTATATTACCCATAAAAATGCAAAGCCAGCATGCTGGTTAGCCCTATAACTGACTTGTTTAGCTAACCATGTAGCCCACGTATGCATGCAGAGTGTACAGACCAGAAGATACTTTAGAGCCACATGGAGGAAGGGGACAGAGGGTGAGCCGCTGTACACTACGAATGTGTCATAGTGTTAAGGCTTACACATCTGAGTGTGGAAGTCGAATTCGGCACCAAGAAGAGCTGGGCCCGAGTTGGTGTTCACTGAGATGGTATAAACACGAAAGAGCATACAGAAGGTGGGTAACCTCTCCGATCTTGACCTTCATTGCTCAAGTATCAAATCTTTACCGTTGAAACCTAGAGAGGAGGCTTTCACGAAAGGTCGTTATTGATGATACTCTTGTTTGCTATTTTATAGGTGACACACTTCGTGAGGGGATAAGAAACTCACCGAATAATAAGAACTCTTGGCCCCTAAATTCAGCCCAGGAGAAGGAGTCTGGCATTGTCTCAGGGCTAATACCTAGCCCTGAAGGCATTAGGAACCACAGCAGTTTTTTAACTTTATCCCTAATACGAGTCTGAGAAAACTGGTTGTTATGTGCAAACGTATGACCAAGAAGAAAATCAGCGGTAACCACCGCCAAGTGCAGGATATTCGGCCATGTTGTTCCTTTCTACATTATCTCTGATCACAAGAATGCCTCACCTTGAATGTCGACGTACACAAAGTCCCGGAACGTTACTGCCCGGCAAAAACTGCAGCTGTTGTTCTCAGGGCATCTGTCACAGTGGCCGCTCTCCAGGATCTTGTGTAGCGTATGCAGCGCTGTCCCATAGAATGTAATACGATTTGCTAACGGACGAGGGAGGGATACCACGTCTTCCAGCAGGATACTTAGGGCAATATGCAGTTGCTGAATTAATCCATGACTTGTAGTAGAGTGGAGCATGTTTACCGGCAGTCGTACCACCACAGAGAACGGCAAACTCTCTGCAGCCCAAAGCGAACAGGCAGGCACTGTGATTAGTAATTCCCCAGTTTCCCAATGTAGGTAGCTTAGCTTCATCCTTCACACAATTACTATTTTTAAAGACCCAAGACGAGGAATTTCAGCTTAGCTGCATCTTAATCCTCCGTGAGTTTAAAGTGGAGTCTACCTACGGTCAGCATACGTCAAGTTTACGATGACTTTCTTTGGCTTTCCGCCTGCAAAATAAAAACCACGAACCCACAATAGCATCTGCTTTGCTGTTACGAAGCGCAAAACCTAACTCCAAACAAAATTACCTTTGTTCAGCGGCTTATGCTGCAACTCTCCAATAGGAACATCCAGTTGCCCAATCGGCGGGCTTTGTAAGTTATTCAGGGCGCAAAGATTGCACAGCGCTGTAGAAGGAAAGCGGGGTAGTATGGTGGGCGCACCTGACGGCTTGTACCGATTCATCATACTTGTAGCTAGGTCTTTAATGGAAGCGTTTATTTTTGCTGAAAAATGGCCTCGTCGCACCAGAAACCAATAGGCATTTTCCTCTTGCCACGCGCAAACTGTGAAGTTCACCGAGATGAATGAGACACGAATTCAATATTGTGCGGTCATGGCTGCTAAGGGAGCCGGAGCCTACATATTTTGTTCTTAACTTCGAGTAAGGCATGATAAACAGCTGGCTCTTCTCCTGCAATAGACGCAGCACCCTAGAGCATCTGCATACCTAAGAGGCCCGTGATCAGTCATGCGGACTCCGGAATCACTCGTTTCGCGCAGTTATGCTCTATAAAGGCTTGACTTCAAGTTCACAGGGCACTGGGCGGCTTTAGTCTTTCCCTTGATAAAACAAGCTCTCCAGAAGGGGGCGCTGGCCCTGTAGTATGCCTTTTATACCACAACGATGAGTGTTGGCTGTACCTTGAGATTCAAAATGGTGGCGGAGTCTGTGCAGCATATTGAGAGCATATTCTGCTGAAATCCCTGCATAAGAAATTGAAATCAAGTTACTCAATGCTGTCGATGTGGTTTTAGGAATTGTCTTGGACAGAGGTCCCTTCGAGTCTAATATCAGTGACCACAAAGCATTGCTAGTGCCTAAATAAATCAAGCCTGGCCTCGGGATCGAGATGCTTACCTATGCTTGGCCCTCCATAGAATACAACGTTGTACTTTATAATGTCGCCTGAGAGTTCAACAGCCCCCGTGTGTACATCTTAGACACTGATCACGCATTTCCAGTGTAGCCAATAATTAGCCCATAAATGTGCTTGATGCTGGTGACCTACGTTGCAAAACAAGAGCTTCGGGAACGGAGCCTGAATGACGCATATGCATAGAAACACAACAGACAATATCGCTTTCAGGGAATAAATAACATAAGAACGTGCTTGCTTATGTACCGGTATCCCAGTTCATCAGCCCTAGTTCGAATTTGTTTGTGAATCGGAAACTTGACAGATGGTAGACTGCGCTACAGCTGTCTAGGCACAGCGTTTCTGGCGAGGCTTTCCAGTGTTTCCGCCCTTACTGAGCACAAGAGACGATCCTCGCTGAAGTTGGGCAACCCCGTACTCAAAGGATGCATTCTCGTTTGCAGCATTTTTGGCGACAAAAGATATACCTAAGTTCCCAACAAATGTGCCATCGCGAAGCTGTCCGACAAAAACTTTTTTTCCTTCTGCCGTCTGATACAGAAATCCTGTATCTTCTTCAGAGCCGTCGGCGATAAATATGACAGCCGGGTCAATGGGACTGCCCTTGTCAGTGGCGTCTACACACAGGCAAAGCTCAACAGCTTGGAACATTGGTGGTCCCCAAGTGAAGGGCCAAGCCGCTTTGACTTAAGGGGTAGAACTCGAGAGTGAGCTGACAGCGGGCTGCAATGAAGGTGACGCAGCTCTCTGCCACCACTTGCATTTTGTATTTGCTCTACGCAAGCGGCGAGGAACTACTAATTGAAGTAGTAGCAGAAAAGCGCAAATTTACGCGAAATGATATGCCTACGCAGTTCTGGGGCTTTAAACACGCCACTACTGGAGAAGGCAGGTTGATAGGAATGCAGGCTGAGGATGCCGGGAGGCAGATCATCACGAGGGAGAGCCAGTACTGTTCCGGCTGGAAGTTCCATCCACAGATCACTGCCGCTAAGCTGGATCATGAGGGCATCTCGCTTAATGTCGCGTAGAGGATATTGTCGGAGCTTTTTACAAGCGATAGTGGTATTATGTCCTATTTCCGAGTGAAGATTATAGTTGGGCTGCTGCAAAAGCTGAAATTGCTGGACCGAGCAAGGCTCTCCTAGTTCACTTTCAGCGAACAGCTGGATTTCAACTGCAAAACGGAATGCAGTTCAAACACCACACCCCAGTGAGTGCAAGAAAACACAATACTAGAGGGGAAGTTAACATTTAATGAAGGTACTCAGTACAAACAGCTACTAAAAGGTAAGCATGATTCGAGCTTAGGGTTCAGGAACCATGTATCTGGGCCCCACGTGGCATAAAGGCTCTTCTGCCCAGAATATTCGTGTACGAATAAATCTTCTCGCCTTTTGTCCTTCCCCTTTCAGGCTCATACCGCGAAACTGAAAAGATGTTATTTGCTTCACTCGCTAGTTGGTCACAACTCGCTGGTTGCCCTGTGAGCTTATTTGTCACTGATCAAAAAAAGGCCACACAAATAAGACAAAATAGTGTATTTATTGCCCTACTAAAGCCGCACTTGCCGATACGCAAACCACTGTTTATGCATGCCTCCATCCAGGCACATGGTGATGCACCGCAGAATGCTTGCTTCAAAAGCCGCGCACACAAATTTAAAGTGCATGCAACAACGTTCCCTCCAATCTATTCATTATTCGAGAACAAAGCTGTCATCAATGCCCCCTTCAAAAAAATCTTTCTATGCATTAAAATCAAGCATATTCATAAATAACGTCAGAGCAAGGATAATATGTGCGCGTACGCAGGTAGTGCTTGCACTCTGAGAACAGTAATCGATGGGTACAGGTATTTGTATATAATGCGCATTGCCGTGCAAAGTGGATACGCATGTATCTTTGTGCACTGTATAAGTTTGTATTAATGTGTTTATGCATTGAGATTACAACATCCCTTACTCCGCTGAGATTGGCGAAACTTTGCATCATGCGATGGCATGTGCGGTTCAAAGTATAGCAACGCTTGGGTTGCCGTATCGCAATAAATCCTTGGAGCCCTTTTTCCAGAAGCCAGCGCTACCATTTGTTTCCCTGTTACCATCGGAGGGTTCACTTCACAGAACTGGAGGTCTCCGGATGTCTGCCCAATAAAGCTGTACGAGGCCTCGTCGAACTGGCTGGGGAACTCTACAGGACCGAAGTCAGTGCACTCTGAGGCAAATAAGTAAGGCAGCACTGCAAAGTAAAAGGTAATGAAGACACTTTCAAGGATCGTGTGTCAACAAAAACAAAGGCAGGATGATGGTTTTCCATGAGTTGTATGTGCTTTGCATTTCAGAAGCCTGAAAACTTTGGGCAGAGCTTTGCGTGGACACTTAGGCATGTATTCTTCGCTGATTCTATGGGTTTCCTTCAGCTGTGGACTTTTGCTTGCTGCTAAAAAGCATATTGTTGAGAAAGAAAAATATCACGTGAAGCACAAAGTCGCTTACTCAGATTCCGTCCATCGATCTCGTTGCTGAACTGGTCAATAATATACGTGGATGGAGCTGGTCCCTCGACAAGAGGCCCTGCAGCGCATACACATACATGAAGCATAATTATTAAAAAGCAGCTTTACTCTATTATGTGCAATTGTCTAATCAGTCCTGCCGCTTGAGCAGTAAGCGCCGAAGATTTAGGCTCGGTGCTGTGCATTCCTACACCGTCAACTTTAGGGCCTATAAACTGGCTGGCATCCAAATCTGTGTCTACTGCACGGACACCTTTAAAGCTGCAGCAAAGATATATGCTTAAGGCAAAGATTTATTTTGATGTATTGACTCTCGGTCGTATTGGAAAGCTGCATTCGCTTATCAGCTGTTTAAGCTAAAGGACATACGTGTAAGAATGCTGCCGCCACTAGGGTATCGTAAATAGCGAAGCTTTTCTCCCGAATCAGATGTAAGAGTTGCTCCATGTTCCAAAAACTCAGGACCCCCATCACCATTTCTGGTGAAACATTGCCGAAAGGGCCGAAAGTCACAAAAAACCTGGGAGCCGGATTCCGTGTACACTAGGGACAGAAGAAACAGAAAGTACGCAAAGACGTCAGCCACACAGACAAAGAAGTCATTATGGCAGAGGAAGAGATAACAGGGAGTCTCGCAACAGCTATTACGAAGCAAAAATAGATACTCGGCAGAACAGGAAGGATGCTTCTGGACACAGGTGGTCACCACGAGTAAAACAGAGGAAATATCAAAATAACTTGCTGTAAATAAATGATAAGCGTACCCCTGTCAAGGAATTCCGGCTTGGAGTAGTCTACCACAAAGAGTCCGAGGGTTTCTAGAGGGTCGTTCCCCTTCACTTTCAAGATGGCCGTCCCCTGAGGGACTTTTCCAGATATCTCTGTGTTCTCAAACAGCAGCTGGCCTGAGGCTTCCTGAACTATGGCGTCTTCCGGCAAAAGAATGTTGGATGACAGTACCTGACGGATAGCCAATAAGGCTAGGTTCGTGCAGAGCAGAAGAGGACAACGGATAGCACTGATGAGTGAAAAGGTTTCAGTGGCAAGGCAGACGCCGGCCAGGATACATAGAGAAAGGAAGTCACACCTTTAGGTTGAAATCAATAATGGTACCAGTCAAGCCTATTTGCAAGGTGCATCTGCACGGACAGCAAACTCGGTGAACGGGGTAGGACAGTGGCTACTTTCGTTTGCTTGAAGATCTCCAAGCATCGAATGTTACTTTGCGCATAGGAATTCATGCAATTATGAGTCAAAAGTAAGGATTTTATTTTCCTTTACAGCTGCATGCGAGTTATTTTTGGTGCTTGTTCTTACAACTTTGGAGTTAAGGGATTCGAGCATACTTACTTATGGGGGCAGCAGTGACAGGCATTGAAAAGAGAGCAGCTGCCACAAAAACGACGCTGCCTAGAAATGGCAACGTTCTCTCCATCCTGATGGCTGTAACGGGATGGTTCCCGTCGTGTGGTCAATCAAGAAACGATGTGAAACAATTCGAGAGGAAAGGCCACAAAACGATTGGACACGTGGGTAAGGGCCTTCGTAGCCCTACACCGGGTGCTTCCATAGGATGCTATAGTTTGATTTTTCTCTTTGCACTACTAAATATCCTCTGAGTAAGAAACGAATCCCTGCCGTTCTCTAAAACGCCAGTACGCCGGCAGTCGGGCCTTGTCCGACTCAAGAAATATATTTACTGCGGGATGAAACGAACCCTCTAGGGGGAAAAGAGACAATGTGGCGCTGAATTGTAGAAGTTGCTGGCAAGGGGACATCAGTGTGCCTTAGAAAGAAGGAGAGAAATGATTGACCACCAGAGGGCCGGCAGTTGCCGAAAATCCAGTGGGGCCTCAGATACGTTGTCTGTGTTCCTAGTTATTTCATCCGTCGTCTCAAAATCAATTCACTATTAACAAGAACCATAAATATATGAAGCTGATCCTAAGCAAAGGTAACACAAGAAGCAAACAAGCCATGAAGGCTCCAACGCCGACTGATCCCTCAGTCGGCGGCGGGCCCTAGAGCCCTTTCACGTTGTCTGTTGTCTTGCTTTTGGCTACCTGCACCTGTAAGGATCTTTTATTTAAAAATCAGGATGATTCTATGGATGTAGCTGTAGGAAGCCCAAACGGCACGCTCAGCAAGTAGCAGACCGTTTGCAGTGCTGTTTCCTACTGATCATCTGCACCGTGTCCCTTGAAGGAGACCCTAGGCAAGAAAAAATGATCCAGTGAAAGCCGAGGCGTCGCTGAGCTAGAAACAAAGGGTGTGTACTACGTATTATTGATCTGGAAAAGGGTGGACTAAGCAGATGCCTGTTATCCCTCACAGAACCACCACTGATGCTTACGTCACTTCTTCGCTTCCTCTTGACCAAACCGCTCCGCAACTCTACTCAGATCATGGTGCACCCTTGTTCCTAAAAGTTCTTGCTGCCTCTTATACCGGAAATGTCACCAGAAGAGCCTCTACCTAAAGCAACACCCACTGCATTCAGCGTAGCATAAGGAGAAAGGGCAACGATATAAGCCCATAGAGGTAACGGCAGCTAGCTGACCATTGTGGCTTGCTACCTCTCTTGGTATGTATCCTATACGAGGGAAATGTAAGCTACAAAGCCTTCTAGAAAAGCGAAATCCATGCGTACCCCTCTCGGCCTTCTCAAGGAACAAGTTTTAAAGGGAATCGGCTGGCAGTTTGAGTATGTAGAAGTGTGATTCTACTTTTAACTTGGAAATGACGTGGAATTTCATGTAGAGTTCTATTTTTGCTTCGTTTGCTTCCGACGATATACGTGCATGTCCAGAGAACAAGCGGAGGCCTCTATACCTGGGTACTCCTATCTGAACACACAAGTCCCTAGCTTTCTGCACACTTCCAGATGCGTAAGTACACACTAACGTTTGCAGCAATCCTTTGTTCCTAGACTTTTCCTGCTAGTGCAGCAACGGAAACACGAAAAGGGCCAAGCAGAGCCCTATACAATAGGAAAGCTTGCTTTTTGCATATGTTGATTGCACATTCAAGTGGTACAATAAGTACACGTTAGAGCCGCAGGCGAGTACGCAGTGAATAGGCGCTCAAGGCGATGACTGCCTGCTCTTCTTAAGGACCCGCGAACTGCGTCGCACTCCTGGTGCAACGCCTCCCAGGCCTTCCGTAGCCTCAGGGGCTCCCTGAGGGTCCCATAGAGGGCCCCGACGTGGGCCCTCCTCGGGAACCCTGCTATCATAGGAGCTGTGTTTAGGTGACCCCTGGTGGCCCCTCTTTGGACAATCCAGGGGCCCACCGTGAGAGCTGTGGGAGTTGCCGCTCCGTGGAGCATCCTGGGGAGGCTCCTGAGTGCCTCCCAAACTTCGGGCAGAATGCTCGGAGGTTCCTATAGAGCTACGCCGGGTGCCTGCTGCTCGAGCTTGCTGAACTGTGGATTGCGGAGCTTTAGAGGCTGGAAGGGAAGAGGCAGACTGTCTGAGTAGTGATCTTTTTTGGGAGGCAGGCCTCTTTGGGCGAGCAGGGGGTGAGGTTTTGGCTTGCTGGTTAGCGAGTGTACGAGCAGATGCTTGAGCACCACAGTGTGTCTGGGTAGTTCCTACCTCCTCGCAATCAGACACCAACTGAACGACATCTTCTGGAGTTAATCCACACCACTCATCTTCTTTACTGAAAAGGGAGGGAGGCGGGACATAGGTGCAGCCCGTAATCAAGCAGGAAGCCTAATGAAAGATCCAAACATAGAAAGCGGCAGCCGTACTACTTTATATAAGGAGCACTACGCATAAAGATATAGCTGGGCACGCATATAAAGGCTGGCCGTGAGTACCTCCACGAAAGAGCCTTCATGGATCTTCATGTGCAATCATATCTTCAAATTTCAGTTATTCGTAGACTGTACTGCATACCAATAGCCATATATAATTATATATTCATGTGCAGGCACTTGTATGTTTGTGTTTAGGACTTCATATGCAAAGATTCCCATATCTGCCTCTTAATATGCACATGTATATATATATATATGTATAGATACATATATATATATATATATACATATATATATACAGATATATCTGGAAAAGCACCTATATATGCAGAGATACACTTTGACGGGCAGCCGTAGGGTGGGTTAAAGCGAGAAGGGAGGAAAGAGCGACAAAAAAGAATAAATAGAAAGGAAAGAGATTGCACTTCAATGATAAAGCTTACTTCTCTTGCGAGCTCCTCGTCCCTTTGAATGGCAATGAACTCTCTCCATCCCCTTCTCTCTTCCACAGCAGAATCCACTCCGTCACTCCAGGTACCTCCCTTTCTTCCCTTTCCAGGTTTCCGCTTTATTGGCGAGGGCGAGGTGGTTGCAGCCGCCTGCCTATAAAAGAGAGGATGGCGTTCGATCTTTAAGTGGCGCCTCTCAGCCCGAGGCGGCAGCAACAAGTGTAGCAGAGGCTCCGTTACCATCAAGAAACGATCCAAAGTGGCCTGCTCGCTGGGCGGAAGACAGGTCTAAACAAAAATCGCCGGCAGCGGGGGCACACACACACCCAGAGGAAACAATCGCATAGAATAGTTCTACCTTCTCGCTCCCCCGTGTTGCTGTGCACGCGTGGACGATTCACTGCCCCTGCTCTGCCATCCCATTCGTATCTTTAGTCCTACAGACAGACGGCAGCCTCCGCGGCTGCCGTCTGTCTGCGCCATCCAGTACGCCCCCAAAAGTTTACCCGCGAAAGATGGCAGCTGCAGGTCAGACTCCCATTAACGCCGGCGTCCAGGTGTACAGCTGCAGTCTTCCCCTTGATGTCGTAGTGTAGGGGCCACCCGAACTGCAAGAAAGTCACAGGGGAGAGAAAAGCATTGCGGAAGCTCTAGGATTCAGCAAGGATACATAGAAAAGAGACACTCATATTCTGAAGCTCTTAAATACCGACTGATAAGAGTGCTCGGGTGCTGCTACTTTTCCTGATTTTTACATTATGACTCAAGCCTTACATTTTTTATCGCTGGAAGTAACATCCAGCACTGCCTAGGCCAAAGGTCTAAGTCCCTCCTATCTATGAACACCGATTTAAAGCTCTGCACTCGTGTCTGCTGTTGCTGCTGCTGCTGCAGGGGAGACGGGATGTATGTAAATCCCTCTAAAGCAAACGCCTCAACCACCACTCGAGGCAGGAGCACCTGCAGGAGCAGCCGGGTGCTGCGGGCTGACAGCCGATGGTTTACCCATAATGCCCTCAGCTGCCGTTCATTGGAAGCAAGGGACTCAATCACGCAGCCAGCAAACACCTTTGAGACACCAGCAGTGTTCGGAACCTGAAAGCAAAGCAGTTTCACGGCTTATATCCAGTACTCTTCTTCCTATTCACTGAAGAGCCAGCTGTACATTGCCGCAATCAAATACGAACGAGCTCTGTGGAAACCTAGTCTCAAGCACGCTTAATGCACACCGAGTTCTGTTTCCTTGCAAGATTTAGCTGCGCCTACTTTGTCTGCCAACCCATAATGACTCCAAAAGCACACAGCAGAAGGTCAGTACAGCTTGCAACACCGTAGAGCAGGGTGATTCAGACAGATACTTTCCGGGGGGACGCGTACATACACTCGCCTTCAGATGGCTGCATCCCCTACATCCTACGTCCTCAGTATGGAAGCTCGTTAACTCTTACCTGTTTTTTGTTATTTGAAGCCTCTGGCTTAAGCGCCTTGCTGTGGACAGTCAGCAGTAAGCCGTCAAAGTCTTCACTCAAGAGCTCGCGGCCCAACAGCGGCAGTTCAGCTGCCACAGCGCGAGGCAGTGGCTGAAGCCGAAAAGGCAGCTGGCGGTTGCGGGGGTCGTTCGGGCTGTTTCGGGGAGAGGCTGCGCGAGAAGTCATCACAGACAAGCCGCAAACTGCAAAGTTCCACCATTGTGCTCATGCTGCTGCTCATCGCCAAACAAACTTCAAACTCTGAACGGTGGCCTCCGCAGGAAGCCGATACACTCTCTGCGGTGCCTACAGTGCCGAAGCCAAAACTCTTGGTTTCCCAGGATCTTCGATGCTAAGCACCCGTGGTTGTTGCCAGTGTGAATTTGCTGTGTTCCAGTGATTTAACATTGACGGTGTGCACCTGAAAAGCTCCAATTTCCCCTAATTCTCTTGGCCAGAAGTCTTTCGTGGTTAAGGAGCTTTAGGTGCAAAGGGTATAGCTGCAGTTGCGCTGCTAGCTCCCCCCAGTTCTTGCAGTGCGGGGGTAATGGCAGTGGCAGCCGCAACAGCTGAAGTCTTAAGCCATGCCTCTCGAACCAGGCGTCACTCTCCTCTATGAGCAGCCGCTTCTGGGTCTCGCCCCAATCACCATCCATCCCCCTAGGTGTATATGTAGTGCCCCTGTTGCAGTTGCTACTGATGCTGCGCGCGTTGCAGTTGCTACTATGTTACAACTGTTCTCCCAGTTGCTTGTACCAATTCTGCTGAATATGTCCCTGCAGTGGCAATGGCTTTTGCCACTTCTGGTTGAGCCCACGCAACAGATTCATGCATTTAGATGCAAAAAATAATGTGGCAGGAGGAAGAAAGGAAAAAGACGCACAAAACAAAAACTTCTAGAATGGGAAGGGACTAGTGCCCCCGAGTGTCTGCGACCCATAAGAACACAAAGATGATTCTTTGTTTCCTTCAGGCCAGTTACAGTAGCTGATGCGTCAACGGGGTGAGTTTTATACCAAAAGAAGACAAGCGCAAAAAATATTCCTGGCCGCTTGGGTATGGTTCAGCAGATCGGGGGCCCCTGGGGTACATAACGCGTCAGCTTTAATGCACGAGTTCTATTTGAAGTTATTTTAGCGTCGCCTGTAGATTTACTCTAGAAAAAAATAATAATCATAATGCCAATGCAAAGACAGTACTCAATCTAGGCTCCTCCTTCAGTCCCTATTCCTCCCCTCTCCCTTTCTAGTGGGCGAAAAGCCTAGTCCACAAGGTTTTAGCTCTGCAAGTTAGGGGTATCTTCATAGAAATAGCGATAGTGAGCCAAGACAAAGGCCTCTTATGAGATTGAATGAAGCCAACCAGTGTTTTCTACAGAATGCTTCCCCACTTGCCCGACACCGGAAGGTAACCAGCACCACTAGCAAGCTGCACAAACAACACAACGATTTCTAGATGAGGCAGTAGTATCAGGCACAGTAGCAACAGAGGCAGGGAGAAACAGCATTTTCAGTATTGGCCGCTGTAATGCCAGACCGCTCAGATTCACCTTCACATCAACCACTGGATGACTCTAGGCCTACACAGGATTTGGTGAAGAGTTTATTGCAGCAATCGGTTGAGCTTATGCTTCATTTGTTTCAAAGCTGCAATTTGGCTGCTTTCTTCCCGTACTAGCCTTTTTATTGTAGTGTGGGAGAAAAGAAATGTTCCAGCTCAGGCCTCAGTTTTGGCTGCCACACGCTTTTCTATACAAACTATACGCGGAACCCCACAGGAACCCCAATTCTATGCGCACACAAGTAGTCCCCCCGTACTAATGGCTGCAGTAATCTTGCTGAGAATAACCAAAAGTAGCATCACTAGCAATAAGAGTAGCTCCAGGAGTCCCAGTAGCCAGAGTTGCATGGCCAACAACAGAACTACCAACAGCAAAAGCAGAACCAGCAATATCATTTGTTGAGGTATATGAACAGTATTAATAGTAAGGATTGTAGTATTACCACGATTAGATGCGGCTTAACTACTAGCGGATGAGGTAACACCAGCAACAAAACAAACAGGCAGAAACTTGGTGGGCACCGCTTACCAATGCAAAAAGCGCTTTATGCTAATGCACTAATAGAGGCGCATGCAGAGGGCCGGCAAGCACATGAAACCCGTTCTTGAACTCAAGAAAACAAAGCCCAACTTTCCGTATACAGTAGGACGACCCCTTGGTATTAGGCCGAAGCTCAACGCATACTACATGCATCCCCAAAGCATACAACGTATCTCATACATTCACAGGATGAAAGCTTAAACTTTGGGGCCACAAAAGGTGAAGTTTATGATTGGCACTTGAAGACCAGCCTCATTTGTGAGAGCCACGTATCCTATCCACTGAGACTATAACGAATGGCGCAGGAGCCATTCACGTCTTCAATTCGCAAAGTTTATCGTGCGCTTTCTCGTACAGTCTCTCTTGTCAATAAAAAGCAAAATGGCGTAATTTTTAGAAAGAGAGCCTGTTCACAAGTGGGTTATTCTGGGCAAATACATATGGGACCGTGCCCACTGTAGGATAAAGACTGCTGTGGTCACTTTGAGCCGACAGCCTGTTGATCCTAGACTTTTTTTTGAGGTACAAATCTTCACATAAAAATTGCACAGGGCTCTTGAGCAAGCCTGATGTTAGCACGAGGAGTGCTGGTCCATGACGCTCTACTAAAAGGGCACTACATTTCATGTTCCCCACAAGAATGATCCCTTCGTACTACGGTGGTGTAATGTGGACCCTCCTAAAAAACAGCAGTACTTGCTGGTTTATGGTTCAAAGCTAAGAGTTGGGTTAAAGAAGTTCTATTGCCTTTCTCGTATGTCTGACTGGTGACGTATATGCGCGGCAGAAAAAGGGAAAATAGGCATGAGGGTGTGGTCACGCTGAGCAAAGGACAGCTGGTCCTTGGAATATAACACACAACTAAGTAACTAGGGCATACATCTAACGAAGTAAATACTTTAGTTGGTCTGATCCCCTATGCTATTACCAGGCGAGCCTTTGTTTTGGCTGCATAGCTCTTCGGAAGGACGCTAGTCGCTGTTTCAATTGCTCAGGACACATACTTGGGATCGATATAAATGCGCTTGGTAAAGTTGAGTTGCCGTGACCTCTGGATTCTAAGACTCCTTGATAAATTTGCCGTAGGCTTGAGAGGATTATCATGGTTTCGCACTATCTAGAGCAATTCAGCTTTTGGCTTAGGCAGTAGCTGCAAGTTCATCATAAATTTCGGGTCAGCTGATAGTAATTTCGTTCCCCTAAAGCAGCCTCTTACATAACAAGTAAGCCTGCAATGCAGCTGTATTTCCGGCCAAATGGAGGTCGCCCTGTTTCGGGCCCTGTTACCCATAAAACATATCCTGTAAAGACTTGAAAAACTATCTGGTACTCTCTCTGAAGCCTCCCAAAAGAAAGCACCCACTGGGAACCCCCTTAAAGGCTTTGTGAAAATACTTTTTCGGCGCCTTAATAAGCCATTCCTACTTTCCTTGAAGATCCCCCAAAGGTTCTAGCCTAAGAAAAGGGTGGGTGCAAACAGCTGCACTCTCTGCGCACTCCGTGCATTTCAGGCAGTGTCACACAGTATTGGAGCACACGGTTTTAGATTATACAGCTAACCCGGCAGACAAACCCTATATTTAGTACTTCAGAAGGTCTTAGGTTGATACAGAGCCTAAGCTACTAGCTATCTATGGGTCGCTTGACCCACTACAAGCTAAGCCATTGTTCATTCCTCAAATCACGGGGGTACCCTAGAGAGCTGTTGTTTTCTAAGGGATCCACACAGCGGTGCGACTCACGACACTTGATAGCGTACAGTGCGGCACTAAGTACAAGAATTTGAAGAAGATTATGTTGCAGCAGATATGGAATTCGTTTTCTATAACTCCGATTTTCCAGGTAATTGAGACCCTTGCCATACGACGGCAGGGGAGGGGCTTCCAGAGCAAACCGCTTTCTACATTCTTCTCAGACAAAACCCCTATTTTCCGGCTTCGAACAGTTTTCTGGCTCTCTGAATCTGTGCCTGGCCACTGTATGAAGCGTAGCATATCCTCTTGCACTGCAGTTGAGCCATCCACCAGTGACCCCGTTCATCATCAAGTATACGGTGCGCCGAGGGGTCAAGCCTACATGTCTCCCAAAAGCATAAACGCATAAGGAGATGATAAGGGGAATAGATCCAACGAATTCAAGAGGACTTGGTAACGAAGACTTCTGTTTATGGGGTTTTTGCGAGTCCAGCGGGAGCGGTAGTTCCCCAGCCCCGAAGCCTCCAGCTGGAAAAATCGGCAATTACCCGGCAAGGCAGAAAATTGTACCTTTACAGTGCTAGGAAACACAAGGCTAGTTGGAATTGTCAATATACTTGTCTAGCCATCAGTGAATGACCGGATCTGCATCTTGCCACACGGAGCATCCGGAACAGACCGGTGCTCCTGCAGAGAGGCTGCAGTACGCAAGAGCAGCCGGAGCGCCTGCAGCCGGAGCTACCCGGGATTGCCTAGCATTTGTTGTGCATCAAGGCGTATTAAAGGCTACTTAGTTTGTAATTTTAAAGCTAAGCTTCCTTCCCTCAGCGCCCCCGTTGTCTAGTGCTCCGTCGTTCGAGGTTTCCCCCTACGCCTAGGGCCCCATCTTCGCCTTCTCCATCTTAAACCCTGCCATGTTGAGGGCTGGTTGCTACATGAACGCTCGGGTTTTGCTGTTCTACGTACCCACCCAGATTTTCCAGCGGTTGGGGGCCCCTTGGGCCCCCCCCGCGCACTGCCGTCTTGTGGGCCGCAGGTACAACACAAACAGCAAGGGCAGCTAACGCTGTTGCTACTGCAGCAGCAGCAACGGCACTCGACACCTGCTGCAGCAGCAGCAACGACACTGACAATCCGGGAGGACACAATGTCAATGGCAACCGAAAATGCAACGAAGGCGATGGAGGAGAACGTCACAGGTTCAGGGGACAGCAGACACACCCACGGCGTACTGGCCCTTTTGGTTAGGGAGGATTCTGCAGGAAGGGTTGCCGGTGCTTTGGGGTTTCCTCATCCGCAGGCCTCTGTGAAAGAGGCAGAACCAGCAGCACCACGCAACATGCCGCGCCGTCGCCGCATGCGCTGCTGGTGGGCGTGCGGCGACACTTTTTTGAGGTTCCGCAAGGTTTCTGGGGCTTTCGAGGCTCGTGGGAGCCCACCTGGTCTCTTAGATTGGATACCAAAGGAATTTCTACTTATTGTATACATGGCGAGCGCTCTGTTGACGGGGTGCGTGTACTTTGGCTTTCATTCTCTCCGGCGCATGCTCCTGCAGTCAGGAGCCTATGCGTGGCTTTGCGAAGGCGATGCAACAGTTGTATCAGTTTCGGACGGATCGGAGTCTGAAGTCGGCGCTTTGAGCGATTCCGATGTGTTGCTTTGCGATATGCAGGATGCTGCAGTGTCCCCACTTATAACAGTAGCAATGGTATCGCACTCCCTCATGTCTGCAGTAGCGGGAGCTCTCCTGGATCGAGTGGGGCCCAAGGCGACGGCTATGATGGGGCAAGGATTCAATGCGTTGGGGTGGTTGCTGCTGGCAGTCTGCAATTCGAGCTTCCCGGCGTATGTGCCCGCTTTTTTATGTATGGGGCTTGGTGCTGATTCGTGCTATCTTCCTCTGCTGAAAATAGTGAATCGTTTCAGTGCCAGACGAGCCACGGTGATTTCACTGCTCGGAGTTGCATGCACCGCGAGTTTCGGGGTCCCTATGGTGCTGGAGGCTATATGGCGCATGAGGCCCCAATGGGAGTTCAGCACCTTGTGCTGGGTGTACATACTGATGGGACCGGGCTTTTGTTTGCTCATTGCCGTCGTCCTGGTGCCGTGGACGGCATTTCCGGATGTTCAAGAACAGGAGCAAGAAGGAGAGAAGCATGGAGCCAAGGATCGCATGCAGCAGCTCGAAGACAAGGGGCACGTCTGCCCGAGTCCCGTATCCACGGATAACAGTATTAACATCTCAATTGAAACTTCGGCAGGCAGCCATATGGATAGCGTGGCAATGCAGTCCGATGGTTCTTCAATGCTGCCCAAGGAGTCTGAGAACGCCCAAGCCGATATACCAGCAGCAGTTGATACGAGTACTGCAGGGCCTGCCACTGCTGCAGCTCCTACACCCGGTAAAGTAGTGCTACCTGCGGCAGAAGGCGAGACACAGCAGCGGTCTAAATGCATGGATATCTGGCGCCGTGTGTCTTTTCCTTACAAGAGCTTCAGCAGCTTGAGCCTGTGCAGCAGCAGCAAGAACAGTGGCAGGAGCAGTTTTATGTCCGAGTTTCTGTGTGTACGTTACCTGTGTATTTTAATTCTCGCATCATCCCAGCAGCTGGCAATCTCATTCTTCCAGATGGCGGGGCCCCGCTTGTTGGACCCCCCCGTTGGGACTCAGATGGATCGGTACATATCTCTTGCTTTCATTCCGTGTATTTTGATTGGGGCGGCAATTGACTTGTTCGGTATTCTGCCCATTTTGTCGTGTATCAACACACTGGGGTTCTTGGCGTATGCATTTACCCTGGCCCCAGCCTCTTACGGGGCCCACGTGGCCTCGCTGATTTGCTTCTGCGGTTACATTTCGTTGGACAGCGAGCTCATCTTCTGCTGTATCAACAGCATGTTCAGCAGCACCAATTTCGGTCGACTGGCCGGCGTTTGCCAGGCAGCGGGCGGCATTGTATCCCTCAGCTCCATTCCGTTATACAATACTCTCTCCGTCGGAATCCACAGAGGCGATTGCAAGCCAGTGGCGTGGGCTCTCACGGCCGTTTTGGGGTTGATGTATGGGCTCCTCTCCGTACTCTTCTGGGTATCGAAGCGGCATCCAAGCGGGGCCCCCAAATCTGCTCCCGACAAGCTACCAGGCCCAGGAACTCCTGCTCTTGAAGAGGCGTGATTGGACTACCCCCAACAGCGGCCCGTGGCAACAGCTGCGGCTGTTGATCTCAGCAGACTGAGGGCCTATTACACCAAAGGGATGCGCAGCGCGGGTTGCAGGACCATTGGACGGCCTAGAGGAGCCAGCTGCCCACCCGATATGGGTGTGTATGCAGATTCAATACTGGAACAGCTCATGCCGAGTTCAAGAACGATGAGCCCGGTGTTGAGACACCTGGAGAACCCCTAACATAGAGGAATCGAACACAAATCAGCAGAAGCAATGAAGCAATATAGAGAAACAGACAGATACTAATTGAGTGTGCATGGCTGTGTGCTCGTAGCTATAAGGTGTTTGTGGTAACCAAGCCTCCAGCGCCCCCCCCCCCTCCCCCCACCTGTATATGCATGTTTCGGTGCATTGTTGAATGGTGGCAGTCATTGTAGATAGCAATTAAAAGAGGTCAAGCAGTTCTCAGGCTCGGGCCCTGCCCCTTTTGGAGAGATGACAAGGGAGAAGACGTCACCGTTTCTGAGTGCCTTGTATCATCATCTGCCAGTCTATTGGGGGTACAGTGGCTCTACTCTGCTAGGTTCCCAAGACAGAAAGGGGGCCTCTGCATTAAGCAGAAGGAAAACACCTGAGCAGCCTCTTTCGAAAAGCCTGTGGGTCCACTTGGGGGGCCCTATTGGGTTATGGAGGAGGTGATCTACGAACACGCATTTTCCGCAAGAGCACTAGTGGATGGTGACGGTAAGCCATATGATGCAAGAGCAGGACCAGTGCTCTGGGCCCCACATAACTGAGCGCGAGGAAAGTGACAGCGAGGGGGTGAGGAAGGAGAAACGGATTAGGCGAGGTGGACTATGATAAGTGCCAAGCGAGCCTCACGTTGTCAGTCAGTAGGGCAGACAGTGATTGTACTGTGCGCTTAGCTACAAGTAGAAGAGCTTCATATCTCGAGTTTTCGGAAAAGGCGCCACTACGATTACCTGCAGTTTAAAGTACTTCCAAGTGTGTAACTTCCTCAATATGTATTACTGCCCAACAAACAGGAAATTTATGGCTATGAGGGGAGGGGTTTTCGGGGGGACTAGCTCTGGTGGCGCTACAACAATAGATGACATCCATTAAGGATTAGGATGACAGTAAGGCAGGTAGCAGCCGAGCAGGCATGCTCAGAATACAACAAAGCTTCTAGGCAGGAACCTGAAGTGGAGGATCAGCTACAGGAGTTAGAGAAAGGTGGCGTGGCAGGGTTTTTAATGACCAGGCAAAAGGATTTAAGTTCTTTTAGTAGCTCCTAGTAGTCGGGCACTACAAGGTTGTTAATTCGCAGCTACGGGCCCTTGGGGGTCGAGTAGGGAACTCATTAAGGGATAAAGCTTCCGATTCGCGGCTTGAAGTTTCAAAAGCAAAGGGCTGGTCTATGCGGCTACTTCTCAGCGGGGCTTTCTGTAAAGGCCCCGAAGTTAATTTCAGGGCGCCAAGGAAAGCGATGTGGAGGGGCAGGGGCTGGCGAGGGGAGCCGTAGGTGGATTACGTGTAAGTAGGCTGTGCAGAACAGCGGGCTCCGCTTCGCAGTACGCATGCGCTACCTTACTCGCTTCTAGACGTTCAGAACGAGGGGCATGCAGATTCGTGCAGAGTAGACTGACGGGTATGGGAGGGGGCTAGGAAGCGTTAATGGGGAAAACTCGATTGTCTAGCTGCATTCACGTGAGGGGAATCCGCAAAGGGGACCTGCGAAAAATTTGGGAATCAGAGGTCGCCTCGCATGATGAATTCTTGTCCAAACCCCCAGTGATGGTAACCCCGCTATACCCTTCGATCGGTCCCAAAGATCCTCTCGCTTAGGGAATAGACCACCAATTTTGGGCGAGGTTGCGCGTGCTTCCCCTTCACTCCATTCAGGAGTTAGAGTGTGCGTGGCTCCTGAAATCCTTGCTAACTCTAGAGACACCCCGTAGCCCACCAAGATCTACAAGCTGAAGCTTTAAAATGTTTGTAGGGCACCTGTAGAATTCATATGCTCTTCGGAACGCCGATGACGGGCGCAGAGCGCCCATAGGCGACAGTCCGGATTCCATGTGGATGTGTGAGCACCATGCAGGAGTGCCCAGCATCACAGTAAAAGCACATGCTGATTGCTTTTTGGAATATCTGTACATGTAGAACCGTGGACTGGGTTTTTTTGAGGCACTAGAGTGGGAGGCATCGGGAATTATAATGATTCACTGGGTTCCTTTGAGAACACAGGGTTTACAGTAGTGAACGGTCGAGTGAAGGGCAGCGTTGTTAAAGTTTCTTCAGGCGCTCTGGTCTGCACGAAGAGGACACTATACAACCGCTCCCAATTCCTAGGAAGCCCTAGCCATCTACACTCTCAACACCGGACACGTTTCCGCTTTGAAATAAGCAGCAGCCATATCAATGTTTCCGCGGCAGATTGCAGTATCTGGTTACCCCAGCGAGCGCAAAAGCGTCGACGACCCTACGATTTAAGGGGGTTAGGAGAGGTGGCGAGCTCCGGGGTGCGTCACCACATGGCAACCAGGCAGGACGCGTCGGCTGCCCAGTGGTGTTATTTCATAATTTTAGGCTTCGAAGCAAAAAGTGGGAGTAACTGTCTTCGCAAATTGTGGTTTTAGGAAGAAGATGGCAGGCAGTGGTAGCATCGGCCATGGGTGGTGTTTTTCCCCCCCTAGCAGATGACCACAAGCAGCGGCAGCTGCAGGATTAGGAATAGCGATTCCCAGCTCGTACTGGATCTTATTGCAGCCGCAACGCTAATTCTGAAGTATTGGTGAAGTGCTGTGTCAATTTTGCTAGAAGGCGGCTGTTTCTCTCCTGATACACCCGAACCCGCAGCTGCTGTCTGGTGTGTTAATAATACACACTTGCGTTCTATCGGCTGCCCGTCCCTACAGGTACCCCCGTTCCTTTTCTGCCTCTTCTCCTAGCAGTCCGTCCATATTCCGACGCTTCAGGGCCTGAACCCTGCGCTGGCGCTGACTTCCCTTCGGCTGTCCATTCATGCCGACTTGAAAGAGCACGCAAGCAGGCGGAACCCTTCCTCTTCCGCCATCAAGAGCAGCAGTTGCCGTAGGAGTATTAGCAGCAACAAATCAGCAACGCGACCATCAATGTCCCCCCGCAAGGGCGCGGAGTCGGGCAGCAGCAGCCTCTTCTCCGTGGCTGCGCTGGCAGCTGGTGGTGCTCCTGGCCGAGAACCACCCTCTCCCCCCGACTGCAATCGATCTGGGGAGGAGCCTCCAGAGGAGACAGAGTGGGAGACGGATGTTTGCAACGAGCCGTTTGTGGGACCGCAGATTCCCCTCGAAGAGCTTGCCGCTGAATTTATTCAGGGCAGCAACGCGCACAGGAAGATCCTGCATCTCGTCTCGCTGGCAAAACACCAGCAACAAGAGCAGCAGCAGCACCAGCAAGGAGTAACCAAGATGAGGCGAATACGGCGGGACGGGTGCTGCTTTTATCGTGCTTTTCTTTTCGGCCTCTTTGAGAGGCTGCTACACCATCCAGCTGAGGCTGCAGCCCTTCGGCAGCGCGTGCAGAACGTCATTGTTCCTAGAATACTCGAGGCAGGGTGCGCTTCGTTGCAGCTGAAAACAGTGTCTTTTCTGCTGCCATAGACGTACTGCGTGCTTCAGACTGTTTGTGTTGTTGCTGGCACGACCCCGCCTCGCCTGGTGCTTCTGCTGGGCAGTCCATAGGACGCATGCGTGTGTGCTGATACGCAGATACCAACGAGATGTGATAGATGAATTCGTCGAGGGTGCGTAGGTGCCAGAGTCTATTGACGTTAGGGCTCCGGGTTCAGCCGAACTTCCTGGGTGTTTGCATGTGTGTATATTATATATATGTGTGTATATGTGTACGTGTGTGTATGTGTGCGTGTATGTGTATGTGTACCTATGTGTACGTGTGTGTGTATGTGTATGTGTACGTGTGTATATATATGTGTGTATGTGCGTGTGTATGTGTACGTGTGTGTATGTGTACGTATGTATGTGCATGTGTATTTACGTATGTATGTGTACATATGTGTACGTGTGTGTGTGTGTTTACGTATGTATGTGTATGTGTACGTGTGTGTATGTGTGTGTGTGTATGCTGGGAAAAAGGGGTGGGTGTGTGTTGTCGAGAAACTTTGCGTGCTGTGCTTGCCGTTGCATGGAGGGCAGGGGAGGGCAGGAGGCCTTTAGGATGGGGTATGCAGATGTCAACACTGGCGAGTTAAGGGCTTAAATATACAGCACAGACACTGTCTCGGCAGGGAAGACGCCTAAGAGAGGCAGATGCTGGTTCGGAGCATGTGCTTCAGAGATGCTGGGGGCTTTGGATGTCTTGAGCCAGCCTGGTGCTTCTCTTAAAGAGGTGGAGGAGATCTTCAATTCGACTGGGCCTAGCAACTACCTCGTTGTCTTTGCGAGGTGCAGCCAAGCCTTCGGTGCTCCCCTGAAACATCCCGAGCATGCAAGCATGCGTGCTCGAGGAAAAAATGCATGCATGCATGCAATGAAGGCTTTGCGACGTTCACTGGCTCCAGCGGGGTCCTGCATGCGCTGTTTGGAGCAAGGGTTTCAGTGCGCTTGTAGGGGCAGCATGCAGCTAGCTGCGTGTACAGGCTCGCCGTCACAGTTGTTGGGGGTCTCGATGTGTGTATTTGCGTGTGTGTTTGCTTGTGTTTGTGTGTGGCTTGGTGCTGCTGTACCATCGCGTGCGCATGCCAGACTTGCGGCAGGATCAGAGATTCGTCAGAGAAGCTCATTGTTTCTTCCTTTTCTCTCGGGGCACGCGTCGGCTGAAGAATTCTGTGCGAAAGAAGTGGAGCCTATGTGGGTATGTGCAGAACAGCCGCAGATACTGGCGCTGGTGATGGCCCTTGAATCTTCCGTCGAGATCCTCTATGTCGACCAAAGTGCAGGAAACGAACCAGGCATGTTTCACGACGTGCAGCAGATGATGAATGCAAAAGACGATGGCGCCTCGAGAAGGGAGGGGAGACGGTAGCTAGTCAATCCGAAGGACTTATGTACACACCCCGATCTCCCTTGACTGCATGCAGCGCCTTTGTAGATGCATGCACCCCAGCGTTGTGTGGTGCTGTGGATGCCTCAGCTCGCCACATTCTCCCCGAGTCCTCCTCTCCGGCTGTCAAGCTTCTGTACCGGCCTGGACACTATGACCTCCTGTACCTGTAGGGGCTGCTAGCGAGCCGCTAGCGGGCCCTTTTCCGTATTTTTCTAATTACCTACTAGTCTAAGTGCCTTCTCCCCGACTTCCTGTAATTAAATCACACTAGCAAGTGCGCTTCTCTAAGGCTCGGCGACCTAGCCATTTCCAAGCCGCTGAGTAGGAACTATCCCGTTTTCGCCCAAGTTAGCTGGCACCTCGCTTGGCATGGCTGCCTAGATATGAAGAGGGAATATGAAGCTGGCGGAACAGTGCCCTGGACTTCAGGCTGTTCAGCGCCTGCGGTGTATAGTCACCCCCCAACCGTCGCATTGTTTGCATTGAACAGTTTGGAAAATCCGCAAAAGGACATACATTGTGTGACCCCTTTCTAGCCCCGACTGCAGACGTTCGTTCACGCCGTCCTCCACACACGACCCTCGAAAAAGCGCTTTGCTGCCATGGGTTTGAGTTGGGGTAATCGGCCTAGAAAAGCCTTTGGGGGTTCCTGACTTGTTGCGCATCATGCTTAGCCTCAAGAAACCGTCTGTACGGGATGCGGAATGCCTGGCAGAAGGCGCTGTCTGTACTCCTGAGGATCAGGCGAAGGGGAGGGAGGGGAGGACACCACAGAGGTTGATACGGCTCTAAACCTCGCCAGCCCCGCTGGGGGTGCAATAGTGGCAAGACCAACATGGAAGACAGAGGAGAGTTGCCGCGGTTAATAGCCTCCTCTAGCTCTTGCTGAGAGTGCTGCTGCTGTTGCTGCAACAGCAGCAGCTGCAGCCTTCTTCTAGCGATATGGAGGGGCTGCTCTTGCAGTAGTTGCTCCCTGAATTTCCACTGGTTTCTGTCTTGGCTAAATTGTCTGTATACTTTAGCCTCTTCACCCTCATCGATCGAGTGCGGCCGTCTGGCTGCATGCGTCCTGATGAGAAATTCATTCACCAGCGCCAGGTGCCTCGGCACTATTCGGGTGTACAGACCGTAGGTCAGGGCCTGCGGCCATTCCAGCACCTCCTGTAACCGGGTGTACATGCAGTTCTGTACATACAGCAGCTTTGCTTTAAGCGACCCTTCAGGGTCTACACTTAACAGGCGTGGGTGCTGCAGCACTAGCTGACGCAGTTGCTCTTGCAGCTGCTTCTGCGCTTCCTGAACTCGTGAAGACTGCTGCTCCAGTCGAGCCAATGCAGCTGCACGAGCTGCTGCCGCCGCTTCTTCTCCTGCTGCTGCTGCCTCCTCCTCACCTGGGAAAACCTCTTTCAACAGGAGTCCGTCACCCTGGGGAACCAGCAAAGGGCCCCCCGGAGGGGGCCCCCCAACAGCCGAAGCTTTCGGATGCTCCTGCTGCTGCTGCTCAACTGGAGGTGGAGGGCCTTCGCCTTTCCACCAGGGAAGCCACTGGATGTTTTCCTTCGGTTGGTCATCGTGCTGCTGCTGCTGATCTTCTTCCTGCTGATGCTGCTGCTGATCTTCTTCCTGCTGATGCTGCTGCTGCACAAGAGGATCGTCTTCCCCTCCCCAGAAGAAGGGCCTCGTCGAAAGGACCTGCAACCAGACTTTGAAGATGTGTTTCAGCTTTTTTTCCGGCTGCTGCTGCTGCAGCAGCTGCGGCCGCTGCAGTGCCATTTGCTGCAGCTGAGCGCTACTGAACCCCAGCTGCTTCCACCGTGCAAGACGTTCCCTCATACAGGCTGCTGCTGCGGTTCTGTGGGCCTCGGCAGCAACCTTTGCAGCAGCGTCAGCTGTACGTACAGCTGCTGCGCTCGCACGCGGCTCCAGGGCAGCAGCCTCGGGAGTTGCAGCGGAGGCAGCAGCCTCCGCCGCTGCACCATCTGCCGCTGCCGCAGCATCGATTGCCTCGTCTATTGGAAGGTTTGATTTAAAGGCCTTGGGGTTCTGGAGGAGCCACTTCTTTACAGCGGCTGCTGTCCACCCTTCCTCCCTAAGCAGCACTGTTGCTGCTCCTTCTGCAGCTTCTGCGCCCCCTGGACAAAGCAACTGCACCCGACGTTGCAGCAGCAACATGAGTTCCCGGGGAGACAGCCGCAACAAAGAGGGAAAGCGCAGCGCTTCTAAACGCCGCAAGAACGGGGATGACAGCAACATCCTGCGTTGGAGGTGCTTTTGCTCAAGATCCTGCTCAGAACCTTGTTCCTGCTGCTGCGGCTGGTTTCCACTCTGCTCGGGCAGGTTGGCCGCTATGGTGTATACATCTGTAGCCTCGTGCTGCAGCACGAGGCGCAACAATGCGAGATGGGAAGGCTTTGGCTTCTGCGGTTCTTTTTCTAGAGTTCGAAGAGCGAATGCGAGGCCCCTACGGAGCTTATCGGGAAGGGGCCCCACTCTCTGCTCCTCCTCTGCGTGTTGCTGCTGTTTCTGCTGCTCTTGCTGCAGCTTCAAAGGGTGAGGATGGTAGAAGGCGGGCAGCGAGGGGAGGAAAGGCACAGGAGGATCCTTCTGCCTCCTCTTCTGGAGGCGCTGTAAGGAGCAGAGCGCAGTCCATACTCTGGGGGGGGAGGGACGGCTTGCATTATACCCCCCAATAAAGCCTGCTGCAGATGCAGGTTCTAGGGTAGCAAGAAAGGGGGGTTGCTCCTCGCCAGGGGAACCTCTGGGGGAGGAGGAGGGCCCCGTGAGGCCGCCTTTCGGGGGGCCCCATGCTATCGCATCCTTACCGCCAAGCAGATACAGCAGCAGCGTCTGCTGCAGCAGCGGTAGCAGCGGCAGCAGCAGCTGTCGCCAGGAAAAACGCATATCTCGTTCGGGATACACACGAGTGTGGCGGCCTGTCTTATGTGGCCTTTCAACCAGCGACCCCTCAAGGGGGCCGCAAGAGAGGCCACAAATCGAGCGTTTCACGCCTCCGAAATCACTGCCCTTTGCATCTGCTTCATGCAGGTAGGGGACTCGTGTGCGCGGAGGGTGAGAAAGAGAGAAAGAGAGAGAGAGAGTCGCAGAGGCGAGTGGTAAGAGGCGTACCGCTAAAATATGCAATGGCTAAAACTCCACATCCGAACCTCCAGGAACTCTCACTGGACCCCGAAATTCACGAAACGCACGTTTCTTGCTGCCTTGCCTGTTCTGCCTAGCCATAAACAACAACCCCCTAACCCTGAACCTCCAACGGGCTGCCACGCGCCGCAGGGACAGAGTCGTGCTGCTATGAAAAAAAAAGCTCTAGTGGCCCCTTAGCTGACGGGAGCATGCAAGGGGCTCTAAGTAAGGCCACATTATTCATGAGGTCATTGAAATTCCCACAAGATTCCTTCAGGTGTCGCGTCCAGTCCCGTCATACCAGCGCCGCCACGCGCACAGCAACGGCGGCTGCGCTGCTGCGCGCTCTCCAGAAACCTTCCTGCATGATCGGATTTATTTTCCCGGCTCTTGTGCTTGCTTTCTTCGAAGACTTGCACTCTGAAGAAGACCGCAGTCTGGGGAGCTGGCCAGGTGCTGCTGCGGAAGTTCCCCACTGCTGGCATCGACCGCAGGCGAAGCTGCACTGTCTGCTGCTCCGCCGAGAGCTGCGGCGGCAGAGGCCCCCAAATGCTCGAACGTTCGTATGTGCACACATAAGCGGCGTCTACTTGCGCACAGTGAGTCATCCCCGCAAGGTATCGAACCGCAACTCTTCCCTTTGAGGCTCCCCAACGAGCAGCCACCCCAGCAGCATGGAGGGACGGCCTCATAAGGCCCCCGAACCTCCTGCCTGCCCCCCTCTTCCTCCCCATGACCATTCCCAGAAGCAGCAACGAGACGCAGAGGAATGGCATGAACGCGGGGTGGCGACAGCAAACAGGAACGCTGAAGCAGATGCCGGCGCTGACATGGCAGCAGCAGTAGAAGCAGCACTAGAAGCAGCAGAAGCAGCAGTAGAAGCAGCAGTAGAAACAGCAGTAGAAGCAGCAGAAGCAGTAGAAGCAGCAGAAGCGGCAGTAGAAGCAGCAGAGGCAGCAGCAGCCTCTGGAGCCTTAACAGTGGCGGCAGTTGCAAGTGCAGCCGCAGCAACAAATACACCTGAAGCTAGAGTAACTGATGCAGAAGAACTCTGGCCTCCTCCCCCCCTCCTACAGCACTCGCCTCCCAAGTATTGCCTGTGTTGCGCTATCACAGCACAGCGGGAAAGCAGCACGGGGGGCAACAATAATTGCAACAGCAGCGGCAACAACCACAGTACCGACAACAACACCACTACCACCACCACTACCACCACCACAAACGCCACCACCACAATTGCCACCACCACAAACGCCACCACCACCACCACCTTGACATGTGCTCCATCGGACGCGAGCAGCGCCAGCGGCAGCTGCACGGAAGGGAAGGGGAACAACAACTGGACAGCCCCCTTCGTGGAAGCCTTTCTGCAGCAGCTGAGGCGGAGGGAGCTCAGAGGGAGTCACATGTCAGCGAAGAGGACTGCAGAGGCAAGCGCCGACTGCATGCGCCAGTCCTGCGACTGTTGCACCGGACGCAGGCTTCATGGTGCTCGCCACTCTCCAGGTGGTATACATATCTATATATGTATATATGTCTGTGTATGTAGATGTCTGTCTGTGTATGCCAATCTGTCAATCGGTATGGCTCTATGTATGTCTGTCTAGCTGCCGGTCTGTGTGTGTATGTATGTAGATGTCTGTCTGTGTATGTGCAGATGTCTGTCTGTGTATGTAGATGTCTGTTTGTAATGTGCAGATGTCTGTCTGTGTCTGTAGATGTCTGTCTGTGTATGTGCAGATGTCTGTCTGTGTATGTGTAGATGTCTGTCTATGTATGTAGATGTCTGCCTGTATATGTAGATGTCTGTCTATGTATGTAGATGTCTGTCTGTATATGTAGATGTCTGCCTGTATATGTGGATGTCTGTCTGTATATGTAGATGTCTGTATATGTGGATGTCTGTCTGTGTATGTAGATGTCTGTCTGTATATGTAGATGTGTATCTGTGTATGTAGGTGTCAGTATGACTGTATGAGTGCATGTATATGGCTGTATGGCTGCATGTGCATGTGCATTGCCAAGAGAGGGGTGGTCAAGTGTTTTTTTTCAGACGCTGAAGCGGGTGGTTGATGCAGTTCCGTGGACCACAACTCAAGAGTTGGTGGATGTTGTCACAGGGATTGGGCGGCGCTTAATATGTGCAGCTCCTTTGGATCTCCTTGTTGCAAATGTCGTTAGACGGGTACATTTTAAAAGCGTTTTTTTGCAAGGCCTTTTTTAGGCGGCCTTGTGATTAAGACTCTTATTCGGCATACACAGCACCGACACACGCAACTCCCTCGCTTCGCCTTTTCTCCCTCCCTGTATTTCTTTCTCTCGCTTGCATTTCCTTCCCTTCCTTGCTCTCGCTTGCATTTCCCTTCCTTCTCTCGCTTGCTTTTGCCTCCCGAAGCAGAACTTGTGCGCCGTCAAGCCTCGGAAAGGCTGGCGTATGAGCCTTAGAGTTTGTGAGGGGGGGCGTGGTGTCGGAAAGTGGGCAGTGCTGCCTGCGTCTGCGTCTGAAGCGTATGCATGAGGAGTCGTCTGAAGGAAGGCGTGTTATGTGCCTGCGCCGCTGTGGGGTGTCCACCTGTCGTGTGCAGGTGTTGTGTATCTTTCGGACGGAGCACTACAAGCACCAAGATGCGCATCGCCAGTCTCTGAAGCCCACGGGCACGTTGTGGGGTGCGGGATATACAGGAGGGGAGGGGGAAGGTCGTTACAAGGGAAGCGAGCGGCAGCTAGCCGTACGCGGCTTGCGCCAGCAGCAGCCGCAACAGCGAGCCAAATGGGTGGCTGAGCGAGCAGCTCCCTCGATGGCTAGCTACTTTGATCCGTATGCGGCAGTGGATGCGAGAGACTTCCTGCTGCCCGTCCCTCCGACTGTCAAGCAGTCCATATTCGAGGTGTGTTTGCAGCTTGAGGAGAGGTTCTCTTCGAATCTCGAAGATGCTGCGCGTGAGCGCAACAATCTCCACAGCATGGCTGCTTCGTGCTGTGTGTGGACGTGCAGAGCATGTCTGAACTGCTGGCAGAGATTGACAGCCTCTGGGAAGACGGGGAAGAAATTCGAATGAGCTGCTTTCATGACGGCGATTGCATCCTCACATACGGCTACTCTTTGGCCGTCGAAAGACTCCTGATTGCTGTGAGGCACACACCCCAACACACGGCTTCCCTGCTTAAGACGCGATGGCTGCCCCTCCACGCTGAGCACTGGGATTACCCTGTATGTACCTGTGCAAGCAAGGCCAAAAAAAGAGGTACCACCATGAAGGCGCTTCGCTAAAGACGACCCTTTAGGGTGGAGAATCTACTTACACACTCTACACCCCCACGGCTAGCCATAGATTCCTCGCCAACGGCTTCCAATCCCGAACCAGGCGTGGAGCATAGCCTTAGGCTCCTTAGATTGCCGCGTATCGTGTGTGTATGCATATGTGTATGTGTGTCGTGTATGTACTGTGTATATTTTTCGTGTATGTATGTGTGTATTTGTGTCGTGTACGTACTGTGTATGTGTGTCGTGTATGTATGTGCGTATGTCTATGAACGTCTCTGTATATGCCCTATATATATATATATATATATATATATATATATATATATATATATATATACTTAATACATATATGTGTGTGTGTGTGACATTACGTGTCGTGTCCTTCTCTCTATTTAACTCGCCATGCGTCTGCTGCGCATCGGCTCCTTTCTCTCGAGGGATTTATGTGGAAGGCGTGTTCGGTTGGTGTGTGGCTTTCAAGGTGCACGAGAAGAATCAAAAGCTGCAGCAGGCTGCGCGCCGCTCGTCCTCATCGTCTTCTTCCAGGTGTTGCTTCGAGGTGGTGGTGTTGGGTGGCGATGCGGAGGACGGAGGCAAGCGACTGGCAGCCAATCTAAAGAAGGCTAACATCCAGACTACATATATTCCCGACACGGCCCTCTTCCCCGTCATCTCCAAGGTGGATAAGGTCCTGCTTGGTAGGTTGGCGGGGGGAGGGGAGTTGACGCGGGGAGCCTGTGAACAGACACCCTAAAAAAGAGATATTCTGACTGGGAAACTGGTCTAGGCTGTGCATGCGCGGTAGATTACCATGGTGATCCCGTGTTAAGTGTTGAGGAAGTGCTGTCTCTTCGTTGCCCGTGTCGTTTTCTCTCTTGGTCTCTGTGCGCCTCCGAAGCAGAGCGTGGGCAGTTCAGCATGAGTGTTCAATGCAGCAAAATTCAGAAATTATATTTATTACAAATATATATATATATATATATGTACATGCGTGTTTTGGAAGTGGTCTTTAACACTTGGATCTAGATGCTTTCTTCCCTTTAAGCACATCTGGCGCTGTCACCCCCGGACTTGTTGCTTGGGGTGTACGTGTAAGCACATGTGTACTTGTATGTATACCTATGTTTATATCTATATATTTATATATATGTACATGTGTTTGTGTGCCTCTATGCACGTGCTGTTAGGGACTGTGGCGGTGTTATCGTCCGGGGGTGTCGTGACGGTCGGCGGTGCAAATTCTGTAGCGCAAGCCGCGAAGTTTTTCAGTAAACCCCTGATCGCAGTTGCACCCCTCTTCAAGCTGACGTATCTGCCCTTTTTTGACCACCATAGCTCCAACGAGCTGCTTCCTCCCGCAGCGGTAAGCGTGTGCACAACGCGTTATCCAGCAAACAGTCATCTCCAAAACCCTCCCTGCTGGCAGCACGCTGCGCATAAGGCCCTCAGACAGATCAAAAATCCAGCGCCAATGGGAAGGATGGCCGGATCTCTACGGCGTTGTTGCTGCGTCTGCAGATGGTCCCCGAAGGCTTAAAAATGGGGAATGTCAGCATCAGGTAGGCCTTCGAAAGTGCTCTCCGTCTCACCAGCCGATTGCGCAGCCTTGGCAAGCGGGCACGCAGCGACAGACACCACCTCGCGAGTCAGTTAGCTAGTGGGTTTTAGGTGTGTCTCGCGCCTCAGTTTGCTCCTCTGTGTGTTTGTTTGTGCGGTCTGTTTTTTGGCGCACTCCACAGGATCCCAATGTTTGACTACGTCCCTCGTTCGCTGGTTTCCGTCTTTATAACAGACGTCGGCGCCATCGACCCTAGCTACCTCTTCACCCTTTCGAGGCAGAGGTACCACGTGGACGACATCGCTCTCAGCATTGTGGACTAGCTAGTAGCTAGCCAACAATGCAGCCTGCCGGCGGCGCGCCTAACTGCATCTCTGAGCCGAGCAGGCGCCTTCTAGCGCGCAGATGCAGTCATTGCTGCGTTGCTTATGGGGTAGGGTAGCTAGCTGCTCGTATCGCTAGCGGGATCGCTGCCAGGGCCAGGAGCTCTCCCCCTTCTGGCCAAGGGTACTAGTCACGGAAATAGGCAGTCTGTGTACAGACGCACGTCGCAGCTGCGGCGCTTGCACGCTGGAGCCCTCTCACGCAACTTCTGCAGGCGTGCCCCTGCCGCTCTCGCCTTGAGGTGTAGGTGCCTACAGCGACCCTTGCTGATCGCCCCCGTGCCCAGTCAAACGCCGAGCGAGCCACATGTTTAGGGAAAAAACAAGGCTCCTTGAGTGATGTCTGTCCCCCACACCGTCAACACAGGGGCTGTCACCATGCAGTTGTGCGTCCCCCCCATCGCCTTCTCTCTCTCTATCCTCGGAATACGGGGTATTGTACTGTATTGTATGGCCCGAGTGTACCCCCTACTGGCCGAGGCCTCCCGGCACTGGGGCCCTCTGCTTCAAAAACCAACTCGAGCTGCCACTCCGCATGCACGTAACGCTAAAGTGTAACGACTCTCTGTCTAGCCATTAGCTGCGTGTGCCGCGATCCCCCACTCCTCGCATGCTGCGCTGCTAGCTAGCCGCTAACAAGACGCCAAGGCAGCCGAAGCCTCCTCGCCCCTCCAGTCACAGGTCGTCGTAGCTCGTGGTTGGCCGGGAGACCGCCTGGGGTGTACATACACACCGCGCATGCAACAGAGAGCGCCCCCGCCTTCCAAGAGGTCGCCGCAGTCACTCTACCCCCTTGCTCCCCTCCCAAAAGACAACTGCCCACACTCTACCCCCTTGCTCCCCTCCCAAAAGACAACTGCCCACACTCTACCCCCTTGCTCCCCTCCCAAAAGACAACTGCCCATGCCTCGTCCCCTACCTAGCAGCCTAGCATTCCAGCCTGCCGCTGCCAAGGGGCCTCGCCTCCCTAGCGCTCTGCTCCACAACTCACCAGGGGTGCAGCGGCTGGGCCGTTGGGAGAATCCCAGTCTCTCTGTCTTCTCAAGTGCGGGGGCAGCATGTGCGGAGGGGGCAGCAGAATAGGGCGTGAAGGGGGGCCCCCCGCTGCGAACAAATCAAACTAAACTCACTGGCAGGGGTGAGAGAGATGCAGCTGCACTGGCGTCCGAGCCGCTCAGGGCAGGCCAGCCAGGCGTCCACGCCTACACCGGATACACCCGGCATTGGGATCGCGTGTAGGACCCCTGAGCCAACCCGCCTCGTCCAACTCTTTACATGCACAGGGTGTGGGGCAGCGTGTCACTCTAATTTCTTCCGGTGTCAACGACGCCAGAAACACGAGCTCCGCAGTTCGCGGGAGGAACCACGCGACGAGGCGCAACTCACGCATAAACATCGAGGGAGGAGGCGGGGGGGGGGGCCTGCCCCTAATCGTCAACCTCTCCCGCTCGCGATCTCGGTGTCTCTGCCGCTGCTGAGGCAGTGTGATGTGTTTGTTCGGATCGTTCATGTACGCCGTCCGCATGAGGTGGGGCACGTACTGCACACAGCACACCACTAAAAACCCACAAGGCCTAAATGCAAGCTGGCCATAGCGTTGCACTGCACGCAGGATCTCCCGCTCTGAGGCTCCAAGCAGCCAGTGTACAAGGACCTTGCCACGGCTGCCAAGCTTACAGGCCAGAGCTAAGGCTTCCAAAAGGAGCAGCACTCACAGACAGACAGGCACCTTCCTTCCCAACTCTCTCTCTCCCCGCCTGCCTGCCTGCTGACCACCCACAGCCCTTCCCACATCCACGTGCCCCGTAGCCTACTCTGTTGATGATCCTTGCAAGTTCTCGCTCATGCTTCTTCCTGTGATGGAGGTGAACAAACGAAGGAGCCTTGAAGAGCTTCTGGCAAAGCGTGCAGCGATACCGGCCCTCCGCATCCTTCGATGTGTGCTGTACACAGACCGCCCCACACCCCACACCAAGAAGCCTCCAGGAGATTAAAAAACGGCGCGACCGTTGAAGCACAGCGGCTCCCGTCGAGATCGACACCACACCATCGAACCACACCATCGAACCACACCACAACACACCACACCGTAGCTCTTAATGCGAGACTTTCGGCTAAGCCTTTTGGGGGGATGACCACGCCTTACTTCTTGGCAAAATGCCGTCCATTTGGTCTGGATAACAGGGCTCGCTTGCTCGTCGAGGGGAGGCGGAAGGTTCTGCTGCATCCTTGCCGCCATCTGCAGCAACACGCGCAGCCGCTGATCCAGCTGATCTGCCCACAGCTGCTGCTGCTGAGACACCCCGACACTGCGGCTGCTGCTGCTGCTTTCGCCGTTCGTAGCCATGTCGTCTTCATCCTCCGGCTGCCTCTGCTGCTGCTCCTGCAAGAAATGCTGCAAATGCTGCGGAACCGCAGGCCGAAGGTGTCCAGCTGTGGCATTGAGGTGCAGCTGCTGAGGGTCGTCATACACCTGCACAACGCACGCCACAACCCCACGCAACCCCACGCCGCAACACGGTACAATACATCCTGGACGTCGGACTTCCGCGAAAAAACACACCACGCTTTCTTTGAGAGGCCTGTTGTGGGATCAAGCATACCTTGCCGCTATAGTAGCATACGCAGTGCACATGGCGCAAGTATGTGAGCATCAAGTCCAGCCGCCTGGAAAGCCCGAAACACCGCATGCAGGAAAAACGCATGCATGAAGGAGCGTTCTCCACACGCAAAAAGCTGCACGGCAAAATGATCTCCCCCAAAGATCAGTCTTCATGATCGAAAGCCACACGCAAAAAGCTGCACGGCAAAATGATCTCCCCCAAAGATCAGTCTTCATGATCGAAAGCCACACGCAAAAAGCTGCACGGCAAAATGATTCCCCCCAAAGATAAGTCTTCATGATCGAAAGCCACACGCAAAAAGCTGCACGGCAAAATGATCTCCCCCAAAGATAAGTCTTCATGATCGAAAGCCACACGCAAAAAGCTGCACGGCAAAATGATCTCCCCCAAAGATAAGTCTTCATGACCGAAAGCCACACGCAAAAAGCTGCACGGCAAAATGATCTTCCCCAAAGATAAGTCTTCATGATCGAAAGCCACACGCAAAAAGCTGCACGGCAAAATGATCTCCCCCAAAGCTCAGTTTTCATGATCGAAAGCCTCCAAAAAGCAGAAACTCGCCAACAGCGCCAAGCGAGAGGCGCGCCGTGTCAGTCGTGGAGCACGTACAGCCAAGCATCTTCAACCCCATCAAGGATATCCTCCAAAGGGTGGCTCGCATCCGCAGCGCAAACATCCAACTGCCCGTCTGCAGGAGCAACGGCATGCTCAACGCGCCAGCAACAGAAATATTGAGGCACGCGCGAAAGCACCAAACAGATGGCAAAAATAGCCGCATCGCCTTCGCAAGCACTGCCCTCCAACACGCAGCCTTCCAAGCAACCGTTGAACGCTGGCCCCCTAAAGATTCACCCCCTTCCCCCATTTTTCCCCTAAGCCCTTACCAAGCGTTCGAATCAGCTCCCACGCTCTTTCGGTGTCTTTGTTTAGTCTGTCCGCAGTGGCAGCAATTGGCGGCGTAAGTGCAACCCGCACGGAGGGGCCCACCTCGGGGGGCCCCTGCAGCTTCAGACGGAACTCCCGCAGCGCGTCACTCTCCTCACCCGGCTTGTCTTGGTAGAGACGAACGAGTCTGCATGCATGCACAACCCACCCACACACACAGCAACAGCCCTGAACTTCGACCCCTAAGACAGCGCCAAGCTGCAAGCACCAATGAGGCCCTTCAGGCACACCACCAGCTCCATGAGCTCACGTGAATTCAGCGCCTTGCGCCAGCGCCTCATCGGCAGCCTGCTGAGTCGGGAAGAAGACATGCGCTGTCCGAGATGCCGTCAAACCCCCGTTCGATACCATCGCCACATACAGAGCTCCCCGCTTCTGATTTTCGCACAAAAACCGCAGTGTCATGTACATACACCCTAAACTGTAAACATCCCATAAGAAGGCACGGACGCCCCAACAGAATACACTCTGGGAAGCCTCCACGCAAACTCCCCCCACCCCACCCCTCCCTCCCGCACGTGTCAGAGACCCCACCCCGCCAAACAACCCCACTAAAAAACACCTCGAGTGCCTTCAAGATGTCGAACTTGTTGATTTGTGGGTCCACACGCTGCACTTGCAGGCAGCAGGCGTTCGGTAACAACAGGAAATCTGTAGGGACATTCAAAATGCCAAAGGCCTGCTGCTTCTGCTCCTCCTCCTCCTCCTGCTGCGTAGACACCCGAATCTGCCTTGGCCAGTCGTCAAGCAGCAGTGGCGAGATGTCGCCTGCAGCAGAAAATTCAAAGCACCCGCCGTCTGCCCCGCCATCAAAGACTCTGGAAAAAGCGTCCGCCTATCCCCTCGATCACAAAAACACCCCCAAGCAATAGCGCATGGAACGAAACAAATACTCCAAAACCTCCACGAACCACCGACACCCGCCAACCCTGCATGAGCACAAATCAAGGGTAAAGCTTCAAGAAAAAGCGGAAGGAGGAGCACCAGCAGGCGAAGCGAAGCAACTGTCAACAAGGCCTGCCCACAAGCATCAAGAAAATGCGTAGCTACCTTCATCCGCCAGGAGGCCAACGGGAGCCTCAAGCCTCAAATTCCGGAAGCCGCCCTCCTCCCAGCGCTGCAGCACGAGCCCGCATACATACATGTACAGATATATATGTATATATACCCCCTGCCATGAATTGTGTTGCTTTTTGCTGCCTCCCCTCCTCGTTTGGCTCTGTATTACAGGAGCTGCGCCATTCTACATGCAAAGTGTTCATAAGGCACGAAAAAACCGACAAACACCGAGGCGAGTAGGCGGCCTCAAAACGCTTTGCTCGCTCGCTGCATCGACGGAAAAGCACACCTGCAGGAAGCTCCTGGCTTGCTGTTGAGCCCTTTCCCTACAGCGAAGAAACTGCTCCCTCAGCATGTTGGGGTTGTATGCTTCTTGCATGAAGCCTGAACGCAGGAACGAGAGAGGGCAGCCTAGATCCTGAGCCTTAGCGAAGCTCCGGGGCACAGGATCTACCTGCATGTACAGTCCTATATCCCTGAGACTTTTCTAGCGAGCCAGAGTTTCACGGAAAAATCACAGGGGGCCCTCAAAGGAGGGCAGGGCCGACTGACGCAGTACCTAGGTGGTGGTTTTCATCGAAGAAGCGCGCAGCATGATGGGCCCTGTACTTTTCCAGATACGCCTTGTATCCGTCGTTCAGAACATCCTGACTTGTCCCGTCAGGCTGCGCATACACCCCAGCAGCAGAGTCGCACGCCTCCCTCCCTCGCCGACTGGCAAGCAGCGCTCTTCCGACGCAGGCAGAAACTCTGCGCAAGAACTCAAGACCCTTACATTTCGTAGAACGAACTGCTTGAAGGTGAGCATCGGTCCATCTAGAAGACTTCTAGGATCGTCTTCTGCCCCAGACACATCCATGGAAGCGGGGGGGTTCCTCCCTTCCCAGGGGGGGCCTCGCCAAAAGGGAGGGCCCCCCGAAGGGGCGCCCCGGGGGCCCCCGTTTCGTCCCTCTGGGCCCCGCCGTCTGTACCAGCCGCCCCGCGAGGAAGGAGGGGATCTGCTGCGGCTGCGCGCCATTTTCAACCCTCAATCCCAAGTCATACAGCTGGAGAGATTGCGCAGGGGAGCACCAATCCCGATGATCGGGGCAGAGTTGCTGCCGCCGCAGCGGCCTAAGCAGCAACTGCTGCTGCCGCGAGCCTCGCTTTCCTGCTCTCAGAGTGTCTGCAGCTGCTGCCCCGAAGCCCCTGCAGCAGCTGCTGCCTTGCCTTGAGGTGCTGCTCCGGAGCCTACGGGCGACGCTGCTACTACGGCAGGTGCCGCGGCAATTGGATAAAGCCAAGTTTGAAGCGTCAGCGCCACTTTGATTGACAGCGGGGTGCACAAGTTCTGTGAATCCCCCTTTGGGGCCTCGGTGTAGTTGCAGCCACAGGATGGCGGCAGCAGGCGCGCGTAGCCAGTGCAGAAACCCTCGGGAAGCAGCAAAGATGATACTTTAAATGCAATAGAGAGGCTAAAGGCAGGACTTGAGCACTAGCGACGTCCCACCACCACCAACAATGCCGTGGGGCAGACGGGCTGCCTCGGGGCTGTCCATACACCCCAGATGCATGTCTTCTCGTTTACGGCCCATCTCTTTCCTTTCGTCCTTTCTACGCCTCCCTATTGTGTTGTATTTGATATCTGAGGAGGTCACATGTGCAACTGTGCACCCGTGGCTCGAGTGGCTGCATGAGGGCCCCCTAGCGGCAATCTGCAGCAACTGGCGAGCCAAAATTCGCGCGGATGGCCGTGACGCTCCGCCTCAATTAAAAGCACTACGCTTTACATGGACTCGTTGCGGTAGTCACTGTAGAACAAGTCACCAAACCGTCGGCGAATCCAATCGGATGCAACCCTCTAGCATACCCAAAGTGAACGGGGGTTCGGGCCCCTATCCCATCAAGTTGCATGGTGCTTGGAGTTTGACGTACGAAGCCTTGCAATCCCCCTAAGAAAGGAAGTGAGAGTCCAACCTATTTCAAACTCTAGGCAACAATAGGCTGTAGGCGGAGCACCGAGCAGCTGAGCGGTGTCGCGGGTGGGTCGTCTATTTAGGGCTTAGATGGTGTTTCAGAGTTTCTAGCCGGATCGGTGCATGACACTCAACGATAGCAGCAAACCCTGGTTGTCCCATCGCGGTGTATGCGCTGCCCAGGAGCCTCTGAAGAAGAGCACACATGCGCACAGCCATCTGGACTGTGAGGTCCGTAGTGTGTAGCTAGCTATTCGCACATCAACCCCAAACCTTGGAGTCAGATACCTCTGATTTTCAGGCCTATAGCTTCATACCTTTGCAGGGTTTGCCAAGAAACACTGTTTGTCCCCTAGCGCGTCGAGACACCAGAAATTGCGCCCCAGCTGCAAGGCGGCCCCCGCATCTCCTTCATCGACTGCAATGGAAGCCTAAAAAGCCCAAAAGTGCACGATCGTAGCGGCTGCAACACTGATTGTTTTGACGCTCCTGCTTCGAAGGGTAGCACAGCTCCCTTGTACGCTGCCACTGTAAGGCGTGCAGTTTAGGGTTTAGAGTTTGCGTTACAAGCGTTAGGAGCTCTTCCAGTTCGGTCCGTGTCCCCCCGTCTTCTTTCAGCTTTCGAACTTTTTTTGAAAGCCCCTCCAGTGAATATCCGAGATCGCGCCACCCCAAATCTGCCTTCTTGTCGTATGGTACCACCACTCCCAATCCTACACACCAAAGAGGTACACCCTCGGCTAGGTGCACTAGAGGCGCTTACACTTGGGGTAAATATGTTTCAGAGACTCGAGCTGCTTCTGAAGTCGGCCGGCAACTCGATCTCACTACACACCCTAGAGCCCGAAGCGTAGGGTGCTTGGACTACACCTCAGGGCTTACCCGAGAGATCCTTTGCTATGCACACTTTCTTGCGTCTTGCTGCCCACTGAGCTGCACCCTTAGCAACTCGCTTAGCTATCGCCTCCAACCTTTGACTTCCGCTGGCGTTAGTGCTGCTGGCGCTAGGAATGGGAAGGAAGTCCAGAAGCCTTGCGCAGAGATCTCTGCACGCAAGCCACAACATTTTGCGTTCGGAGTAAGAAGAGGAAGACCACTGCCGTCCAATGGTGTACTTTTGCTTCGCACCATCCCCATCCTCATTACATGCGTCTCGTGTGTATGCACAGCCAACACGTACTCTCGCTCTCCGCGCGAAAGGGCTTGTTTTCCCTGGGAACTCCCTCGTGAAGCTCCCGCCATAGATGCCTCCTGTGCGGCATCTACTGCGTGCCTAATGCAAGCGGCAAAGAGAAGCGGGAGATGAGGAAAATCCTCTTTTGCAGCAGTGGCAGCTGCCGCCTTTGCCTTCGAGGGTTTCGCATTCTTGAGATCGGTGTCGATGGCGGCAAAAGGTGTCTGGACACCAGAGAGGCCGGGATCATTCCAAACCACACACTCTGGGCTAGACTCCTCTCGATCCCTAAACAAAGAAAAAAGAGGAGACGAATCATCGGTGCTGCTGCTGCCGCTGCTGCTGCTGCTGCTGCTGCTGCTGCTGCGCATCACGGGAATGCATTCAGGTAGAGTATAAAGACTGCGGGAGTGAGAGGGAGAGAACGAGGCTTGAGGGTCTGACAGAAGGTCGAAGGGGCCTGCACACAGACAGCGAACCCTAAATCGTAAGTCATAATCCTGGAGCTCAAAGCCTGGACTTCTTGGTTGCAAATCGGCTGTATCTTTGCGCTGTGTGGAACAAGCAAAGTGATGGGGTTTCAGGTTTAACATTTGGATTTCGGGATATACCGCAAAGAGTGAGGCCTAAAGGCTTCAGGGCGTCTCTGGGGTCCTTCCCTGGTGGAGTGTGCGCACAGCAGAAATCCCACAATGCTAACAGTCCAAGAGTATCTGCTGACGCTTTTGAATGATTATGCAATAGGAACTGTTGCTTCAACTGCTCATACATCTGTGCCTTCTGTGGCTGCCCTTCCTGCTGCTGGCACCGTTGTGCTTGTTGCTTCTCCCCAGGATCGCGCCTGGTCTTTTTACATTGCGGAAACAAGCAGGAGGCTGCTGTCTCTGTTGCTGCGGACTTGGCTGCAGCCATTGTTGCTGATTCTGCTGGTGCCTTACGCTTCGTCCCCATGCTCAGCCGCTTACTGCGGCTCGAGGGGCCCCCCATAGTGAGCTGGGCTAGTGGGGGTCGTTGTGGACTTGTGCTGACTGCTCTTACTACTGAGGTGTATTCGCCTCTAAGAGACTAGGCCGCAGCTGCTTGCTATTACTGGGATATACGGCCTAAAGCCTAGAATTGAGGGTTCAAAGACGCGATGGGCTGCCATAGGTCAGAGGCTACGCGTTGGGGTTTCAGGCTCGGGCTGTCTGGACACTCCAAGTGTCTCGACTGACCAGGAATGCGTGCATGCACCCCCTTCAAGCTTAAAGATTTGCGAGTAACTTGTAACGAAACAAGCTCTACATTGATTATAAGGTTTTGTAAAAAGCTAGGGAGTGTAATAGGATCAAGGTGAAGAGTGTAGGCTCTTTTGTTGTCGAAGACCACTGCTTGTGCGCAGCCGACAGATCCGACTGCCCGTTAACCCCAAGCCCTAAACCCGAATTCGTAATCTGGAAACTGCGAATCCCATAAATCAAGCTGTAATATGTAATCCTGTTGCTTATTCGCAGAGCCATACGCCCCTGCTGTAGCTAGTTGAGTCCCACCTAGGCTCCATGCCGTTCGCTGAGCAGTGATTCAAGAGAAATAGCACGAGATGAGGTCAAAAACTCTTTTACCTTGAGAGGGGCAGCCATAGCAGCCGTGTGGAGGTAGTCGGAATTTGGACACTACTCGCATATTTAGCCCGTAACACCTCCTTCAATATTCTGGCTAATAGTTCAAGGTCTTCCTTAAATTCACGAACAAGTCAGTCTTTTAGCCCCTTGAACGGCGATACCTACTAGGAGCAGCTTACGTATATGACTGACAAGTTAGGCTGTGCCAACTAGCGGGGTTCCGATCCATTGTCTGGCAGTCAAGGCTCTAGACTTCAGGGTAACGGCTTATCCACTACCTTCGCACGCATCTACACTAGCGATAAATCACGGTGGGAACTAAAACTGCAGGTCTAGAGCATTTGTTCTAGTACTGGAGGCTCCTTTGAAGACCTCTCACTGCACTATACAGGAGACTTTTGAAGAATACTCGTGGCTTTGATTGACTGTCTCTGTCGCCCCCAGTAAGTATCGCTCTACGTTTCTTTGACAATGCAATGGCTTTACAATGGTGCTCTAGGAAACACGTGTACCCTCGGCTGGTACACTAAGGCCGGTGCTTTGGTCTGAAGCAGCTCACGTGCATTGCTACGACGCTGCACTTTTCGAGGTGCCCTGCTGAAGGTTTGGCCCATTCGGCAAGCCAAAGGACACACGAAAGGGAGATATAGAAGTTATGCAACCAAGAACATGGTGATGCACAGGCATGGGTAGTTCAGTCAACTACCAAAGAGAAGTCCCTATAATGGATTTTGCAAGCGATTGAGCTCCACTTATACACTTTCCACAACACTTATTATATTTATTAAACTAATAAGCAAGGGACTTATTGGCTTGTCTTTCTGCATACCTTACTCACTGCAGAGTATTTTTAACTTGACACAACAGCACGCAATGTGGTGTGCGTCTGGGCTTGATGCTATGCGCAACTAACTGTTAGTGCTGGAAGTGGCTAGAGGGTGTGACTTTCCGCATTCTAACAGTTGTTCTCCCCTTGCGTCAAGAACTCTGGGGGTCGCGGGCTAGGGAAGGAGGAAGTCTTTCCAGAAACACTCAACTAAGCCATTGAGTCCAGTGCTAATTGTCTCCCTACGGCGACGTTAGATGGATGTTACAGGCTTTAGCATCTCATGGTTTGGTGCGGCAGTTCCTTGCTTGTCCACTGGCTGTGGCTGCAGTGGGATTTCAGGTTTCCTTACAACAGCTGTTTGGTTTTGGCCAAGTAACCTGGTAATTCAGCAATCTGATTCTCTTCGGCAACAGGCTGATGAAAAGCCTTTTCGCCGTGAAAGCTTGACAAGCGTTTGCTGAGGAAGCAGAGGCCGGCGTGTAAACTCATGAAGGCTATAGCACCAGAGCTGGTCAAAAGACATGAATTGGCAGCTGAAGAATGTTTCCGGATGCGTGAATACGGTTATGCCTACAAAACTTTTTGTTATTCGTGAATAGAAGTAGGTCTTCGAGTATTTTGTAAGCCATTTTAAGACGTGCTTCGGTTTTTTCACCGCCGACGTAGAGAAACACGTGCCCTATGGCATGCTTACTGAGAGGAGGAGCACGTTGATGGGGCTCTTATCATGTTCAGAAAATCGTCTGCCTGCAGGGAAGACTACAGTATAAGCTCTCATGTCTCCTCTGACTCATCGGTTAATATCGGCATCCTTTAGCACTAAGCTTTGGAATGGTTGAGAACGCTCGAGCACGAGAAGCTGTCTATAAGAAGCTGTGCTCGTAAAAGTTACAACTTATAGAAGCAGCTGCATTATCAGGAGCTATATAGTGTCAGCTTGAGACGTCACTTCAGGATGCGGCAGGATGGGCAGCGAGTCACCGATTAAACAGCTGACCGGAGCGGCCTCCGCAGATGAAGAAGCAGTTGGGGCATCAGCAGCAAATAAGTGCAAACCATGCGTATTTGGCTAAAGAAGAACGGCCACATCAGAATCAAAACCTATTAGCTATCGAGGCCACGTCAGCTGGCACAACATTACTTTGTAAGGTGAACGAGAAGAGAAAGCCAGAGAAAAGCCCCGCTTCTGAGGAGGCCTGGATAGCTTCTCAACAACGCACATCCTTCTACTCTAGGAGACTTGGTGATGAATCTGGAGCTACGAACACATGTAGAAAGCCAAAGAACTTGGATAAACAGAACTGGGCTCAGAAGATCCATACGACTTGGCAGGCAAAGAAACCATAACAAGAAATCTAAAGCCACCCACGAAGACTGCCACGCTGTGAAGGAGGTACGGAGGATGTAGCCGCTATCGAAGACCCAACAAGGTTAAGGTCTGCACTGATACTGGCTCACATCAAATAGAAACAATATTCAAGCACTTTTAGCCCTACAGTCCTCGATATAAAAAGTGAGTCCTTCATTTGACGGGGCAATACCGTACTGGGAAGTGCAATATGCCTCTCGACGCGCCACCGCAATCCCTAAAACTCAGGCTTGCTCAAGGATTGCGAAAAATACAATTGCCAAGGATACGGCATAAATTATCAGTATATATAGAAGTTGGGTTATATCAACATAGTCCCTGACGTCTCAGGTACATCTAGGCACCTTGACGTAATCCTAGAAATGCCATGGGGTACCCAACGCAAGGCAGTCATGCGTCCATAGGTGTGCGCCATGGAGGTAGGCATGGCATGAAGCCCTCGAAAAGAGCAGCTCTTGGTCGCCTCAGCAGATTGCATTGTTCCGATAGTTAGCAAGGAAGAGTCAGTAACTTAGCAAGGGGAGGCAGGGTCTTCCTGCAGGTGGTTGTGCAGTGTGGTAAAGAAGATGGTTCTGAGCATGCCTCCCGCCTGAATGGTTTTGCTAAGGATTCTTCTATGAGAATTTTGTACAACGACTAGCTGAGGAGAGGCAGGGATGGGAAGTTACCAAGGGTTTTGTGAATGGGCTAAACGATGACGAACGAACTGCTGGCAGGCTGGCCACCTGCTGGTCAACCAGCACACCGTTTTAAGATAGTACCTGAATCAGTCCTAAGCTGTATTCCATGTTGTCGTAATGCCCCACAGCCTGAAGAGCGTAGTAGTTGGCGGTTGGATGATTTGTCGCAAAGTCCTACGGGTAAGAATCTACTAGCGCTTTGGGCGTAACCTCGAGTTGATGTCCAGAATGGACAGAAGGTGAGACACCTGCGGTAATCTTAAGCCCCTAAACAATATTGCTGTGTCGAAAAGGTTACTAATTTTTTCTCAGCAAAGTCTTCGCCGAAAACACGGGTCAACAGTTTCTCTAACATTTGGCAACACAGATGCCGCTTTAAACTTCACACTCACCCCGATGCACAAAGGGACGTTGCACATGCCAGTCGCAGACTCGAGGGCACCTGTATGCCTTTTAGAATCTTCCAATCCCAGCTGAGCTGCTCTGTCATGTTTATACGGCCTCTTGAAAGCCCATCAAGGATGGGTGGATGGCTCTGTACACGTCTGAAGTTTTAGTTCTCAGCAAGACTTTCAAGAGCATGTGAGCTTCAGTTGTTGTGGGACAAGCACTAGCCTTTAAAGGCATGCAAGTTGTGTTTTCTCGTAAGAAAATTGTCTCTCGGATTCTGTGCTTGTCTGTAGAAATCGGGAAGATACACAAATAATCGAAGCGATTAAGTGGTGGCTTTTACCTATACACACCCGTACGGACGATGAGTTGTCGTGTGGATTTGCGTCATATTGCCAAGATAGATTCCCGATTTTTATGGCTTTGCTGCTATCTTGGCTTATACACCTTGGAAAGCAAGCTCTTGAGTTTTGAAAGACAAGTCTGACGCAGCAGCAAGGACCCGTGTCGGCAGCCGTACAACTCCTCCGGTACTCACGCTGCGCTTGAATATGAGCTCCATTTGCTTGCAACAATTGATGCTATTAATAAAGCGGTGGTGACGTATCTTCAAAGAGGCTGTGGAGCTCCAGTGAAACCGCTTTAGTGCGGGCAGGCGACACTACTCGATGTGCTAGGGCTTTAAAAAGTAGCGGAACTATTTGAAGGAGAATCCTTTTTGTCATTCGTAGCAACCGTCCGCTTTTGATGTACCCTATGCATAGTAATATGAAGTTTGATAGCACTAGAGTGGCTCTCTTGCTGCGACGCGCCCTGCAGTATCACATTAAGGGGAAGTACATAAAGGGCGCTACCAGCCTTGTCGTCACTTCGCTCTTGCGAAGCCCGAGTGATTTAATGATATGTCGCACAACTGCTTGTGTCTGTACCGAGTCCCGCTTTGTATCGAGATTGCTTAAGCCATATGCATCCTGGTTTAGATACTATTGCCAGCATTCAGAATGGCAGGAGGGTAGAGCACTGGCGCGTTGAGGATGGCCTGCGGTGGTTCAAAAGACAGCGGAGACTCCGCCGCTTGTACTTTGGGGCTAAATTCCAATGTGCGTATCGTGTAAATCACAGGATCACATTCTCGCGGGCTGTTGTTGTAATACACTATGATGAAAGGGGTCTCACTGCCTTTCTGGTGGCCTCTGATCTGTCTCGCGGCGTAGTAGAACACCGTCATTTCCAGAATGTCAGCAGCTGAAGCCGCCCAATTCATCACGGCCTGGTGTTTTACAAAGCTTTTCAGTACTTTGGAAGGCTTTGGAGTGATGCGGCAAGAAATAGATTTGGGGCTGTCGGAGGTCAAGGGTTAGGATAGCATGTTTGCTACTTTTGACATCCCCAGCGAACACGTGCATTTCATTGCAGTTCGTCCCTCGTGATTGCTCCATCATGACTCAGGAAAACACTAAATTATTTCTAGCGCCTGCGTAGATACTTCACGAGCTCCCCGAGTACATAATGGAGGAAAGAGATCCTAAAGTCATTGGTGCTCTAAGGCATGTCAACGTGAGCCGCCAACGCGCTGACCATGACATAATCACTGGAAACCACCTTGACGTAGATGGACGGAAAGAGCGCGCGAGCCTCAGTCTTCTGCAATACATCCAACCGTATGCCCGCTTCGATTCATTCGCTGTACTCTCTTTCGCTTGCTGAGGAAAATCATTTTCCAGCACTTCACCTGTCTATTCGTTGCTCTCCTGTATCCTAGTCTACACTGAAGAGCCTTCCCCAATCCGTACGTGAACCTGTTGGTCCGAGGCTAAGACCAACTTTCAGCAGCGTGGGGGTTCAGGAAAGGCTGGCTGATTCACTTCAGTGCATCAGGAGAGCTTATGAGAGACAAGCACAGAAGTATGATAAGTGGCGGTCGGCTGTGTATTCCAAACCTGAAGAATTGGTCCTAGCGGACAGACAGGCTTCACGAGGTGCAGCAGAAGTTTACCAGAGAAGGGAGTTTTGCGACCAGGTGACTAAGACCTCTCGCCATCCCCCCCAGTCAACGCCCTTTCGCATTCTATCAGCTATCCTAAAATTGAAGGCGTCAGAACTATCTACATTCGTTCCATAAAGAAGTGCCAAAATCCCTCGAATTATTCGCGGAATTCGCCGCGCAGGCACACCATTTGTTTGGAGCCGGCTGCTCTACAGGGAGCCCTTGAACCGCCAGATCCTAGAACTAGTGAACACCGCAGACAGATTTTCATCTGAAGTTGTTGAAAAACGCCAAGCTCCTTGGTTGCCGGAGGAGATGTTCTGCTCTCTGCAGCTCTCTTCAGTTCACAAGATTAGCTGCCATAGATGATATTCTCAACTTTCCTTGGTACTTTTCTTTCCCCAGAGTATAGTCTGCTTGTGAAAGATACCGTTTTCCATGGAAACCTTGAAATGTTGTCGGCTGTTGTAATAAAGGTGTTAGCTAGACACAGCTTTATATGCTGGCATTGAAAGGTATGTTGTTCCTACATCCTCTTTGACGCCTCGTTCTTGGCTCGGAACCGACAGTTGTGCGTGGATCTGGTGTGTTTCCGGGTAGAATTCGATGTACACGATGCGGAGGTACCACTGAACTAGTGTGTACTCCTTACACATCTTACGTGCCTCCTGTTTTCTCGTAGCGTAAAGCTCGCGCGTTTCAGGCCTCGAACAACAGCGAGCCATAGCGCCTCCGCGGTAGTGGTCGTTTGGTGCTTGACCATTGCTGGCAAGTGTGTGTGGTCCTAACCATCAGTTTCACTTGGGCGGATTACTCACACGTTTGCTTTTCGGATGTGGACTGTCTAACTGCTCATGCTTACCTGGGGAATAAAAACAGTGCGGTAAGCCCTCCAATGTCTTGCACGTAGCTGGTTTCGATGTACACGTGTGGAACACGAGGCCATGTGTTTTGAAGTAGGGGGAAGGCGTAGAGGGCTAAATTACGCTCACACACTTCTTTTACACTAGTTAAATTACATTTAAATAAAAGCTAGGAAACAAGCGACTAAATGGTTTGTCTTCCTGCACAGCTAGCTTTTGCAGAGTAACTCTTTTTTTGATACAAAAAAGGTAATGTGTGCATCTTGCGTATATCCCATCTGCAACTAGCTCTGAATGATTGGATTCCTCAAATGGTGCCTCTACGCACACGGTAGCTAATCATATCCCTTTATATTTGGAATTCAAAGAGGCGGGGACAATTAGAAGGGGAAAATCTTTCGGGAAACACTCAATAACTTCCGCTCTGTATTATTGAGTCTGAGCTTCAGGCTCGGTGCGGGGTTTCTTGGAGCGCTGCACGTTAAAGACCTGCAGTAGGAGACGACACAGCAACTGTGGCACACACCTCTTATTAGATTTTTTCAAACAATCTTTGCTATCTGAGTTTGGATCTGAAACCAGTCTTTTTTCTGCAACATTTTTCAGATGCTTTCTTGTAGGAGCTTATTCTCTCACCTTAAGTCCAATACTACTGGACGTGAGGACTGTTGGAGCCCATCTGGGACAGCCAGTATTTTACGTCTCGTTGAATATTTTGGATGGGCATAACCCTGGATTTTGGAGTTCTAATCTTTTGGAAAGTAGGCCCATTATCTGGAGTAGGGCACTCGCTCTACATTAGGTCTCAGTAGGGAGGAAACTAACTCCGGAATGAAAACAAACTCGGATTTAGTTTTGAATGTTCTTTTAAAGCGCATCCATTTGCACTGCCCTGGCCTCTCAGTGTTCGCATATAGGGGAAGCATGACTGCTAGGGTGGGGGTCGCTGCATCCTTCGAGCACCTCCACTCTTTCCACCTAGTTTGCACATAGCATCGAGCGCAGACAGACACAACCTTGCTTCGTATTGTATCAGACTGACGCTACTCTGTGATGAATGGAGAGATACGAATAGCCAAAACCAATTAGGCAGCTGTTTGCCAGTTTATATTTAATTAGAACAAATGTATTAGAAATTGCAAGTGAAGCTTAGCGTGCTATATTGGGTCTGTATATACTTTTCGCTTTACAGCAAGCCTAAGTCCGTGCTATAGGACCTAACGCTGTGTGCCTGCACACCATATTGCACTATGTGGCCGGATTCCATTGAGTGCTTGGAGTGCTAAGAGGGATCAGAGAAAAAGTCGCGATCGAGCTTTCCTCTCGCATCATAAGCCGAAACCCTGTGTGGGGAGTGGAAGAAAGGTCAGAAGGGAGGCCGCTCGTAGGGAAGACTGCAGTCTTTTGAATTTCGGTACGGTTTGGGTTGTGGAGATTCCCATGGGCACCATGGGAGAAGGGATACGGAGATACGGTGACCTCAGTGTACAGGCACACAGCAAACATATACCCAGAATATTGGCTGCACTATCTGCCTCTGGGAAACTGTACCAAGGCGCGCAAAGAGCGCGGCCCGCTTGAACGAATCCTATTAAATATCGACTAGCCCGGGTGTGCGAGTGAGCGATTGCCTAAGCCCGCTATTGATCGAAGATGACGTGGATAGGGCCTCTAAATAGAAGAAATTTCATTTTTCTGGTGTCGCCCTTGTGTCCTTCGCGCGTAGTATATCTTGGAAATTTTGAGCGATCGGTACGCCCATTGCGCGCCACCGAGTGCAGGAGAGGAAGTATTCTGTGCTCCGTGGCATTGCTGCCCTACCAGGATACATAGGGATAGAAGAATCAGTGTTTAAATCCCTACATTCACCGTGATTTGGGGTGTATCGACACCTCAAAGGTCGATGAGGGCAGTCTTGCATGTTGCCGGTTGCAGCGGCGCTCAGTGTCGCCAGGCGAAAGATAAGGCGTGGTGGGTCGTTCTACTATGTACATTTGTGGCTAGGGAATGTTATTTTTCAGATGTATTCATAGATATGCCTTGAAAGGACGAATGCGCATTACATATACCGGTGTGTTAGGGAAAGTGGTGTGACCGACCGTTGCTATGGAGGCGCCCGTAATTCGGTGCCCGAGTTTCCCTTCTTTTGCTGTGTTTTAGTGCCAAAAAGGAACCAGTGGCCCTAAAATGCTCGACATAATAGGGAATCCTCTGTACTAAGTGGAAATGCAGGTTTCCGGATAATTACTTTGTGCTCCTATTCTCGACGCTGTATAGAGGAGAACATTGCATGAGAAAGCGCAGCGAAGGGTCGAGCCCGAGGGTGGCTGTGGTGAGGTCCCCTTAAAAATGTCTTCCTCCTCCTTCCTCCTCCACTTCCTATTAATTGACTTCTTTCCACCATCTAAAAAGCGAATTAGACTGAAGCAAGATGACCGCAGCGCTCCCTCCAGACCCCTCGTCTGGGATCAGAACTCCCTGCCGTGAACCGGAGGTCCGCGGAATGTACTATGGGGAATTCGACGGTGAGGGGTCTCTCAAAAAGCCCCAAGGCTCCGGAAATTTCCGCGTCAAAAAGGGTAAGCACCTTTCCCGAAATTGTAAGGGCCGCCTAGTGCCTATCCTGGGAAGCTCCCGCATCCAGGCTATTCAATCTGCGACCATGGAGACCTTGCCCCCAAACGCTGCCTTACCTCCTAAAACACAGCACATAGGGAGTACCCCCCGGCACGCCTAAGTGTGCATGCCTTAGCGCTCGTGATTTTCGCCCGTGGCCCCTCCTGCCTTTCCCTCTCGGGGCCCTGTCTCCGCTCCTAGCTGTGTGCACCTGCGCGTACACCCGAAGCGACTGCGTGCCTCCTGCTGCCAACGACAGGGGACACCATCCTGCTGAGGGCTTACGAAGGCACGCAGAAGCTCCCCGTGGCAGGATGCACAGCCACCGACCCCCTAGGCAAGGAGCTGGTGCTCGACAGCAGCCGCGACACCCTTGGAAACTTCACTTTCGTCCTGCAGGCCGAGATCCCTGGTGAGGCTTCACGGCCGATTCTTGTGGGAAGGAAGGAGGGGGGCGAAAGAGCGCTCTCTGTGCTCGACTGCGCCCACGAGCGCTTCGTTCAGCGCGGGACGGGGGAGAGAGAGGGCTGCAGTTCTTTCCCGAAGACTTTCTCGTGTCTAAACTTGCATGCGGGGGAGGGAGAAGCGACGTGGCTCTGTATACACCCTCACACTGAGGGGCCTCTCTGTGGCGTGCAGGGCCCTACCGCCTATGGCTCACGTTCGACGCTTCTTGCGAGTCTGGAGTCCCCTCCACTGCCACCAGCTCACCCTCAGGGAGACAGGCGCAGTCGTCTCCTTCCTCTCAGTCTTGGCTTCAGCAAGAGCACCTGCAGCAGCCGCTGCGAGGGCCTCATAACATCATTATTGTGGAACCAATCATCACACTCAAGGGAAAACCGATCCACGCGGAGGCCCTTAGCGTACAGACCGTCCTCTCCCGCTCCCTGGGAGGCATCAAGCGCTGGTGGCGGATGTAAACACACACATACATAGACACATACATCAACACACATAGACACATATACACATAGGCATAGACACATATATACATAGGCATAGGCACATACATACATAGGCATACACACCTACATACACACATTCATAGGCATAATAGACACATACATAGACACATATAGAGACACATGCTCATACACATGCATACATGTAGAGCCACAGACACATACATACACACATGTAGAGACACATACACATATACATACATACACATTGAACCATAGAAACATACACGCCCATAGAGGCACATACACATATACATACATATACACACATACACATACACACACATATACATACACACAAATATACATACACACAAATATACATACACGCACATATACACACAAGGACAAGCGAAAGACAAATAGGCATGCAATCCCACAAGCCCATAGGGTAGTCCATAAATCCTGGTTTAGTCGATGCATGCTTCATCGGAAGTGGGGTCGGCTGGCGACGGCAGAAAGAGGGAGGAGGCGGGCGCTCTTGAGAAAGTCTCAGCTGGCGTTTCCGCTGCAGCTGCTCCCTTTGCTGCAAGTGGAGTGAGAGGGCACAACACAGCAGCGTCAGGCGTGCTGTGTCTGTGTGTGTCGTGTTTTCTGCAGGTTTCAGCATACAAAGGATATGGGATACAACATGGTGCACTTTACTCCGCTTCAAACCACTGGAGAGTCTGGCAGCTGCTACAGGTCCACTGCCGCAAGCAAGCACGGAAATCCGAATTTCCCAGCTTTGCTTCCTTCCAGTTTGGCACCACAGTTTCCCTGCGCCTAGAGAGCTAAGACCCTTCTTTGCTCCCTTGTAGCGCATGCACCGTGTAGGGTTTGCGGCGTTTGGCGCGTTTGGGTGTGTTGGTGCTCGGCTGCAGTCTTGCGAAGCAGTTGGAGATAGATGCCTTTTTCTTCCGAGAGGAAGAGGATGCATCTGAAGCAGCCTCTCAGGGAGTGTCTAGCAAGGGGACCGCCAAAGTGAGCGCTGCTTCGAAGGGGACGGCCTTGCCCAAGGATGAGGCCGAGGGCCTTCAAACTTTGGCATTAGCGGTGACGATGCTCGAGAAGGAGCTCGGAATTCTCTCTGCTACCGACTTGGTTCTCAATCACACTGCAAACAACAGCGAGTGGCTTGTGGACCACCCTGAAGCAGGGTATGAATCGAGGTTGAAGGGGGGTAGGGCTTGCTGCTTTCTGCGTCTGAGAGGAGTCAAAGGGCGCGACCGGCTTTTTGTGTCGCACTCCCTGCGGCCTGTTGCCCTCTTGCGTCTGGACTTGCGCCTTCAGCTTCAGCGCGTGGAAACACGAGTGCGATGCGTGTGCATTTCGAAGGTATAACTTGGAGAACTCGCCACACTTGCACGCGGCGTTCGAGCTGGACTGCGCTCTGCAGTCCTTTTCCGCCTCCTTAGCTCGCGGGGAGCTGCGAAGTCAGTTTGGCTGTTCAGGCATCATCGACACAGAGGAAGACTTGCGCCGGGTGCTGCATGCGCTGAACGAGAAGGTCATCAAACCCTTCCACTTTGAGTCATGGTTCACTATGGATGTACTGCCCCTCCTAGACCGATGGAGGCAAGACCTGTGTAGCGCAGTCTCAAGCACTGCTAAGCAGCCGCACGACTTTACAACGCCAGAAGAACGGAAGGAACGCGTCTTCCAGATGGTACAAAGCTTTCAAAGTGCTTGACAGCGTTGTGTGAAAGAGCACGCCCTGCATACGCGTGCGCTCGTGTCCACTGTACGGGATGTCTGGTTCCTATGTGTATGCGTAGTGTGTGTGCGCAGGTGTATGTGTAGTATGTATGTGTGTGTGTAGTATGTATGTGTAGTGGGTTTTTGTGTGTATGTGTAGTGTGTGTATGTAGTATGTATGTGTAGTGGGTTTTTGTGTGTATGTGTAGTGTGTGTATGTAGTATGTATGTGTAGTGGGTTTTTGTGTGTGCAGTGTAGTGCGTGTATGTATAGTGTGTGTATGTGTAGTGTCTGTATGTGTAGTGTCTGTATGTGTAGTGTCTGTATGTGTGTGTATGTGTAGTGTGTGTAGTATGGTTGTGTGTGTAGTATGTATGTGTGTGTGTAGGACGTATGTGTGTGTGTAGTCTGTGTGTGTATGTGTAGTGTATATATATATATATATATATGTGTAAATCTGTGGTGTATCTGCGGGCTGCGTAGATGTACAGATATATGCATAATATATATATGTGGATATGTGTGTTTATCTTTTAGGCCCTGCGTGAGACAGGCATTCGTCGAGGCCGGCCTGTGGAGTTTGCTGCGGGATTTCTCTCTGCCTTGTATCCGTCTGTCCACTTTGAGTCGGAAGTGCACGGAGCCTTAACGGCAGCGAAGGATCGGTTGTTGCAGGAGGCGCGGGCAGCGCGTGCGAATTGTTTGAGTGCCATAGAGGGCTTGGTGCGGTACGAAAGGCTGCAGTGTAAGCGGGGGCCCCTCTCGACGGACCACTGGAATGCCCTCGTGCCCAGATACTTCACCGTGTTAGTCTCGAAAGAGACAGCAGCGCCTAGCAGTTTCGCCAGCAGCGGTGCTGCGGAAGGCGCAAAGCCTGTCGCTTTGGCAAATAACGGGTGGGTTATGGGGTGGGATGCCACAAAGGACTTTGCGGCTCCCGGATCGCTTGTGTATCTGCGGCGAGAACTTGTTGTCTGGTCGGATTGCGTGAAACTGAGGTAGGCCTTTTGCGCCTTAGTGCAAGCCTCTTGGAGCGCTTGCGCTAACGTCCTCTCGAGCTGGAAGGCAGCACGCGATGGGGCAGCAGGTGTTCGTGCGTTTCCTTCTGGGGTGGCGGGGGCCCCTTAGAAGAGCGGCCTGCAGGGGCCCCCTGTCTGTTGTGTGCACGCGCGCGTTGTAATTATGTCTGTGGCAAACCCTTTTAGCCGCTGCATCCGACGACCTGTGCGGAGCTTGGACTTGCGCTTGCCAGGTATGGGTGCCGGCCGGAGGATTCTCCGTTCCTCTGGGAGATGATGGAGAAGTACTGCAGAGACACTGCCAAGATCTTTCCAGCCGTTCGGCTCGACAACTGCCACTCGACCCCCATCCATGTTGCTGCGGTAAGGTGGGGAGAGGTGGGGAGAGGGAGAGGTGGGGAGGTCAAGGATGTTGGCATAGCGGCACCTTTTTTCCTGCGCAAAGATATAGAGACATGCCTGTACGCGGCCTTTCTCCCCTTTCGCGTGGGGGCTGCTGCGCGCTCTCTGTGTATCCGTATTGGCGGTGTTTGCCAGCAGATGGCGTGCTTGGCGCTTAGGAACTCGAAAGGGGAATTAAAATGTCAGCGGGATCGTGCCTGTGGTGTGTGGGGGCGATGCATGCGGTGCAGCACATGTTGCGTGAATGCCGCCGCGTGCGTCCCGACATTTGGGTGTACGCTGAGCTTTTCACGGGCAGTCAGGAGGCCGATCTCCACTTTGAGCGCCAGCTGGGCTTGAATGCGCTTATTCGCGAGTCCATGCAGACTCGGAACCCAGGGGACCTTGTTTGGCAGCTGACGCAGTTTGGCGGTAGAGACGCCGTGGGAGAGCTGGATTCACGCCCTGCGTACTTGCAGCTGCCTGCAGCAGGAGCAGGAGCAGCAGCAGCAGTAGGAGAAGCGTTGCGTGGCGAGCAGGGGGCTCTCTTGAAGCCTCTTCCAGCGCGGCTGTGCCCTGCTCTGTTTTATGATTGCACTCACGACAACGAGCCTGCGGCAAAGAAGTTTACGCCAGCGGCAGCGCTGCCGTTTGCTGCCCTCGCCGCGGGGGCTGCGGCTGCATGCGGGAGCACCCGAGGCACCGACGAACTCGTGCCGGAAACGCTCTCCGTGGTTCATGAAAGACGCCTGTACAACGATTACCATCCGGAAGCTCCCCTGCGAGATCCCAACAAGGCAGACGTTGGAGCTGGAACATCCGCAAAGAAAAAAGCAGGGCACGCGGCAACAGCGCTCGAGAAGAAGGAGGCCGAAGAAAAGGAGGATGAAGAGCAGCAGCAACAGCAGCAACGAGAAAAAAGAACTGTGGAAATCACGTGGCACGGCGAGGCACAGCGCGTCGTTCTGCGTGGGGAGTGGGACTGCTGGCAGAAGGACGTCGAGATGGAACGCTGCGCGGGAGGATTTCGGTGCGAGTTGAGGGAGGACGCACACTTCGTGATGCAGGTGGGAGGTAGGCAAGCAGTTACCAAAGAGGCTGTGCAGTACAAATACGTTGTTGACGGCACGTGGACGCTGGACCCTTCAAAGCCAACCGCGACCGACTCCCAAGGGAATAGAAACAACCTGGCAATGCTCCCTGGCACTCGCCATCACGCGCAAGGTATGGCTGGAATGGCTAGCTGGCATGAGCGCCATCCCCGATCTGTAGAACCGGGTGCTAGAAAAACAACAGCCCACTCTGCAGCCTTCTGTGCGTGAAGGTGTCGCTTTTTCCCCTCGCTCTCTGAGAAGCGTCTTTTTCGCCTTCCTTCGTAGTGTACGACCCTGGTTCTAGGGAGACTGCGCCTTGGGGTGGTACTCTGCACGTGTGTCTCAGAGACTCTGCCTGGACTACTGGCCGTACGTCCCACACTCAACAGCCTCCATGTGCGCTTAGCTGAGGAGGGGTTCTCGCAGCTTTCGGTGTCGCTACAATCGGACGATGTCGTTCTGCTTCAACGCTGCAACCCCGTCTCGTTGGAGTGCTGCTACGTCCTCGCGAGGTGTGCGTACAGCTGGAACGCCCCCGGCGGGCCGCTGCCAGAAGTAAGTTGAAGACTCCAGAGAGAGAGACACGAAGTCGCTTTTCGCCGCGGCCTACCTGTCGCGCCTCGACTGTGTTTTGGTGCATCGCGACGCTCGAAGCGCCGTGTGGGAGAGCCCTCCGCACTCTCGAGGCTGTTTCCGTGTGCTGTATCCGGGTCGCCTTATTTGACTGTTCAATGGGGGCGGGCTGCTGCTTCTGCGAGGCGTGCGTGCAGATCCAGCTGAGCGGTCGCATCACGGAGGTGCCTTTGGTGGCGAGTCTGTTCGTTGGAGGCAACGCTCTAGGGGACTTCCAGCCCAACCCCGCCCGCATCAACGGCTTGGCGGGTTCAGCGCAGGTCCACGCAGGTTTGGAGGCGGTCGCCAGCTGGACATACAGCTCAGAAACGGGGCTCACCACTGTGAGGCTGCACGATTTCCCTCCCGGCTCAGTGGCCGTGGCGTTCACGGAGCCGGAGAAGCGCGCGCTGTTGCAGCAGCTCGAGCAGCAGCTGCAGGATACCCTCTCGCGTACGCCCGCCCTGCTGGCGCCAGCCTCGCCGGCAGCTCTCAACAGCCTCATGTTCCGCTGCAATCAAGAAGAAACAGACGCCTCCGGCGGGAAGCGAGGAGTCTACGACGTTCCCGAGTACGGACCTCTGGTGTACTGCGGCCTGGCCGGGGTGGCTGCGGCGTTCGACGCCGTGCGCATGCTGCTCCCCAGAGACCAGCTGCAGCATCCTTTGTGCAGGAATCTTGTGGACGGAATTTGGCTCCTGGAGTACGCCGCGGACAGACTGACGGAGCCCACGCTGCTGCCCCTGCAGCAGCAGCTGCAGCACACCGTGCAGCTCCTGCAGCAGCTGAAGGGCTACGCGTGGATCAGGCCGCGCATCGCAGACAGGCTGCTCAGTGGCGTGTACGCGCAAGTGGGCGCTCTGGTGCTGTCGCGTCTGCCCGCGGCGTCGGCGATTGCCCCCACAGACTCCTCAGTGGCGGCCGTCGATCCGCTGCTGCTGCATCTCCTGACAGCCACGCTGCAGTTCTACGGGCGAGTGCCTTCTTCGCCCTTGGTCTGGGGCACGCAGGAGCCCAGCCTCTGCGCAGGCCTTCCCCACTTCACCACTGGATTCATGCGCAACTGGGGGAGAGACACGTTCATTGCCATCGGCGGAAACCTCATCGCGACGGGGTGCGTGAGTGAGCCCTCAAACAGGCGGGAGGGGGGCGGATGTCTCGGGCTCGGATGGCGAGCGGCGTTTTGTGGCTTTCTCGCCGTCAACGCGGCTTTGCATGGGCTCCTCGAGTTCGAAGTGACTGCGCCTCACGGGAATCGCCAGAGGGGCCGCGCGGCGTTGGGGCGGGCTGCAGAAGTCGGTGCGCATGCATGGGACTGTGCGCTCGCATGGCTGCTGCCCTTCTTGCAGGCGCTATGCGGAGGCTCGCGCAGAAATCCTGGGGTATGCGCGCGTTCTACGTCACGGCCTCATTCCGAATCTTCTAGATGCCGGCAACAACCCACGCTACAACGCTAGAGATGCCACCTGGTTTTTCATGCAGGTAAACGTTTCGGGGCCCAGCACTCACCTACCCCACACGCTCCAGCTGCAACTCCATTCCCCCCCCTCCTGATTTCCTAGCGGGAAGAAACAACACCGAGGTCTTGCAGGGCTGTGGGTGCCGTTCTTCTTGCCTGTCCTTGGCGCCAGCGGGCACCTTTTCCTCGAACGTTCCACTGCCACATGTCAAAAAGGCACACTTCCCTGCTCGCCACTTGGCGACGAATGTTTGAGTCTTAAAGAGCTCGGGGTCGAAACCTCCTTGCGCACAAACATGTAGTAGTAGTAGGGCTTGCCCTCCCGCTTTGGGCCGCCTTCGAGCGTGCGGCTTTTCTGCGATGGACGCGTGCGTGGCGTGTGCTCCAGGGAATCCAGGATTACTGCAAAGCAGCGCCTGAAGGTGTGGACTTCCTGCAGACGCAGGTGGAGCCCAAATATGGCGTTCATGCGTCGCAGCTTCCTGAACAGCAGATTAAAACCCTCGCGGATGTGATGCACCATATTCTTGCCTCCCACGCGAAGGTGCGAGAGCGGCTTGAGGCGTGGAAAATGGGGTTCAGAGTGTGGATATATGCGCCCCTCTTGTTCGCTGCCCTGACTGTCAGCTAGCTCTGCGCATTCTCTGATGGCCTTTGGTAAGCGGCGTACGAATGGCGGTGTCGCGAAACAGCGTAGTATGCTGTGCAAGTGTCGCCTCAGGGCATCTCCTTCAGGGAGTGGAATGCTGGCCGGCAGCTAGACGAACACATGCAAGACAAAGGCTTCGATATTGAAATTCGAGTAGATCCCAACTCGGGTATAATCTATGGCGGCAACGAGCTGAACTGCGGCACGTGGATGGACAAAAACGGCTCCTCAGACAAGGCAAATCAAAGACTGCTAAACTCCAAACTCTGAGCCGACGCCCCACGATTGACAGAACGCTTGCACAGTTTTCTGTTCTCCAACTGGCGTGCGAATTTATCTCGGAAGCAGTGATGTATTTAGTGGCTGGTGGCTCTCGTTGGAGGCGCATGGCCATATATGCATGCAGGTGCTGCTCTGTCGTCTTTTTCTTCTGGACGCAAGGCCCCTCATTGACATCTTTGTGTGCTGAGGCTTATGCCTCTTTGTGTTCTAGGCTGGAAACAGGGGGTTTCCTGCAACACCCCGGGACGGCGCGGCGATAGAGATTAATGGTCTGCTTAAGTCAGCATTGCGATTCGTTTCTCGCCTTCCTGAAAACGTGTTCCCCTACAAGTCGGTCTTTTTCGCTGATGGATCGGAGTGTATGTACACCCGGTGGGCGTCGTTGCTGGATGCAAGGTTCGAAAAGGTCTTTTATGTTCCACTTGCGCCGGAAGAGGACGCCGAGTACTTCCTCGAGCCTAAGCTCATCAACAGAAGAGGCATTTACAAGGACACGCACAAGGCTTCAACTCCCTGGGCAGACTATCAGCTCAGGCCCAACGCCTGCATTGCCCTAGCAGTAGCGCCTGAACTTTTCCGACAGGTACGTGAGGGCTTCAAACTGTAGTGGCTACGGCCTACGGTGTGTATCTGTGTGTGTGTCTGTCTGTGTATCTGTGTGTGTGTGTCTGTGTGTCTGTGTGTCTGTGTGTCTGTGTGTGTCTGTGTGTGTCTGTGTGTCTGTGTCTGTGTGTCTGTGTGTCTGTCTGTGTGTCTGTGTCTGTGTGTCTGTGTCTGTCTGTGTGTCTGTGTCTGTCTGTGTCTGTCTGTGTCTGTGTGTGTCTGCCTGTGTGTCTGTGTCTGTGTGTTGTGGGAATGATAAGGGTGTAGGGTTTTTGAAGGATTCGAGTTTTTTTCTTCCATGGAAACAGAACTCCCGTAGCGCTTGAAGGGCATGTGGTGGGGGTAGCTTATGGGCAGGGAAGTCAACTGGTCGGGGTTGAAGCGTATTGAGCTCGGCGATGCAGTGCGTGGCCGTCTTTTTTTCTGAGACGTGGGCCTTTAAGTGAACACGTCATGTGTGGACGTCTCAGTTCAAGAATGCAGGACTTGGGGTGTAGCGTCTGCGCCATGATGCAGCGATCCGGAAATCAGACATGAGGTCTGGGGTTTTTGCCAGTCTCGGAGTCTGTGATTGCAGTCTTCTTGCGTGGCGTTCTTCGAGGGAGTATGCCAGTTGGGGGTCGGTGAGAGGCTTTTTTGCGTTCAGAGCTTGGGGTTTGGTTTCTGTGACTGCACAGGACCACGCGCGTAGCTATCTGCATGCTGTAGAGGAGTATTTGCTTGGAAACGACCAACTCGGCCTCAAAACTCTCGATCCAGGGGATTTGCAGTACCGACCTGACTACGACAACGCAAATGATAGCTGTGACAAGGCTGTTGCCCATGGATGGAACTATCATCAAGTAAGCAAACCACGAGGCCCTCACGATTGGAAGCCTCCTCATGGAGGCTTCTCAGATTGAAACGCGTTATGAAGGAAGGAATCCAGGAGGGTGGAATTTTTCTATACGACCGATAACAGAACCTTCAGAAAACCCCTTGCAGAGTGATCAAAGCGCAAACTTTTCGCATAGCCTTCTTTACACTGTGAGCTCTCCGCCGTGCGGACTGCCGATTCTGTTTGCGTGGCTTCTAAGGGTCCTGAGTGGGTGTGGCCTCTGGGATATTTTTTGGAGGCGAAGCGGCTGTTTTTTGATGACAGTGGCGCTCCTGCAAAAGGGCCCACCAGCCCCCATTCCGGTGTGTCTACAGCCGCAAGGCGCACACTACTCAGCTACCTGAAGAAGCACCGCGATTACATCCGAACCGACGTGTGGCGCTCTCTCCCAGAGCTGACGAACCACAGCGGCACGTAAGACGGCCAGAGGCTACCCCATAACGGGTTGTGGGCCTTTATGGTACCAGGTCCTCTTCCAATCTTCATTTTGTGCTTCCCCTTTGCGGGGATCGAGCACCTAGTAGCGAGCTGCCTCTGTGGGATCCAAATCTTCGAGCAAGCGCGTTCACATGTATAATGAGTGTCTGTTTTGCCCTCCGCGCAGATATTGCCGAGACAGCTGCCAGGCACAGGCTTGGTCCGTAGGGACGGTCCTCACTGCGCTGCTGACCCTAGCCTCGGCGGATTCCAAGGTTTAGGCTTTACAGGTGCTCAATTTGAGGTTTTGCTTCCATGACTTTTGCGAGCAGGGGATACCATACAGGGAGTCTTTTGGCCTTTGGCTTCCTCCAACCCTCCCCTGTAGCTGACAAACTCGGCAACGCGTTCCGTTGTATCTGGCTCGCCTGATAGTTTTGTAAGCAGAGGGCTAGGTAGATCGTCAAATATCCCGTTATATGTGAAGCTGGATGTGTCTGACCAGCCAGAAACTAGTAACAGTACTTTTGTGCTAACGGGCACTCGCGCACCGCAAAAAGAATTCATCTTAATCTGTTGTGATACTGGGTTCCAGGGTTTATGGCGTGCAGTTGATACAACACGTGAAGGGCGCTGCTTTATAAAAGCACTAGCTGGGGTTGCCCACCACCTCGTGTGGCGGAATATTTGGTAACAAGCGCGGCAGGAGGGGGGAGAGGGGGTAAAGGGGAGGGGACAGGGGAGAAAAAAGAGTACCTAGACTATCCAGTTTTTTACAAAAAAGCTTCGCCTTCCTTCCAATTGACTGCTCTATAGACGCTGGCTCACTGGAGCAGATCCGAGACGGTACACGAGGTCGTTAAACGATTTGATCCCCTTGGCCCACGGCACTTTCTGAACAGAGGGTCAATGGCAGCACAGAATTGACAAAGATATCAGAAGCGCTGCCAGCGATGGTGGCGCTTGCAGACACCCTCGCAGGCTCTAATGAAAGCTTATACTTATTAATACGATAGCGTTCTAGCGGCAGTTACGTTCCACACGGATGGGATATCAATGGACTACACAGCCGGATAGCAGCGTCTGAAAGGGCCAGATGGCTTGTAGCCCACGGGTGCACACAATTGCTAAGCGCTCAGTAGAGGAATGAGAACGAAAAGGCACATTCGATTGAGGAATGGAAAGCTAGGTAGGCGCAGTATAAGCGTCGCTTCCTAACAAGGCAAATGTGATGTATATATATATATATATGTATACATATATATATATATATCGGAGGAACAGATCGACGCCCGCAGTACACCCCAGTCGTTTCGTGTCAGGGATTACAGAAAGAAAAAGATCATCTTTCAAAAGAGACGGGTGTTGGACCTTGAGGTAAGACCCGTCTAGATCTTGGAGCATAGTACAATTTCAGGCATGTGCTCGTCATTAAGCCCACCATCCAGAGTCTCTAAAGGTACATTATGCGATTAAAACAGTTTGGGATGCGTACAGCTTCCCGATACGCTAAACGGCTTGCTTAGCCCAAAGTATGACATTCCGGATAACTGGCGTGAGAAGGAAAGCCTTATCCGAGATAAAGGAATAAGAGTTTTATCCTCACTGAAGTGTGCGAAAGCAGAGAACGCGCTAGAGCTCGAGTGTGTCTATCAAAATGCGGCCGGAGAAGCTGTTTTTTGCGTAATGCGCTACTCAATGTCTGAACAAACAAACTATGCAAGCAGAGCGTATAGGCGTAGTCCCTACTACGCTTATAAGCAAGAAATCCTTATCTATAACCTGTAGCTTAGCACAGAAAGTGTTGCCTATGGTGCCTCCTGTTCCGAGTAAATGATACTCCGCATGCCTGTATCTTTTATACTTTGGCGTGTAAAACAACAGAGTGTGTTCTAGTTCTGCTGTGGCAGTATTTGAGTGCGCACGCTGAAATCCGTGATCCGAAATAAGCACGCATAGTCTATCATGCCTTATCCCAAGGTTTCTACGATGCAACACCAGGGACACATTTGTCGGACCCCTACGGCAAACATGCGACCCAAGAGATGGACAAGCGAACTAAAACTGCCCTCTACACTCGCCTACCTGTGAGCAAACCTAATGAAGTTACCCCTCTGTGTGTGTATAAGCCCTAGAGCGGCGGCCTCGTTTTGGATGTCGATTCGTGAAGAATGTGCAGTCCTCCGATTAGCCACAAGCATATACCAATGAGCTGCCCTAGCTACCCTGCGTACCTTCATATAAACATCCATGCATCCAAAACCTTCCTGAAGGAGCTTCACAATAATTGCCCTTGAATGTTGAACCGTCCACCTAGAAAGTCGTGTTTCGTCAACAGTTTCGGAATTCAAAAGATCCCTACACATGCCATCTTGAAAGCCTGCTGCATAGCAGTACATCAGTAGTTACTATGCTTTGAGCTTTCTGTTTAGCCATATTCCTGTTTGACGCAAGTCGATGGTGTCTCTGGCACACGAAACGCAGTGTGGGAGCGCGTTCTACCGCCAACTTGGGACCGCTGCCCAAAAGCATGCTTCCTCTAGCTGTTTCGCACAGCACAAAGAAAATGCTGCTACTGCTTTTTCGAAGGGCTACTCCCAAAACTTATCCTTGCTGCCTGCTTGTTGGGACGCATCCAGTCTGACAAAACAACCGATATCGACAATGCCGAGCGAAAACGGGGTCACGGGGAGTGGTACTTCCACATCGCCAACCTTCTCATCATGTGTGATAATTAGGACCGGATCTCGCAAGTTACCTTGTGAAACATTGTTCGTAATGCGGCGTATGCCGTGATGCTCCATCCTTACCGCCTCCAAAGGCAACCAGATATTAAGTTCTGGAAAAAATAGCCCTCATCTTCTCTGTTTGCCGAATTCTGCAAGGCCCGTAGCCTCCCTGGTGCCTGAGTTACCACCGATGATCTGCTGCAGAAGCACATCACGTCCTATTAGCTTTTTACGTTCTGCTACCAGTACAGAAAACGTTAGTGTGTGCCAGGCGAAACCTTGCCTGCAGCACCAAGCCCAACAGCAGTTCGTAGTGCCAAAAAGCAGTGGAACAGATTGTGCATGAAGTTAGGAGTTGGACGCTTTCTAATGGCACCTTTTTTGTGGGGCTCTACACAATGCTTTGGGCATTGTCGTGGCATGCAGCTTTTCAAGTCCCTTCCATTTGGCCTATAATCCAGTGCGTTGTGCCCATTCAAGAAGCGCAAGTGGAGTTGCACCGTTCCACCAATGCAGCATGCAGACCTCTAGAGATCGTACACATATATCCCACCACAGGGCAACTGGACACATAGATGCCCCTAACAAGGAACTGTATAGTTGAATTAAAAGGTTGAGGCAGTGGACTAGTGTGGGATTGGCCTGCGCCTTCCGAAAGATCTCTCATATTTATCCGTGTCACCTCAAGGTGTCGAGAGATGCAGACTTTTGCAACAGGCCCTCAGCCTTGTAAAAAGAGTAGTCGCTGCCTTGTTATTGCTTAAAGGTGTAATATGAATAGGCAGATCCACACAAAAGGAATGCACTGTACGTCGCCCCAAGGCAAGCTTGGGCTACACAGAACTTTGAGTTTGCCCTGCTTAAAATCTTTATCATGCTAGTATGCGCTCCTGACTTATGCACAAGCCTAAGATCTGCCAAAATGTAAAAGCATGTATTCGCAGGCCTGGTCCTCTTTTGTTTTTTGTCTCGTCGGAATATCAGCGGCTTTCATCGGTTTAAGTCCATAGTCGATGCTGCTTCGGCCAGTAGATGCCCGCAACGCCGTTCATTCTACACATTTAATGCCGACATGAATGCGAAGCTAGCATTTATGGAAAGGTCTGATGACACTATCATAAGACTTCAGGGATACGTACAGCACTGGAAGGACGCGATCAACACGTACACCTGCCTGCAGTCGGCGGCAGCGTGTGGGGGGTTTAAAGGTTGCGCTTCTGGTTTTGCATATCCCCATGTGAACGAGGGAAAACATACCACTGCATTACATTGCAAATCAGTAGCAGCAAAACGAGTGCCAACACAGCAGAAGGTTGCTGCCTTTTTGGGATGCAGGCAAGGAGGTCACCGGAGTCCCTTCTCATATGCCCGTTCACTCTATGGGGGCACCTATACCATTTGTGGGGGATACCAGCTGCCAGGACTAGGAGGAAGACTGTGTCTGAAATAAGGAACGAGCAAGTGCTTGACGACATCAGGGGCAGCACGACCAACAGCCTAACTCCAAAAGCATGTACTTAAGATGCAGCTCGCCTGCTATCTTGCTCTGGCCTCCTGTCCGCTTCTTCCTAATACGTCGTGGAACACACACCAGCAGTAACACAGCTTCACGAACAACAACAACTCAAACAAAAGCAGTTTCTGTTGCTTGTAGGATGCCGGAACACCCGCAGGCAGCAATCGCCGACGCAGCAAGAAAAACAACCAGGTCTTCACACGTTTGCAGAGAGCTTATTCTCTACTCAGGATCAAAGGGGTGCCAGCATGGAAAAGGGAACTGGAAACGTTTCGGATTGAGGTGGCACCGACGGACGCAGCTACACCAACAACCACAGCAAGCGCGTCAGTAGGCTGCGCAGCAGTGGAAGCAAACGCGGAAACACCTGAACTGAAGCAACACTATTCGAGCGTGCATGAGCAAGTAGTCCTACTTCGAAAAAACAGAAACAGCACCCAATGCAGCTACAGGACAAGCATCGGAGGGCGGTGCAGTTACACCACCGGCACCAAGTAAGGCCACAGCAACAACGACACAAGCAGGAAATACATCGAAAAGGGATTGCTCTGCTGGGTCAACACCATCAGAAGTTTCAAATGTTTCACGAAAGGATTTTTCTGTGGCTTATTCACAAACGAAATACAGTCAGCGGCGCACGCAACCGAAAATACAAAAGGCACAGCAATAAGAGAAGCAACAACTCTAATGCGATCAGCAGCAGCGCTGCTTCGCAAGTGCGCGTTTCTGGAAGATCAGTACTAATCGACTAGCTCAAAAGTACATAAGCCAACTGCTGCTTTTAGTGCAGAGTTGGGAGAGCAGAGGCAGGAGACCAATGCCCGCAGAACCAGTGGCAGAAACAGCAACATCTTTGTATTTCGAACAAAGCAAGCTCATACGTCCCTACCCATCTCAGCATTCCATGAACTTCAAAGCTACACTTGTTAGCGGAATAGCCGGGCACCTACGGCAGCAACGCACGGCAAAAGTAGAAGCAAGACCGACAAATATTCACTGCAGGCAGAAGCACCTGTGTGCAGTCTCATATTCGCTAGAGACCTTTCAGTGCCCCGCGCGTGGTCTGGCAGAGGGTCCTGCAGCAATGGTGTTGCGACTTTTAGCTGCCTGCAGAAGCAGAAGACAATTTAGAACCTGACAGATGGCAACTGTATCTTCCTCCGCGCTCTGCACCTGGTCCTGGGTACGTGCTTCAGGAGCACCATGCCTGCGGGCAGCAGCACTTAAAGCAGCATTGGCAACGTGGCCAGAGCATACTCCGATTGGAGGCTTAAGAACACTCGACGACGCAAGGGCAGTAGCCGCATGGGCAAGACTACTGGTGAGACGGGAAAGCCTGGTTTGACCGCATCGAGTGTGTGCAGGGCTGCAAGCGACAGAGCTTCAACGGACTATCTCTCTTCGTACAAGCTGTAGAAACATAATGACAGATCCGGGGCAGCTACGACGCCGGCTGCTGTAGATACTGGAGGATGGAGAAAACGAAAGAGCAGCAGCATCTGCTTCTACATCAGTACCTGCTGCACAGTAAATCCAAAATAATATGAGCAATGGAAGCCCCCTTAGCGTGATTTAGGGTCTTAGAACCCCGGTACATCGACCGCTAAGCCGTTATCTCTCAGTAGCTATTATTGAAGGGAAGGGCTGCATTCGCAACAAAGGGCCAAAATTTGCAAACAAGGCACTGGAAAAGCAACAACAAAGCACATGCATGGCTGTGGGTTTCCATCTGTGGGCAACATTGAGGGCGCCAAGCTCTCTGACACACCCGTTGTATGCCTTTCGCTTTGAAATGGCCTTCATTGCTTTTCTCTCTCTGTCTCTCTGTCTGTCTGTCTCTCTCTCTCTCTCCTGTTTCCACCACCCAGCGCTTGGCTCCTATGTCATAGTATTTCCCTCGGCACCTGCTAATCCTGTCACTTCTTTGAGCCTCCGGCTCTCGCTTGCTGTCCTTGCCCTTTAAGTTCTTTGTCACTTCCCAGAACTGTTTTTGTGTCTGCCGAGTGAACATTTGCTGCCTTTGTATCCATCTGCCTGCGTCGCTTCTATTATTAGCCTCTGCAAAGATTGCTTACCGGTTTTTTTCTGCCAAATATTTCTTATACTCTCGCTTCTCTCGTGTCTGCCCCACCGTCCTTCTGCCTCTGTACACACTTGGCTCTTCCAGGATTGTGCTCAGACAGGTGCCTCCGGTGGAGGAATGCTTCGAAGCATGACGATTTTCAGAAGCGTCTGATCAATAACGCTCTTTAGCTTCGCCATCTGGAATATCAGAAGCATACCTGGTTACCTGCAATATCATTGTGAATGTCTGGTCATTTCCACCGTGAGGAACGCCTCAGAGACGCGCCGCGGCACTGCCAGTGAGCACTGGTACCCCACCGAAGAACCACATGAATCCTCCACAAGGGCTTCAGCAGAAGTTCTATCAGCCCTAGGCCACAACTGTATCGCCACGTCTAGGTGTGAGCAAGGCGCTTTTCAGCTACAACAGTAGCTACACCCAAAGTTGAAAAGACGTGTGCCTGGTGCCCTTCAGGTGCGTCTCCCTGCCCAAGGGGAGAGAGGGGCCAAGAAATCATCGCACAGAGAGCTCTGATCTTCGCTTCCCTCAGAGATCAGGACGTTTTAACTCTTGGCTTATCGACGTGGAGGCCTCCATGTGTCTCTCTCTCGCAGGACGACACGCCTGACAGCCTGAAATCATGCCTAGCGCTCAGCGTTGAATCTTGAACTCGTACTACATCCCAATGTGCAAGCAACTGCCCCAACGAATACCCGGAGCAACAGTCTAGAGGCTTTCCCAGCGCCTGGTTTCTGGCGCCAATAAATGATGGAGAGCTTCGGCTTTGGCTTATAACTGTGCTCTGCTTTTGTAGCCGAAAACAGGAGCTGTTGTACAGTGCCTCCTTTCCGAAGATGAAGACGGCTACGGATTACGACCTGAGGCGTGCGCGGATAACCCCGCACTTCCGAAATGGCTTTGATGTGCAGCTACAGGTTGTTCGAGGACCCCACAAAGGAGGTAGAAATTTCACGCTGTCTTCTTGGATCCCATACTCTAGGCGTAGTTCCACAGACACGGACTACAACATTCAAAAAAGCGAAGCTCGCATTGGGCCCGCTGCAGTAAACGCTTAGAACTTGGGGATAAGATGCTCTTTTATGCCAAGGGATACACATACAAATGCATGACGCACTGAGCAACTTGGCTTTCGAATCTGGGTGTATGACTGCCTCCTGTCGCCTTTCGCCTACTGTGCTCATTCAGCCTCCCCTAAGAAGCGCCTCGTCAGTCAAACATATAGCTAGACCCCTCTCTACTGGCTGCGGTGTCTAGCATGCATGTTCATGGGTAGTGCACGCTTGCTTGTCTACATATGCATGACGGCAACTAGACAAGCGCCTCTTAGCCTTGGTAGCGCACCAAGGTACGAGCGCGCGAAAGCGAAACGCCTACCGTCGTCTCTAGAGGTGTTGTTCCTATTTTCCAAAAGTGAGCGGCTGCAATAGAATGGCAGGAAGTGAAGTGCAGGTTCTCACCTACAAATCACAGTCGCTAGGCCCTAACGTGTAGGCGTCTCCCTGCACTCGCGCCAGCGTCAAACTACGGCTGCACCTACAGCCGAAGCTGCTAATCTGCACCTCTGCTTTTAAGCGCCTATTGCACACGACGAACTGCGTGTAGGCGTGGATTACAGCTAGGAAAGAACTCGAGCGGCCTTTGGTTCTCGAGTCTAAGAACCAGTGGTGTAGCAGTCCATGGGAAGTGGCCGTTCGGCAGCGGCTGCTGCTGGATCGAAAAAGCGAGTGCTAAATCTTCGACGTTCGCTCAGGAGACGCGCAACGCTCGCAGCCTGACAGTCCGAGTCAGACTTGTGCTCTTCATCGGCACGAAGAAAGCGCCAACCCTTCCCCAAGCTTGCAACTAACTAGAACTGCTCCAAGCTTTGGCCATGTTGCAAGAACGGCCTTACGCTTTTTGAAACCCCAAGCGAAAAGCCAGTCGACGCCGAGCATCCCAGCAAACGTTTTTTTCGCGTTCACACCTAAGCATGCCAAGACTTGAGGGGACTGAAAGACGAGCTGCTGTGGTTCGAGGTTTCTGCTTTGCCTGCCAGGCCGCTCGAGTAGAGGCGATTCGGCGCAAGAGCCTCCCCCTTTCCCCAACATCCCCTTTTATTGAGCGGCGCGCATGACAGAGGCCAACAAGTCTTGCCTGAGATGAAAGTACGTCGCAAACCGCAGAACGGGCACGTAAATTCGCTGTGGCTGCTGTGAGGACGTGGGCACGGATGTTTCACGCCAAATAAATGCATGCGCATGCACACCACGAGTGGAGCAGATCGCAGAAACGCACGCGCGAATCACACATCCACATGAACGCCTGATAATGTGTGCACCTCGAGACGCCTTCATCCATGGTGATCCATCTGTTCGGCTTCCATTAGAGAGCAGTGATTCAAGTAGTAAGCCAAACGCAACAGAGAACTGCCGCAGAAGGAGCTAGACAGGTAAATGCCTCTCAACGGCCTCAGAAGTGCTTTCATGCGCGCTCACACGCGTTCAAGCGTCGACGAAAGAAGATTACGGCAAATCGTACACAGCAAGTGCAGCAACAGGAGTACCCCAGCAGCAGCATATCGCTCCACAGCAGTCTGCAGAAGATGGCGGCAATCGTCTTTTGTTTCACAGACGTCTGCAACTGCGAAGAGGCTGGCAGCAGGAGGCTCACCCCAAGAGGGCCTTTGCTTTTGTCCACTGATCTCCTGCCCCTGCTGCTTGTTGCAGCAGCTGCTGCAGCTCCTGCGCTGCTGCCTCCCTGTCTAGCATGCTGGTCGGTACCATCTCCACCCCCAGCACTTCGGCGAGGCTGCAGCCGCTGTCATCTTGAGGCCTAAAGAAAAAGCAATAAGACACGCGGCAGTCGTTGCAGGAGCTACTACTGCTTTGTCTTCGACAACTCTACTGCCCGTGCGGCTCGGCGCAGGCAGTCCAAAGCAGCTCCACGACAAGCCCTCAAGACAGGAGCAGTGGCAACGGATAAGCAGCGCCTCAAGCAACAAAGGGCTAGAGGTGACATGCGTCTACGGATGCATGCAAGCACAGAGACATGGGGAAGCGTAGAGAAAGGGTGGACACAGTGCGAGGAGGGCAGCGCCTGGAGAGTGATCCTCGTTCTGAGCAGCAAGGAGCATCGAGTGCAAGGAGGAGAAAAAGAGACACATATAGAGGGTATAGCGTACGGTGTGATGAATAGGAACCCGTCGGAAACGAAAAAGCGCTTCGCGTCAGCCCCTTCTCTTTCTCGAACGCAGACTTCCCCTCCCTTCAGTCGTGCAACTAGAGGCGAGTGGTGGTTGGTGACGGTCATATCGCCTTCCGCGCCGGGGACTGTCACGGAAACGATGGGTGCCTTGTGCAAGTAGCATTCTGTCGGAGACGCGAGAGTGAGCAGCAGCTTGTTCTTGATGCCTCCGCTGCCGCTGGCGACGCTGCTGAGAAGGCGGACTTGCTGTTGCTGCTGTCGCAGGAGCACGGGAAAGCTGCGGTGCAACAACAACCCGAAGAGTCGAGACATCGTAGGGGGCGGAGAGACGCTGGTACGGTGGCGACCTCGCACTGGGAAAAAACTTTCCGACGTCGGGGTGCAGCCTGGACTGCAGAGTGAGGCTCCCGAGAGAGCGAGAGAGGCGCTCACTTCACGCAGCTCCGGAGTTGGCGTACACCACGAACACTGCGAATATCGCCTAGAAACAGCCGACGTCGAGTGCTAAGCCCGTCGCATGCAAGTGCGCAGTAAATGCTCGGGTTGCAAGGGCCTGCTGGCAGGTGCACGACGGCACACGTAAAGCGGTGGTGCTTCGAATTCGCATCTACAAACACCAGGAGGTGCTCCGTCGATGCGCTTTCCCTCTCCTTACGAGCCTCGAAATCCTTACAGCCCCAAAGGCAACGGCGGGGAGCGCCTCTCTCGCCTGCGTGGCGGCTGAGCTGCTGCTGCTGCGCAAAGTTGCAGCAGGAGTTGGCTTGTTTCCTTAGGCACAAAGACGGCCTCTTGTCGGCTCTTTCCGCCTTTTCCCGGAAATAATGAGGGATCTACGACTCCAGGAAAGGTTTCAAACGACGGAAGACACCACCACCTGTGGACGCCGACGCGCGGCTCCCGTGGAGGGTCCAGCAGACACTTGCTGCGAGCTGATCCCAGAAACACCTTCTTTTGAGCTTCCCTGGGAGCCTTATCGTATCCGTCGCCTCACATATTGCGAATAGCAACGCACACACACACACACTGTGTTCACGCAGAGACGGCTCTGGGCTTAGAACGACGGACTCACGCAGTTCCCCCACGCCGCTCTGCGCTCCGTCTTTGAAAATCTGTCGGTGAGAGGCAGAACCCCTTGGAACGACCGAAGCTTCACCTTAGCGGCGATGAGGAGCGAATGGCTGCGTGTGCTCTGCTCTCTCTGCCTCCTTCCCTCTGCCGTCGGCATCTCGCTGAAGGCTGCTTCGGCTCCGAAGGAGCTCCTGGCCTTTCACGCGCCTCCCCTTCAGGCAAGCGCTCCAGTGCCACGAGCAGCAGCAACCAAGAAAACAGCAACAACAGCAGCAGCAGCAACCGAAAGGCCCTCAACGACACCTCAAGAAACAACTCCCAGGCAAGCGCACATGAAACGCGTCGCTTTGTTCCCTGGCCAAGGGGCGCAATGCATCGGTGAGTCTTTGAAATAGGGGCCCCCCCTGCATGCATTCCACTTTGTTTGCCTCCAAGCGCCATGCTCTAGAGCTGTTGGCGGCTTCGCTGGTGCTTTGGCCTCCTGTGTGTGGCTGTGCATGTGCTGAGACGCCAGAAGGAAGCCTTGGTGGTATCTGCATCACGAACATCACTTGTATCTGCATCTCTCTACCCATGCATACATGAGTCCATGCGGTTACATTACACCGCTACTTTGGTACAGTAGCGAACATTCAGCAGGGAGGGGCTGGCAGTGTTGCACAGGTGTTCAACTGACGAACTAAAACAGATATTCTCCGAGAGGGTGCAACATCCCGCCAATCGGGCTATATAAAGCGGCAAGAGGATGCACATTCTGCAGTCCTTTTGTAGTCTTCATATATGCTTCCCGTGTCGCACACGTCTGTTGAGCGTGTGTATACTTGCATGGAAAGTCGATTTTCTCCTCAAAGAGCTGAGCACGTTTTTCCCTCCGACAACGACTCACTCGCCAGCTCTCTGTCTGTCTCTGTGGCGGGATCTTCTGGTGAGCAGCGAATAGCTCTCCGGAAATCTCCTGGCACCGCATAGCTAGCGTGTTCCTTGAGCGACTTCTGAGTGTCGCTGGCGGGTTAGCTGCTCGAAGTCTGGCTATATATATATATATAGCTCAGGCTGGCGTCTCGTACGTCTTGCCTCGTTTTTGTAGCGGAGAGATTCCACCGCTCCCCGCCTTCCTGTTGAGTTTAGGCTCGTGCCCCCGTCTGTCAATCCAGCTGACACCCTCGCCTGCATCCCCTCCTATCTGTGTGTGGTCTTCTTCCTATTCGCTCCCTGCCCGTCATCCATACCGTCTTCCCGCGTGCCTGACATGCATGTTGCTTTCCTCCGTCTCGTTTTGCATTTTGCTTGTTGGTTCGCCATGCCGTGTTGTTTCCGTATCTGCGTTTCCAGCGCCATGTGCTGCACGCCTGTACCGAGTTTCTAAACCGCACTCCTGTCACTTATGCCGATGGCGAATTCGGCTTGCATGCGTGCATGCTTTTCTCTACGGCTCAGGGATGGGAGTTGCCTGCGCACGCTCGCATGCTCCCTCCCGCCGACTGTTTGAGGAGGCCTCGGAGATTCTACAGTACGATTTGCTGCGGCTCCTAGAGGAGGGCCCCTCGGACAAAATCAACAAGACGGGTGTGGCGCAGCCGGCGCTCCTCACGACGTCGCTTGCTGTGTACACCAAGTGGAGAGACACCGCAGAAGAGGTGCCGAAACACAAAGTCTCAAACACCCATCCCACCTTGCGGGCTCCTATCCCGACACTTCAGAAAAAAATGTGCTGCTACGCGTGGAAACGCAAGAAACGCAAGGCACTAGCACCCCTAGGCCGTAGAGCATGAGGCCGTGTATTTCCACTCTACATCTGAACGCTGAGAGCCACAGATCGCGAGGATGCACATGCCAGCATGCGGGCATGCACGCGTCAACACTACCTAGCCTGCTGCGTAGGCGCTGTGCTTCCGTGTTCATGTGCGCAGCCGGTGCAGTTCGATGCCTGCGCTGGCCTTTCCTTAGGCGAGTACTCAGCCCTCTGCTTTGCAGGCGTGCTGTCCTTTAAAGACGCCGTGGCGTTGACTGCTCAACGCGGATCGCTCATGCAGAAAGCGGCAGAGGAGCATCCAGGGGACATGTTCGCCATCTTGGGTCTGGGGAAAGAAGACACAGAAAGGCTGTGCGCAGCAGCAGCAGCCGCTGCTGCTGCCACGGCTGCCGAGAGCAAGTGCGTGGACGGCAGCAGGCCTGGCGGCAGCGGGAGTGCTGCACACTGCGGGGTAGCAAACTACTTGTGCAAGGGAAACTATGCGGTTTCCGTATCGCGCGCGGCTGCACAGGCGCTGCAGGAGGCAGCAACGGCAGCCAAGGCAAAGCGCTGCATAAAGTTGCAGGTAGATGGAGCATTCCACTCCCCCCTGATGGCTCCTGCAGCAGAGGGCCTCGCTACGGCCATAGAGTCTGTCCCGTTCAACAAGCCGCGAATTCCCATCGTTCTGAATGTCGATGCACAAATCCACACAGATCCGAGCGTCATTAAACGCAAACTCCTCCAACAGGTCAGCGCACGCCAAAGAAGCTTTGCGTAGAACCGAATCCTCTGAAAATTCGCCTCAATGAGCACTCTATCGATACGCATGAAAAGTCGCCCTTTCCTGTCCATTCACTCCCAGCGCTTTCTTCTCCTCGCATGTGGTATCTTTTGCAGCTCACGAGCCCTACTCAGTGGCAGCAGTCCATGGAGCACCTTGGAGAGCTCGGGGTAGAAGAATCCGTAGAGTTCGGGCCGGGTGCAGTCCTCACCAAGCTTATGAACAAAATCAACCCCACAGTCCGTACGCTGCACGTCGAATAAGCGCCACCAATCAACTGATCGCGAGCTAGCTGCGGTAGCCATCACGCTGCCGACAGGCCGCCCACAGCAAGCTAGGAGCTTGCTGCAGCAGTACGGAAACTTACACCTGCTAGCTTCGAGTAAAAACAGGCCGCAGCTGACCTCTACTTTGGAGCACTGAGCGTCGTTATCGTCAGCTAGCTACGGGGGCTAGCCATGGTTGCTGATTGACTCCTGATTTAGTTTATAGCAGCGACTAGGCCGCACGCCAGCGTGCCCGTTGCCGCTCATGCATGCATCCGGAGCCCTTTACGGGGTTTCTCCCATCTCTTCTGCATTTTAAGTCACGTACAGGTGTTTGTACTGGCCGATTTGTTTCAAAAATATTATCTGGTGCGGCAAAGCGGCTTGAACGACGAAGGCATACACAGCTGCAAAGGGGCTTCGTGTGGACAGCACTGCAGCTGGGTGCATACGTGCGTATCTGTACAGCGACATCCTGTTTGCATGCTGATGTCTAGCTCACCTATGTTCGTAAAAGCTGCACCTACCTCAGTTTCCAGGCTTGCTGGTACATGGGGGTACGACTATGGCTCGTCTTGGAGAAGTGTGTGTGCACGTACCATGCATAATTGTGCGTATGCGCATACGTGTATGTGATGCACATAGTTCTTTCAGTACGCCCATACACATGCAAAGGCTATTTATACATGTTTGCGCGCATGCATATATATAGATGCATGCACACCTATACGCGAATAGTGTAGATGAAACCTTTGCTTGTATACGCGTAGCCTTGTGTGTATTAATGCATATGTATACCAGTATATGTACATCTGTGTGCACGCATGCATCGCGGCACCACCACTGTTTGCCCTAGAGGCTTTGCCTTTCCGCAAAATCAATTTGTAAGCGCCCTCCTTCATGATGGAATTTTCTGCGAACTGGCCTCTACCTACGCAGTCATATGGCTACGAGCTTTTCGTTTTCGCTGGGAGTTCCCCGTAAACACACGTCGGCACTCTGACGAGCGCAAGATTCCCTGGCTGTCCAGCTAAACGTGCCGATAGTACGGGTGCAATAGCCTTAATACTAATACAGTTTTTCGCTTTCAAAAATAAGGAGCTCAAAAGGGGAAGGACAGGACTGAACGCACGCCTTCCTAGGATTTAGGATGTACACGGTGTTCGTGCACAAGGGATTCAAAAGGAGACTGTGATTTGGGGGAGGCACCCTCCCGCGACGTGCTGGGTTGCAGCTGCAGATACCTGCATGCACACGGACAGCTTTTGAGTGCTTGACATAGCAGCTAATGACTAGGTCCCGTAGGATTCCCGCAACCATACTTGAAGTCCCATAAGCATCTAAAAGGTAATACGCTTTTATCAGAAGTAGGGGTTGCAGCTACCTATAAAAGTCCAGCTTGGGGTATCTGTTGATAAGAACCCGCAGAAGGGCTTCAGCTCGCAAATCCTTCCGCGTGACAAAGCGATGAGTTAGCTCATCGACCAGGAACTGAGACATACAAGGAAGCAACACAAAAAAATTAAAGATACAAAGTAACATCAGCAGTCTCTCTTTCTCGACTAGCGTGTTCGCTTATTCAGCTGCCTATACACCTGAAGTGTTGTAATTGCAACAGGGAGAGAATACCCCAGAAAGAACGCAAAAATGCATTCATGTGGCTGAAAACCCGTTGGTCTTTCCTAAGCTAAATACAGGAAGCTGTCTATCCGGTCGCTTTACATCAGCTGTCTCGAAACACTTGCGGAGAGCACTATGAACTGCATGAAGCTCTCATCAATATACGTACGCCTTCGCTTTGTGTATTGCTTCAAAACACCGAAACGGGCATTACAGTATTTAGGAAATACACATAACCAGAGTTACTCTTCATGCGTTGCAGCCGGGTGTAAGATCGCGTAGATCCTTTGTCCTTACTTGTACAGGATCCATCAAAGGCATTTCTTGGGATGGTGCAGGCTTCCGGTCGTACGGAAGCAGTCCCATGCGTCGTGCCGAACAAATCGCCTTGTAAATGTACCGCTGCTGCATGCGGGAGGCGTGAGTGAGGCGGCGCGGCAGCAACAGGCCGTTGCTTCCCAGAAACCGAGGAAGCAAGTGCAAATCTATTGAAGCACAAGAGCAGCCATCCAGTAGAACCGCAATGAGACAACGCATCAGGCAACCCGCCCCGAAGGCGAGAGAAACAGGGCAAGACGCGAGTTCTCCCTTTCTCTCTCTCTGTCTCTCTCTAACAGGGGGCTAGAGATTATTTAGGATGACTTCTTCGGAGCGTCAAGTTACCTTTCCAGGTGATTGGAAGGTTCTTATTTTTCAACGCGCTGCGCAAACTTGCGCTGGGGTCCCAAAAGCGCTCAGACTGCCGGTGTGGAGCTGGCGGAGCTTCTGCCTCCTGCGGTGCGAATTTGTGCATTTAGAGACGAGGAAGAAGTGGGTAAGGCGGATCTAGATCTGGCTTTGGTGGAAGCAAGGCCGCGTGGCTTTCCGGGCTAGTCTTTAGAGTTTAGAGTGCGCGTATATGGGCAGCCGCGTGAAGCGCCCTATCCGCTTTGGCGCTATCAAGGGTCAAGAGATTGAATACCTGTTCCCCGAAGTACTGCCTGTGCTCCTCGCTAAGAGGATCGTGCACTTTAGCGGCCTTCTTTAGGGACTGCCGCAGCAGCAGTCGCTGTCGTCTTGCCTCTGCTGCTCCCACCAATCTGCACGAAGGCACGCGGCAGCGATAGCGGCAGTGGCCTTAAATGGCGCCTGCCTTCGATCCAGTTCGACGGTTCCCTTCACACCCGGTTTAGTCGAGAATGAGCGCGCGCGAGAGAGAGTACCAAGCACATGAAACCGGTTCCAGCACAGGCGGCATTTACTGAACGCAAGGATGTACACTCGAATCACGCTTCGGGGAAAGGCATACCTGCTGAACTCTTCAAAATCGTGGGCTACTTGAGCCTCCAGACCCTCAACGCGTGCCCTCGGATCCCACAGCGCGTCGATTCCAGTGGATGAAGCCTGCAGCACACGCGACAGCTCCAGCCCGTGAAACTCTAGCTAGATAGGGGCACTGGCTGGTCCGTGTCGAGCGTGCCACAAAAAATAGCAAGCGAACCATCAAACCCAATCCGTGCCATCGTGCCTTTGCTTCCTGTTGCGTTCTCTCCATAAGCTTGCTGATAATGGCCTTCTCCTGCCGAGAAAGCTCCTCTATCTCGGGACTGGGGGCTTCCAGCAGGGCACTGCCGAGCTCAAATCGTCTTCTCCGTAATGTGCTAACACACTCCTCGTACAAACTGGAGCTCCCGCTCACCTGCAGCGAAGCGCACATGATGCGGAAGCACGCATTCGGAGGCGTGGAGTGTCTCTACACTGCGGGCCGTGGACTTCTCAGGCGCCACCCTGGAAAGTTCCCTCAGGGCCGAGTGGTGCGCAGCCACACATAAGAAACGAGGAGGCAGGCAAGGCTTCGAACTGCTCCTCAACTCACGCAGAGGCGACGTATTTGGCTGTCAGAGGGTGCTGCAAAGGAACTCACAGGTGCCTGCCTGGCTGCCACCTCGCGGTCCAGCGGTTGAGCCTTCGCCTGAGACGGCGATTGGGAATTCGACTCTCTGGCAGGGGGACGCAAAGGGAGCGCTCCTGTTTTACCCCGCGTAGAGCGAGAAAAGGGTCTGCTGTGAGGCTGCTGCTGCTGCTGTGCTATGCGTGCCATACACAGGCTTCTTGACACCACCGCAGCCTTTGCGCAGTTGAGGGAATCGAAGGGAAGCCCCAGGCTGCTGCCGCAGCATCTTAAAGGGACACACGCAGGCGGGCAAGCCGCCATGGCTGAACCGTACAGCTCGGACGGTGAGAAATTCGTGCAGCTCGACCGGAAATCGGACTGTGCGCGACAGGGCCACGCAGTGTATTGCCAGGACCTATGGTTAGGGGGTTCAAACTCGAAGTCATGACGCCTTCACGAATGATGCAGGGTGTGTTTATGGCAGTCACTGTATGCTGAAAAGATCCTGCGAGCGCTAAGGGACCCCGCGGGGGCGCCAAACGGCCTGCGCGCTCCGTACGACGGGGCCGAAGCGCTGCATGCAGCAAGAGGAGTTTCGAGGGTTTGGAAGTTGCTTTTCAGCCAAAGCCGCAAATAACCCCCCAAATGCACAAGCATTTGACGACGGACCTTATCTAAGGCTAGGATCAAAAGGGAGCCCCCAGATCCTGGCTTTCCAGTGCAACAAGTGTCGGCGAGTGACCAGGGCTTCATGCCATAGCGTTTAATATCATGAATTCCCACAACAAATGACACAAATGGAGCACACAACCGCAACTGCCGGCAGGATTTTAACAGAAGGCTTCGGCAGATAGCAGGTGTGTGGACTGCATTCTGGGGGGTTCCCCCTATGTGGTACGACCAAGGTGCTCAGGAGGGTGTTCCACCGAGAGACGGTGGAGGAAAACTTAGGTAGACGCCTCAGTAACAGGCAATACTAAGCTGATGTAGCTGTAACATCTTGACTCTAGCGTTACCTCCACCACAATCAGGCAATTCAATATCCCTTAATGTGTTAAAATCTGCGTGAAACCACTGGGTCGGTATCTGCAAACACCGGAACACTTACGGAGCTGAATACGTTGTTCTGGCTCTGCAGAATGGGGCCACGGCTTGCTCTCTGCCTGAACCATAATGTGTAGCGTCGTGTAATTTGGTGTTAAGGGGTTTACCTGCACCTAAATATTTTTTCTACACAAGTTACATTGACTTAAACTTGATAGGCAAGTAGCCAATCGGTTTGTCAGTTCGTATGCCTTATTTATTGCAGAGTATTGTGGAGCTTGATACAAGAAGAGGCAATGTGCGATTATTGCTAGATGGCATGTGCAACTAGCTGAGAATGCTCGGAGTGTTTAGACGATGCAGCTACTCACATCCTAGCGCTATGCCCCTCTGCCCTCGTGGCGGGAACTTTGAGGACTGCGGGCAGAGGAAGGCTAAAGAACATATGGAAAACATTCAAGAAGTTTCCATCGCGTTTGAATGAAGTACGCACTTAAATGTCTCCCTGCGGAGACCTTAAATGAACGTTACGCCATTCGTTTGCGCTTATTGAGCACAGAATAGGGGGACACTGAGGTACCCCCAAGCCATATGGATATGAATACACGTAAGAAGCACAAAGAAAACATGTGCATCAATCTGTACACAGATCCCCTTCCACCCTCGGAGGCACACACATGCGACATATAGAACGTATGGTCTGCATTTCTATATGCTAGACAAATCATGTGTACCGTAGAGATGGCACCCTAGAGCTTTCTATGGGTGCCACCATACTTACTACACCCATTAGTGCATGCGTGTACACGCCCCCAAAGATTTTAGAGGAAGTAATCTGGCACCCCACGGAGTACCTCAGCGCCTGCTAACTGGTCTGGGGATGGCTCGAATTGAATGCTGTACAACACCCCAGAAAAGGTGGAAGGAGCACGCAGGAGATTACACACACACACACACACACACACACACACAAAGATTGAGAAATATCGTGATGCTTCGGACCACCGCACGCTGTGCCTTGTTCCTATTAATTTTCACCAATATACACACGTGCAGGCACGGAAACACCGATTACGATTTTTATGTAGGGTCTGTGGTCTGTGTTGCGGTGTGCGTACAATGAGTAGCTGAGGTGTTCATCAATCTGGAGAATGGCCGCCTGATTACCGCAGCGGTAACAATAATTCGGAGCCGAGAAAAGCGTCAAAACACTTTTCCCTTGACTCCACTGGTAGCCCTGCGAGCAGAGGCAGCCGCAGCAGCCAAGCTCGGGTGTACGTGCAGGTCGAGACGTACCCCTCTTTCAAACATCCCCATGCTCTCTCCAGATCGACAAACTCAGAAGGCCGCAACTTTGGCTGCAAATAGGCTTGCGCACTAGGAATCTCTATCGGCGGCAGTCGCTTGCATGTGTCCGCCTACATATCGGCATTTCTACTGGACTTACGGAGGTACAAATTACCTCCTCAGGCCCACACGGGCACTGCAAAAAGATCCACTGCAGTGCAAAACACCTGAGCCTCGACAGAAGAGAGAGAAGCGGGGTGTCTCGTCTCTTACCTCCATAACGAGTTGATGCGCTCGGGCTATCCACTGAAGCCCATTTGCGTGCAGGAACTTCTCGGAGATGTCTCGACCGAATGTGAAGCCTTTGACACACACGATTTGCCACACCCTGCAACGCAGGCACGAAGCTGCAGCACTGGCACCGGGCAGCAGCAGACTGCAGCGACCAAGAGACAACAAAGGAGATCCAGAGAGAAAACGCGCGTATTCCGAGGACGACGCAGCAGCAGATGCGCTGAGAAAGGGCCTTAGAGGCAGAAAGCCGCAGCGCCGAGTCCGTTTTGTTCCCAAGAGACAACAGCAGACAGACACACGTTCGCAGAGAAGGAGAAGACAGAGAGACGTAGCCGAACAGATGGACAGACAGATCCGCGGAGACGCTGTCAAGCCCACAGTCGGAGACACGGCGCAAGGTTGGGGCAAGGGAAGATTCAGTAGGGGTGTCAGTAGGAACACAGAAAACGTGACTGTGGACGCCGAGATACACGGAAGCGGCCCTCTGAAGGTCGAGCAGTGTTTTTAAAAATCGGCGAGACAATCGAGAAGAAGCGTCTGTCTAACCCGCGCCTCTGGGGGAGACTCCCCATCCCTCGAGCTGGTCTTCAGGATCCGACCACAGCAAATCACACATAGGCCCTTCGTGAGGCACTTCCTGCAATCTGAGAAGAAAAACAGAGGAGGTGTCTGGCATTGGACACGGCCGTAAGAGACGCAGCGAGAAAGAGAACTCATGTGCCTGCCGCGGCAGCAAGCAGCAGCCTTCGAGGGCCGAGGCATGCATCCACGCGCGTGATCGTGCACACGGAGGGGAAAGAAGACGTGTGCATGGTAGTAGATGGGTAGGTAGGTAGGCAGGCAAGTGGAAGATTGATGGCAATTCCGCAATACATGATGAGGAGACCTAGGGGCAAAGGAAACGTGTGCAAAGCTTCCCACTCCCTCGAACAGACAGACCGTTGGAGGGAGCGAACAGAATCCAACGTATCCAGCTGAGGTGATAGTCCAGCGTGAGGACAGAAGATCTGCCCCTCAATCAAGGCGCTTAGAGGCAGGAAGTCAAAGACCGCTGAGCATATTCCACACGCATACACACACACACACATACGTATGCATGCATGCATGCATACGTACATACACACACACACTGTACATACACCCTGGAGGCCTGGAGGCGGCGGTCTAAAGAGGCCCCAGCGCAGTAAAGGCTCACAAAAGCGAAAAAAGCGATGGAAGCAGCAGCGAAACAGAGGGCAATAACGAACGCAAGAAGCAACACGCAGTAGTACTACGCATCATGCCAACTGAGAGAAAGGACTCATGCATGCAACATAATGAAAATTACGAAGGATGCCAACCTGTGATTTGGTTCCAGACATTGGCATTCCCGTATTTGCGAATGCATTCGTCAAAGAAGCCGTAGACCTACACATTGAACGAAAAACAAAGAGCGTCTCTATTTACATATGCACACAGAGAATGAGACACAGAAATATACCCATACCTACATACTTTGTTACATACTTACATACACATACCTACAGACACATGCCTACAGACATACACATGTACACACATACACCCACAGACGCCCACAGACACACACAGACACACACAAACATAGAGACACACAAATAAGTACATAATACACATACACACATACAGCCATACAAACACCTACACAAATACATGTCCAGACGCCTTTAAAAGAGAGACCCATGCGAGCACGATCTTTTTCCTCTGCCCCTGTTCGGAGGAATTCGCGCGGCAGAACGCGAAAGGAAGACACACTTGCACTAAAAAAAGGCAGGGAGGGTGAGAATCCAGAAGCAAGCCAGAAGGAAACCCTAGAGGCCTGAAGCAGAGAGCTCAAGTGGGAAGTTTGAGTGCCGAAAGACGAATAGGCAGCGCAGTTGTGCTTCGCGCATGCTGCATCTGCAAAACTTCAAGCCGTAATGAAACCTGCCTGCGTAATTTGACGGCTCTCATGATTTCCCCGAATGATAGTTACGCGATGCCTAAAGCGAACCTGCACGTGTACATACACACAAACACACACAAAGACACACACACAAAGATACACAAACATACAAAGATACACACACAAAGACACACACAAAGACACACACACAAAGATACACAAACATACACACACACACAAAGATACACAAACATACACACACACACATACATACACACACACAAAGATACACACACACACAAAGACACACACACACACACAAAGATACACAAACATACACACAAACACAGACACACACAAACACAGACACACACACATACACACACAAACACACACACATATACACACACAAGTACACACACAAAGACACACACACAAATACACACAGACACACATACAAACACAAAGACACACACACAAATACACACAGACACACATACAAACACAAAGACACACACACACACACGTTTGTACGCGCTCTCTCGGCACTGAAACTGTGTGCAGCAGCCGGCATGCACTTTGGTGTGTCGGCTCATGCGGTAAGAGATCACATGCAGCGGCTTCTCCGTTCGTCGAGAGGCCCCCTGCAGAGAGAAGCCCAAGAACCCTACTCCCCAAGTCTCTCTCTCGCTCTCTCGCTCCTAGATCACGAACGTACCTTGAGGAGAAACACGAGGGTTACGCACTCGAGAGAGTTGAACCCCCTATCCACGTAATCTCCTAGAAATAGAAAATTTACCGAGGGGCATGCTGCACGCACATGAAGCGGGCTTGACACGAATGACGCCTAAAGCGTCTAGCGCAGCTACAAGCGCACGGAAAGACGCAAGTGCTGCCTCTCAGAGTAACACAGGAAGGCTTCAAACAATTCCTGAAGGCCTCTCCTGTCCACCTCTCCCTACCCCCCCCACCTCTACATGCCCATATGCGTCTACAAGCTGGAAACGCGCGGATCCATGACAAGACTCTTCTTCTAGAAGTCTCACTTCCAGCGCATTTAAACATTTGCATCAGATCGTGAAACTGCCCATGGATGTCTCCTACGACTGTCACAGGGGTCTGGACAGGCTGCACGTTGCCTTCCTCCATCAAAATCTCCTGAAAAGCGTGTGCAGCACACGGCCAAACAAGCCATGAGCCGATCTCTCTGTCAGTCTCAGAGGAGAGCCTACTCCATCCCTTGCCTTAAATCTCTACACCTCCCCCCCCCTCGCTTCGAGACACGCAGCCGCATATATATATATAAATATGTATATGTATATTCCGCAAAATTCACGCCTACACGCGGAGAAACCGCTGCCCCCAAAACTAACCTTGAGCTTGTCGCACAGCGCCTTAACGCGCTGCTCCTCTAAGGGCTTGCATTTAAGAACTTGACTGATATCAGCATCAATAGCAAGTAGCTCCGGGGGAGACAGATAGTGTTGGGGAATGGAGGAGTTTGAGTCGAGCGGCAGGTGTTGTGATGTCAGCAAGCAGGCGTTGTCATTGTCCTCTGCAGTTGCAGTTGCTGCGGTTGCTGCTGTCGCTGCTGTCGCTGCTGTTGCTGCTGCTGCTGTTGCTGTTGCTGCCGAGGAAGAGGCGAAATCACAGGATATTGAAGGGGACGAACATGCTGCTGAAGTGGCTGCAGCTGCTGCCATCTTTGGTTGGGGATGGGGGAAGTGTCTTGCTTAAAACAAATGAGTCTCTGCTACTCTAGCACCGTTCCTCGTGCAACTGCATGGGTGGAGGATGGGGTTTGTGTTTAGCTGGGGAGAGGAGACTTGACTCTCCCTTTGATTGCCGCGCTGCTGGTGCGGCTGCAATTTCCGCAAGCCACGAAAAGGAAGCTGGGGACGACCTGAACTGCTCGGTGGGGCCCCTTCAAGGGGCCCTAGGGGTCGTTGGCTTATACACACCCATGTCCTCCCTGCGCAACGGATTCAGGTGTCTGTACGGCAGAGCAGCTTGCTGTGTCTGCTCCCCCTTGCACAAATGCTGCGGCTACTACTGCTACTGGTGCGAATATCCTCACCAGTGCTGCCGCTGCCGCTGCTGCTGCTGCCGCTGCTGCCGATCGTTCACTGTTACCTGCTCGGCGGCCCCTGCAGCTGCTGCTGCTCTTTCCCGTTAAGGCTGCTCGATACGCGAATGCGCGGAGAAAGACGCACAGCGCCCTAGGCTGCACCGCCAATGTCCTCTGGAGCTTCTGCAAGGGCCCCTGTTGCAACCCGGATGGCTAGGTTGCTGAAAGAGCGACTTGAACGCCTCTCTTGAGAGGCTACGGGGGGGTGCCGTGCGCCTGTTTATGGTCGAAAGCGCAGCTTTTGGAAGGCTTCTGAGCTCCTGTGCGAAACAAACTTGAGCTGACGCTACAGAGCCTCGGAAAACTCTTCGCTGAGGACCTCTGCTCATACAGGGGTTCCCCTCCAAGGATGGACTGGGACGTCTTCCGCACGCTTCAAGACACCCAGTGTGTCCACAGAAAAACCACTAAAACACAAAAATCGACATCCTGGGGTCAAGGATTTAGTCTTTAAGGCCTACCATTAGGGGGCTTGGCGGCCAGAAAAAAACAGCTGCGGTAGTTGAATTGCATGCACAGCGGCTGCAACAACAGCACAGCCACAGCCGGAGCTACCGCTGCTCTTCCAACAGTCTGCATGGTCTTTCTTCATTAAAATATCGTTCTCAACACTATCCATAAACAGCTATCCATCAAGGCATCCCAACTCCTTCAAAAGGGAGCGGAAACGAGGACTTTTCCCCAAGCCTGGCGATCCTCCATGGCGTTACCTTCTACTGTACGTTCGCATGCAGGCACTCTCTACCCCAGAAAGAGACCGCATGCATTATCGTTCAGAGCAGTATTTATAGCTGACCATGGATAGGCACAGAGCTGCTGGAGGGAAGCTCGCATTAGTGTGTGTTGCACGCCCTCAAATATAACCCTTTCCACGTTCCACAGGGCATCATCCAGCTTCCTGACTCTTTCGCGTGTGGTACTTAGGCTAAGTTTCGTTTCCCAGTGTTTGTTTCGTATCGTGTCACCGCACGCTAGCCTATGGAGCTGACCATGCTCCCCATAACGTCCTTTTGCACTGGATGTAGCGGTTCAGCTAGCGCTCGCTCTTTCAGGATAGTATTTTGTAACGGCGCACTTTTAACACTCAACCCGACACAAAACTCAATAGATAATTACGTTTTAAAAAAGCTTTCTCTTCTTTCTTCCTGCTGTCATCAAACCCTCTGGGTTCATGCGTGAGAGGAAAAAGACACGCAGCCAAAGAACGCGTAGCTGCATTCTCTAGGCACTCTGAGCCCTTACAGTTGGCTGCACTTCGCATCCAACGCATAGGCACACAACACTGTGAGTTCTTGTATCGAGCTAGCCGTGCTTTGCGATAAGCTAGATGAACAGACAAACCAGTATTCGACTCCTTACTAGTTCCCAGTTAAATATTACTAGTACGAAAGAAAGTCTGGTAATGCAGCTTAGCTCGCTGGAGAGTCATTAGTAAAGTTAATTGCGTTTCTTCGGGATCTTCGTTTAAGCAAAGCTACCCCAAGGGAAAGGGAGTCTGCTCTGTCCGTATCCATGTATATCAAAGTGTTTGCTCATCTTCCATGGACAGTGGATAACCCCAGTGAATCCTAATCACACTAAACATTCTTTAGAAAAGGTGCGTCTGTCATTTTAACCCCAAAACATCGCTGCGATGAAGCGTCTGCGTGGTACACCAGGTAGTCCTCCATGGTCTGCCCCCTCAGAGGTTTGATGGTTCATTCTGCGTGGCACTGCAAGCGATGCACGATGCAGGTTTTGATCTTTACAGTGAAATGCAGTTCAGTGCACTGTAAAGGGGCAACTGCTACGGATATTGGGTGCAGCGGGCACCTCAAGTAGAGCCCCTCAACCGCCTACAGCTGCCTTTACCGAAAGGCGTTAAGACTATCTTTTAACGGCATTATCGACATTTTCAGATTAAAAATTTTGTGAAGCTTCTTTAAAATCCTACGTGGTTGGCACCGCCGAAAGGTCGAAGCCAGACACTGAGAAGGAATTCTGTAGCAAAGCGGGGTGCCTGTACCGTACCCTTGGCGGTCCAGCAGTAAGTACACCACTGCATCGATTGGCAAGAAAATAGTACACACTGGGTAATTTTCGAGGAAGTTCTGGCAGCGGGAGACCTTTGTACTCGATGCCTCATCCTCCAAAAGAGAGCACTGTACGAGATTCGGGAAGCAGATGGCGAAGGTCAGGGCTTAACAGGAAAGTTGGCACTGCACAGCTCGGATTCACAACTACCTTATAAGATCGACAGAGCTTCAAAGCTGTGCCAAGGCAGCCCAAAGCAATCGTCAAAAGATTCGTAAGAAAGTCTGGGTAAAAGGCACTAATGATAACTGCGCTTGCGTTTCAAGGGGCCTCCAAACGAATCCAACTTTTCCTTAGTGCACACTCGGTATCCGGTGCCAAGCAAGGTAGGCCAAATTCTGCATCGCTCTTTGAAGGCAGCTCAACGGAGGCGCAGAGTAAGCAACGAAGCGTCTTTTTGAGCTATGTATAATGCGAAACTCTCCCACATTCCCCAGAATGCCCCCTATCAAGATTCTCACTGCTGACTGATCTACAGACGTCAAGGGCTCACGGGTTACTATTAGAAGATCTGGTGTAGAGGAGTCTCACTGAACTTGAACGTACTTTTTTTTTGAAAGTGTCTATCAGAGGTAAAGGCCTACTGAATTCCAGTAGACGATCGAGTGGTGAACGAAATGAAAACACCGCTCTTCTCTCGAAGCCAAATTGCAGCGCCATTATCGTGCATGCATCTCGTAATCAGGCAGCTGCAAAGACACCATGGCTGCAGAGACCTGGGCAAGGGAAGGGCTTTGCCAGGCGTTGTCTTCCTCTTGGCTTGCTGTCCTCCAGTATCTTTTTACTTCACAGTAAATTTGCTTTTTTGTGCGCTCTGCTCGTACACCTCCCTCCGCCTCATATTTCTCTAATTCTCCATTTCTGCTTCTGCTGGCTCTAAACCTACTGCCCAGCACTCAACCCTTGCAATCTCTGCATCTCTGCTCCATTTTCTTAAGCAGCCGAGCCGAAGCGTTTACCCTCGCCCTCTGCGCCTTTCTCTTGACTTGTTTCCCATTGCATTTTTAACCTTGCGTCTAAGATGCCAGTGTGGCATTGCGTTCTTTCCGCATTTGCTCCTCCATCTTCTGCACCGAATTTTTTCTCTATGGCCCAATATCGAATAAAGTAGGGGCCAATACACACTACAACATGGCTAGCCATCGACATGCTCGCAAGGAGACTTGACGGCTTTTTGTACAGAGACGTTCCCGCTAGATTGAGCTATCCACAGAATTGGCAGAGGCAGCTGTGTATCCTCAGAGCCCTTTTTGTCTTTGAAACTATCAAACTGCTCAGCCTCGCCTCAGCAGACTTTTCAACGACAATCGATAAGGGCGCCTCATGCTGTACTGTCAGAGATCAAATATGTTCGCGGGAATGTGTGATCTACAACTCCGTCCTGCCAGACTTGGCCCAGAACCTTCTAGCCACTGACTAAATCCTAATGCTCGTTTAAACAGGTAAGTGCACTGGCCTCTAAGCCCCAGCGAAAATTCGGGTATAGCGGCCTAGACCGCGGCTCCTTGATGAACGCCATAGGCGTTGAGCTAAACACGGTGAAGGGGTGAACGTTTTGGCAGCGTAGAGGCCCTTGCGGTTTGCTTCCACAGCGTAGGGTGTGCGGTTCAAGCGTGCATGCGCACCAAGACATGTGGCTACGCTTCGGTATGCTTGAGGTCATCAAGAGCGGCCTCGATGGAGCTTTGGTTGAGAAGGAGACTCAGAGAGTACTTGGCCTTCTCGGCGGGGCTTAGGGAATCTGCAGCAGGGAGAATATTGCAGATGTACGTGCAGCTCGTCTCATGGCAACGCAAGTGCACGTGTACATACACCGCACAGGGGCAGGGGATACCCTACATGCAGACGCGCGCGAAAGGCTGTGTAAACCATCAAGCGGATCGGTACCGGTTAAAAATAGACTCGATACAGCGTGAATGCCAATCCCGAACCGCCTTTTTGCCCTACCATATTTGCAGTTGCAAAACGATTGTAAAAGATTTTTGGTGAAGACTCCCGCAACCTCCACCCTCGGTGGGCTGAAATGAACTCGTATTAAATTCGCATCCAACAAGCCCTTGGCAAACAACGAAACAGCAACAGCAAACGCAGTAAATCGGCTCTTGGAGGCTTCCTTTCTCCCTTCGGCGTTTGTGACTTCGCCTTTCTTGCATTTGTGCCTCTCGGATGCATGTGCTGCTCATGCCCATTCTACTTGGAAAGCTGTATGGACTCCTGCACTACCCCTCTGAGTCCAAACTAGCCCCGTGCACGGCTTCTTCTGTGCGTGCCCTCCTCCAAGTTTCCGTGAGGCACATTCTCTTTTCGCATGCTGCAAGTTACACAATTTACGCACTCAATACGCCAAACCCCACACCTCACCAAGAGAACGGTGTTTTTCAGTCTCCCCAGATCCGGACAGAGCACATAAGGCCGCCGCAAGAATTCTCGGATCGTCTCGCACACCTGCGCGTGCAGATCCGAGACAAAGCGCAATCCACTGCCGTCAAAGCTAGCAAAGAGGCCTCCATACCCATTGCGCTCACGCATCTACGCATATGTGCATGCACCGTAAAACGGCACACTTTCTCTTTGGCGTCACGACAGCAGTCCCCTCCGCCACGGACGATGAATCCTATACAGCCTCAACCGGCGAGAGCAACTTACAGTCACAAGGAAGTGGACCTCGTCTTTGCTGACGTCTCGCAGCTTTCTTAAAAGGGGGAAGTTCAGAAAGCAGAGGACGCGTGCCTCGAAGCGTCTAAACTCCTGCACACGCGCACTTTAAACTCATAATTCTGGAATTTGAAGCACCATGAACATCACCCGGCAGCAGAAGAACGCGCGTGTTGCAAAGTCGAAGAATGCGGCTCAAAGCCGCGAAAAGAAGGGCCTAGGAAATCCTGAGCCTGTGGACACACCTCAACTAAAAGCGTTTCTGACATTTGCCGCAGTCGCTCCTGCTGCATGCGGTGGACTTTGAGGAATTTGGCAGCTACTACTTTGTCTGCTGTGGCTTGAGGGGCCCCTGGGGGGCCCCCCGAACGGGCAGCGTCCGCGCGTAAGGATGAAGGACCTCGAAACGCCTCCCCTGGGGAGGGATTTCGTCTGGGAGAACTCGTGAAGGCTGTAGCCGCCGCTCTGAGCAGTTCTCCTTGGTAGAAGGCATTCTTCGCCAGGGTAGAAATCACTTCTGGCGCTGTGCGAGATCCAGAGGGTTCCTCCGGCTCGTCGTCGAAATCCTCTAGTCGCGCTTGCTCCTTCTCGCGTTGGACTGCATCCGGGCGAGACAGTCGCTTCAGCATATCCTCGGTGGCTTGCTGTAGATCCCTGGAGGAGCCAGACATCGAAGGCTGGAGACTCTTCGAAACAAAGCCTATGTCTCCTGAGGCAGCGAGAGGCAGGCCCCCCAAGCCGCCTGACAGACCGCGAGGAGGCAGGAAGGGAAGACTCCATGCGCAGCAACGGGGAGGGAGAGCTAAACGCTACATCCTACTCAAAAATTAGACGAAGGAGCCTGGGGTGTCCCCCCACAGCGAGAAAGGCGGCGTCTGCCACTGAGGTGTCCGTGCAAAGCAGAGGCGAGAACAGTTCCCTGAACAAAAAGCGAAATTTCAATGCCTCATGTCTGATGTCAAACTCCATTGTGCCCGCCGCCAAGCTCCATGCCTCCGAGGAATCCGCCAGCAGCAGCAAGACGCGTGTGCAAGCCACTTTTGCTGCGTAAGGCCTCATTTTGAGGCTCATTTACGAAAGGCTCACCGGACATTGTCCTTGTTCAACTCGTCGATCTCAAGCACCTGCACCCCCTTGCGCCGTCCCGTTTGGGGTGTACGTACACCGCGCACGAGTAGGGCGGTGACGCTATCGGCGACAGAGAAGACAGTCGCTACAGTTCGCCCTTCCTGCGCATGAATGGGGGCAACAAAGCCGTCAAAGGAACCAGCGCAAGCCCTCCAGCATGAACTCTTTATCTGGGGTGTGCATTCGGCAGCTCACTAAGCCCTCACCAACAACTCCGCCCACAGCGGCACATCGCTTCCCACCTGCGTCGCTGTGGCAAGGAGGGAGCGAAAGAAAGCAGTGCCTTGAAGGCGAAGCTGATCTGCCTCCAGCAAAGCCTCGGGGGAACGCAGCAGTAAAGTCACTGGACGCTGCAGCACAAACTCTCCACGAATAGTCTGGGAGATTGGGTGCAAGGACGGCAATTCCGGCAAACCTCCACCACTGCAGTCAGCAAAACAAACAATCGCCAAACAGGCATGGGGGCTAGAACTTCATAATTGGAAGCACACCCCCGTGGTTTGCTCGACAACTTCCATGACGGCGTACAGACACTCCAGCCACTGAGAGGGCACACAAACACACACACACGATGTTTCCTCTAAGTCTCGAAATGTACTTTCCGAAAACAAGGTACAATACACTGAGATGAGGAGCTCAGTCCAGGGCAAGTTATGCCCTCGCGATTCTTGCAGGCGGCTACTGGAAGCAGGCTGTAATGATATCCGCTATAAATGTATATTCTCCTGATGCAAGGATTCAACTTGTGAACATTTGCCTTCTTAGAGGCTTCCTCAAGAGTCGTTCCCTGAGGTGCCATAGTCCACACTTCGCCGAGCAACAAGAGGGCCGCGCTGTACATACACACATACTCATACACATACACACACACAAATACACATACACACACACAAATACACATACACACACACAAATACACACACACACATACACATACACACATACATATACATATACATACACATACACACATACACATACACATACCCATACACACATACACATAAACACATACACACATAAACATATACATACACACACATACACATACCCATACACACATACACATACATACACATACATACACATAAACACATACACACATACATACACACATACACACACATATACACACACACACATACACACAAACACACTGAGTAAAAAGCGATCCTGCCCTTCTAAGGCCTCCTTGTTTTCATGTGAAAGACTTGTGTGTCGTGCATGCACAGCCCACACCCCGAAGTCTACGCTCTACCAGCCCCACTCAAGCAGCGTTTGCGGCTTCTGTTGCGCAACATTGTTTGGTCCTGTTAGAGTTTCGAGGATCTTCTGCCAAGCGGAGGCGGCCTGCACACACACACAGACGCATGGCAGCGCCTTCCAGAGACTAGCTCCTTCGAAATTTAATTCACCTAAGAAGGCTAAGGCAAATAGCTTCGGAGGCAGCAGAACGACAACCTTGAGCACGCCTAAAGGAGCCTCCCTCCACTTGCCTCCTCAGTGTGCACGCTGGCTCCCTCCAAGTTCTTTAGCAAAGACAGAAAAGTTTGTCTCTCCCTTGCATTTGGGAGCAGCAGTACCCCAGCCTGCTGCTGCTGCTGCTGCTGCTGCTGCTGCTGCTGCGCTGCCCTACGGTCTGCCTTCCTTGCTGCTGCTGCAGCTGCGCCTTCTGTCGCTGCGTGGCGAAGGGCAGCAGCAACGCTTGCGGCAAAGGAGGGAGGGAGCGAAGCCGCGACTTGTCTCAGGAGAGAGATTCTGAGCATCGAAATCCTCCGCAAACAGACTGGACGCTTGAATTTGAGGCAAAAACGAGCGAGAGCAAGCACAGACCTTGCCTCGACCACTGTGAGTTGTGTGTGTCTGTGCGTGTGTCTCTCTCTCCGCGTCTAGACTGTTTCGGCGACTAAGCGGGCACTAGGCATTTCCTCGGAAGCTGCCGCTCTAAGCGCTTCCTCCTCCCCCCTCAGTCCCCCTCCCCTCAGCCCTTCGGCAGCTACGCATGATGAATGCTGGATGCGCGACACTGCCCGCCTGCCCGTACGAGCGCGCAGAGAGGCTTCTGGGAAGATAGAGGCTCAAAGCTGCTCATGCGCATGCGTGTCTGGGACTGACGGATCCAACGCGCTGCATGCAAGTGCAAGCTGACGGGCAGCTGCACGCCTTGCAACCGCGAAAAAGCCTTCAAAGCTCCTCTCTGCCATCAACCCCACGTCAAAGGCCACAAGCTGCAGCACAAGCACACCCTGACTGCCAGCAGTTCATCGGGGAAAGAGAGCTGCGCTCCTCGTGTGTACGTCTGCAGGGAGGCTCAGCAATTGAGACAGAGGCGGCGGCTTTCGTGCAGTCCCTTCAGCCGAAACACAATTCCACGCAGACGCCAAACTCGAATTTCTTACGACTGGAAGACGCCCGTCGCGCTGCTCCATGAGGCGTGCCACACAATCCTTGAGGAGAGACGATTTCCCGACGCCTTCAGGCCCCGTCAGCAGAAGCAAGCCTGTGCGAAAAAAACTCTCGCAAATCCTCCTGCGGTGTCTCAGCAGCAGCTTTTCCCATAACGGGAGGAAGAAAAGGGGGGGGAGAAGAAAGGGGGAGAAGAAGAGGGGGGGAGCAGAAGAAGAGGGGGGGAGCAGAAGAAGAGGGTAGAAGAAGAGGGTAGAAGAAGAGGGTAGAAGAAGAGGGTAGAAGAAGAGGGGGGAAGAAGAAGAGGGAAGAAGAAGAAAAGAGAAGAAGAAGAAAAGGGAAGAAGAAAAAGAGCCATTGCTACCCTACGAGTCTCTCCGCGTTCTTCGCCCTTTATGAAGGATTCGACTGCCTGCGAGGGGCCTTCACGCCGCACGAACCCCCAAAGGGGCCTCTGGGGAAACAGGGGGGGGCCCCCCGGGGGGCCCCCCCCTGTTGGCTCTCCATCCGGGGGGGGGAATTCCTTTGCTCGTGCTGCAGCCGCCGTTGAGGAAGCGTCAGACGAATGTCTGCGTGTAGAAAGCTGCCGCTGACGGGGATGCAACGCAGCGCGAGGGGTACACGTGTGCAAGAGCTGCAAGAACGGCGAGATTTTCGCGAATGCTCGCGATGCTAAGGCATCCCTCCCCACTGCTCCCCCCCGTGCGAGGATTAGCCGAGGCAACGAACGACTCAGCATCTGCACACTTGGAGCTTTATACCCGCAACCCCCCCAAACAACCAAGCCATTGACGGAAAGCGCTGGAGAGCAGGAGTAGGTTAGACTGCTGCTGCAAAAGACGAAAAATCTCAGGCCTTAGACTTAGAGACCTTATTATAGTTTTCCGAAGAAAGCGCTTGTTGCCGGTGACAGGGATCAAAAGGGAGCAGGGTTTAGGGTACGAATGGAAGGGGCCTCCTTGGAGGGGGGGGGGGCCCTCGCTGGGGCCCCGCAGCAGCAGCGCAGCGGGGTCATCCCTAGGGGGCCCCCTTCTTCCGTGCTACGTTCCCGTTGATACCCAAGCCCTTTTAAGTTAAGAAAAAGTGTTTATCAAAGACAAATGTGCAGAAGAATGCAAAACTTGCAAAGGGGGTCCCTGGCAGGGTTTTTTCCAGCGGCGATCAGGGGTCGACGGCGGTGGGTGGTACCGTGATTCTGTACAGTTAGCTAGTTTGCGTCTTGAAGTTTCTCCCTAAAAGCTGTTGAAAGCACTAGAAGACATGGCTAAACGTGCTCCCAGGGAAGCGTATCGCTCCCGAAAAAGGCGTGACTCTGCGTGGGCAGGTGACCTGCCGTGTAAGTAGCCGCCTCCGCAGCAGCTGCTACACCTTCACCATCGTCTTTGCTTGGTGAGTGCGTGCAAGCAGAGAGCGTTTGTGGGTAGCTCAAGAGGAAGCCCCGGGTGATTCCCAAGGCGCCAAAGCCTTGGAGGGTGAGTTCACTTCGCACTAGGGGCGAGAATCACGCATACCCCCACAGACAGACCAACGGGGAAAGCAGCCCTTTAAAGATGCCATACACGGCCTATGAGGCGAATGTGCCAGGCAGTGGAGAGAGAGCGCTGATGGCGGAAGCAGCGGCAAACAGTGCAGTCGACAGGGGGCAGAGTCAACAACGCCACCGGGTGGACTAGCAGCTCTATTGCAGCAGCGGCCTCGTTGCAAAGGCAACCCCAGCAACGCTCCAGCGCTATTTGGCTAGCACTGAGCCTGCGCCGCACTTGCGCTTTAAGGCGAAGGCCACTTAATGAGCGAACTCGCATGCTCAGAGGATAGACGCCACAGCGTTCTGCGAGAAACACTGTCAGGCGACGAAACTCTTAGCCGCTTCTGCGATGAAAGCCATGCGGCGGCTCCCTGTCTGAGGCAGAATTTTCAGAATAAAAGGCAGTAGCGGCAGCAGCAGCACCTGCTGCTGCTGCCGCTATTGCCTTTGGCTGGGGGCCCCGTTAGCCCCCGTCAAGGTACCTGTTCCGCACTGTCTGTACACGCACCACAGCCCTCGCATGCAGCATGCGGAGAACCTCTGCTGCAAAATGTGGCGCTGTGAGGCCAGCCTCCTTCAGCTGCTGCTCCCGGGCAGCAGCCTCTATGAAGCGGTCCGGAAGGTCGATACACCGCAGCTGCACGGCGCAGCATCACACGGCACAAGCCTGCCCTCTTAGACACCCCAGCGCCCCGCGTTCAAGAATCGATTTCCCACGAGCAAGGTACTCGGGCGTTTCTCGGATTTCTGCACATGCATGGAGGTAAAACAGCCGCGCTTGCCCAAGTATCTACGGAGCAATGGGCTCATGCGCTTGCATCTGTCTGCATAGAGAGAGAGAGAGAGAAAATGCCGTCGGAACCTCGGCAATACACGCATGCATGCTTTGCTTTGTGGAACATACCTGGAGCCTCCCCCCGTCAAGGGCCCCCTGCTGCACTAGCGCTCGCATGGCTTTGCTGCAAAACCCTCCAGCTGCTCCCTCCTCTATCAGAAGGAGCGCGTCATGAGAGGCAGCTAGAGACGCTAGCAAGGATTCATCTAAGGGTCGCAGAAAGCGCGCATCTGCCACAGTTACGCCTACAAGGGGTGTTTCGCCCCCTGCAGCGGATGTCTTCCCGGCTGCTGCTGCAGCTGCTGCTTCTTCGACTGCTGCGGCGGCAAGTGCGGGGGTGGGGATGGCGCGAATGCGCTGCAGCAGATCCGCGGCATGCACTGCCTCCAGGAGGGGGGTGCCTAGAGACAGCAGGGCTACCTGCAGATACACCTCTCGGCAATGCATGGAGAAAGCAGAACGTTGAAAGCCGCTTTCATAGCACTCGAGCGCAGCCAAAGACGCTTATTCAAAATACGGTAGAAAAGTGCACGTTTTTGCATTATGGCGCGCACCTTGAACGCAGCCTTAGGGTGTGCCCGACGAATGATTCGACCTTTTCCTAGGGGAAGGGGCTTTCCCTCAAATTGAAATTCCTGAACATTGTGCCTGCACGGAAGCAAGTCAGGCTCCAAACCCGTACGCATGCACGTGTGACTCGAGAGGCCGACAAAGCCCCGAGAGTGAGTAAGTGAGCGTCGCTCGCCAAAGGCAGAAGGAAGCACTCCCTTCATGCGCCTAGACGAGCTCGAGACGCAGCATGCATCCTCCCCGCTGGGTGTGCTTCGTGTCTAGCCCACACTTCTAGGGGTCGAGAGTGTGGTTCGTGCAAAAACATACCCGAGCTTGCTGTTGAGAACTTCGATGCCAAAAGATGCGCTCCGCGGGAAGCGAATGGCAGACGGGCCAGACTCCAATTGGTAGACAGTCTGCACGCAAAGGGTGGAAGCACCCTCGAGCGTTTGCGCGGCATCTCTTCCGTGAATACTGAAGTCTCGCTACCCCGACCACAATCTTCCTTCACCTGTCCACAGACCCCCTGAACCTCCTCTGCACTCCCTCCCTCTTTCTTCCCCGGCACGCCTAGACCTACAGCAAGCATGTGAACAAGTTCCTGCTCGTCGCTTGGCGCCATTACGGTGAAGTTTGGGATATTCGACAAGAAACTCAAGTCGTAGGCACCCTGGTGAGTGCTCCCATCCGCCCCCACCAAGCCTGCACGATCAATGATGAATCTGAAGCACGCAAGCCGCACACCCCGCATCCACGCTCAGAAACGCATGCACACGAAGCCGCCACGCTCATGGACGAGCAGCATCTAAAACTACGCATTCCCCAGTAAGAACGGAAAGAGGAAAGCTCGAGCGCCTGCACACGGATTTTGCAGTCTCCAGATGCCTAGCGTGGATTCGCAGGGGTCCCCACGGAAAAGACGCCACGGGCAAAAGCATACATAATGCATACATGCATTTGCGTACGCCTCTATATTACGAAAAAAACATGCCTCCTCCTGTACGCATGTATGCATGCATGCACACGCGAACAACCGCCAAGCGAGGAGCATGCGCAGCATCAACGCGGATCGAACCACCCCCTCCCCGCAAGGCGCCCTCTGGGCCCACCTAACAGGCAGACTTTGCAAGGCGACGTCGTGGACGATCTGATCGTACGCCCTCTGAAGAAAAGTGCTGTATATACAGCAGAAGGGCTTCGCGCCTCCGGCCGCTAAGCCGCCGCAGAAAGTGACAGCGTGCTGCTCCGCAATGCCCACGTCGTACAGCTGAGAAGGAAGATGAGCTCCTAAAAGCGACAGGCCGGTTCCGCCTGGCATCGCTGCCGTGATTCCAACGACGAGGCTGTCCTTCTCCGCTAGCCGGAGCAACCCCTTCGCTGCAACAGAGGTAAGGGATGGCAGAGGGTGACGCGGTGCTGCAGCAGCTTTGGGAGCTCCTGTTGCACTCGCAGAGGCGCCCACTTGCTGCTGCTGCTGCTGCTGCTGCTGCTGCTGCTGCTGCTGCTGCTGCTGCTGCTGCGCGCCACCGGCCGCGGGCCCCGCCGCCGCTGCTGCTGTGGCTGCCCCCGCAAGGGTACGGCTTCCCGCATGCACGAGAAGATGCGTGGCTGCCTCGACCCCGTGCATGCGGTCCAGCGCAGCCAGCGCTGGCGCATAGCCGAAACCTTTCTCCGTCTTGAGGTGCAAGACTGTAGGACGCTCCAAACCCCGACGCTGAACGCAAGCAGAATTCAAAAAGACGCCGTAGAAACCATGGAACGGCCGTGCTCGCCAAACATCCACACACATGCAGACAGACAGACAGACAGACAGAGAGACGCAACATACAGACAGACATAACATACATACACACATAACATACAGACAGACACAACATACATACAGACACAACATACATACAGACACAACATACGCAACATACAGACAGACACAACATACAGACAGACACAATATACAGACAGACACAACATACATACAGAACACAGACAGACAGACACAACATACATACACACATAACATACATACAGACACAACATACAGACAGACGCAACATACAGACAGACACACAGACATACAGACACAACATACAGACAGACGCAACACGTTGACTCCTGAACAAGAGACGCAAGAGTACGCGCCGAGGCAAGATAAGATGGCAGGAAGATGGGGTTGCCGCTAAAACAATGCTGCCAATGTCTACCTTGATCGTCTGGAAGATCGCTACGAGGCTTTGCACGTCGTGGCCATCTATGGGCCCTAAATAATCGAATCCAAGAGCTCCAAAAAAGGAGGCTCCCCCCTGTTCTCCTTGTGCAGGCGCATGCACCGCAGACAAGTCCAGAGGCTGCTGCTGCTGCTGCTGCTGCGTCTTGAGCTGCTGGGAAAGAGACACGAAGCTGCGGCTTTTCAGCAAACGGCGCATGTGTCGAGACACCGCACTGGCAGGCGCTGTGCCCCCTGCAGAACAAAACCCCACACCATGCGCCACGAGATGCCTGTCTTTCAGCGCGCACACACATGCGCGGAAGATCCAAGAGATCCAAGTGCGAAATCCCCACTGCCAGCTGCCGGGGAGACAGCCCGTTACTACGGATACTCATGTACGTAGGAACGCATATGCATGCAGCGTGCAGACAAATGTACACCCCGTTTAGCCACTTGGATGCACTTTTCCACAGATCGCACCCGCGGAGTTCGTGCCAGTAGGAAGGGAGACTTGTTGATTGTCGTTCAAGACAACCAACACTTTGGATTGCAGATGGCCGCATGCGTTGAGGGCTTCATATGCCATGCCGCCTGTCAAGCCTCCGTCCCCTGAATGCAAATCGCAGAGGCAGAGGCGCTCTCTCCGCTACACCCCACCGCTGAAACGGAGGTTTTGGTCTAGAACGATCTTCGTCCCTTGTTGGATGGCTCCGAAAATGCCTGCATCGCGCCGTCGCTTTGCAGTAAAAAAGAATTCTTGGGCACCTCCCCTATCCCCCATGCTCCTTTGCTCCCCGCTTCCCCCATGCTCCTTTGCTCCCCCCTTCCCCATGCTCCTTTGCTCCCCGCTTCTCCCGCTTCTCCCCTCTCTCCCCCCCGCTGCCTGCATCCTGCTGCCTTGCGCACAGGCAAGTGCTCCACTCTGCGGTTGGAGGGCAGCAACAACACACGCAGCCGCCGCAAAACACGGAGCCTCGGCCCTACCGATAACCGCAACGTGCAGCCTGTTTTCCTTCTGCTGCATGCGGTGAGCGACGTATATCCCTTGAACTGCACTGACAGATGTGGAAGAGTGGCCTGAGAAAAAGCGCAAAAAAGAGGCATCCGACTCCACTCACACCGAGAACAGCCTCTAAGACGAACAGATTTTTCTGCGCTGCTCCCTCGCGAAGTTGCATGCAGCCAAGAAACAGGCTTGAAGGCTTCCCGCATAGCGGGCTCTTCGCTTCGCAGCGTCTCCTGCTTACCAGCCCCGAAGCAATCATACAGCGACTCTTTTCTAGAGAGAAAGCCAGAAAGACCACCAAACTGACGCAGGCGGTGCATGAGGTGGCGTCGTCCTGTCAGGATCTGTGAAAATCAGAGCAGCGCACAGAAAATATTTACGGCTAGCCAAAAAAGAAGAAGGGGGGAGGCGTATAGACAGCTAGCCAAGAAATAAGAAGAAGAGTCTTGGAAGAGGCGTATTGACAGCTAGCCATGAAAAAAAAGAAGAGTCTTGGAAGAGGCGTATTGACGGCTAGCCATGAAAAAAGAAGAAGAGTCTTGGAAGAGGCGTATTGACAGCTAGCCAAAAAGAGGGAGAAGAGGCTTGGAAGAGGCGTATTGACGGCTAGCCAAAAAGAGGAAGAAGAGTCCTTAGAAGAGGCGTATAGACAGCTAGCCATGAAAAGAAGAAGAGTCTTGGAAGAGGCGTATAGACAGCTAGCCATGAAAAAAGAAGAAGAGTCTTGGAAGAGGCGTATTGACGGCTAGCTAAAAAGAGGAAGAAGAGTCTTGGAAGAGGCGTACAGACAGCTAGCCATGAAAAAAGAAGAAGAGTCTTAGAAGAGGCGCGCAGGGGTCGTATCAGCGGGAGGCAAGACACTGCGTGGTCACGACTAGAGAAGTCTCGAGCATGGGAGGTTGTTTTGCAACGTGCTAGAAAAACACCGCGGCAGAAAACGGCAACAGCATCGGGTAGGAGGAGACGTTGAGAAAAAAGTTTTTAGAAAAAGCCCGCGAAGGCACGCGGCAAGCTCACACCTTGTGGGGGTAGGCTTGGTGTGAAACATCAAAAATCAGAGAATCCGTCGGCATATCTAGCGTGTAATGCAAAGCCACGATCGCTTCGATCATCCCCAGGGAGGAGGCCAAGTGCCCTCCAATCAGAGACACCAAATCGACGATCTCGCGACGAAGCTCGCTGCGCAGCAGAGGCAGGAGACAGACAGCCGCGGCGCAGCGCCCAGTGAGGCACACAGCAAGGCGACTTCGTCGCTGCTCGCGGAAAAAACACACCGCGACACAACAAAGGAGGCTTGCCCCCAACCTGTCTCCCCAACGCAGCAAGAGCAGATCCTGTCTTGTTTTTCCGGGAAAAACAAGACAGGATCTGCTCTTGCTGCGCGGCGAGGTTTGGATCACCTACTTGCACAATTGAGGAAGCTGAGACACTTTGAGCATTTTTAAGTCGCGGGGAACGTTGACAGCAGAGAGCAGCGAAGGCGTCAGAGGCCCCTGTAAACTGCTGCTTTTGCTGTTGCTGCTTTTGCTGCTGCTTTTGCTGTTGCTGCTTTTGCTGCTGATTTTGCTGTTGCCGCTTTTGTCGTACTGCTGGGTGCTGTGCTGCTGGTTGCCGTTGTTGCAGGGGGAGGAGGGCGACGGCGACAACGATGAAAAAGAAGACAAAAAATTCGTACTTCCTGGGAAAAGCGGCGGAAGGGAGCGCAGCTGCAGTCGCGGATGAGCACCTCCGGGGAGCCCTGTAAGTACACTTGCGTTGTAGAAGGAAGGCTGGAAGGGCAGTATTTCAGGAGTGTGACAGTCAGACTCCTCCCTGCGAGCTGATGCTGACGCTGCTGCGCCTGCTCCCGCTGCTGCCGAGCAGAAGGCATCTGATGACGACGAATGTGCGACTGTAGCGTGCGACGCTGTTGTCTGCAGCTTTGCAGGCAGCACTGGCAGCTTTCCTGCCGCTGCCGTTCCTCGCTGTCGAAAAGTTGCATCACCTGCGAAGGGCCATAGTCGCTGACGAGCTCTGAGGCGCAGCTCCCCGCTGCTGCTGCTGCTGCTGCTGCTGCTGCTGCTGCTGGTGCTGCTTGTGTGACGTAGGGAGACGTGAAATGCAGGGGCTGTCGCGGGAAGCGCAAGCCAGGGGGGGGCGGTGGGGCCCCCCAGGGGGCCCCCCCCCCTCTTGCCGGCAGAGGAGTCGTGTGACTTCGAAACGCTTGCCTCCGCAGGCTGCAGCAGGAGAGGCTCAGTCAGCAGCAGCAGCAGCGGGAGAAGCAGCGGGAGCAGCAGCAGCGATCCTTTGCAGGGCTGTGCGTCGAAGAAGGACTTGTCTAGTGTTGGATCCGCTGTGCGCCTTGTCGATGAGGCTCTAACGACTGCGTTCACCCTGTTAGGGTGTATGTCTCCCCTATGAGAGCTCATGGCTTTCGTGCATTGCGGCTAGAGATTTTTGAGGCTGAAGACTCCCAGTAGCCTATTCTACTTCCCCCCGCAAGTCCTCCTAAGCGTTGGGTGCCTCTAAAACGTGTGCGATTTCCCATGCCAAAAGAGGCATCCGCCAAGCAATAGCAGGCAGTCGCAGTCTCTACACCCCAACGCGGCCTCCCCTTGACATCAGATAATGCTTTTAATGCTTATTTATAGACACACATGCTCATGCACATTCACATGCTCATGCACATTCACATGCTCATACACATTCACATGCCCATGCACATTCACATGCTCATGCACGTACACATGCTCATGCACGTACACATGCTCATGCACATTCACATGCTCATGCACATTCACATGCTCATGCACATTCACATGCTTATGCACATACGTAGTCTTACACACACATCCATTCATGTGTATGTACATGAATATAGCAAACCTACACACCAACGCATTTTACACACAGATACTTCAACATACACAGATACTTCAACATACACAGATACTGAAGCCAGTTGCGGCGAGTCTGCTGTAGCTTCAAGTTTTGAATGCGTTTGAGAGAGAGAGAGAGACCCCCAAATGGCTCAGCCTCCAGACAGAGTGCTGCTGCACGAAGCCAGCGAACAATCGCTGAGTTGTTGGATGACGAAGGCGCGAAGGCGAGACGGCTAAAAATAGTAATTCGGACACCTCAGATCCTGAAAATGCAGTTCCTGCAAAGAAGCCCGGGTGTCTTGCTGGGAGAGGAAGAAGAAGGAGCCGATCCGCAGTGCAGTACATACACCCCCCGAGCGTTCCTAGGCGTTCGTTAGATCCAATAGGCTTCGTGGAAAGGGCCTTCCCCTTGTCGAACGGATTTGAGAAATCGCGAATTAGGAGTGGAAGCCAAAGTTTGGGGCTTTGAATTAGCGTCTGGCCCACAGACATGGAAAAAGGCTGGGAAGAGGCGATGCTGCTGCTGCTGCTGTGCTGCTGCTGCTGTGCTGCTGCTGCTGCTGCTGCTGCTGTGCTGCTGCTGCTGCTGCTGCTGTGCTGCTGCCACGCGGCAGCCCGAGCAACAGAGAGCAGCAGCAGCACCTCGCCTCGCCTCACCTCACCTGCTGCTGCTGCTGCTGCTGCTCTTGCGCTCTCCGTTGTAAGGGCTGGCGTGGCATGTCTGCTGGCGTCAGAATTTGCAGGACGTCGCCTGCTTCCTGTTTATTTCGGACCGAAAACACCGACAGCCTTCTTCCGCAGCAGACTGGAGAGCGTAAGCCTTCAACACCCGTACTATGAGGTTCAAGCTTCCGGCTTGCTCCAGTGCTGCCGCTCCCGCCGCCCCTGAGCTGGGCAAGGGTTCGAGCCTCTGAAGTATGTCTGTGTGTATTATCGCCAGCCTTTTTGCGCGGAACCGCTCACGAGAAGCGTCGGATTCTCGCAGCACACTCCCGCTCCGCCGCTTCGTGAGTGCCCCAGCAGATCTCAGAGGACGCGCTGCCTGAGCCGCCACGCGGCAGCGTACCCGTTTTTCCAGTAACGGCGGGGAATATAACGTGGCATTCATGAAGACTCCTCGCTTTCGGCCGCCGCCTCTTCATGGGAGACAGAGTCGCACTTGCCCGCTGGCCCCTCGAGGCGTCTGTACACCCCAACGCGTGAACCCCAATGGGCAATGCCGTGGGAGTTGACGCGACGGCAAACTGCTTGCGAGTGGTCTTTTTCTGCGCTCCGCCTTCCAGCTCGTCTCCTGCCGCGACTTCGGCGCCTTCAGTCGCGGACGGCAGCTCCTCCTCCTGCAGTCATGGAAACATCCCCGCGATCATCCGCCTGCTGCTGCAGGGAGCGCTCCCTGCGGTCGAATTGAAACGCATCAAGGGCCCTAACGCGGAATCCGTCACGGATCTGCTGCTGCTGCTGCAGAAGCAGGAAGTCTGCAACGGGCTCCGTGGCAGCTGCCTGCCCCCCGACGTCGCAAGTTGTGGCACTGCCGACAAACCCCCCCCTGCAAACACCCCCTCCTCCTCCTCCAGCGCCAGCGCCTTAGCGGAGGCGGATGCCTTCTACAGCGGAATCTATTTTTGGGGCCTCCTTTCTAAAGACGCCGAGGAGGCAATCAAGATCGTGAGTTTGTGCCGCTGCCGCTTGTGCCGCTGCTGCTTGTGCCGCTGCTGCTCATACACCGCGTGAGGGGGCTGTCGTGGGCAGTGCACGAGGGCAGTCCGACCGCCAGCGGTAGGCCTCTCGCGCGCGGCGCATGCATAGGCTCAAAGGCTGCTGCAAGGAAGCATGCAGACACAAAGAAAGAAAAGCCGCTACCTTGTGCATCATTAGTGCGCCGTTGTGTGTGTGTGTGTGTGCCTGCTGCTGCTACTGCTGCAGCTCCTGCCCTTGCTTCCTTCGAAGCTTCACATTGCGCTCACAGGCAGTGGCGCCTTCGCCCTCAAGTGCCTCCTGCTGCAACTGGAGGAACGCCACACTCAGCTCCACCAGCAAACGCATGCATGCTTGCAGCTGGATTTCTCGTTTGAGCGGGAAAGCCTCTGCCTCATAGGGGCCCTCCACTTCCTAAGGCGTCTCTTCCCCTCCACGCTCTTCAAATATATCGGGTAAGAAAGCCTTCCCTGTGGCGTTTGTTCTAGCGCCGTGCATGCACATCAACCTCCTGAAGCAACACCGTGTAAAGCTCGCAAAAAACACCTGCTTGTGCTGCGCAGGACTGGACAGCCTCTTGCTGCATCTGATGCCCCCAAAAGTGCCTTTGTAGAAGGGTGCGTCGAATACTCCCCTGTCAACCTTCCAGTCCTCTATGTGTATGTGTCTTTGTGTGTGTATATATATGTGTATGTATGTGTCTTTGTGCATATATATATGTATGTATGTGTATGTGTCTTTGTGTGTAGGATATCTGTGTATCTAAGTGTATGGGTATGGATCTGAGTTTCTGCGTCCATGAGTTTGTGTCTTTATGTTTATGTGTGTGTCTTTGTGTGTCGTGTGTATGTGTGTGTCTTTGTGTGTATGTGTGTATGTGTGTGTCTTTATGTGTATGTGTGTATGTGTTTGTCTTTGTGTGTACGTGTGTATGTGTGTGTCTTAGTGTGTATGTGTGTATGTGTGTGTCTTAGTGTGTATGTGTGTATGTGTGTGTCTTTGTGTGTCGTGTGTATGTGTTTGTCTTTGTGTGTCTGTGTGTGTCTTTGTATGTCGTGTGTATGTGTGTGTCTTTGTGTGTATGAATGTGTATGTGTGTGTCTTAGTGTGTGTTTATTTGCTTGTTTGTGGCGGTCTGGTAGCTTCTTGCCACTTGGACATAGCATTTGCAAGAAGGGAGTTCTCTGTTTCTCTAAAAGGCTGCAGACACACGGCTTTAAGGTATTCGTGGTGGTTGTTGTCTCGTGTTTGTGTTTTGCAGTCCAATAAGCGCCGAGGATAGCGACAGCCTCTATCCGTATCTGCTGCTAAATCTCAAAGCCGGAGTATCCTTTCACAAGGTTACCTCTGCGCCCTCGACGTACGATCCTCAGAAGGAGGAGAGGCAGCAGCAGCAGGAGAAGCAGCAGAAGCAGCAGCAGCAGGAGAAGCAGCATGAGGAGCAAGGGGCTGAAAGCGCTTGGTTCGGATGTGGAGGTGGCATGTTTTCCCTTGGCTGCAATTCGCACAGAATATCGGAAAGAATCGGAAGCAGCACGATTGGAGGAGGAACGTTCATGGGCCTGTGCAGGTGCGATAGTCTACACGTGCATGCATGCTATTCTACTACAAGTGCATGCATGCTATTCTACTACAAGTGCATGCATGCTATTCTACTACAAGTGCATGCATGCTATTCTGCTACAAGTGCATGCATGCTATTCTACTACAAGTGCATGCATGCTATTCTACTACAAGTGTATGCATGCTATTCTACTACAAGTGCATGGTATGTATTCTACTACAAGTGTATGCATGGTATGTATTCTGCTACAAGAGTATGCATGCTATTCTACTACAAGTGCATGGTATGTAGTCTACAAATGCATGGTAGTCTTCTGTGAGGGAAGTGGAGTGGAGTGGGGTGTATGTGTCTGTCTGATCCGGGGAAGGGGACTCTTGACTACGAACGATTGCCGTTGATGGCGCAGACTTTTAAGGGTGTTTTTGCAGAGGGATTGCCTTTCAGCGCTGCTCAGAAGTGCCTCTAAAGTGTCTTCTATCCTCTTGTGCCCTGCCACAGGTTGCTGCTTTCAGCTCCCTCCCCGCTCCCTGCTGCCTACGTGTCGCTCGCGGAAACAGGAGACAATCGAAAAGTCGACATGCTGGTGAAGGATATTTACGGAGGCAACTATGCAGCGATTGGTGAGGGTTGTTGGGGGAGCTGCGTAGGGAGGGGAGCAGCAGCGCAGCAGCAGCATCATCAGCAGTAGCAGCGGCGGCATTTTCTTTGGGGTGTGTAATTACAGTGCGTTCCCCCTCTGGAGCCGAAGAAAGTTGTCTTATCCACAGGTTTCACTTGTTGTGTTTTAGAGCCTTTATTTTCTTGCGTTTGAGTCTTTTTGCGCGCGTCTGTCGGCTGCTTAGGCTTGAAGGGGGATACAATTGCCTCTACCTTTGGAAAGATGCAACACGCGAAGCTCAAAGACAACAGAAGCCACTGCTGCAGCAGGAGCACTTGTGCTGCTGCTGCTTCTGCTCCTGCAGCAGCAGCGGGGGCTGGGGAGGACGCAGCAGGTGTGGCTGCAGCTGTACGTTTCTCGAAGGCGCCTCTCTTGTCGCAGCTGGATGCGACGAATGGCAGCAAGGGCAGCCTCCCGAATTTCACCCCCAGCAAACCAGAAGGCTTGCAGCAGCCTTCGGGAGAAGCTGTCGCAACGGCAGCCGAGTGCGCCTGTGGCAGCAGTGGCTGTTGCTGCTGTTGCTCTTGCGCGAATGACGGGGAGTGCAGCAGCAGCTGCTGCTGCAGTTGTTGCAGCAGTAGCTGCAGCTGCTGCTGCTGCAGCAGCAACTGCGAGGAGTTCAGCGATTGCAGCAGCCTCCTTGACCATTCAACGTACCCCGATGCTCTCTGCAGCGACGAGGAGCAGGGGGCAGAGGACTGCTGCTGCTGCTGCTCGAGCACCAGCAGTGACATGGCTTGCTGCTGCTGCCCTAAGAAGCCCAACGGAGCAGAAGACGCACTTTGCAGTGTAGATACAGCGAAGAACAGGAACGCGAGCATGAGCAGCAGCAGCAGTAGCAGCAGCAGTAGCAGCAGCAGCAACACTACGATTGCATTCAGAGGAGCAGACTTCTGTGATCAGGCAAGCCAGCCTCTCTGAACACCCAGAATTCTTGACGCAGGTGATGCTCTTGCTGACGCATGCGCCGAAATCCCTGCTGAATGCCTCTGCAACTTTCTTGCTGCTGCTGCTGCCTGCGCATGCGTGTGTGTTTGCGGTGATGTATCCAGCCCTCGGAGGCAGATGTTGTCAGGTCGCTCTTGGCGATGATGAGCTTCAATCTCGCGCAGCAATCCTTCCTCCATGCAGTTCTACATGGTCTCGACAAGTAAGATCTCTGCCTGCCTTAGCCGCTGCTCCTTCCGCCGTTGTTGCTGCCTGCATTTGTTTCGCTGGTGCGCGTGCTGCGTTTACGGAGGTGTCTTTATTGGGGGTTTTTTTTATGGAGCGTTCAATTTCAGGATCGTCATCGTCGGCTTCCTCGAGGCACCCTGCTTCCTCGCCTCCGTGCAGCATTCCGTAAACTTCTGGTCTAGAAACTCATGCACGATCATCTTTTGCAGGTAAATATGTTTGTGCGTATAGTATTGCAGGTAGGCGGTCAGTTCGCCGCATGCAGTGGCGGTATGCCGCATGCTAACATGCATGATGAGCAAGGGGGGGCTGGCAATCTTTCGACGCGTACTGTGTTATCGAACGCCGATCGATGCCTTGCATGAGTCTTGGACCTGAAAGTGTTCTTGTTTTTGCCGCAGCCACCCTTTCCCGTGGTGTTCAATCATTTTTTTTTGAATTTTTGGGGTGTACGTCTTGCACTGTGTATCTATCGCATGCGTTTCTGTCGTTTCGCGGCTTTTTCTCAGACTCTCCTGCTTTCTCGGAGCCCTCGGCGCTGCCCTGCAGTGTGGAGCCTTACGCTGCAGCAGCAGCTGCTGCATGCTGCCTCAGTTGCAACAGCTGCAGTGGGAAGTTCAGTGCCTTCAGCAGCAGCACCAGCAGCAGCAAGGAGGGCGACCTCAGTGGCTCACGAGCCTTTCGCCCCACTCAACGTCTTCCCTGAATAGGGGAGAAGGCGCTGTTGAGACTTCCGAGGCTCCAGACGAGGCTTCCGAGACTCTCCCGCAAATGTACGCAGGTGTCGGCGGGGGGGGGCCCCCAGGGGCCCCCAGGGGTACTGCACCCTTCTCCCCCGCCACTCCTACGGCGTTCCTGCCCTTGGGAACGAATAAAAACAATCATTTCAAGGAGCCGCAAGCCCCCCCTCTGTGGCTGCCTCCTAGACCTCCAATGCTGCCAGCACCTCCGCCCTTCAGCCAGTTGGTGGTGACAACGGAAATGCCAGGTGCAGCAGCAGCGGCACTATCAGCAGCGACAACAACAGCACTATCAGCAACACTGACAACAGCGGACGCGGCAGCAGCAGCTCCTCATTGTGGATTCACCTCGAACCCTTCGGGTAGAGCCCGTATGGAGGAGCTCGAGTGATCGTGAACCAACACGGCTGCCTCTGCTGCCTCCTTGCTGGTGCTGCAAGGGCAGCAGCAGCGCAAGCAGAGGCTATTCCACTCTCTCGAGTGCCATGGTAGATACAACAGCCGCGGGTGCAGCAGCGGCAGGCACTGCGCCTGCTGCTGCAGCGCGTCTCCCGCGTAGAGAGTTCTCTCTAAAAGCTTTGCATGGGATCAGCAATAACGAGGGGTTCTCTCGACGTGTGACTGTAGAGTTTTGTTGTTTTGTACCCGTCAGCATTTACGCAGTGCTGATGTTTTTCGTGTAGGGGCCCCCGGGTGGGGGCCTCTCTCTCCCGCAACTATCGATGCCTTTCGAGGGCGAGCCGCTATCAGCCAGGCGGCCCTTTGAGACCTTTCTTATTTTGGAAAGCAGCTAAATACTTGCGCATGTGAAGACACGCGAGATGCTGCTGCACCCTCCAGATGAGCAGCCGCCTCTCGTTGCAATGGCGGCTGCAAGTCCTACTCTACTGTTGTTGTTGCTGTTGTTGTTCCTTGCGCCTCTTGCTGGCTTCTTTCTTTCGCGCGCTGGCCACATCTTCCGCCAGCTGAGAATCGTACTTGTACAGAAGCGCCTCCAGCTCTGGGGTGTACGTACACCCCAAATATTTAACCGAGTAAAAGAGGCCAGAGAGGAGGCGGCAAGTATCCTCGTTCAGCTCCCCCGATGCAGTCATGGACTGCAACGCACACAGAGCGAGTGCCACGAAGACGCCAAGAATTCCTTGCAGGATACGGTAACGGGCGAGAGAGAAGGGGAGGCAAGAAATAGACGTCTCGACGAGACGTCTATTTCCACCGCAAGCGTAGTCATCCAGAGGCAAATAAAAGATGCAAACGAATACTGGAAATGAATACCTACGTTGACTGCATGCTACTGCAATCAGATCTGCAGGCAGAGGCGTGCAGGTCGAGTACGCCATGCCGTGAGTACACCGCGCGCATTGCGCTTTGCAGTAGTGACTAATTCACCAAACATGTGATACCAAAGCTCATCTCGATGCGCAAACATGCCCTCACCACTTGTTGAACCCCTAACACCTCCCAGCTGTGCTGAAAGCCTAGCAGTCTCTCACCGCTACAGCCGTCCGCATGAAGGCAACGCGCGCCGCATGCTGCCCCTTGCTTTCCCACTGTGTCTTCTTCAAGATATCTGCTAACCACGCTGAATCTGCTGCTGACTGTGTTTCGCTAGCTGCTGCTGATGGTGTTTCGCTGGCCGCTGCTGATGGTGTTTCGCTAGCCGCTGCTGGTGGTGTTTCGCTAGCCGCTGCTGGTGGTGGCGCAGCTTCCGGAACTGCTGATGGTGGCACTGCTGCGGTTTCTGACGACACAGCCGCAAGGGTTTCCTGTACGCCCTCTGTCATTTTGCGCGGTGTATCGACAGCTGACATTCCCGGTGCGTGGACCCGTAAGCCTTCAAGGCCTTACGCTGAAAGCGCCTTGCGCGTGTTGTCAGTACGAAGGGCGCAGTCTAGGGAGTGCTTGCTGTGGGAAAACGCCTTCTCAGCCGATTTATGAACTGCATTCTTCCTCCATTTCGTCAAAGTCTGGTGTAAAATTGACGCGCGTCTCCCGCTCGAGCAGTTGGGGGGCCTGGGGGGAAAGCCCCAACGGCCGAAGATCCGTGCGTTCAGGAAGAAACGAGCCAGAGAAGCCGTTCAGGCCTGTTGTATCACTCGCATGCATTTAAAATGCTTGGCTTAAAACTGGCAGTGCGTTGATCAACAGAAGTAGGCGTGTGCATGTCTTTGAGATACGGTAAACGGACGGCTGTTTGTGGCCTGGTCACATGGCTCTTTCCGCCATATCAGGCATACCACCACTACTCCTCCGTCCTTCCCCGAAGCCCGCAGAGATTTGCAATTAGGGGCCTCTTGGGGAGGCACTTTGCACACGTGTGTTCAATTCAAGGGTTCAGTGGCACTGGCTGCGTGAAGGGAGGCAGCGCTTCCGCGTCCTCGAAGCGGACGAGAGGAAGTGGAAGCGGCACGCGCATATGCACAGTGCCGCGAATCCACTCGTGGAAGGCTTCACCCGTAGTCATTACGTGCGTAGTCGGACTCCGTCTTGCGGGGATTTACGTCTGCACGTGCAAACTGCAGATGCATGTGGGGAAGGCATGCAGTTGCATGCATGTCTGCATGCGTTAGAGCCTCGAAGCACGACCAAAGATACGACGTTGCAAAGACAGCAGAACAAGAGGCGCAGGAGCCGCCCATGCACGGACGTGCTCCTAGACTGCAGAGAGGAGTGGGGGCCCAAGGTGCTAGCTCTACGAGCACATGCCGTCAGCTAGCGACTTGTAGCGCTTCCTATTCCTGTCCCCCCGTGAGTCACTTTCCAACTAAACTACCAGACCTAAACGCCCATAGGCGCGGAGTTAAGCGCTTGCGCCTTCTGCATCCCACGTGCGCGAGGCCAAAAAGAAATTGCCTCAAGGTAGCACTTTAGCCACCTGCCTGGATTCGTCTACAAAAACTGCAGCACGCCCTCAAGCATTGGGGTGTGCGCCTAACTTTGACCTCCTGCTCAACATGCTTCCATATGGAGGTCTCCAGAAAACTGCCTCCGTGGATTTTCTGCCCCACAGATGCTCTGCATCCACAAGGCCCTTGATTCTTGCGCAAAATCTATGTGGGATTTATCTTGGGGTTTCCCGAACGGAGCACGACATGTCTTTCCGGCCCGTTTGAACGGTCAAGCTACCTTCGTGGGATCCTCTTCGAAGCTGAAATGTTCAAGTAGCCGCCCTGTCAAAAGCGGCATAGTCTTGATGATGCTACGTCAAAGGTTTTCAGGAGCCTTGAAGAGGTTCGCTGGAGCGTGCCAGGGCCCCAGCCTCCTCCTATCTTAGTGTTTTGTGTCTCCAAGGCAGCACATCAGTGAGACAAAAAGTAGGAGAACGAGCATAGTGACCATAAAACCCAATAATATAAATGTAATAAAGGATCGATCGGTCGGGTGTAAGGAGACTGTTGCGATGGTCTGTAGCAGCGCTGGATTCACGAGGGTTCCGTCTTTAGGGAAAGAACTCGAGAGGTGGCTCGCTGCTACTGCCTCACGCCGAAAGAAATTTCTCCTGCTGGTAACCATGTCCGAAGTCGCAACATCTTGTGGAGATTCAGAAGTGGCGAAGGGAGAGGCAGATAAATCGAGAGGCGAGCCGGGGGTGCTAGAACCTCTTGAAGAGAGAGGCGAAGCCACCTCATAGTCGCGTAGGGGACCACCTGCGAGTGCTATAATCCCCATGGTATTGGAGTCAGCAATGGGCATGGAGCGCACGTTTGCAACAGTTCTTACTGGACCCTGAAGGAGAGCGAGGGTGGAGACAATGAAATACAGGCACTGCGCGCGGTCGATGGCGGACCCCCCTCTTCCCCCTGTTTGCACTGAAAGAAGAATAGCCATTGTAGACCCGTAAACGCCGAGTTTTGGAGCCTCAACTATTGTTCTTCCAGACAGCTGTCCCCTTCGAGGGCTGCGTCATTGAGCTGGCAAGCACAAAGGGCTGTCTCCGTCTTTGACAGTGCCAAACAAATGAATTCGGCTATGCTTCTTCTGCTTAGAAAGCATGGCAAAGTCTCAAGGCGGAACGAAGATGAGGAAACGTAGGCCCCTTTCCTGTGCAATCGATATGCAGACGAGCGGTCACCCCGGGGGGTTTTGAGAAGCATGACGGTTTAGGGATTTGCGTTTCGGTACGCCTCTAATCAAATCCCCACAGTTTAAGGTCTTAAGTAGTTTATTAAAGGGCTAATTATAAGCACGCAGAGATAGTTTGGGCTAGGCCCTTCGGAATGGTGTTGCGGGCTTGCGTTTGGCTGCAGGTCTGTGAGCAGCGCCTGGAGGCACTCTGATATGGTATACAAGTCCATCTACGCAGGCCAGATTGAAACACAATTTCCCGCCCATAGCTTACTGAAATTTGTTGTGATATTTCGAATCGGTACCACAATTAAAATGCAAATGGCTGTTGCATTGCGTTTTTTGTGCACAAAAAGGCATCATTTTCCTGGGAGCTTTCTTACAGCTGGTGAGCACAAGGCATACGGTTGACATGAAACCTCACATCTATGCATGAAAGATGCTTCCACTCCTTTCCAAAGTCAATGACCTTCGAGCTGCAGGTCTAATAGCACATCTTTTAGTAATAGGGCGTCCTTAGTGGCTGTGTATCAAGTATATCGCGTCAACTCTCACTGGACGATTCGACAATGACCATGACGCAGCTACACCGCAGAACCAAGAGCGAAGAAAAAACGACGAATCTGTAGCCCCACAAAGTAGTCTCCGAAAAGGTCCTACTGGGATTTGAACCCAGGTCGGCGGATTCAGAGTCCGCAGTGCTAACCGCTACACCATAGAACCGCGGCGGCCGAAAGCTCTCCAGCCGCGGCTGACACTATTCGGTTGCTTGCTTTTATTCCCGACAAGTCCCTACTTATACCGCAAAGCATCCTCATGGCATCCTGCATGCTCGTGGCATCCTGTTGCTGTCTCTTTTTTCTCCCTGTTTCTGCCGCTGCTCATCATCTAGAGGAGCCCCTTATGCCTATGAATAGGTGTGTGCATCAGTTGGGGGTAAGCGGGATGCACGATTAGCCCCAAATTCTTGGAGCTGGAGGAACAGCCAACTCTTCGTGTTCGACCTATAGTGCGACATTTGCGGACAGCAGATATAACAGTCCTATACATGTAAGGGCGTTTTCTTCCTTCGGCCATAATTCCCATCGTCCAAGGAACCTGGTAGACATCAGGACCCTTATGATCGGCTCCTATCTGAGGCTGTTTGCAGCCGCTTATGCGTACCCACAGTACTGCACTGCATACTCTGTCTAGCACACCAAGCTACCTCTGAACAGTCTCTACGACACTGAGTACTTTCATTTATGCTTTACCTAAATATTGACAGATTGAAATGGCTCTTTGTGGATTTAATTACTTCAGAGTACTGCTTGTTAGCTCATTTTTCACCACGGGAATGCGTACCCTAGCCTACGGATAAATTTTCCATGCCGAGCGCGTGAGAATGACCCGAGATCTCGAATGCTGCAGTCACTTGCACTACCAATATTTTCTCGTCAGACTCCAGAATCCTGTGGGGTGGCAGAAAGCATTTTGGAAACAACAGATATTTCCTTCCTCTTCAGCTCTCATTGTCCCCCCATGCACGCTGCAGGACGAGCGCTAAAACGCTCGGTTTCTTCCAAGCTGATTGACGAGCTTAGACGCTACGAATAAGGCCACTGGTGTGTGTTTCGCGTACTTGCTTCTTTCTTAAACCCATATAACCGCATCTCTTCGCTCGAACGAAGTTTTCCACAAGCTGAGCTACAATTTCTAGGACACCATTTATACTTCGCTACGGAGTAGTGGAGGATTCAATAATTGGGTTGTATGCTCGTTCACCTTACCTACTCGATAGGGCTGTTAGCTGAACACCATAAGGCGAAATTTTGTTTGCGTTCGAGCACTATATGCCACGTATTTTGTGCTCAAATGCATGAAGGGTGCAGCTACGCATACCTGGGCTATCCTTTTCCTCTTATCTTCATAGCTCTAGAATGCTGGAGCAAGAGACTGCGGCCGCGTTATAAAGAGACATTTACAGCTTTTTATAAAGCTTCTTTTCATTCTGGAATGCAATCTCTGCATGTGGAGACATTAGATGCAGCGTTACAAACCCTGTTCACTATATTCCTGGCACCAAATATGTTTGCACTTTAGGCGCATTTGAGGCATAACCATACATGAATTCATACTCAGCGATCAGCATCCATAAAACTGGAGGCCTCCGTGTCTACAACTTCGTCTGAGACCATTTCGGTGTAATGGCTAAAGAAAATTATCATTATTGAATCATAAGGAACAAAGATGTAAAACGTAGCAGGCTGTGCAATGGGTCCTAGGATAGCTTGATGCGTGCAGCTATCCACTTGAGGGCTCCATAGGTAGACGCTTACCGCCAAACTGAATACTGACTTGATAAAGAGCTATTGAGTATTCTCATTAGAGCAACCCTCCTTTCCTTCGGTTTACCTCAATATTCCGACACGAAGGGATAATATCAACCGGAGTAAGCGTTGATGCACCCTCTGTGCACTCCGAAGATTCACAGGTACTTGCTCATATAAACTAGCGCACACCCACACAGCATTACATTTTCTCGTATCTGAATAACAGTCCTTTGTAATATTTAAGACACACAGACACGCAAATAAATTATTGGATTCTTTGCTGATTCTTGGGTACAGATAACTAGTGTAGCCGAACGTGTTAGAATGTAGCACAGTTCGCTTCAGCGGGTCTTGAATGCAGCGGAATTTTGAGTGCTGATTCAAAAAAATTTGTGCGCTGACAAATATGGGAGCTGTGAGCGTTGTGATTGAATTTCGATTTATTGAGAAAGACATACATCAGAAAATCTCAGCCTTGGATTTTGGTATGTATGTACGTAAAGTGGGAACCCGGTCTGACTGTTCTGGCTTCACTTTAGCACACACATCCCTTCGCTACATGCAGCCCGTTCATACTGATGTACCCCTCTTCTGATATATGCCTATATATGCATATACGAAGCAACAATGGCCTTTCCTAGTAGAATGAGTGATATGGGTGGTAAAAGTAGGTCCTTACAAACATCATATCGGCACCTTTTCGGTAACACAAGTGCTGAAATTTGGGTTGACAGACTTTTTTGTTTTATTACCCGTCTACACTAACGTCAAATGACAAATAGCCTATTAAGAGTGCCTCCTTGGTGCATCGCCGATCCATTGTCCGCTCCCGTGTCATGCATGCGCATGCAAGGGTGGGTTAAGGCGCGCGTGAATCCTGCCATTTAGGCGAGCCCGGTGGAAGCGTGGACTAATAAAGGTGGCATCAACAAGAATCTCCAACCGAAAATGGGTGTTTTTTAGTAAAATGGCTCCTTCGCCCCTACGGCCGCTGGCCGCTGGGGGTCCCCCGACCCTCAAAAAGCTGGCAGCGCAATCCGAGGTGTACGTGCACCTCGAGAAACGAGTGCATGCGTTACGTAAGCAGCTTTTTGGGTATGCGAGGGGGATGCCGGGGGAGGCTGCGTGGCTCAAGCCTCTCCAAGGAAAAGAGATGAAGGAGTACTACTGGCCGAGCAAATATGACTTGCCAAGCTTCAATATGGAGCAATACCTGCAAATGCAAGTAAGGAATCGACGCCCAAAGGTGTTTCTGGCTGTTTCTGCCTGGATCCTCCTCAGGACTCTTGCGGGAGGAAGCTGCAGCAGAGGCAAGGTTGCCTGTACAGCTCACCGTCGGTTCCAGTACTCCAGTTTGGGCTGTGGGGTTTGCAAAAGTCGAAAGGAGGTGCTTCTCATAGCACAAGCGCTTCCATTACGCAGCACACACACGTATGCCGTTTCCCTCTCCAGAGTTTGTCGCGTGTATTTTTTCGCAGGCGTTGCGCTACGCACCCAAGCCAACACACCCCTCGCTTTTGTCGCTCTCCCGTTTGATGGCACTCCTGACCGAAAGAAAGAAGACGGTTCGTCACCTGCTTTCACAGTTGGATGCAGAGCTTCTCAGGGAGAATCCTACGCTGCAAGACCTTTACGCGTGAGAGCGCCGCTCGTCCTATCAGCCCTTGAGCCTGTGCTTCCCAGGAGCGTCGATTATGATTCATGGACGGCTTCTTGACGGACGGCTTGGGGAAGCAATCTCAAAGCTACTACCGAAGGTGCTTCACATGTTTGTGGCTTGCGCTGCAGGCTCTACAAGTCGCTCTTCTCGGACGATCCGCTGAGCAGCGATTCGCGGCAAAAAGAGCAGCCGTGGCGCTGGACCGACTGCCTTGAGGCAGAAACTCGTAAGTTTTCAGTGCTTCTACAGGCTCATCACCTCTAGGATTTGGATACGTCGCACCTCCAAGAATCGAATTCAGGTGTCGCTTTCCAGTCTTGGCAGGCCCCCTGCCCCGTCGTCTCAGTGAACCCTCGAACCCACACATGGAAACTGACCTTTTAATGTAGAATCTACAAGATTGGCGTTTCTGATGGTGTCTGTGCAGTTCTCGCTCTGGTGGAGGCGACTTCGCAGCAGGAAGGCGGCGAAAAACTTTTCAGCGACATCTTAAAAGAAGCAAAAACGCAATGCAGGTAATTCTGAAAGCCGATATCATAAAAGATATATATATATATATACGCCCCAATAAAAGGCTCTGGTCGTCGAGGGTCCAGTACAGTTACATATATTGACACGCATACGCACTTTCTGAACCTTGTAAGGTTTGGGATTTGTGTATGTGTATCTGTGTATGTGTATGTGTATCTGTGGGTGTGTGTGCATAAACGTGGGTGTACGTATGTATATATATATGCATACATGTATGTGTGTGTATATACATTTTCAGCTCGCTGTCTCAGCTGCAGGAGCTGCTTCAGCGTTTGTTGGGTGAAAAACTAACGCCCTCGCTAGCTTCTTCTTTGTTGTATCTTGCGACTAAAGACGTTCTAGTGCTACCGGCCGCTATATGCAGCCGCAAGTCCACCGGCCGAACGAGTGAGGCGGAAACACTTTGCGTCATTTTGCGCGCGCACTCACGCATTTCTTGTGTTCTCTGAGATGTGCCTCTTTACATTTCCTTCCTGCTGGCTCGCCCGCCTGCTTTTCATCTCATTGCTTTCCTAGAACTGAGCGTTTGTTGGTGGCCTCCTTGCGTGCTTGTCTTCCCGAGCCTTCCTGGCAGGTTCTGTATTCACAGCCTCTTGCCCAGCATCTCTTATTCGCCGTGTTGCTTTTGCGCCTTTGTTCCCTCTGCCCGTGTTTGTGGGTCTTTCTCCAGTGCGCGTGGCACTGCGAGGTTGCCTATTTGTGACTACATGTGTGCTCCCCGCTTTTTGTCTGTTGGTAGTCCCCTGGCCCTTTAGGGAGGCTTTTTTCGTTCTTTCTCGCACCCTGGGCGCATGCAGCAGGTTACTGTAACGCGAATCTCTTATTGGGTGTCTTCGCGCTCAAAGGGTGTTCTCTCTGCAGCGAGGCAACCCCGAAGTTTAGCGACTCTTTGGGCCGTGGTGTACTGTGCGCTTCAGGGGCCGTAAGTGACGCAGCTGCGGCGAAGGGGGCACTCGTGCGGATGTTAGAAAGCGCGAATGAGCAAACGGAAGCGATGAGGGCGGCAGGGAACGAAGGTAGAGACAAGGCGCTCTTGGCCCGCATTCGGCTTGTCTCCCGTTTGGCAGAAGCGGCAGAAGGGCACCCTGCTGCTGCCTCTTCTCGGCAGCAGCAGGAAGGCAGAGAGGCGAAGGGAGGCTTATCGCCCAGAACACAGGAGTCAAGGAGGCAGCCTCCATCTTTGGATCAGCACGCACTGGGTTTATTAGGGCCTCCGGGTGTGACTGTGCATTCGGTGGGTTTGGCCCCAGCAGAGACGGAGAGCCAAACGAGGCAGCGGGAAAGGAGACAAGCAGCTGCGCAGGAGGAATTGCAGAGCGAGATTGAGAGCGACGCGAAACTGGCTAGCTACTACAGAACGTCCCACCGGTTCATTGATCCCTTGTTCAAGAGGAAGAGGCTGTCGTTCCTTGACCGGCTGGCAAGGAGCAGAATCAAGAGCCAAACGGCGAAAGAAATCGGCGCTCAGGTGTACATACACCACCCCGACAGACAGCCCTCATTCCCACATAACAAGGGCTTTATAAACAGAAAGTGGCCCTCGCCTTATCACTAGAACCAAAGCCCTTAGTTCCCCAAACCCTTTCTTCTTTCATGACTCCTGGTGTAGTCCTCCCCGTCGTTTCGGTGCAATCGTGCATCGACACCAGCTTCACACCGAGTCAGTAGGGTACCTCATTCTCTCGAATAGCTATCTTGCCCCCAAGAAACACGCATCGAGCTCCGGCCATCCACATTCGATCCAGAATCCCGCGTACAAACGTATAGGGGTCCTGTGAGACGTTCTTGGGTGGCAGCTGCTAGCCTCTGGCACGAATGATGCGAATTGGGTTTCTTAGTGCTGAGTGAAACTTCACTCCGGTGTACAGTGCAGTCAAGGGGCTGGAAGTAACCAGCAAGCAGCCCGCCTAGCAGACTTGAGATAAGCCAGCGAGCTCTTGGAGAAAAGGCGAACACTCAGATAAAGCTGTGTAACCTATAATACATGTGCACGCGGGCACACAGCTGCTGCCAATACACCACAGCCCCACAAGTTGTACTTTTCAAGTGACTCTGTACAGAGTTTCCCCTTTTCTGATGTAACGTTTTCTCCTTGTTCTGTACGTTCTCCTTCGCTTGTTTGTCTGCCAAGTCCTATTCGCAAACATGCGCCACCCCCACTGGGGCCCCCCAAGGAGCCCAGTGGGGGCCCCCACAAAACTCGGGAGGGGACTTTTAATGGCCAGCCACGACCAGAACGGGGTGACGGATGAGCATGCAGCAGTGCCGGCAAATTTCGTTCCCGTAGCTCTTTTAGCAGCAGATGCAACTGCTGCCGCGGACAGAGACCCCAGGTGGGATGCCATGAGGGCCGCTCCTGCCTCAAGAAAGAGAGAAACAATGTTCCTTACAGCGAGACGGCAATGACACCCAGTCTACCGAGTCTGCCTGAAGGCTTCCTAGGCCTCTGTCTGCGTGGGCCTGGCCAGTGCGATGAGGCAAGGCAACGAAGTGTTCCTACAGCAGTCGCAGTGGCTGCTTCTGTGGGTGCGGTGGAGAGGGCAGCTCTCGCAGCGGCAAATCGAGAAAAGAGAGAGGATGGGAGGAAGGCCATGAGGTCATTTGCAGCACACCGTCATGGAGCAGGCAAGCTCTGCTGTGCAGAGGACAGATGCTCGGACGGGAAGTAAGCAGCATCAAGGGGCCCATGCGACCACTCAGGTTCGCACATCCGGTTCCTCCTTCCTCCATCTAAACACCAAAAACCACGTAGCTTTGGTGGAAGAGAGCAAGTCTTCTCCCAAAGTCTCGAGAAACGACGGATTCGCCCGACGGTCCAGCCCCGCGGCGTCGGTAGAGGATTCTCCAGATAAACTGCAGAAATCTAGTAACAATGAGCTCGCAAAATAATCGTGAGCGGTTATTGTATTGCTTTAGCGGGGAACAGTATATGAGCTTGTTTGTTATACTAATGAGATGCAAAAGGTCGAAGATTCAGCGCGTAGAGGAAGTATCACACAAGACCGCTGCCACAGAGGCAGTCGGCGCGCAGCCCAATGCCTGCAAATGCTCTGAGAGGCCATGTCAAAATGTGCACGCTCAACCTTTGAGTGCTGAAATGGCGTGTTTTGAACGTTTCTTCTGTCATGGTCCTTTCTTTGTTTCTTCTCGTTCCTTTTGTAGTCCACCGTCGGCTCTCTCGCATCGACGCAACCTAGTTCATGCTAAGGGCTGCTTCTTCGCCTAGCAATCAATGTATGTCTCTCTGCCAGATTCGCTTCACTGTTGCTGACGTCGTGTCGTTGTTGCGTGGAATGCGTATGTTTCCATGGTCGAGATATATGCGGGGTTGAATATCTAGATAAGTAGCCTTGATAGCTCTACGGGTGCAGCTGGCTAGATCCGACGGTTCTCTTCTTCCCCTATATCCCTGAATAAACGTGAGGCCTTAGGATAAACAGGAGGAGCAGCTTACTTGGTAAAGCAAGAACGAGCTCTCTCTGGCTGATTTGACCATGGTTCGTGTTGCCGGGTCCTGTATCGAAATCCATGTAGGAAAGGTGCATTCATTTCTTCGCCCTCTTCCTAACGTGCTGAAAGTCATTGTGTATGCTGCATATATACTCTTGCGCTAACCTTTGAAATTGTAGGGCTCCAAACAAGGTCTTCCTAGGAAGACGCTCAACTCCAGACTAACTATTAGCTTGAGAGGAAATCACTTAGTCACTCTCCGAAAGAGATGCTTTTCTCCCTTGCCCGTGAACCTAGGAGCTCTGACACGAGAGGCGAGGTATTTTGAGCGTGCATCAACGCGCACCCTCAAAACACCGAGCATTCAAAACTGATTGCTCGTGGCATCTAGCTCATACGCGTACAACATTGGGTCTTATTGTATCTACCTAAAAGTATTAGTGTAATAATAAAATATGCGAACAACCAAATCAAGTAGTCATTTTTCGATATTCTGCTATAAGCTATTACTAGTGTAGTAGAAAATGCCCAATGTAGCTCAGTTCGCTATAGATATCATCCATAGCAAAACCCACAAAGGTTGAACTTCATGATCCGCAGTAGGTATTGCTCCGCTAAGATGGGCTCTGCAAATTTTAACAGGAGAAAATAAACTACCGTGTCTCCCTGGATATCACGAGGGAGCAGACAACCTCAAGGTAAGTCGAAGTGCCCAGAGGCAAGTTTGTCTTTGCTTACGGGACGAAGTAATTTTCCCTATCTCGCCCTGGTACCACAAGGCCTTGAACTACAAAGAGGAAGAAAAACAGCTGAGCTTGGTGAGCTGGAAGCTCAAAATGAGCAGCTCAGCCGAGTGGAACTGGCAAGTTCACAATCATGCCATTCAAATTTCAACAAGGAAACAATGAGAAACTAGAAACCCAAGAAGGATCTTGCCTTTGAAGCTACTGCCCTTCCATAATCCGCTAGCAGTAAGGGAACAACGAGCATTGAGCGTGAAAACTGACAAATAAGCAGCTATGTTTTCCTTGGGATGTCGTGAGCATTGTTCTACGGCCTCTGGTGTATGGCGTTGCGACTTGCAATGCGGTGGCAATGTCGGCTCCACAGCCGGTATTTTCTAAGGCTTATCTGACAGGTAATGCCTTTATAATGAAAAGGGATTGATTGTTAGTACAAGTGTCGAGAGGTTCCGCTGCTTTGGAAAAGATCGGCGTCCGTAGCCGGTGAAGGCCTGAAATTCTCCTAGTCTAATTGGGGGTACTGGCTCCCCTTCCCCATGATAAGTAAATCCTTTCGGACGCCATAGCTTCGGGCTTACTCAGGACCGGACCGTTAGGCAGTGTGGCTTCTGGTGCAAGTTTTGACAACTCGCGCGTGAGGGCATTGAAAACTTCCACTGCCTTTCTTAACATACATAGCGCTCGAGAAATGAAGCTCAAGGCTCCAAGAAGCTGTGAGACATGCGGTGTATTCAGTGGATGTAAACATCACTCTGCAGTGCCCGCAGAGCAGGTTATTGTTCCTTCTCTTCAGCACTCAACATCCCCTGCTCTTGTGATGCCTATGCCATGGGAGGCGGTAAGCTCCGCCGTAAAAATGCCAGTTGTCCTATCGGCCTTGCACGCGTCCGATGCATTGAGCAAGAGGCTGTCCTATGAAATCCGTGAGCCCCAACATGCGGAGCGCATGCGTCGTAAAACTTACCCGCCTCCTCAACGAGGAGCTATTTTCAGTGCCAGTGCTACACAATCTGCGCTGGATAGTTTGAAGTATCGCCGATGAGCTTAATCCCAGGCAGTTAAGTATCGGTGTGAAAGACTGCAAGTGAAGAACATCCGCCTCATGGAACCAAAACTTTGAACGCCTAAAATCCACAATACATCACGACAAATCCAGTAGTTTCCATTGAGCTGTTACCGTGTTTAGCAGCTAGCCTATGGTGCAGCTTCAGGCCCTTGCCTTTCAGGATGCATGGCCGACGAGGGTAAGTACGTCATAGTTTGGCAGTGCTGTAGCCATCTGCAGCAATACCTAATACTCCAAGCAACGGTAAGTGGAGAAAGTTTCGACTCTACTAATTGTTCAGGTGTTTATCTGCAAAATTCAGTTCAGATCGTCTTCCCATACACCCATTCGGCTCCATTTTTCTTTTGGATTTCAAGACGAATTCTGATCCACTCATCTAGTATTATCCCCAAAAGCCCCTAACCGGAAAGCCAGAGTCATCAAAGATTCCCCCAGAGGATTTATAAGAAATGTAGCTGGCCAAGCTACACTACTGCTCGCTACATCTGAGGACTAGCTTTGAAGACTTGACCATTTGGTTTATCCCTTCGTATATCTTGCCCATTGCAGAACCGGGTTAGAGAAATAACTAGACCCAGTTTTGTGTGTGTTTGTCCAATATGCAATGTGCAACTAGCTGTGAACGCTTGGAGCACTTGAAAGCTGCAGCAAAAAGCGTCCTTACTGTCCCTCTCCCCTCATATTGGCACTATGGGGGATATGGGCAGGGGAAGGTGAAGGCTCTTTTGGAAAGCCACTCAACTACTTTCTGTGAAGTTTGTATTGAGTCTGGTTTGACGTGCCTCCCTTCTTCCAGGTGCTGAGCTACAACGAATTATCACTAGGGAAAAGGATGTCGTCGGATCCCGAGAGGGTGAAGGAGGAAGTGCAGAAATTGGAAGAGAAGACGAAGGTTTGACGCCGGTGGGTTTTGAGGGGAAGGAAGGGACTCTTGCATCGGCACCGTATTGGCGGGAGGGATGACCTGTAGCAAGTTGCTTAATCGTAGGCAACCTGCAGCTGCTAGCCTGTTGCCCGATTATTCGCAGAAGATACTAAGGAGGAGTTGTATCTCCATCCATGTGACGGTAGCGAGAAAACTCGGCCCTACTTGGTATGGCGTGGGGAAATAAACGGTTGCTCAGTGATTGTATGCGGCTGGATCAGTATTTAGCCACTCTCCTGGGAGCTTCAGACAAACACGCAGAGCGCCTTTAGGGCATTTATGGTTTTTATTACAGCTCGATATCAAGCCTCCATGCACCGATGCCCCGGAAAAAGGCGACGCTAAGGAGCGACACGCATAAATGAAGAGCA